AACGGGTTATGATATACGTATCTCCATGATATTTAGATTCAATTTTCTTAATTATAATAATTTTTAAAATTTCATACTTTATAAATAAATTATATGATTTTCTAAGAATAAGAATTCTAATAATTTATTTTGTTGCAAAACGAAACTAAAAAAAAAAAAAAAAAAAAAAAAAAAAAAAAAAAAAAAAAAAAAAAGCCAAAAAGGGAAAATATCTTCTTGATATAAATGGATAGAAATAAAATAAATAGAAACAACTGGAAGGAGTGGCCACAAAAAATAACTAAATAAATACCAATAAAATCTCATGGGGACATTGTTGGTAGGTAGAATGACTTCATGCTCCTATAATACTATGTCATAATGAGTTCTTCATATCTTAAACCCCAGCTTGCTTGTCTTTTTTTCTTTTTAGAAAGAAAGTAATTATATAAACTATTAAATACCCATTTCCAGCCAATTTTTAAATATTTAAATTATTACATGACAATTAATTTTCCAAATATAGCAAAAAAAAAAAAAAAAAAACTAGAACGGTCTAGGCACAGAAAAGGCTCCCACAAGTGTAGAGATTTGATGATAATCGACAAACCGCGTCAAAGACAAGAGAAGGGCACGATGGGCATTCAGAAAAAAAAAAAAAAAATAGAGGTTAGCACAGAAAAAGGCTCCACAAGTGTAGAGATTTGATGATTCGAACAAAACCGCGTCAAAGAAAGAGAGGAGGTGGGCATCAACGTTGAAGATTACACTTACAGTGTCTGATATTGGAAACCCATGTGGGATATATCCAAAAAGACTCACCACAAAAGTTTTTTCTTGATCTTTTTCAATTATTTGCTCCCCTTTAAAAGTTTTATTTGTCATCCTTAACTTCGAAATATATGTATTATATGTTTTTTTTTTTTAAATATATATTAATTTCTTTTATGTGGTGCATCCAAAGGGCTGGCTTCATTTCTTGCTATAGGGTTGTCTCTACATCATTGTCTGAGGTACAACTTATTAAATACAGGCTTCATGACTACTGCTCCAATCGATTTTACTTTATCCTCTCATTTTCTGTTCCTTTTTCTTTTTGTAATTTAATTTTTAATCATAAATTTATGTACATTTTCCATTAATATTGAAAATATATTTAAATTTCTATTATTGTAGTACATACCCAAGAAGTAAATATACTACTAATATGAGAATAGTATTATGGTGAAACTCTCCTAACAATAATAATAATAATAATAGCGATTTTTTTTTTCATGTTCTAAATATCTGATTTTATAAATAAAATTATACCTGCGGGTAATTGGACCGACTGTATTAGTAAATTTTATTTGTTTAATTGGATTGTTTGGGTTAAAAATCGGAAGTTTCAGACAGTAAGTTGACTACAGACAAATGTTTATAGACTAGTATAGACTAATAAATCAACTATAGACTAAAATGCCTTTCTCTGCCACAAATTTCAAAGTTGAAAATATGGAGGTGAGGAATGAGTAGGGAGCAAGAATAAAAATGTGGGGCAATTAATAATGTACCAAAAGCAGAAATCTACACTCTATGACACTGACATTTAAGAAATAAAATATTTAATTCTTTTATTAATAAATAAATAAAATATAGTATAGGAGAGAGAATCTTCCAAAAAAAAAAAATAATAATAATAATAAAGGGGGCAATAGCATCATAAACGGGTATAACAGTTAGAAGAATATCATTATACATGCCTAATAGGTACTATAGGATTAATTAAAATGTACAATATATTTTTGTCTCTTTACTCAAATTGGGAATTATTTATCATTATCTTAATTTAGAGGATCAAGATTCTAAGATTGAGCTGGATTTTATTATGTAATAAAATTGCAATCAGGGTTAGGTATCTTACTGTTTATTCCTGTGGTATATAATATATAATTAATCAATTTGGTGCCAACCAAATCATAATTAACATTGTGCTTTGTAACTTTATATGCCCTAACATGACGCATATGGTGATGATATAAATGTCTGAAAATTAGTACAGCCATCCAATTATTTTTTAGTCTTTAATAAATTATAAATACTTTTTTGTACACACAAACAACAAAAAATATATAAAGGGGCTCCAATATAATATTCATACGAGAGATATTTTGATTTAGACTTTAATACAATTATTCATTAGCTGATGGTCTTTTTTTTTTTTTTTTTTTTTTTTTTTTTATATAAAGATTTTTTTTTTGACAATTGCACAATCACGTAATAATATACTCTCTCGTATCCGAATATACAGTTTTTTTTTTTTTTTTTTTTTTTTTTTTGAATATAAAAGATTTTTATTTTTGACAATTGCACAATCACGTAATAATATACTCTCTCTATCCCGAAATATAAGTCATATAAAGATTTCATACAAAGATTAAAAATTAAGAAAGAAATTAATTATCCTAGATTATCACAAAACCAAAGCTAGTTTGATTAAATTATCATTTATCTTAAAATCACTAGTTATTTATGAAAAGTATGTATTGTATCTAATATAAATAATGGTAACATTGAAAAAATATCATTTATTACTTTTTAAAATACTAAAAACGATTTATATTTTGGAACATAGAGAGTATTAGCTAAATGACTAATAAAGTTTGTTGAAATAGCAAGCAACTTTAATTCATATAACAGTGAAAATACAAATTCAATTCTCAAGAAGCTTGATTATCAAAAAGCCCATTTACAGAGAAATAAAAAAATAAATATATTAGCCAAAGAAAATGTTGAATTTATATTTATTTCATAACTCTCTAGGGATTTTAAAATTTTAATTTCGAATATGGTTGACATAAAATATTGTCATAAAAATGGACAGGTAAGGCAGCTTTCCTCCGATTGGAATCGGGACACCAGCTAAAAGAAAGCAATAATTAATATTTATTTTCAAGTATGTACATCCGATTATTGAAAATAAAGAAAACTAGCACCGCCACATAATTGCACACGTGAGAAAAAAGACCCTTGCTATGAAAGGACAGAGAAAGATGGATGGCTATACAATATATGTCCTGCTTCGGCATTGGCATTGCCTTTGCTGGAAGTATGGAGTAGCGGAACTTGCTGTTTGGGTGCATGGAATGTTTTTGGTAGTACTAGTTGATTTTTAGTGCATCAAAACATTACATTTATGATGTTTTTCTTGCTAATTAATGGGACCATTACAAGAAATGGAGGCAACCATTCAGTCTCTGAGAAATTAATGAGTATCCTTAAAGAAGAAACATTTTCAGCAAACTCCTTAAAATCTTCAACATTGGTTGTTTCCCATGATTAATTGTTATTCGGACTTGTGCATGACTATTATTAATTGATTATTATTTTAGTTTTTCAATATTATGGCATTTGGAAATTGGAAGTATGATATAATATAATCAAAGAGGAGATATTGAATTTTTTTCAATGATGTTTATTTTAGATCCGTGTTTAATAAAATTAGTTGTTTTAATGGTTGCGTTTTCATTATTTCGTTATAAAAAGTAATATATTACTCATTTTCTAGAGCAAAATGTGCTTACTGGTCTATCATTTCAGCAATCGGACGGGTGAAAAGTGCTACACTTACGTAGCAAATGCAAAGGAAAAGAAAGACACAAAATGACATGAAAAAGGACCATTCCATCTAATAATTGAAAGCTACTGTTTATTGACAAATATGGCTTCCCTTCAGGGCTTTTCCACTTACCTTGTCAATGTACACCATGCAAATGCAAACCCATTTCGTTCATTTCTGAGTTTAGTGGGAATGGAAAATGGCATGTGGGTCTGGTTTAGCTCTCTAAGTGCGCTTTTATGACAGAGGGTATACGTGGGTTCTTCACGATTATGATTTGATCATGGTCAACAAACCAATCAAAAATTATTTGATTGTTAAATTAGTTATAATTAAATAAAATTTGAAAGTGATATTCAATTAAAACTCTCTATAAAATTTCAGATATAATACTCAACAAGGTTTCAATATACGCAGTGAAAAAGAAAATTGGGAAGTGTTGCATAATTAAAAGGGGCTTGGGATAATCCGTAGGGTGTATGTTTGATTAAATTCCATGTGGCAAGTAAGGAAATTGATGGGCAAATCACTTTCAAAATTTTATCATTTTTAATTTACTAAAAAGGAAAAGAAAAAGCTAAAGAAGACACCTTTTCATGTCAATAAAAATAAATTGAGCAAAGGGCGTACACAGAGAGACAGCCAAAAAATTCCTGACGCACCTAACGCCTTCTTTACTTGCAGCAGGCTTTTCTTTATTATTATTATTATTATTATATATTTCATACAATAATCTATATGAAAAAAGAATTTACAAATCTTTATTTGATATACATACTCACCAATAAATTGAAAAGAAATACAGAGAATATGAACAGTTGAATCCCCTTTTCTTTTTTAATGTATATACTTAAATCAGTGTCTGCTTCTACAGAGAAGCTAAATATTCCAATTCTAATTCCAGTCCCTTTCCTCATTTGTCTCATCTCAACCAAAAAGAAAGTAAAATATCATACCTAGAATTGATAGCCAACATGCATTCTCCAAGCTTAAAAGGAAGATAATTCCAAACACCAACTCACTGAAACTAAAACTTATTATTTTTGAGAAAAGGGAAGCATACATATACATAGACTATGGACAAGCTACAATTAAATAGTTTGTGTGAGTGAGTGAAGAATTAGGTCTACTTGTTCTAATTGGGTGTAGGTTGTCATTTTCAAGAAACTCAGTATTCAGTATGTTTCACCATCTTAGCTCTACCATCTTCTGCTCAAGGCCTCCAAGCCTAAAACAAAATATCCGTAGCAATTCTATTCAATATATTTACATATAAAAGGTAATTAAACTGATGTCCAAGGGGTTTTAATTTAGTGGAGGACCCCTTTCTTTTGGCATAATTCTCACTTTAGTGTTAATTATTTTTGTCCATATCTGTTTATCTTCCAACACCACAAGCTATTGGGCATATTATAGAAGATAATACAATCAAAATTCATTTTATGGGAGCTTTTATTATTATTATTGTTATAAAGAAAGATTTTCTTGCAAAAGAAAGAGGGAAAGAGGCCTTTATGAGCTTCCACCAACCAAGAAAGGGAAAAATTTATGGCATTTCCCTCTTTCCTAACTCTGTACAGTTCGATTGATTAAAGAGGTCACAATGTCACATAAACACTGAGAGGTAGACTGAAAACCAAAAAAGAAAAAAAAAAAAAAAAGTTTTAGCCCTTAGAAGAAAAACAGAAAGGGCTAAAATCTTTAGATTACAGCAAAAAGAAAAAGAAAAAGAAACTCATACACACATACACAAAATACATTATTCACAAACAGCAAAAAAAGAAAAAAAAAATAATTAGTACTCCCATAACAAACCTTGTTCAAAGCTATTACTTATAGTATTTGTCACTGTCATTTCATCAAACAGACATCCATCGCCATAACTATCCTCCAAGCTCTGTACCCATGGCGGAGGATATACCCATCCATCTACAGAGTCGACAAACACAAAATCGCTGCTTAACTCAGTCCACTCGTAACTCGTCCCTAAACTCGGTAACTCCACGATCTCACTCAACTCTTCCTCTGACCCTGTCGACAAGTCCATCGCCGATACAAGAGATGATAATGAAGAAGCAGAGGCCGAAGACATTGACGGAGATGATGATGAAGTTGTTGTTGTTGTTGCTGAGTCAAACGCTTTTTGGTCAAATTGGTCCATTTGTGCTGCTTTAGCTGCAGCGGCTTGGACGTCACGTGGAGCAAGTGAAGCAGGTCGGGGAAGTGAGTTAGCGAGTTCAGGAAAGTTAAGAATTGCCGAGTTACCTTTGATGCTTAAAGCTGCAACATCATGTGCTCGAGCTGCCATTTCAGGAGTAGGGAAAGTACCAAGCCAAATGCGCGATTTCTTGCGCGGCTCGCGAATTTCTGACACCCATTTACCCCAGTTCCGCATACGGACGCCGCGATAAACTGGGTGTTTGTTTGAATCACGTATGCGCTTGATCTTTTTAGTCGGTGATTCTGCGTCTAGGGTTTGCTGGGTTTTTGAAGAAGAAGGTGAAGCTGGCGGTGACGAAGAAGAACTGCTTTCAGTCTCTGAATTTAGCGTTTGATCACTCATTTCTTTTAAAAAGATGGAAACTTTAACCTATTAAAAAGCTAGAAATTTCTGCCTGATAAATGTTCGACAAAGGCCAGAGAAAGGGTATAATGTTACAAAAAGATTTGATCTTGAACGGGAGAGACCGAGAGAGAGAGAGAGAGAGAGAGAGATAGAGATCGGGCAAGAAAGAAACTCAAGCGTTTGTTTGATGCCATCATTTCCCAATGACTCATACAACACTTATAAGCATAGAAGGAGTAGAAGAGGGAGAGCGTGGGACCCAATCAAGAAATGGGTGTCTGATAGACCCTATGGTACATTGTGTCCCCTTCTTGCATATATTTTAATTAAATATGTCTCATGCTATCAAATAGAAAATACAAGTATCATGCCGGATAATTATCATAAATTATACATTTATAAATGTAATTTTAAAATTATGTTATAATACAATGAAATATAGTATTGCATAATATTATGTACGATAAGTCCATTTATTAACTTTACACATAAGAATTCAACTTATAGACAATATTATGAACATTATATTAACATTATCATGCACGCAGAATTATATAAGAAGTCATAATAGTATTTATACGGCTTGGTAATGCTATTTTTTCAAAATATTCGTTGCCAAAAAATATGTATTTTAACCAATAAAGTTAGAAATCCATTTATGTGCATTTTTACTTTAGTTGACATAATTTTATTAGGATCGGTGGCTGTATTACTTTTCTTTTCCCAAAGTATCAAAACTAGGGTTTTCAAATCTTTTTCAATTAACTGAGGCTCTTATTTATTTGGTCCCCAACTCATTACTGAAGCAAATAGTTGCAGAAGAAGAACTCTCAAACACCTTTTTCCATCGGACCCATATAATCAAGTGCTGTAGCTGATTTTGTACAACAAATTTCTAGTATGTACTTATTAAGGTGAAGAAATTAAAATATATGAGATCAACAGAGAAATTAAACAAAAAGTCATGCATGGCTGCTTACACATTTAGCTACATATATTATAATATTATATACGTATTTTCAATTCAATTATTGGCAGGTATCCATCTATCAATTTCCACCTATGCAATTTGGTGCAATAAATAAATAATTAAATTGTTTTATTCTAATGATTTTTACGTGCTAAAGTTTTAAAACTAACTGATTTGACTCTAGCAAGCTGTTCATTTAGCTTCTACCGCTAATACATTTATATGCAAGTAAAATTATTGTCAATATCACCCTTTCACACGTGTAAAATCTTGAGATTTTCTTTCAATTATTGTTCAATTTTTACATGCATTAATAAAATTAAATGCACTGTAAAATTTTTAAAACTCATTTTCTCACATTAATTTTGTGTAATAAGAATTATTTTTTTGAATATTTACATTGTATAATTTTAACTGCATTTTGTGATGAGAATACAGTTGAATTGACATCAACAGGTTAAAAGTCTTGAAAAGGTAATTATTACTATTTAATTAGAAGACATGAACAGGTTATATTCCTATTTGCACTCCAACCAGCATTTTTCTAAAAGAGGAAAGCACTTATTTAATATCTTAACCATCAATTAATTAAACTAATCAACATCAACATGCATATATGACGAAGGTCCACGTGCCTCAACAAAAACGTTTTTCTTACATAGAGTTTAAAAGACTTCAAAAAGATTAAAAAAAAAAAAAAAAAAAAAAATTGAACTAATCAACATCAAACAATGCACTATATGACGAAGGTCCACGTGCCTCAATCAAGAAAACGTTTTTTCTTTACATAGAGTTTAAAAGGACTTCAAAAAGATTAAAAAAAAAAAAAAAAAATATGAAAACAACTTCAAAGTAGTGGAAAATACCTGCTATTTAATAAGGTAAAAAAAAAAAAAAAAAAAAAAATTGAAAACAGAAGCTCAAGTAGTGGAATCACCTGCTATTGATAAGTCGCTAATGTTAATATCATCCTTCTATTAGCTCGGTAAATTGATAAAAATTATTGTGACCGAGAAGATTTAAATTTAAAAATCTCTAATTTTTCATTTAAATCATACCTAATTAAAAAATTAATTGTCTGAATATTAAATAACTTTTTTATAACATAGAAAATTAACTATTTAAATTTCCATGGGTTTAATATTTTTTTTTAATTCTAAATAAGTGTATTTTAAATGAACAAAATCTTCCATAGATCGCTAGGGTCCCAAAATTTATATAGCCAACAAACACAAAAAAAAAAAAAGATCTTGAAAGTGTCCAGTCACACGCGATTCATATCTCTAATACGGGATGGGTCCCCAACAAAAACCCCAAATGTCCAATGTTATAATACTTATTTATTTACGAAAATAGCTTACGGCTGTTAAAATAATTATAATAATTAATAAACAGTTAATTTTATTGGATATAAATCTAAGTCGTTCAAGCAATGCGCTTTCGAGACGTGTGCTTCAAAAAGTTACCACAGATGTTAAAAAATGCTTCTTTTTTATTTAGATAATGAAGTCAAATCCGTCTCCTCCACATAATATTTGAAATGTGTATAGTCTTGAATGTTCATCAAATCACATCATCATCATTGTACCCTTACACAGTTTTATCCATGATTTGATTTTATCTTATCAAAGTTTTAATTTTTTAATTTTTATCGTTTGTTATTTGACCATTTGGCCTAATTAAGCTTCGGATGGAGTCGGAAGTTACTATTAATTTAATTGAGACTAAAAAAAAATTAACCTATGTATGATTAAAAAGAAAGACGAAAGAACTAGAAAGGAAGATAAGAGTTGAAAAATAATTAATGTGAGAGCATCATATTATTTTACATATCAAATCGAATTATTAACTAACTTTAATTTATTATCACTTGTTCTATTTCGGTAATTATGAGTTATTTACTGTTGATGTCAATCAATTGACATGATAATGTTAATTTACATATAAGGACGTCCTGCATTCATAAATATTGGCATAATTTTGTATTCAAATACTTACTTGAAAATCAAAAAGGTAAATAGCATTCATAATTTCAAATACAATATCAATTTTGCAAATTGTTTTTATTTTTAAAAAATTAAATATAATTTACATAGATAAAATCAAAATAGATAATAATCATTTCTACCTTAAGTAAAAAGAATTATATTGAAGTACTTGCAAAAGAAAATTTAATTCTTTGTGCCAAAATAAAGTACTACTTTATAACCTATCTAGATGTGCTGTACTTTTTTTTTTTATTTTTTATTTTTTACTTTGAAAACAAAATTTAGCTAGCTGGACTGGACTAAGAGTTGAAACACAAGGGAATTGTGTGAAAGTACTTAAAAATGAATTAAATAATTTGAAGAACTATCTTTTCAAAACATTAAGTTTGGGTCCTATCACTTCGTATTGCAGTTCAGTTATTTGGCTTACATATGTATAAATATAGAAAGACGAAGCCTGAAGAACCAAGTATGAAAGCTGACACGGCATAAAATTAGTAATTTAAAAGTAATGATTTAGACATCTAATTTGGCCATCAAATCAAATTTAAAGATTTTTTTAGAATAGATAAAGATAAGGTTGCAAACAAAGAATTATTTATTTATTAATAATGAAGCAAATACATGAAAATATTATTATCAACATGGAATGCATTTCTCGTCGTTCAATTCCAGACAGTGCACTTGGAGAAGAAGTTAGAATTGTCCCATTAAAACCAAATCAGCTGTTCATTGATATTCAATTATTTGGACCCACAATACTGATTTTCAGTTTTCTCTAGCCTTTACTGTAATGAAATTTATTAATTAGCGGTGACGGGTTAGGAACCATTAATTGTTTCTTTTTGAACTATGGCTCTAAAAAAATAACATAATAAAAAATGGCAGAATACTGTAATATTTTCTGGTAATTATTTGAACAGAAGTGATGAGGATGTAATGACAAAATAAGAGAAGAGAGTCTGTTATATAATAAGTATACGTAGGCGTACAATTTAGATTTGATATGTACGACAGACATTGGATGGCCCGTTAAAGATTGATTGACCGTACAAAGTCACTGTTTAACCATTAACTCGTTCTTCAAAACCACATTATGGGTTTTTATCGAATTTGGCAAAACTGCCATCCGTATCTTTATACTATAACGTATTTATTCTCCTAGCAGCCACTATAAGCACAATCATTATCAACTCTAAGTTCGAACTTTTTCTTTGTTTTCAAAAAGAATGGTTTTCCCCCGTTCTTTTCGGGTCTAAATGTAATTACATTTAAAACCCTGTTTCGGATTATTTTTTTTTTAGGTCAGAAAGCGATTATATTAAAGTTCTTTGTAATATGTTGATTCTATGGCTTGATTTTGTGATCAAGTAAAAAATATAATGCACGTCGATCATTGGATCGAGTGTTCGAAAACTTTAACATTTTTAGAAATCTACCTCGATGTAATAGACTTTTATAACACACTCATAATAATTAGCTTGAAAATATTAAATAAAAATCTGACAAAACAATAGAATCTGATCAAGAAAACATCTCATTCTCTTGCGATAAGAAACAGAGATGCAAAAGATCCCAAAAACTCATTTACAAACAAGCTAAAAAGTTCACTGCAATGTTGACACCTTTCTTAACCAAATAATCAGCAAATCCATTTTTATGTTTTTTAGCCAAGTTGAATGAAATAGGAGTACAAACCAAAAAGAGAGCTTCCATTTTGCTAGTGATAATGTAATATTATAAATCAGTTTCGTATACCTTATTAAGTTGATATTGCTGATATGATGAAATTATGCAAATTGTACATTTAAGTTCAAAATAGATAATTTATAAATAAGAAAATTTCTTATTTTTTGACTTAACACTAAGAGTGAAAATGGATGAATACACTAAATTGGACGACATTATTTACTCCTTACATATAATATTTTATGTCGTCACATTATAGAAGTTGGTATAAATTTAGTCATATATGTAGCAGAAGAAGAAGAAGAAGGACGATTGACTTGTTTCAATTAATCTTTCTTGTCAAACTTGCAAACATAAACATGTACACATGCAAGGATACTGTATGTATGAGATAGTCCAAATGCTACAGTTGGCCTGTTTTTTTTTACAAGGTAGTTAATTTATTGCTTGGTGTGCAATTTAATTTATTGATGGTTGAGAGACAATCAACGCAAGAATGGCAAAATTTTGCAGACTGAATCATGCGGATTCACCGCTTAATTGTTCGTCACATGTATTGCCCATATCACTCAGTTTAGCACACTTATTTCGTATGTGTAAAGTGGGACCCAAAGTTCCCATACATTATACGTATATATGTACTCGTTCACATTAGTCTTGTACATTTGAAAATGTTGTTCTTGAAATATTCTTAATGGAGTCAAAGCTAGATAGATGAGGAAAATCATTAATTACCAACTGGGACTAATCTCTCGTGTATATATATATACGTGTCATCACATGCAGATGTACGTAATTATATAGCTTCTTCTTGTTCTTTTCATATACTTGTACTGGTTAATTCGTTTGAATTATATATGTATATGTATGTATGGTTATTGTCAATGACGATGGTTATGATGTGAATCTAAGGAAATTGAAATGGTAATCCATGCACGGTCAGTGGGGGACCTCTCATTCAATGGCTTATCTCTGTTTTCTTCTCTCTCTCCCTTTTTCTTTTTCTTTGCTTTTTTTCTTTTTAAGAACACACCAATTAGTAATATTGCTTATATACTGTGTGTTGGATGTTTCATGCTTAATTTTCAGTAAATTGCAAGGTTATTTAGACTCTAAATGCATTTGATTATATTACATTAAGACTTACCCAATGAAAGTCTTAATTTGAGTGTATGACCATTCTCTCTCGTGGTAATTCACCACTTCTTATATTCTTTAAATGAAGTTGCCTTTGATGTTTGAAAATGATTCAATTATGGGCTAATTCAAAGATTTCACAAAGATTTTTGTTTTTGAAAAAAAAAAAAAATAGAATTTGCACTTAAATGATTCTTCGTGGGGGAAGGTATTGTCATCCAGTAACTAGTAAGCCAAATATTTTCGTGTTTTTCTATTAGTTTTGTGTGCCATATAAACAGTATATGGATATATTTGGAACTTACATTGGAAAGAGCAGTGCATGCATCAAGAACAGAGCAGAAACGGTGGTCACCCTGAAATTGTTATATACTCGACAGATGTAAATTGGTACTTCTATATTAGGTTTATGACTCAAATGAAAAAAGCCTGACCAAGGACAGACGATATCTGTTTATCAGCTAGAGCTAAAATGTCGGCACCATCCAACTAAGAAGCAAAGTCCAAGAAAATCAAACATGATAAGTGATATTTGATAACACTAGAAGAAATATGAGAAAAATAAAATGTTTTCAATTGATAAGCATGTGTATCAAAGAGAAATAAGTACATTTTCAATGACAGGAAGAACAAGAAATGAGTAAGAGCTCAGACAATTTGCTTATGTTTATTGTTTCCACAAGTCAGAAAATATAAAGAATGTCTCAATCTATCGGTTGCTGGGCAACTCAGAACTCATGCCTTTCTAGCAGATTCTTGTTCATTTAGATTTCTTTACATTGGTAAAGAAATTTAAATGAGGCGATTTTTAGAAACAGTACCATTACATATAGTGAGGTTGCTTTTTCCTTCTTATAATTTCCTTCTTTTAGGACTTAACACAAAGTCATCATCATCGTTATCGTTGATGATTCTCTTCTTGGATTTTAAGTCCCCGTTCTTCGATGCTTGTTGTTGCTTCTGAGAACTTTCAGGTTTAGTAGATTTAATTGGAGTTCCCAATCGTTGCATCTTTTGCTTTCTCTGTTTTTTCTCATATGCCTTTTTTGCTCGCTCAGGAGATAGCAAACCATGTTCCATCATCCTGCAAATTAAAGTTTGTCATGCCTTTCAAATTGTTTGGCACTGGGCTTGACGAAAATCAAATGACTATTAATATTGCAAAACAAAGACAAAATATGCAGCGTATCTAATGTGACAAATATTTGCAGTCCTTTTAAAAGGCAGTAATATACTTCTGTTAAAGATCTTTCCATTGAACAGATGGGAGTACAAAAAACTCTTTTCATGGCTATGGGAAGTAAGGTATCTGAAAAGTCTATATGAGTTGGTCAACTTATTTCACATTCTCGGTAAAAGATTACATCTATAACACAGAAAAGATACCAGCAACAAATATGAAAAGAGTTGACTCGCACTCATTAATGAAAGAAAATGGTCTCAAATAAATTGCTTATTAGCATTTCAGGTCATGAATTTTATTCTTCATTCCTGTTGCTTATAATCTGTATGCTCTACCCATGTTTCGGACAAGTAACCAATGTGGCTGAGTTTCAACAATGTATGGCAATTCATTGTAGTAATTAAGCTTTTAAGTTATAAAGCATCTGAATACCATTTTTCAGATGCTCCAGACCACCCAGCCTATCATGCATGACCTTATGTGGAAGATAATTTTGGAATTCTAAATTAATCTGACATAGAAAGCAACTTATCGTCAACAGCCAACAATAATCTTATTCCCTAATATTTGTTTGAGCAGATTGCCTGAGGCCAAATCAACCCTAAGATAGGGTTGGTTCAAGTTGTGCATTCTATGCAAATGCATGGTAACAGAGACATCACGTCAAGCTCCAATATGTTCAGGATTGCTACAGCACTCAAGGAAGGCAAAAGAGATCAGTTCCAGTAAGATTTTGAATCTAAAGTCTAGGCATGCCCCAAAATGTTCTGCCTTATTTGCCTTACTCAGGTGACATAGATCTTGTAGCAATTCACATTGTGTAACTGAAGCCAGTACAGGGATAGAGTGGCACGTGGTTTCCTTCTTCTGAAGCTGAAGATTTTCTCTTCCAAAATATCTACAAGTATCCTCCTCTAAATTTTTAGGTGAACCAACCACAGGGATTTGTGAATACATATGAAAAAGGGGTCTGGAAGAGTGGAAGCAATAATAAACCTTAATGTCTTCATTCACCATAAATGGAAACTCATAACTCATGTTATATGTTCTTCTTTTTGGTAAAAAGGAAAAAGAAAAGAAGAAACTATACTATAAAAACAATTTTATCAGCATGGTGCTAGAACATAACTCATGGAGACATGGAAAGTTTTCAAAGTTATCCTTAAATTCTGAACAACTACTAATCTTTTTCCCTTAATACGCTGTTCTTCCTATCAAGTTTTCCAAATCAAACTGATATGAGCCAGAGCTACAAAAATCTTGATGCAAGAAAAACCGTACGGCAAAATTTAACAAACTGTAATGGTCAGAACAAATTCACAATTGTCATGAAAATTCCCCAGGGCCCAAAAAAAGGCTACTGCCACACTCTTTCTTAAGTAAGATGTGAGTAACCTTTTACATTTGCCTGAAGGATTGGGGAAAAATGGCCTAGAGTTGGACGGGGTGAATTCTCTCAAATTGTTGTCATCCTGCAGTCTTCATGGTGATCCTAACTAGGCCATCTGCCATTTTGTAACCGAATAATTGGACTATATTTATATATAGATATGTATATATATATATTGTATTAAGATAAGTTCTCCACGGTGGCAAATGAAGGAAAACTGGATTTAGCTTTCTCAAACAGAAAATGTAACTATAAATGATAGGTATGAGAGATATGACTGAAATAACAGAAGAACAGCTAAACGATGAACACACCCCTGAGATTGGTAAAAATTGACAATTTCAAACTCTTCATTCAGAAGTAAACATAAAACTAATTTTCATTAAGGATCATTCACTTCTGGGTTGTGTTTCATTGCGGACGACAATTGACACTTTATTCAGCTAACACCCAATCATCATTAATTCAAGGATTTAGCAATGCCTCGAGATGGACCTTTCTTTTTGCGTTGGGGCACGGTGGTTTCGAGGAGATTGGTGGATGTCTAACAAAAAGAGGTCCTTTGATCGTCTTGCTGAGGTCAAAGAAACAGCAAGGAAGATCCTATGCATCACTCCATCACAAGCAAGCACATGAATACAGGGTTACAACTATACAAAGAAACATTTAAGCCCAATAGTTTGAAGAAGTGGACACATGGTAAATTGGGAGCAATATAGCTCAAAGGCATATTTAGATTGAACCTCAAACTACAAAAATAAGCCATTTTCAGAAAACTTGAGCTGCTCGATCAACTCTTACATATGCCACGCTGACAGCACTAAGTTAAGTATCAACAGCTGTTTGCATATAGTTCGACCTATTAACACTGGATAAGTTCAACATATGGGAAACATATAAAGATACAGGATTGACAGCGCAGGACTTTCACAGACGTTATTTCCTTCTAGGATAATTTTTCTCAGAGATATTAGAGAAGGCAAATAACATAAATCAACAAAGGTTAAGCAACCCACCCGTTGCCACCACCTTTCCAGACGAAAATAAGATCAATGCAAATATTAAGATTCACCCCCAACTTTACAGGTACATAACAGAGTTATTCACTAAAACGATGCGCCTTGCAAGAAAAGAAAGAAAACTCACCAAAATTCCGCCATCTCACTACTTGGTATTTGTTTTGACAATGATTCGTAAAATATCCTAAGGGGTTCTCTCTGTAAATAAAAAGAGTAAAAAAAAAGAAATATTAGAATTATTGTCGTTTCATCACATAAACATTAATCAAAAGACAAATTTCCAGGTTAAAAACCTCTTCAGGAGGATCATATTTCTGGCCAGGCAAGGAGTAGACTTTCTTCTCTCTCACTCTAGTAGTAGTTTTTGTTGTGGTCTTTGATGTAGTGGATGCTGTTTTTGATTTTACCTTCAAATTAAATTCAAACGAAATAGACGTCAAAACTCATGAGACCCAGTATGAACTTAATATGAAAAGGGAAAAAAGTTGGATGCTCATTGTAAATCGCACAATTTAGTACAGACTAATCAAATTGATACAGAAGACCATTCCCAAATCAACCAATTCATCACAGATTATAAATAATAACCTTCCTAAATACCATATCCCAATCAGTTAAATAACTCAAATTTGCTGCAGATAAAACGACCAAAAGCTTAGAACCTCAATTCTCTGAAATAAAATAAAAAGGGATCAGAACCGAAATACCCAGATAATCAAATTGAGAAACCTATTACAAAAGAAACACAATTTGATCAAGAAATCTCAAACAAACAAACAAATCTAGAAAAAGGTAGAAGCTTTAGAAATGGGCACCTCTGTTTTAGTGACAGTGGATACAGGCTTTTTATTAGAGCTCTCAATCTTCTTATTCTTCAAAGAAGAATCTACCTTTATCTTTGAAGAACCATCTTGATGGATGCTGGACTTGACCTTGGCCACAGTCTGCTTGCTCTCTGTGGCCATGTCCCTCTGCTCCTGAAAAACTCTCTTATCAATCAATCAATCAATCAAAATCTCTGTTGTTCTTTTCTTTGCAATTGATCTCGTCGATCATTCATTTATTATCTTCTTCTTCTTATTTGATCATTAGTTGGAAGAAAAATCTGTGAAGCTGAACATGAAAAAAATAGAATAAAAATTGAAGAAAAATACATAAGAAAATTAGGTGGATAAAGAAAACGGGTGAAATTTGCCGTTTATTTCCGTTTAACTGCTTTTTAGATTGTCTAGGAGTCGATTTACCTACGCATTACAAGGTTGTACCTTTGAGGCAGAGGCTGATCGAGTGAATTGGGGTTGTTGAAGTACTTCTAAGACAATATTACACATATGCCCCCATCGATTATGACGTGGATAAGCTTCAAAAGACGGTAAAGAAGGTTAATTACGGTCATTAACAAAAAATTTCATGTTTGGATCGAGAGGTAATGGTAAAAGCAATGCCCAGTAAATGCAAGTATCTCCCTTGGGCCTTCGGATTTTCAGCTAAAAATAATCAATATGAGATGTTTTAGAAAGTGATGATCGGACGGTGAGAAAGGCAGATCTAAAACCTTATCGTGAGGGCATGCCCTTTTTAGCTTCAGTTCTTATCATACGTTTTTTGGCACTCATTTTCACGCGAAGAATCGACCTCCGACGCGTGTTGAACTTACTTTTGCGTTGACTGCCCTAAACTCTGGTCTAATTGGGTGAGCAAATTTTGATTTTTTTTTTATTAAATTTTTTTTGTCACATAAAAATTCTTAACTCCTCAATCAATAATTTAATTTCATTAATATTTTTTATATTGTGGTTAAATGGTATTAACATTTGGTTTATACAGTTCAGTCTCATAAGTAAACCATCTATGCTCAAAAGATATTATTTATAATTTTTTTAATATAAAAAAGAGGTGTAATCCCAGCAAATGCACTTTTTAGATATTAAATTTGTGCTCTCATAACTTATAGAGATTCAAGTTCCTTTTTCACCATGATCAAAACATTATAGGTGCATTATTTATTAATACAAATACAATAAAGAAATGTATATGTTCCTTATGCACATTTTATATTTCCTATTATAAAATGTGTTATTAATAGGTTTATAGCCTTTGTCTACTACGCAGCAGCAAAAAGAAAATAAAAATATCTAAAAAAATTATAATTTCAGCATTATATCGGTGGCTGTACAACACAGCAGCAACTTTTCTCATTCAAATCATTAACCAAAAAAAAAAAAAAAAAAAAATTATCCTAAAAAAAAATTATAATTTCCAGCATTTATCGGTGGCTGTAAACACAGCAGCAACTTTTCTCATTCAAAATATTAACCCAAAAAAAAAATAAAAAAAAAAAAAGAAGAAAAGAAAAGAAAAAATCCAAGCAGTTCTCATTTCGAAAAACTCCTGTTTGTACCAAACTTGAAATGAAGAAATCATAATGAAATAAATCATACCTTTGACAGGTTCAGAATGGCCAAAGAAAATGTGTTTTGTACCCATTTTCAACTCTCTTATGCCAATCTCCACATACCTTTCCCTCTGAGTATAGAAAGCAAAAAAAAAAAAAAAAAAAAAGAAGAAAAGAAAAGAAAAATCAAGCAGTTCTCATTCGAAAAACTCTGTTGTACCAAACTGAATGAAGAATCATATGAAATAAATCATACTTGACAGGTTCAGAATGCCAAAGAAAATGGTGTTGTACCATTTTCACTCTCTTATGCATCTCCACATACCTTTCCTCTGATATAGAAAGCAATATAGTCTTCAACTTTGGGATATCCTCCTCCAACACAAAAACAGCAAAGGATTCCCAATCCAACACTTCAAAAAAGGGAGGCACATAATTATCAGATATTATAACCGGAACACATTCGTAGAATATAGCCTCTACAATCCGCGGGCTGTTGACTTCATGACCCCTTGGGCAAATGCAGTACTTGCTGCTTTTCATGTACTGAATGTAGTTTGTGTTGCCTTTCACATGGGGCATTGGACCAAATATTTTCATATCAGGGTCTCTGTTTTCCCAATGCTCTAATAGAATCGGCCGGACATAACCGTGCACATTGCCGGCAAAGAAAGCTAGGATCGGTCTTTGGGATGGAGGGTTGCCTTCCAAATTTTTGAGAGGATTTTGTGCTGATCGTACGTATGTTTCTGGAAGAGACACATCCTTGCCTATGCTAAAGCCTACTTCAATATCAGCATTGCAAAGAGCTCTTACGGAATTAAGCATCCGTCCCCTCGTTTCAGCTGGTGCCTGAGGAAAAGCAGTTCTGTTGAATATTTTCTAGTAAAATAACTACTGCAGAGTGCTTCACAATGGAAATAATCAGGGTTCTGATAGCAACATTTGTTCTAGTTTACTATTCAGAATATCTTAGCTTAAAAATAATAAGGTTAAATGTTTGTTCACCAGTTATAGATGGTTTCCAAAACAAGCAAAAAGTTCCAACAAGTTTTGTTTTAAACAAGGAGAAATTAATGTGAATTATGAACTCTGCATTACAAATTTAGCTCAGAGATTTGAGACAAACCCTCAAGATGAAGAACATACCCAATCATGGCACGAAACAACAAAATGATCTGCTCCAGCAGTTCTGTTCCAAAATGGATATTTTGCTGCTATCATATTGACATAACTTTTCATGAATTCAATAAGGTTGGAACGACTGTGCGAATGCCGTACATAGAGTGTTAATTCGAGAAGCCGTGAACTAAAAGGAATGTAAAATAAATGAGCTTCTTTAGGGTCTTTGGTGACAAATTTTTCGTTAGCTTCCATAAGCTTAATGAACCATCCTTCTGATGCATATATTCCTTCTAGTATTGACTGATGGAAGATAGGTTTTTCTCCATCCTGATAGATGTAAACTTTGAGCATGTTTTCCATCAACTCATAACTCCTGCAAGTATTACCTGGTTCAGAACTCCTATAAAGGTTTTGGTCAATTCTATCTGAAGTGCTAGACTACAGTGCCTGAAAGTCCTTGCATGAAACTAACACTTTTACAATGCATACCATGATCTTAAATAAACAAAAGAATTCATTCAAGAAGTTTAAAAGATAAATTAACTTTTATATTGCTAACTGGTCCTAGTATTATGAACAGAAGAATATTTTATCTCATAATAAATTTCTCTCCTTTATCAAATTTAAACTATTCCATCCATGGAGTACTTACCAAATGGTGATTTGGAAAGCATACCTTTTGAACATTGAAGCATTGCGATATATAGGAGCATAAAGTATAGTATCATTCTTTATGCCAGGTGCATTCTGAATCTGTGATTTTGCAAGTAGCACTTGTTGGTCAACCTCCGAGAGATGCTGTGGCCTCTAGAAACACATTGGGGATGAAGGGGGGAATTAATCAAAATCTGGGATGGAGCATACTCCCGGAACCAAAATTCGGATTCAAAGTCCTTACATACCAATGAATAGGATGAAGCATGACTCTGCAGCAGCAAATCATGCATCTGCGATATTGATACTACTCTGGATGGTTTCTTGGACTTCTTCCTACCAGAAGCTTTAGATTTGTATGAACTGCTGCCAGACATAGAATAATTACTTTGCAATGATCCAGAATTTTCTGTTTTGCTAAGCGTTGCTGTTGTATCTGAACTTCTATTTTTTTCTGATACTGAAGCAATGACTTCAGTAAGATTCATGACAGAAATGTCGGGTGCCATAGCCATCTCTAGTTCTGAGCCATTGACTGAAGTTTTACTTTTCTCTAACATAGTTTCATTAGTAGCCACTCCTAAAGTGTTAATTGAGCTTTCATTTCTTTCCAATACATAATTACTCTTTGCGCTCCCCTCCATCTCCTTGGATCCATTCCCTTCTGCAGTTTCTTTCTTGGCAAATGTTGCCTGACTGCTACTTGTTGTCTCATGAGGTGCACTTGCAATGGTTGAATTTGCACCATTAGAAACTAGTACTTTACCTAGAATTTCAGAATTTGATGGCGATCCATTTGGAAAAAAGCTGCTGCTATTTCCAATAGAAAATAGCGATAGAACTCTTCTAGAAGGGAATTCAAAGTATTGAATTGATATAACCAAAACAATGGTGGTTGCCATCAGAAAAAATAATCTCCTGGCTTGTGCTTGACATAGAAATCGAAATTCTTGATCCATTTGACAATGAATATGTGGTCATTGAAGAGACTAAAAATTAGTTCTTTCAACCCTGTGAAATTTACAAAACTCCATCATTAATAAGAAAATTTAGCATTAGCGGTATTTAACATCTCAATTTGGGAGAAAATAAATTTTACCCTTACAAATTGATACTGAGATCTCCAAACACGAAATGATGAGCAACAACCAAAAGTCCCAAAATTTAAATCTAGGTAACTGTTTCTTAATAAAACCTAAGGTACCATTAACAGATCTTCAAATAAGCACCATTTTTCCAGAAGCAATTGTAAGTTTTCTACTTCTATTTCTTTTCATGAAAACTGCAAAAAACAAGAGCCATAACAAAGGTCCTTAGTTAAGTTAGAGTAGACGAACAAAGAAATTACAAACTTTTAAATGGCATTTTCATTTTCGAAGCTAAAGATGAAATAATGAAGAAGATACTAATACTTACATGAATATGAAGAGTTGGGCGAGAGAGAGAGAGAGAGAGAGAGAGAGGAGTCCGAAACCTCACAGTAGAAAAATAAAAAATGGGCTCTCTCAATGGGGAATGTGCAGCTTTATTTTGGTGGGTCCATTAGATTTGACTTTGGCACGTTCAAGTAACTGTGATCTGATCTACGTTCCTCCAGGAAAGTAAACTGAAACTGGAAATATATTATTAACAGAATATTTGATCGGATTATAATTAATATTTCATTTGATTGCTTGGTCAAATATTTGGAGATTACTGCGCATTTCACGCTATGTAATTTTGACATCCATCATCTTCTTTATGTACTCATGCTTTTTAAGGAAGATCCAGTTTAACTAGGAAGGGCCCATGTCAGAATATGATCAGGTGTCCTATTTATTTTATGCTGTCTGCCATTTTGCACCCAAAAATCTTTATTTCAATGGGTATAAGAAAGTAAAAATCAGCTGTATCTATAAGCATTTACAAGAGAAAGATAGCCTAACATATACAACAAAGGATATTTATTTTCTGCCAAATTTATGTCTAATGTACACAAATTTTCTCAATATCCACAACCAATTGGAATCGTCCATAACCATAATCTGCAAACTTTCTTATTTATCTCTGCTGCATTACTCTGTTGTACCAAACCGAGTGAAGTATCATATGGAAGAGATCATACTTGACAGGCCTAGCATGCCAAAGAAAATGCTGTTGGACCTTTTTGACCCTCATTTGCATCTGTCGAAACCTTTTCTCGGGTATTGAAAGAAGTATGTTCTTCAAATTTGGAATATCCTTCTCTAGGATGAAAACAGCAAAAGATTCCCAATTTAAGACCTCAAAAAATGGAGGCACATAATTGTCTGATATTATCACTGGAACACACTCATACATAATGGCCTCCACAATTCTTGGGCTATTGACTTCAAAACCTCTTGCACAAATACAATACTTGCTGCTCTTCATGTGCTGAACATAGTTCATTTTCCTTTTGGCCTTAGGCATCCTACCAAGTATTTTCATGTCAGGATCTTTATTGGCCCAGTGCTTCAACAGGATTGGCCGTAGATACCCGTGCATGCTGCCTGCAAAGAATGCCAGGATTGATCTCTGGGAAGGAGGTCTGCCGCCAAGATCTCTAAGAGGATTCTGAGGCATGCGCACATTTGTCTCTGGAAGAGACACATCTTTGCCAAAAACAAAACCTTCTCTAACATCAGCATTGCAGAGGGCTCTTATACAATTTGACATGACTTTTCTTGTTTCAGATGGGGCCTGAGAAAGTTGTGCTTTTATCAGAAAGATGTTTAACATTAAAGGATGCCACAAAATGAAGATCTTTTAATTTGTTCTTCAAGGAATTTTCAGCTCACATATCCATCCTTAGAAACAAAGTCAACAACCAGGATTAATAGTCTCTATAATGTCGAACCAAAGAACAAGGAATCATAAAAGGTAACATAAAGAAATAGCATAGTTTAGACAATGGCACTCAATCAGAAACAACCAGGGTCATGTCAATGAAACAATACAGGAATTAGTATGGTTTCCTTACAAGATGAGATGGAATTCATGAAAATGCCCAATGAAAAAAACTTAATTTTAAATGGAAAAGAAAACAGAGGAATCGTCAAGTACATACCCAGTCATGACAAGCAGCAAGAAAATGGTCCATTCCTTCAGTTCTGTTCCAGAAAGGGTATTTTGCCACGATCATGTCCAAATAATTCTTCAAATATTCTACTAGGCCCTTATGATTATGTGAATTAGGAACATATAACTCTAACTCCAAGTTTCGAGAACTAAAAGGTAAGTAAAACAGGTGGGCTTTCCTTGGTTTTTTTGTGACAAATTTTTTGCTAGCTTCCAAATGTTTCATGAACCATCCCTCTGAAGCATATATTCCCTTGAGTACTGGCTGATGTAATATTGGCTTTTCTCCTTCCTTATAAATATAAACTTTCAGCATATTTTCCATTAATTCATAGCTCCTGACAGTTCAGTGACATGACATTGTATTATGTTTGAGCACAAGAGTCAAGCCTGTAGTCTCTTGCGTACAGAAGATACAAGAAAGAAACTCTGCATTCATATCAGAAGGGATAAATTGATTTTCAATGGAACTTAATAAATTTACCTTTTGAACTTGGAGAAGTTCCAATAAAGAGGAGTATAAAGTACAGCATCATTTTCTACAATGGGAGCATTTTCAATCAGTGATTTTGCATGTAGTAGCTCTTGGTCAACTGCTGAATTCCTTCTTGATCTCTATAAACAAATTGGAAAATGGAAAGAAAAGTTCAATGAGCTGCCATATAAACCTTATCCTCAGAAATAACTCAGAGTAGAAGTTTCACATATACCATTAAGCTAGAACTAGACCAACTCTGAAGCAGTAAGCTGTTCATCTCAGAAACTGAAATCACCCCTGAGATTGGCAATTTAGGCATTTTCTTCAACTCGAAATTGGTAGTCACAGGAGAATTTTCATTCAATTTGGCGATATTATTTTGCAGTTTGCCTGATTTTCCATGATTGTCTGAATTGGACATTGAATCTTTATCCAAGGAAGAAGTGTTAGAATCAATATGTGCAACAGGAGTTCTAATACTAGACTCCTCACTCCTTGGAAACGTTACATTGGGTGAAGAATTTTCTGGTGGTAAGACAGGCACAATGGATGCAATTCCACTATTGGAAATTCTAGTATTTTCGGATAAGAAAATGGAATTCTCATCAGAAAAACTCTTCCCAGTTTCATCTGGTTCTGAACTATTACCTGGATTGCTAGCAGTATCCACTGCTGAATGTATAGAGGGCTGCAATGAAGAGTCGTTCTCGTCATCATCGTTGTCCTCATCATCATCATCATGGTTGTCTATCTCAGGGTTCATGCCTATACTTGCTTCCGATACAAGGTCATTATTTGCATCTGATGTTCTGGTGTTTTCTAATGGCAAACTCATATTTTCTCTAGAAAATCTGTGTCCAGTTTCATCTGATACAGATATTTCACCAAAATTGTTGATGGGATTCAGGGTTCCATTTGGTTGTAGCACCTGGTGAAGTGAAGACTCTTTATCGTGGCTGTCTATTCCTGAAGAGTGGTTAGAAACTACACTTGCTTCTGATTCAAAGTCATAGTTTACACCAGCATCCTTCTCTTTTCCATATTTGCCAGCTCTCTCATGCACATCATCAGCATAAGTCGAATTCAAATCATTTAATAAAGTCATGTTACTGACCATATCAGATTTTGATAATGCATCATCTCTTAACAAGTTACCATTTTCTGCTATTTGATCATTATGAACAGAAGATATAAATGATAGAATATTACCAGCTGGTACTTCTAAAAGTTGGAATATCATTATCACAACAAACATCACTCCCACAAGCCATAGCAATCTCCGGGTTTCCATTGGACACCAGTATCGAAATTCTTGACCCATTGGAAAACCAGTCAATTAGAAGATGTTCTTGACTTCCAATCATATATATCATCCCTGATTTCCTTGCACATTTAAAAAAAATAAAAAACAAAAATCCTAGATGAAGTCAGAAAGAAGTCATTTTTACTAAATGTTCATGAGATTTATGCGTGTGCAGCAACTCCTCTCAAGTTCACAATTACAACAAATGGGATGTATAAACAAAATTTCAAGCACACCTGCATTAGCAGCAGAAAATTATTATGTTCAACAAAGTTAATCCCATTTGTTCAGCACATCACCGAGTATTCTATTTTTTCAGTGAAAGTTAGTACCTAACCAACTCAGGTTTTATCAAAATTGAGCAGAGATTAAAAAATTACATGTTAACCAAAAGCTATGTAAATAAAATGTATCCAAGAAAATGATTCCAATGGAAAATGTGGAACCTGCCATTTTTCCTATTCCTACAAAGCGAACAATTCTTTACCAAACCAGCCCCTTCCCCAATTTCCTGCTACTGAACATAACTTTAGTACATATTGACAAAACCAAAACCACAAAGGAAGAAACTCTGAAATAAATGCCAATGAGTAAATAATTATGAAAGCATCCCAACATTACTTAAAATTTTTAACAACAGAATTGCATTAAAATGAAAAGTTGCATCACAATGAAGTGCACTTATCTTTTAGGCATTAACATGCCAACTTAAACCTGTAACCTATAACAAAATGCCAATTTAAAGCACGCAAACAAACAGCTTCTTAGTTAAATTCAAACCAACCCAAACATAGACAAATTCCCAACCCAAACAAGAAAACAAAATCAAAACTTTCACCAAACAATGTAGGATTCTCTTTCCTTCCAAAACAAGCAAACAACCCATTCACAAAATACAAAAAATCCACAACAAATTCTCAATCAAGACACCCCAATTGCCAAAATTAAAACCAAACAATGCATGCAGAAGAGGAAATCACCATATCAGAGGTAAGGATCTATTGAACTTCGTTCGGATTCTGAAAAAGTAACGGGTAAAATGCCCAAACTATATTTTGCCTTTGGAGTCTGATTGATCAACAAGTTTTAGGAGAAAACTTAAACAGTTGTAGATTCAGCTATTTCGCTCCTCCATTTTATTCTTCAGTCACCAAACAGGACTTCTTTCTTTTTTTTTCTTTTCCTTTTTTAAACTCTCTCTCTGTTGCTCTACGGGGAAAAATACAATCAGTAGTAATAACAACTGAAAGTGAAGTTTACCTGGTGTTGTCGCTGTTGATGGCAATGGTTTTTTTTATCTTAAGCTCTCTTGTTTTCTTCTTTGGGTTCTTTGCTTATCTCAAGATTTCACTCGAAGAAGAAGAAAAAGGAAGTTAAATCTTTGGTCGCTATTCGTTTTTGTACACTTATTACTCTTTATTAACCTTTTGAATCTTTGACTTCGTTGCGTGCTCAACTGGTCCACGCGCGTTTGTGCAAACGTCTTCCGAGCAAAGATTGAACCAACTTTTTTTTTTTTAAACAATAATAAAACAAAATTTAACTTAATTACCGTTTATTACCACTCACTAAACAGAATATGAGTTTCTTTATATTTAAATTGGGTTAAATTGAGGATATCATACATTACTAAGCGAGCAAGTTGAATAAATTAAAATTAATGAAAAATTAAATATTATTTTAAATGTGATTACTTTATTAAAAATGCATTAGCATTAACTCAAATTTATAATTATAATAATGAAGTAAATTGTGAAAATTGGAGTGTATAAATCTGCATTTATAATCAACATTTAAATATAAATTTTAAAAATATTCATTAATTTAGAGTTATAAAAAAATTAATTTTTTCTTTTCATTAGTTTTATTAGTTTAATAGAAATTTCCAACTAATATGAAATTAATTTTTTAGCAAAATATGAAATAAAAAAGTAAAAAAGCGTTTTTGTGGCGATAACATAATAATAAAAATCAATGGAAAAAATTATTAAGTATTTAAAAGTGGTAATATAATATTTAGACGTGAAATTCAAATTTTTAATTTAAATTTATTTTTAAGTATATATCTATTTAAAATTTCCTTTGGCAAGGAATGTAAATTGTACGCGCTAGAGTTGAGGTTGAGCTAAGCAGTGAGCAGAGCTAATATTTGCTCAATCAATGCAGGAATAATCTGTGGGCGCCAGATGTGGGGCTTTTTTGGGAATAGTCAGGCGGCGAGATTTGGAGTCATTTTCAATGATTTATTAATGATGTTCTGTTTACGTGACGTGATTAATGATTTTTGTAATTACGCCTTTTCAATTTAAGCGTGTGGGGCCCGTGATGCCGTCACCGTCCGCTTCGTAACAGTCTTCACATGCTTTTCCTAATTTCACAACGTGTGTGTAGCACACTTGAAACTATTACTATTCCATTGGTACAATTCTATAATTTTTGAAATTTAAAGGGGTGAAATTAGGTGTTCTCAATAATAATAATAATTAAATTGGATTCTGAATTCCAATTTGTTGATCAGCCACTCCTCCCTTTCTCAGGTATATAAATATGTAGTCCTATATCCCAAAATTCATTTGCTAAAGTCCATTTATTAACTAGCAGTGCTTAATTTGTATTTATATTATATTTAGACTGTGTCAATCTTATCAAAATAATTAATAACATATATAAATAATTATATATTTAACGATCATTTTAATTACATTTAAACAATAACTATTTGCCAAGCAATTAAATATTCAACGGCTAACCATTATCAATTACTACAAACAACTAAACTAAGCATGTTCTAAATTCTTTTATGGTCATAAATTGTGTCATAACAATTAAAATTATGTAGAAAAAGTAATTTCTACTGATTCTTTCAATAAACTTGATTAATTAAATTATAGTGATTCTAAAAAAGAAGTTAGGTAACCACAAATGTGACATAACAATTTTCTAAGTATAACATACTTAGAAAATTAATTAAATTATAGTTCTTGTTTAGTCAATGGAGATCTGAGTAAGGATTGGGCTGTTCAAATTTGACTTAACAATTTTCTAAGTATAACATACAAATGTGTAAATAAATATATAAACACGTACATACAGTAATCCCTACAGTCACCACAGCTGATTATTATAGGATTAAGATTCTTAAACATGTCATATTAAAAAATGAAAGCTATGAATAATTATATCCAATTTCAAATCACGCCAAGAAATGGCATGGAGGCATTTTGAAGGCTGAAGATGCTCTTCTAATAAGCTGTAATATTGCACTTTCATTCCATTTAACAGGGTATAAAAGGACAAATATACCCTGACCCCTTGTTTTCTTTGTTCTAACAATTAATATAAGTTAACAGCGAGTTCAATTCATGGAAAAAAAATTATAGAAATGGTGTGAACGTCACATGAATTATTTTCTTTAGTCGATGTTGTAGTATTTATAATTGTGAAGAAATGAAGTTAGCTAGCAGCAGGCAAGAAAGAGATGATGGGTTCTTCTTCATTACATTTGGCGATTCAAGTGAAATGCAGCAATGTACAAAAGCCTTCCGTCCAAGACAAATTTTATCAGTTCAAAACCACCTCTACTCTCAAGGCAATTATCTTGATATTCTTTGAGTAAGTTTATATAAGTATGTATTTGAATAATTTTGATCAATCTCAATCTTGAACTTGCAGCCATTTTCAAGAAAGTTACAGCTTCTTCCCCTGCAAATTGATCATGTCTCCAAAATCATAAAGAACACTTCTTTAAAACTATTGGAAGCTTTTGTTGATTCAGTGTTCGAGTTTGTTGACCAACCTCTGCTCCCCTCTCAGGAAAACTTTGCTCCAGTTGATGAATTGCAGGAGGCTGTCGTTGTAACCAACATTGATGGGAAGATTCCAGATGATTTTTCACAAGGAGTTTACATAAGAAATGGTATATTACTTTTGTCTTTGTATGTCCTATACTATGCTTTCTTACTTACAGAGTCGTTAATAGTTAGTCACTGTCGTTGGCGATTGGACTAGTTCATAAGGACACAGTTCTGGTCAGAATCAGATAGTTCCAAAAAGCAAAACTTAAACTCAAAGTGATGGAAATGGTGAAAAGACCAACGGTTCATATATACGTTAACGTTATTGAAACCCATGAAAGCAACTGGACAAAATGTTTCATTGTAATCTTAGTCTACGTAGATGTCAAATAAAAGGACAAAGAAAAAAAAATCAAACCACACTTGGATAAATGTTTCTTTAAAAAAAAATAGTACATGTAATGGGTTGATTTAATCTGTTAAAAATTTATATATATTATGGAATTGCAGGACCAAATCCCCTTTTTGGAGGACTAAAATCTACAATTTCTATATTTGGAAGATCAAGCCACACTTGGATAGAAGGAGAAGGAATGGTTCATGTTCTGTATTTTAATAAAGCTAGCGATGGAAGCTGGACTATTGTTTATAATAACAGACATGTAGAAACTGAAACATTGAAGCTCGAAAAACAAAGAAACAAGCCATCTTTTCTTCCTGCAATAGAAGGGAATTCTTCTGCAGTACTCTCAGCTTTCTTGCTAAATCAGGTTTGGACCAATATTGATCAAAATGGATTTTCAGAATTTATTTCAAATAATAAGAAAAAAGTAATTAATATTTTTATTATTGTCTAATATATTTTCAGATGCGATATGGAAATGTTAACAAGTATCTTAGCAACACCAATGTTTTTGAGCATGGAGGAAAATTCTACTCAATTGCAGAGAATCACATTCCTCAGGAAATTGACATCTTTACACTCAATACATTAGGCAACTGGGACGTTAATGGCTGCTGGAATCGACCTTTTACGAGCCATTCAAAGGTAATTAACGGTCATTCAATTACCATAAATTGAACAAATTAAAGTTAACTGATCTTTTGTTATTGGTGGAAATTACCGTTTTAAATTGTCTTATTTTTATTTTGCAGAGAGCTCCAGGTATTGGGGAGCTGGTTATAATTGGTGTGAATGCAACAAAACCTTTCATGGAATTGGGAATAATCTCTGGTGTGTGTATTAATTTCTAATTAGATTAAGATAACATTTCCTTTTTCTAATGCATGAATTTCCAATTTTCAGCTGATGGAAATAAACTCATTCATAAAGTTGATCTTAAATTCAATAGATGCACTCTTTGTCATGACATAGGGGTCACACAAAGGTGATTTATGCATTCTTTTTGGTGAATTACCCTTTGATTAGATTTTAAACATGTAATCAATCACATAATTTTGAAGATGAAATTTTATATTGAAATTGTATTTGCAGGTTCAATGTGATAATGGATTTTCCATTAACAATAGACATATACAGGCTCCTTCGAGGCGGACCGTGAGTTCATATGTAACTTCCATTTTTGTATAATTTAAAATAGAATTAGAAATCATTTTTAAAAAAAAAAAAAAAATTCTTGTAGATTAATTCAGTATAACAAGGAAGATTATGCAAGAATTGGGATAATGCCTCGATACGGAGATGCAGAATCAATCCAGTGGTTTGCAGTGAAACCAAATTGCACATTTCACATCCTCAATTGTTTTGAGGGTGAAAATGAGGTAATTAGTTTTTGTAATTTAATTCTAATATTTCTTAATTAATTTGTTTTTATGACAATAAATAAACATGGGAATTGAACAGGTTGTAGTGTTGGGGTGTAAGGCTCTTGACTCAGTCATACCAGGACCTGAAATGGGCTTAAATAAGTCTGAGTGGTTTTCAAGAAGATTTAAGCATATAGAATCAGATTATAAAAATCCTGAAGATGGATTGTTATTCACTCGTTGCTATGAATGGAGATTAAACTTGGAAACTGGACAAGTTAAGGAAAGATACCTATCAGGAACTGAATTTTCCATGGATTTTCCAATGATTAATGGAGATTTTACTGGTCTTAAGAATAATTATGGCTACACTCAGATTGTTGATTCTGAAGCCAGCTCTACCTCAGGCATAGCGAAATATGGAGGTCTTGCTAAGCTATACCTTCAAGAGGTAGATCCTTAATTAGTGCAGTTTGACAATTATTAACTTTAATTAATATATTTTTGTGCATATAAAATGCTACCAACCTTTGTTAGTAGTTCACTTTTACCCCTTAGTGGGTTGACTAGCCGAGCAAGATTTAGTCAATATATATATATATATATATATATTCCGTATTCTGCAGGCTCAAAGTGGTGATAATTCGAGGGTTTCAATTAAACAATAGACATAATAACACGGTCACTAATCCTTCTGAGGCGAGACGTGAGTTCAATATGGTATACTCTCCATTCTATATGTATATTATTTTATAAAATAGACATACGAAAATCCATTTTAAAAGCATACAATAAAAAATTATCTTGTTAGATTAATTCAGTATATAAACAAGTGAAGATTATGCAGAGAATTGGTGATACCCATGTCCTCAGAGTAACCAGGAGAATGCAGGAATTCAATCCAGTGGTTTGCAGTGAAAACCAAAATTGCACATTGTCACATCTCTCAAGTGCCCCTTTTGAAGGGGTGGAAAAATGAAGGGTATGATCTAAGTTAGTTGCAATATCATATTCTAATAATTATCTTAAATTAACATAGTAGTTTTATGACAATATTCAAAACACATGACGGAATTGAACAGTTGTAAAGTGTTGGGGTGTAAGGCTCTTGACTCAGTCATACCAAGACTGAATATGGGCTTAAAATAAGTCTTGAGTGGGTTCAAGGAAGAATTGTAAGCATATAGAGATTCAGATTTATATAAAATCCTGAAAGATGGATTGTTATTCATCGGTTGCTAATGAAGTGGAGATCTAAACTTGGAACTGGACAAGTAAGGAAAGATAAACTATGTCAGGAACTGAATTTCCATGGATTTTCCACCCGATGACTCTTACAGATGACCGATTTTTCTACTTTGGTCCATTATTAAAGAATAAGATATATGGCTACACTCCAGAGTTGGATTGATTCTGAAGCCAGCTCTACCTCAGGGGCAATACGCCGATAATATGACGGGTTCTGACTAAGCTATATCCTTCAAGACCGGTAGATTACTCTCTCTAAATAGTGCAAAGTTTGACAATTTAATATAACTGTTAATTAAATAACTAATTATTTGTGCTATATAAAAATGCTAACCAACAACTTCCCTAGTTACGTGTAGGTTCAAACTTTTAAACCACCTTTTAGTGGTGGACACTAGCCCGAGCAAGGAATTTAGATCAATATTATACTATATATATGTATTAATTATAATATTAAACTGCCTGCATTATAATATATTGATGTTTGTGAGTAGATGACGACCAATTAGTTGAGCTGAATAAAGGGTTGGAATACCATAATTTTTGAGAGAAACACATTCTGCGCAGTGGAAGCTGTCTTTTGTTAATAAATATGGAAGTGTTGAATGAAGATTATGGTTGGATCAGTCACTTTTGTGTCTCAATATATATATATATATATATATATTAAAATGCTGATTTAATTTTGATGTTGTGAGGTAGAGAGACGAATTAGTTGAGCTGATAAAGGTGGAATACCATAAATTTGAGAGAAACACATTCTGCAGTGGAGCTGCTTTTGTTCCTAAAAATGGAAGTGTTGAAGAAGATGATGGTTGGATCATCACTTTTGTTCATAATGAAGATACTAACATTTCTCAAGTGAGTCAATATTTTCATTTGTGTCTTTTTGTATTTTCCATATATATATAGATACTAATAATGTATTTATTATTTTCCTTTCTTTACCCTTTTTGCAGGCTTATATAATTGACACGAAGAAGTTCAGAAATGAACCAGTTGCTAAAATCACATTGCCTTGTAGAGTCCCATATGGGTTTCATGGAGCTTTCATGCCATTGCCATATTGGAAAACTTGATGGATCCCCTCCACAAAGTTGTAAAAATTTTCTTAGAACAATAAGCACAATGTGCGGCCAAACATGAAAGAATGATATTGATTAATTATATTACAAAATCTTCACTAAATGCTTCAATCTTTATTAATTAGCTAAATCTACCTTATAATTTAGATGCAGTTGCTTCTTAATTTTTCTAAATTTAATTTTTCTCCCTAATATATATATATAATTCTGAAACAAAAAAAACATCTTAAAAATGCTGACGTTGCATTCTACTTTTTCAGCATTAGTGTTTTTTTTTTACAAATTTTCTACATTTTTAATGTATTTCTTTTATTTTTTTCAGTTTTACAATTTTACAAACTATTTATTATAAATTATTTATGATTTTGAAAATCTTATTTTGTTATGATTTTAAAAATCTTAATTTGTTATTTTGTTCTAACTATCTATATGTTAAATGAATATATAAATAGTGATCTCTATTATCTGATCTTTCATCTTTTACTTAAACTCTTCCATTGGAAGTTAAAGGTCTCTCTCTCATCTTTTAAACTCCTCTATTGAAAATTAAAGGTCTCTCTCAATTTTTTCATTTTTGTCTTTTGAAGGTCTCCTTTGTTGGTAATTTTCAATATCCTATCTAGTGAAGATTTTCAATAGAGGAGTATGGGTACACTCAAGTTATTGATTCAATGGCAAGCTCCAATGCTGGTAATAAAACAGCATTTCCTTTCTTGAAATAAAAGCAATATATGTCGGAGCCACTTTTTCACATCCTTTTAACCATTTGCTCTCTTAATTTAATATCCTGGCCTCGCCCTGCATGAACGAGCCTATTTCCTATTTTAATAAATCAAGATCAAGTTGCACTATGTCTTCACCTTCATATATTGATTGATGTTTATTTGTTTTGATTTTGATTTTTCTTTTATTTTTAATTTAATGGTGACAGGTATGACCAAATATGGAGCTCTAGCTAAAGTATATTTTGAGAAGCTTCGGTAACAATTTGTTACCATTTTTCCTTTTTAATATATATACATTTCCATGAATAATTAAATTAATATATTTGGTTAATTTGAAAATCAGATGGACAGCAAAACTGAGCAGAAAATAAAAATAGAGTACCATAAATTTGCAGAAAATGTGTTCTGCACAGGAATTGCATTTGTTCCCAAAACAGGAGCGGAAGAAGAAGATGATAGCTGGATTATCACTTATGTTCACAATGAAAAGAGCAATGTGTCTCAAGTAATTAAACTAAAATAAACCTAAATAATCTTTTTATTGTTGATCATTAACTTAATTATCAATTAATTGGATATGAGCCAATTGCAATTAAAACTCTGCCTCAGAGAGTGCCATATGGGTTCCATGGACTGTTTGTTTCCGGGGAAAATTAGATTAGCATTTTCTGTTTTTTTTTTTTTTTTTTAAGTTTATTTTAGATTGAGCATTTTCTGTTTTTTTTTTTTTTTTTAAGTTATTATAATAAAACTGTGGACAAACCTTTCAGTTTTAATCTTACAAATTTAATTTATTTATTTAATTGTGCTTTCTGTTGAGATACAGCATCTTTTGACGGGTATTTAAATAAACAAGAATATTATTGCCCCCAAAAAAAAAGGTGGCGGCGAATAAAGTGGGCTAAAGCTGAGTCCTCATGGTCATTAACTGGTCATATCCATTATGAAGAAGCACATCTTTTTGTTTATCTTAATTTTTTTTTTTTTTTTTTTTAAGTTTATTATAATAAACTGTGGACAAAACCTTTCAGTATTTATCTTACCAATTTATTTATTTATTTAATTTGCTTTGTTTGAGATAAGCATCTTTGACGGTATTTAAATAAAAAAAATATTATTGCCCAAAAAAAAAGGTGGCGGGAATAAAGTGGGCTAAGCTGAGCCCATGGCAAACTGGCACATAGGAGAGCACTTTTTTGTTTTTATTATATCAAAATTCAGAAGTTCAAAAATACCTAAAATGCCCAGAAAAAGAAAGCTAGATGAAGCAGTAATTAAAACCAGTGGGCTAGCAATGCAAATGCTAAATAAATCCACGCTACCTGTTTTTGCACATTCGCCCCGTCATAAAATCCTCAGATCGTAATCCAAACGTTATCGTTTTTCACATTTCTCCCCACCCGCACGTGTCTTCCGAAACATGGCCTTCTAAACTGAGACATACACACACTACTTATACTCTCCTACAAAACCTGGATTCCATTTCGCTTTGGCTGGCTTTTGTTCGGAAAGAATTTAGCAGTTGACGGCTACGCACGACAAACGGTGGTGCAATGGAAGATTCCGGTGATTCTCATATGAAGATAATTAATGGCGAAGCTGGTTATGTGCTTGAAGATGTGCCTCACTTGACTGATTACATTCCCGATCTCACTGTAAATGCTTGTTCTTTCTCTTCCTATATATTTTTATTAGACTTCATGAATTTGTATACACGTAATTTGAGTAATGTATGTTGGTTTAGAAGTTCCTAGTATATCAAATCAACTCTTGGTTACAGAGTCGAATTAAAGCTTTTGTTTTTATTCTTGTCAATTTATCAGTTTAAGAGGTTTTTCCTTTAAAGAATGTTTTTTTGTTGATATTTTGTGGCAGACGTATCCGAATCCATTACAAGTTAATCCTGCCTATTCAACTGTCAAGTAAGTAGAAAATTTTTAGCTTTTATTTAGTTGTAACTGGTATCATTAGTTCATGACTTGCATAAAGATGGTAAATTTCTCTTTTGGGTTTTGGCTTCAGGCAGTACTTCGTTGATATGGATGATACTGTTTCACAGAAGGTTAGTTTTGTTGTTTAACTTTGAATTGTCATTGGTTAAATTTCTTTTTGTGAGTTAATTTATTATTTTTCTTTTCAATGGGTGTGCAATGAATAACTTGAAAGAATTGTTCAAAGTATTATCATTTCTAACAAATTGATTATTGTAATTTTGCACTCATAAAAGTAATTTGTGGTTTCCTTACTCAGGAGTATAAAGTGATGCTTTGTTTACTCTTGTGATTCATAGGTTGTTGTTCACAAGGATGGTCCAAGAGGGTTACACTTTCGGCGTGCTGGACCACGCCAAAATGTATTCGACTTTCATGGAATCTGAATATGTCCTACAGATTATATAAAATATTTGGCGTTCGTTATAGTGCTTAACTGCTTTGTGATTTATGATTTTTGTGCTTCTCAGGTTTATTTTCGGCCTGATGATGTTCATGCATGTATCGTAACATGTGGTGGTCTATGTCCTGGGCTCAACACGGTGATCAGGGAGATTGTTTGTGGCCTTTATCATATGTATGGTGTTAGAAATGTTCTTGGGATTGATGTGAGTGATTAATTTCTGATATGCTTCAAATTCAATATGTAGCCAATTGTGGCATCTAGAATTTGATGCCTGAATGTATGATTTTGGTACTATGATTCCATATATACCATACCACTTAATTTGAGTTCCCATAAATTTTGTATACTTTTGAAGATATTGTCTTATGAAATTTAAGATTGGTACAATTTGGAGGTATCACTAAAACATTCTATTTGACATGATTTTAGGGAGGCTACAGGGGTTTCTATTCGAAAAACACAATTCCTTTGACTCCTAAGTTTGTTAATGACATTCATAAACGGGGTGGTACCATCCTGGGGACATCACGAGGTGGCCATGATACATCAAAGATTGTTGACAGCATTCAGGATCGCGGGATTAATCAGGTCTGCATGTGGTAGGATTTTTCATTAAGTTTAATTGGCACACAAATTTTTGATCCCTTGCGAACTTAGATTCCATTTTTTGGCTGTAGCATACAAATTCTTATAGATCTTGATTGTCCCCTGTAATGATCCAGGTCTACATAATTGGAGGTGATGGAACTCAAAAAGGAGCAGCAGTTATTTATGAGGTAACTGTTATACATAACACTGGATGAAAGTATAAGTACATTTTCTGAGATGATGTTGAACATGATGTGATATTAGTTATAAATAACATGAGAAAAATTTTACAGAATTCAAACCGTGTGCTGTGAACTTAAAATTTTCCTTTCTGCTGACCAGGATCAATTAATCCAAATAGTTTTTCCTATTTTGCCAGTTACTTCAGTATTTCAGTCCTTCACAGGCCTGTTTTATGAAACCTTGACATTAACTTTTCTATATATTTGACCTAAAGATCACTACTTTAGAATAAGGGGAGATTCTGAAAATTTATCAGTTAAGATGGTAGATTGATATTCAATACGTACTGAAATGTTCTGGAGTGGTGTTGATACATTGACTATTCCTACGCGACTGTTACATCCATGATATTGGTTGTTAATTCACTTAATGTTTTGCATTTATCAGTTCTGTTGGTTGCTTATTCATTTCAATGCTTTCTATGAACTAATTAATTTTAAGCAGAATTGTTCTTATTCCACAGGAAATCCGTCGACGTGGCCTAAAAGTGGCAGTTGCTGGAATTCCAAAAACAATTGATAACGACATTCCTGTACTTGTTATACTTTTCTTGTTATGACTTCAATTATTTTTCTGTTCTTCTATAATAACCCTTTTATTGGTTATTGAAATAGATTAAGTTTCCTTGTTTCAATTCAGGTCATTGACAGGTCCTTTGGTTTTGACACTGCTGTCGAGGAGGCTCAACGTGCAATAAATGCAGCTCATGTTGAGGCTGAAAGCACTGAGAATGGTATTGGTGTTGTGAAGTTAATGGGGCGATATTGTGGTAAGTTAGTCATATGAAGATTGCAGCCCAAACAACCATAGTCAATCTCTCTGTGCATCTTGTCATGATCTCCATACTACCCTCATAGAGCCTTTCTCCTGTCTAATGGCAATTACTTGTACAGGATTCATTTCAATGTATGCTACTCTTGCCAGCCGGGATGTAGATTGTTGTTTGATTCCAGAGTCACCATTCTATCTAGAAGGGAAAGGTGGCCTTTTTGAATTCATTAAAAGACGACTTAAAGAAAATGGGCATATGGTTATTGTTATTGCTGAAGGAGCAGGACAAGATCTTGTTTCAGAGAGTTTGCAATCCTTGGACCAACAAGATGCCTCGGGAAATAGGCTGCTTCAGGATGTTGGGCTATGGATATCTCAGAGGATTAAGGTATATTAATATGTGAAAATTCACAAATTTCTCGTATTGTTGTCGTGTTTTGTGTTGTACCAGTCATTTTCTCTGGTAACTGTCTCAACAGATTTTAAATATGGTGATTCTATGGTTAGAGAATTACTTCTAAATTTTTAACCTGTTAATAGCTTCTCAGCATTGCACCTTACGTTTCATTTTATGTTTACTTGCTTTTGGGAGTTAACCTCATGGCTGTTAACTGGAATGATGCACTTATATCTTCAATATGGACCATCTAACTGAGTTTGATTTCTGAACCATATAGATAGTTTTACGCTCAAAGGTTATAACATAAAGGATCCCTGAAAATTAGATGTGATTTATGAGGAAGTTTCTGTCTGATTTGCAGCATTTTACTTATTTATTTATTTTTTCTTCTGATGTAGGCTCATTTTGCAAAAGAAAATAAGATGAACATCACTCTCAAATATATTGGTATGTACTTTGGTTTGTCTCATTTGTTTGTTGTCTTCGCCACAAATTCGATCTTATACATGTTTGCATGACTGACCAAGTCATCTGGCAGATCCTACATACATGATCCGTGCAATTCCAAGCAATGCCTCTGATAATGTCTTCTGCACACTCCTTGCTCATAGTGCTGTTCATGGAGCAATGGCTGGATTTACAGGCTTCACAGTTGGATCTGTCAATGGCCGACACTCTTACATTCCTTTTAATGTATGTTCCTCTGTGTCCCAATTATATCTTTAATCGTGGAATTATTGGGTGATTTATAAGCCATCTTACCATCAGTATACCTTTTCTGTGGAATTTTCTTTTCCAGAGAATCACTGAGAAGCAGAACAAGGTTGTGATTACTGACAGGATGTGGGCAAGACTTCTGTCTTCAACTGACCAGCCGAGTTTCTTGAGACCCAAAGTTGTAAATAAACAGGAAAAACCTTCAATTCAGTTGTTGAATGACAATTTAAAAGATACAAAGCAATGATTGGAGACTGTACAATGATCCATACATGTCATCTGAGACTGAGAAGCTCGGTCATGTGTTTCCAAATTAAATCATTTTTGTGATCATTGATCAGTAGAGAGTTCTCTAGTTAGGGGATACATCTAGAATTTTTTCATACTTTCAGATTTATATATTACTAGTCTTTTAGACATGGGGTTGCATGTTTTAATTAATTTAAAATTTAAAATTTAGTAATTATTATGTATAGATTACTATATATATTTAACAAAAGTTATCAAATATTGAATGAAAAATATTCAATAATATTAGAGATATTATGTTTTAGTATAAGCGACCGAAATTAAATAAGTCTTTGTATTATTTTTTTGTTAAAGTTTTAAAAGCTTATAAGATTCTTATCCAGCAAGGATAAATTGTCTTTTGTTTAAAAGATATCTTTGTAGCATTTGTGCATAAGAAAAATAAATAAAATTAATTTTATACATGCTTTTACCCTCAGTCTTATTCAATTGTATTTGTTTTACATATATGTTGTATTTATAGAGACTTAATGGTAATTAAATAATAAGAGTTAGGGACAGCCGGATAGGACATATTCATGTGTTTCCTGTTTAAGGAGAAACATATATTATAGATATAGTTAAAATTAAGAAAAAAATTATATTTATAAAAAATTAAATAAATTTAATTATATAGAAAAGGTTTTTGGCCAGTTCATAAGTTAGATGAACTAAACTAGCTACAATATTAAATATTTGCCGCAGATCATTATTGCTCTGTTGCTGTTATGTTGTGCAGTAAAATTGATGCTTCAACGACTCAAAAAAACAGAGGAAAGATGTTTTGGATGGTCGTTGAGAGACAATTAGCATTTTCAATTGTTTGATACAATACTTGCGGACCCAAAAAAAAAAAAAAATGTTGCCTCTTCAATAATTAATGCTACTTTAAGTGTAACGGCTATATTTAACCAGTTTATAATAAGATTGGTGCTTGGTGGAATAGAGTACAGAAACTAAATTAAAGAACAAAAGTCATTATGAACACGAGTGAAAATATATTATATAATATAGGATGATTTTACTAAGGCATTGGACATACGAAAAATATTTCAGCATACAAATGAATGGACATAATAATTCAACAAACAAAACAATGGTTTCTTGTTCTACAGAGCTCAGAGACATACGAAAAACATATGCAATGAACTTGAAGGTGTTAAAAGCGCAACAGCATGTATACAGCCACGAAAGATGTACATACAGATATCCCATTTCTTCACAAAACCAACTGCAAGATCTGAGTTTTCACTTAAATCTCAACCCCTGTAAACGCCAGAGGGATCTGCATTCTGAACAATCCAGGGATGCTCAAGTAGCTTATGCAACGGCAGGCGCTGTGAAGAATCCTTGACAAGCATCTATCATGAAAGAGAAACATCTCAAATTAGGAATCATCACTTTTTAAGTACTCATGAGTTGTTGTGGGCTTGAGAAAGAGTTTCACCTGACTGATAAGGTCCTTTGCAGCAGAAGAAACAATAGGTTTAGGAGGGAACTTCAAATCCACTTGCACAATCCTATTGACAGTAATAAACACAAATTAGCAATACCAAAACGCAAAAGACCATTGAATAAACACACACTTCCTTTCTGACATCAACTTTTGCTACATATGTATAAAATTATTCAAGTAATCAAACAGATTTGTTGATTCAAAACTCATTTCCCCATTATTCATTTATGGCAAAACTTGTTGTTTAACGTAGCAAACAAATAGCAAGAACTGAAATAACATGACTTCGGCAAAGACTTGTGAACTAGAACATAATTCATAACACAGCACACCTTCTGTATGTGTCTGAATGTTCTTTTGCCTCAAAAGGAGGCATCCCATATAGAAACTCATAACACAGCACACCAAGGCTCCAGATATCAACACTAGCATCATGCTCTACACTTTCCACTGCACCGTCAACAAAAACATTTGGTGAATATCCGTGAACACAATCAACAACTCCATTGTCCATTAAAAGGTTTATCTGCATACCCATCTCTGGGGGCAAGTAATCCAATGTGCCACACATTGTCCGTCTTCGGTTAAAAGTATGCACGGACCAACCAAAATCTGCAATCTTTAGCTCACCCTGAGAAAAGAAACCAAGTCATAAGCGCCAGAAGTCTAGAATCAAGTTGCATATGAAATTTCACAGAGGATGTATGCCAGCACCTGTGCACCGATCAAAAGGTTCTCTGGTTTAATGTCTCTGTGTATTACATGCTTGCCATGGCAATAAATCAGTGCCCGAGCCAGTGATGCAACATACTGCCACATTCAGAATATGCATGAACATCATAACTCATAATTATATTAATAATAAGTTTAACTTTTAAGCACAAAATGAATAATCAAGTTATCCACAGAGGACAATAAATAAGCTCCCATCTACTAATACGTGTAAGCATTGCAAATGAGAGGCGCTGGTTTTAAATATGACTTCCAAGAAAGAATATTTTTAACTGGCAATGAAATGAAAAAAGGAAACAAAATCTGGTGTAGGGACTATGAAAATTGAAGTTAAAATACTCACTGTTGCAGCACGTCTTTCACTAAAGTATTTACACTTTTGCAGTTCTTTGTATAGTTCACCCTTTGCTGCATATTCTAAAATCAAGTAAACTCGTTTCTGCGACAAGATATTAAGAAATACATGTTAGTATAACTTTCCAATCTTTTTTTAAAGATGATAAATACATTATCCTCGAATGTTACCTGATCATAAAAGTAACCGTAAAGACGTAATATATTGGGATGTCGAAGATGACTTTGAATTTCAACTTCCCGACGGAGTTGATGTTCAACTTGTGACTGTTGCAACTGGCTCTTGAAGAGCACCTTCAATGCTACAATATGATTGCTCTGCTTGACATAGCAGACAGATTAAATCGGTCAGACAGCTGCCAATAGACGATCCAAAGGGCCCATAGAAAATAATGGTATTGCCGTTCAGATCTTTAAATATGCATGTAACCAAAACATTCAAAGATAGCCAAGAACAATCAACGTTGTTCAGATTGGCATAAAATCTATTAAATTATTCATTCCTACATTATTAAACTTTATCAGATATGGTAGCAACTCAAGTGACAAAATTAAAAATTACTGGGAAATTAAAGATAAGATTCAAATTCATATCCCCTTAGAACCTTTCCATTTCCTCAAAACTTTTTTTTCTGGCATCCAGAAATAGAACAACGCCCAAAAAATAAAGATAAACACTAACAATTGTGTTTAAGAAATTCCAAGTGACCCATGGCAACTAACCCTCTTCTCCCGGGCTAAGTAAACATGACCAAACTTTCCTCGTCCAAGTGGCTTTCCTATATCGAAATCATTAAGCGTCCACCTTCTTTTCTCTGCGGCTGCTGCCTCTGAAGTTGCCTGCAGGAAAAAAAAAAAAAAAAAAAAAAAAAAAAAAAAAAAAAATCTCTCCATAATAGCAGTGAGCTAAGGATATGCAACGGCCTAGGCGGCGCTGCAGTTAGAAGAAAGGAAATCCTGATTGTGATCAGAGACATTCTATCATGAATATAGAAGAAGTATCACAAAATCCTAACCAATACTTATAAGGTAACTTCATCTTATCACCTTGTGTTTTAACCTTAAAGCTTACTTCATTGATGGTGTTTGTTGTTGTGGAGGGCTATGAGTAGATAAGGGGAGTTTGCACACACTCTATGGACTGACCTTAGATTATATTCAGCTGCTTCACTGGCTTTCGGCAGCCAGAGAAATACAGCAATATCCACATTAAGAATATAGAGGAATTTACAGTACGAAGAGGGTGTAAACTTTATATGCAAACCACAAACCTATCCATCAGACAACCATAAGAGGTAGTTCCTCTTTATATCCTGACAGTGAGGTAATTAATTAACGCAACAGAAATTAGGGGCTCGATCGGAATTACCCAAGATACTGACAGATATGACAATAATGTACCATTTGAGGAGTACGGAAACTTATCTCATCGAGTTCAGCTTTTCTGACATCAAGTACTTTTTAGGTAGAGCTCTTAGAATCTTTACTCCGTTATATGGTTACTCTAAACAATTATAATGTGCACGGAAAGTTGATATCCTCACTTCAAACAAGAGGTGCTTTTGTCTCAGAAATTTCCTAAACATCTCAACTGCTATTTCGAGGTCCCCTCACATTTTATTCGAAATTTCTATGGCAAAAAACTTGGCTTCGCTTAACGTAGCAACAAAAGTAGCAAGAAACTGAATAAACATGACTTCGGCCAAGAGACTTGTGAACGGCAATAGTAGAATTTACGTCTAATATTCTCACAATTTAATAACAGCAACGAGACGCATGTTTTTCTTTCTGGAGTCATTAGGTGTCTGTGTTCTCTGATTCAAATGTTAACTTTGTTTGTCCCATCAGTTGAAAAAATGAGAGAAAGTGCAACAGGCAATTAAAACCTCCATAATAAGATGTACACCATCATACGTCCGATACGACCAACTAGCAAGACTCATCTTCGCGTATGCGTCTTCCTTATTTTATAATCGAACAAAGAAGCGCGTCAACAAAACATTTGCCATGTGGCTCTAGCACTATTGACCCCAACATGCTTCGGGTACCGTCAACAAAACATTTTGTAGAGATGTATTAATTTTTACTCCGTGCCATGCCAGTTTGTTGTTGAAAGCAAGTCACAACCCAATACTAGACATAACATCAAAGTATGGCGCTTCGCATCATATACTTATTGCAAAGTGAAGTTGTGGATTGTTTGAGTCTGCCTATCTACCCAACCTGCGTTGGGGCATATAGTATCCAAACTCCTATACACCGATGGTTGGTTGGCGATTTCAACACAACAAAATTTGTTCGCCTGGTTCTGCCTAGACGGGGAGTTAAAATTAAGGATATATATAAGCGAGAGGTTTGAGTTTGCCTTGAAACCAAATGCTACATAATAGAAATATATCTGTTGTCAAATTGTCCGCTCTTTAGCTTTCACCCTTGAGAAAGAGGAAACCAAAGTCATAATGTATCGTCAACATGCAAGAAAAAGTCCTCAAGAATTTGTACAATGTTTACAAGTAGAGTAGTATAATGAAAAATTATCAAATAATAGGGTGAGCTGTATGTCAGCGGAAGACAAGCACTGAATATAAGGCACACAGTAGCTTCTCTTTAAAGAAAAAGATTAAGAGTTTCTTGCCTTGTGGTATTAATGTCTCTCGTCGTAATGGAGATTGAGAGAGTCTATTGACTTTTGAATTTGGCCTATGGATAGTTGCCAACATTTAGGAAGAAAATTCTAGTGTGCGTCGATTCGAGCCCCTCTAGTTGGATAGGGTCCCTTGGGGAACATTACCTCGTTCCCTCACATTATCAGAAAAGTATCTGCCTTTCACGGAGCATGAACATCCATAACTCATTAATGTGATAGTTATTAACTAATCAAAAGTGTATATAAAAGTCTTTTTAAATCGGCCACCAGAAACATTCGAAACTAATTCTATACCTTAATTTCCACATGTTTAGGCATATTTTAAGAGATTGATTACGCTCCACACCACTTCTACTCACACTACGTGGTTAACAGTGGCGAGAAATATGCAAAAACCAATTGCTAGATGACAGGAGCGTGTGGGTTCTTATAGCGGAGTGATGACCTTACCAACTAGGCAGAATTAAAGAGAAATATTCTTTCTTTTATCTTCTTTCATTATTCATGTGGTCAATATAAATTGTATAAATGATTAATATAAAATGAGGGAAAACAATAAAAATTAATCAAATCTAAGGTGTGAATTTGATATATCTAGCGAGAAACATATTAGTAAAAAATATTAATGTATTAAATTAGCGTACCATACTCACATCATAATCTCCCAGCAGCCAAAACTCTCACAAGCAAACAGTACTTTGTACACTAAAAAACCGTTTAAAAATTTGGTTATATAAAACACTCAACATATTAGCATGGCGAGTGTCTTTGTGTATTGAGTTCATCCACGTACATTATGCTGGTCATATTCTCATAAAGAATTACAGACGATTAAACTAACTTGTAATTGCATTTGACCGGATCCAATACTGACAAGTGAGTTAAGAAATTAAAGGAATACCATAGATAAGTTTTGTTATATGTTTTTTTGTGTGGACTTACGATATCTTTTTTCCATGTATTCTGATAGTTTTTTTTAATTTTCATGATGTATTACAAATACTTTTATTCTTCGAAGGTGGTTATATTCCTGATCCACGGCAATAAAAAATGAGCTATTAAAATTGCACTGACTTGTACATGGACGATACTTATTTTAATATTTTACTTTGGGATGTGGTTTCCGAAGTTAAGTTGCACTTTGAATTTCAAAACTTCTCCGACGTGCGTGCATTGGTAGATATGGTGTGCAAACTTGTTGACTGTTGCAAGATCTGGCTCTTTGAAGAGCACCTTCAATGCTACAATATTGATGCTCGCTTGAACAGTAGCAGACAGGATTAAATCGGTCAGAAAGCTTGCCAATAGACGAATATTCCAAACGGGGCGACACATATGTGAAACAATATATGTGTATGCACGGGACTTCAGTATTCGTTTTAGCCCAACATATGTTCATGTTTATAACCTAAATATGCAATTCAAAAGATAGCCACGGAACCATTATATCATTTCGATTGTCCTACAAGATTGGAGCATGCTATAAATATTTTCTTAAATTAGTAATAATTTTATTACATCCTCTACCATGATATTTGTCCAAACTTTAAATCACGATTTATGGCAACTGTTTAGAGGTAGAAAGACATGAATCCTCCATAAAGTGAATTTTGTGACTCCAAATTTAAAATTTTTAGATACAATAAATTAAATAAAATTAATACTTGGAGTAATATAATTATATAAAAGATATAGATTATTACAATATAATTATTCATATTAATCCCCTTATAAGAACCTATTTCCGATTTACCTATCAAAACTTTTTTTCTGTGCACATCCAGATAATTAGATAACATAACGCCCAAAAATATAAAACATAAACTAGACTAACAAATATTTATGTTTAAGTAAAATGTTTCCTAAAGTGACCCAGTTGGCAACTATAAACCTCTATTCTTTTACTCTATCATCAGGCTTAAATAAGTAAAATATCACATGTGAGACTCAATAAAACTTTACCTTACGTCTGCTAAATGTGAGGTTCTTTCTCTTTATTAGATAATACGAAAATACTATTCAAAAGGCGTGGGTTCCACCCAGCCTTTACTGGTGTAACTACAATAGCGGGTGCGTGGCTGGTCCTTCTCTGTAATGGGTTCCGACACATGAGCGTCCAGGCGTAAAAAAACAGAGAGACATCAAAATTAAAAATAGTTTTAATATCAATAATAATAAAACAAAAAAACACAAAAAAAAATAAGAAAAAAAAGAAGGAGAAAGAAATAAAAAAAATTAGACACTGTTTCCACAACTGTTCTACCAATAAGTTCAGCAATTATATTTCTATAAAAAAAACTTCAAAGACACTTATTAAGTTCTCCCCAGAGGAGGATTATTTTCCAAGAGGATTGTCTGAGGCACTGCAAGTAAATATAAGAAGAGTTATAAAAATTCTCCACAAATATGAATCTCAAGATCACATAGCATCCGAGAATATTTTTTTTTAACTTACTCTCCTAAGCAAACTTTATTGCAATGAACCAGTAATGAAACTAATAAAGAGAAAACCCTATGCAAAACGTAACCCTATTTAACGCAGATTTTTGACCACAACATAAGTTAAAAAATGAAAATACCTAAATCAAGCTATCTAGATTAATGTATTCAAGTAAAAAGAAAACAGTTAGTTATAGCTCTTTATTGTAGAAGGAATTGCTATTTACGCACATTAAAACTATCGAGTATTACATCTAATAATTCCAATGGAAATACAATAAAATGTGTGCTATCACCCATCTTAATTTATTAGTATTCCACAATTTGCAGGAGAGCACATAGAACATACTATGTTGGAACGGGCAAAGGATAATAATCGCCTTGAAACACAGCATATTATGGAGAGAGAGAGAGAGATAGAGAGAGAGAGAGAAAGAAGCTCAAATTTGACTGATTCTATCTTATTAATCGTCTCAACTCATCTACACCTACTTCGTTCAGGAGAGGAGTTTAGTGACCAAAAATTGGACTCTGACAATATAAAACCCGGATATAAAAGCTGTTCTTTACTTGGACTTCTTTCACCTAGAGATTATTACCCGTATAAATGGTTAAAATGTCTAGCTCATTTACTGAGTGCTTAATTTTTACCAAGCATTATGGTTTTTCAATTTTCTCCGAGGAGTCAACAAGTACTCCTCCTATTAAGAAGTAGGCGGAGAGAGTATTCCATCTACTTCTTTCTTGATCTTCTTTCGCGGACCCTCTCTTTTTTCTCATCTATGTTCCAGCGGCATATATACCGCATACCAAAGCATGAGGGAGTGGAGAAGGCGGAGTGACGAGTAAGACGAGTAACCAGATAAAGCATTAAAGGACGGAGGACAAGCCACGAACCACAGTGAAAGTACAAAGTTAGAGATAGAATCAGAATTTGGATTAAGAGAAAATAGATAAGATTGACAAAGGGAAAAAAGATGGAATAAAAAAAAAAAAAAAAAAAAAAAAAAAAAAAAAAAAGAAGAAGAATAAAAATGCCGTTTCAAAACTTGTTCACCAACATTTTAAAACTCAGATTTAGTCAAAAGTATTTCCAGATTAACAAAGAAAAAATACACATCCCCAAATTTTGAAATCTAGCCTTAAGACCAGTAGAAGTAAAAAACCCTATGCTCTACCTTTCCGATTACCCAAAAAAAAATCCTGGTAGCTCTATTTTAAGCTTAACAACTGGTATCAAATTCCAATTGAACATAAAATGTGAACCCTAAAATGTTCAATTGGACCAAAATTGACCATATGATCCCATAAAAGCATATTATGGAGAGAGAGAGAGAGAGAGAGAGAGAGAGAAGAAGCTCAATTGCTTTCTTTAATCTCTCCCTTCATTCTTTCAGGAGAACCAAATGCGATAAAAAGGAAACTCTACGGCAAGGTTAACGAATTAAGCAAAGAACAGCATTATTATTCCAAACAAGTACTCTTTATGGAAAAATTACCTTCTCTTGCGGTTGGTTCTCTGCAGCAATCGCCATGAGGGAGGGAGGGAGAGAGAGAGAGAGAGAGACAGAAATTGAGGAAGAGAGAAAGTAATTCAAGGGAAGAGAGGGACAGAGAGAGAGAAAGAGATTGGTGCGGCAGAGAAGAGGAGAGACAAAGAAGGAAAGGGGGAGGTATGAGATCCTTCAATAAACGCTTTACAACGGTCGAATTAGTGAGACGAGCCACGTGGCCCAATCCCTCTTCGAGATCATTTTTCAAAAATTTTGTCTTCTCCAGTTATCAGAGTGGAGCGTCTTTGGTTGGGCGGGTGTCGCTAGATCTTAGAAGGAAATCAATTCTATTGTCACGAAGCTGTGACATAATGACATTTGGTGGGTCACTGAATTGTATGGGTGGGCCTTTCAGGGCCGGAAGGAAGGCCGACAGCAATTTAAATTAACATTGGGTATTACTGGGCTTTTAGATGAAGACCCAACAAGCAATTTAAAATTTGCCCTCTTTTATTATCATTTTATTATTATTTTTTTCGGAGGATCCACTGACCCACTCACTGAGTCAGACAGGAATTAGCAACAGAAGTTCTCATATTACTTTATTAAAGAGAATATGAAACGGCAGATCAGACGTGATTTAATTGGGACATATTTTGAGTCTTCCTATCACAAAATTTTTCATTAATTTAAATTTAAATTCTCTTGACACTTAATAAAAATTAAATATAAATACAAAATTATGTATTTTAAAAAATGTAAAATAAAATCCTAATATTTCTTAATAATAATAATAACAATAAGATACGTGAGTGAGTGACTGATGAAACTCACATTTTGGATCTTAAATAGATAAAAACGAATGATAAAATTTCACTTTTGTCTTTCCAAGAAACAAAAAAAAAAAATTTTTTGCTAATCGTTATCCTGCTTGTGTTATGTGGAGATCGATGATCAAAAACTATGATAACTGATAATTATAGTATTAGTATTATTATACCGCTCATTCAGTTCCCGGAGGTACGTGTCAAGTATTGATACAAATCCCGCCACGCACCACTACACCCCCTTCATCTACACTATCCATTGTACGCATCACGAGGAGATCAAATCAGATAAAATCAAATCAAAATCCCAATTCCTGCCCTTTTTATACCCTCACTTTCATGCCTTCAACAAACCTCACCAATTAGCTTTCCCTCAATCACAGCAGTTCATCATGTCTGATCAGCCATGGCCGATATCTCAAATGGTCCGCGATCCGGCGCCACAGTCTTATCCGAGGGTCAAGTTCGCAACGGCGGTGACGCTGGGAGCAGCGTTCTTGATATTGTCTGGGCTAACTCTAACCGGGACAATAATTGCTCTAATCATGGCGACTCCGTTTCTGGTGCTATTTAGTCCGATTTTGGTTCCGGCGGCGATAGCGGTAGTTTTGGTAGCCAGTGGTTTCTTTTTCTCGGGTGGATGTGGTTTGGCGGCAATAATGGTGTTAACTTGGATGTATAACTACTTAGCAGGGAAGCATCCGCCTGGTGCAGATAAGATTGATTATGCGAGAGGACAACTGGCGAGAAAGGCTCATGATATTAAAGAAAAAGCTAAAGAGTATGGACAGTATATGCAACACAAGGCTCAAGAGGCTACTCAAGCATCTTAAGCTCTTCCCTGATTTTCTATAAATGTGTCTGTGCATGTATGTATTGTAGTGCTAATTTCAGTGTGGAATAATACTCTATTTAATTTGCATTTGATATTCAATTAAGTTAAAAATAGTTTTTGGGAGAATTTAAGACCAAAAAATTTCAGTTTAAAGTCATTTTAGCCCATTGTGGAAAAAGAAAAAAAAAAAAAACTGATTTTTATATTTTTGGAGTTTTAATCAAAGGGAGACAGGATAAATAACTATTTTGGCGTTTGAATTTTTAAATTTTTTTATTATTTTAGTGTCTGTCCGAACATTTTAAAGATCACCAGTGTCTCAACTTTTTGAAAATAATAATTAAGTAAAATAATAATTAAGTGTATACTGTTAATTTTGATGCGGAAACCTGACTCAACTCAATTGACAGTGCGTTTTAATTGAGTCTAATTGAGCTTAGTTAAATTCTAATTTTTCTTTATTTTTTTAATATATCCTTTTTAATTGAGCCTAATTGAGCTTTGTTAAATTATAATTTTTATTTTTTTAATATATTTTTATGTTAATATTCATAAAAATGAAATGGTCTATATTAAATTGTTTTTGTATGATTTTATTGAAAGATTAAAGGTTATATGTTAATTTTATTTTAATAAAATTTAATTATTATATTTGTTAAAAATAAGTATATATTAAATAAATATAATAAATTTTTAACATTATCACTTTTAAAAAACGATAATGACAGTAATTTTAGACGGATAAGGCGGGAGCATAGTATACTGTGAATAAAATTTAATATAAAATAAATGTTTGAGCTTATAAATATTCATTCATATATTCTAGTGAGATAAAAAAATATTATTTATTAATATATGATTTTATAAAACGAAATTAATTAGACTTTTGATAAGTATAATTTTTTTGAAACGTTAAAAGTTGATATGTTAATTTTAATTTATTTCACTTTCTATTTTTACACAAATTAAGAAAATAATAATAATTATTATTAAATGACAATTTTATTCATATAACTTTTTTATTATATCCATTTTAAATAACACATGAATAATTATTATATTCAAATAATAAGTAATAAATTGATGAGAGTAATTAAAGATGAGATAAATTTAATAAGGATATAATAGATAATTTAAGAATTAACTATAATAAAAAAAGGAAATGTATTATATTTTATAACAGACAATAAGAAATATGAATTATCTTTTTAGAACGAGGTAGTGAAATTTAATTATAATAATTTGATTATTATATTCAGTCAAAATAAGTATATTAAACTTTTAATATTATTTATTTATAAAAAAGAAAAATGAAGACAATTTGAGATGTCTGAAAAATGAAAGTAAAATAAAAAATAAAAAATCGAGAATAGTAATATTTATTGCGAATAAAATTTAATACAAAATAAATGTTTGAGCTTATAAAATATTAATTTCATATATATTAGTATATAATTTATTAATATATATATAACCAAAGATGAAAAAATGAAGAGCAATTTGACTACGTCCCTGAAGATATATGTTGAGAAGTAATAATTATATAGAAAAATAAAAAAATTGCGGTTTAGAAGAGGGATGGTAATATTTATTGTTAAAAAGATTTGAATTATTCGAGAAATAAAGTGTTTGTGCTGCTGGTTGTGGAGAGAATAATTAATTTCATTGCTCAATATATTTGTGTATATAGTTATTAAATAGTGAGTTGAATTTAGATACCCAATTATAATTAGTTATAGGTAAGAATAGGCTATTGTTTGCTTATATTGTTATAGATTTATATCAGTTGGGACATGTTCCTCTTCTCCCGTGTAGATATTATTAAAGTTATTGTGTGAATAAGTTTCGGAATTTGGTATTACTTAACTTTTAATAAGTGTCTCAGTTTGAATTATGTGGTTTAAGACACGATCTAATATCATACCGATCCGACTAGAGCGATTTATTCATAAAATCTTCTTTTAGCTTTCTAATATTATTTTGAGCTGATTTATGGTATGTGCATAAATAAGATTCATCCGGTAATAGTATTCTTTATTTATTTAATGTTCATCATTTCTGTATTTAATCAAATAATTTAATGAATCAAGTATTATGACATAATTATTTAAGTCATGGGAGGTGCATTGAAACTAATGGCGTGGAGAAATATATTTAATTTTTATATAAGAGAGAGAAGACTCTAAGAGTTAAGTAACTTGTAATCAATCGAGACCACACCGAGGACCTATGTGAATCAAAGAGCTGTGGCTTCGTTTCATTTTACGGATCAGAGGAATTACGGGTCTGCGATGATTTGTGACCTAATGCTAAAACGCATAAGCAAAAGTATATAATACCCGAATCCTTATATAGTGTGTCAATACACTCGTGAGCTCAATACAATATTATATAAAATCGATAAAAAATAATAAAATTACTTAAGCAAAAGACTAAACCAGAGAAACCGGCTCTCATAATAAAGAAAAGGAAAAAATAAATAAAAAAATTATTATATAAGCGCAATAGTCTAGGGACACCACTAGATTTGCAATGAAGTGTAACCTGTCTCTAAAATAATCTTTCTCAATATTGATTGCGTAATATACCTTGAGCCTGCAGATATGAAGTGATCATCGAATTACCCATAAATAGCCAAAATTTGTAAAAATGAAGTAATAGTATATTATAGCTTTTAGGATTAAATGTTGTGTGTCACAATTATAACATCATGTGGTATGTTGTTTGGGAGTTCATGTGTCCGGCATTGTGGAAATTAGAATTTTTTCTTTTCTTTTTCGTTTGTTTTTTCTGTTTTATTCATATGCTTGCTTAGCTAACGACTAACTTTGTACTTTTAAGGATTATAGCATCGGATGATCTCCTCTGTGAGTACTCTACCAAAAATGCTCAGCCCGTTCGTTTCTTTGTCTTTTTATTTAGCAATTGTTTTCGATGCCATAATCGCTCTCAACATTTTGTTTTATGATGTATTTTACAGTATGTGATTATCTTTGAGATTGGGGCTGGTTGTGATTATGAATCTTGTTAAGAATTTTGTCATCTTATCTAACAAGCATTTATCTACGAAGGGCTTCTTCTAAGTTGCAATCAAAGAGTTACATATATAGGTCCTTGAATTATTAGGAGATTCGTGTTTGATTAAATGATTATCTCTAATTGTCAAATTGACTGTCTTATAATTAGCTTATTTGTTCTCAAGAAACTAATAATTTATGTGTTGCTTTCTCATCATTAATTATCTGTTTTCTATTTTTAATATGTTTTTCGTTTTATTTTAGTTCGTTCAGTATATATTTATTGTTTGAGTTTTAGGTTGGAAGGATGTTAATGTATAGTCAATGCAAGCGATTGCCTATACTCTTGCCTAATCAGCTGATTGTCATTGTTAAATTTTGTATTAATTGATTTAATTTATTTTGCTTCCTAAAGTCCTTCTAGCTTCACTATGCAATATATGCAGATTTTAACTTTATTTCTTACTTGATGCTATGCTTCACTTTGCATCAGTTTCTTCTTATTTTCTGTTTTTTTTATAATAACTGGTAAATTTCAATATTATTGTTGGATTTGATGTGATGTTATACCTATCTGATTTTTTTTAGTATGATTACTAAGTGTTTTTTTGGACTAGATGTTTGTCTTTAGTGGTACAGAGTAGTAGTGAGAATGTATCATTATCAAGATTTCGCACTGCTCGTGTGTGGAATTTTAGAACTGAGTGTTTCCATGTTACTAAAGTAGGGATGGCTGCATTTTTGTGCTGTCATTATAAATGCTAATCGGTACCCACTTTGCTAAGGTTATTGATACCATTAGATGCACCTTATAGTTCACCAGGCATGTTTAATCTTGAGTTTCAAGATACACATTGTTAGAAACCTCCCTCGCATTCGTGATGTTTTCCCTTCACTGAAGGGCAAGAATTTCTAGCCCGGTGAAAACACCTTGCACTTGTTTTCCTTTCGAACCAAGGTTCTACCTCATTATGAGAGATTTGTCTCTTCAAGTTTTATCTTCAAAGCTGTAGATGCACATCCGATACCAAAGATTCAGTTATCATGGACCGATCCAATATATCATCTATAGGACACCCTCTTATGTCCTCGCAGCGACCTCATGTGGGTTTTAGGCTATAGCTATTTAACGATATGGTGCATCTCTGAGAGCATAGGCTTTCTTAAAGTGCTCGAGTCCTCACCTAACATGTAAGACAAGTATTCTAAGTGTGTATTCTCTTATAGACTATATCCGCACAGATAGCATTGCGTGATCAATCATTCCATGATTTGTATGCCAATTCGTTATTGTTCTATTTATTGGTAGGATTTAAGCCCTCTCTCATCTGTCACATCTCTAAAAATATCGTGTCCTTCCGAGTCCGGCGAACTGTTTATCTGTTTTTCAAGAGGAAACATGACTATTATCGTAACTATGTGTTGATGTGAGCGAGGGAATTGCAGGAGAAGCTATTGGAAGTGCTTATTTCCATTGGTGATGATGTTGGCAAAAAAAAAAAAAAAAAAAAAAAAAGCGGCAAGCTAAACACTGGTGATGAAGGAAACCGCCTAAAATATCTTCTCTTGATCGAAACTGAGATATTGAAGACTCGATACCCTAAATTCTCAAATTTGTAAAATGGTAAGAACAATTTTAGTTTTTGGTTAAATTATGTGATTAAACAAGTGATTTATGGTGGAAATAGAATTTTTTTCTTTTCTTTTTCGTGTTTTTCAGTTTTCAATTGCTGCTATCAACGACACTGACTCTAGGAAGCAATGGGAACCCTTAGCTCCTACCAAAGAAGCTCAGGCACGATTCTTTTCTTTGTCTTCTATATTAGCATGTTCTATTGCAAATGCCAATTTTGTTGTGTATTTATTATAGATATAATGTGGCTGTGTGTATGTTAACTTTTAGGAATTTCATCTTACACAAACTTACCACGAAGGGCTTCTCAAGTTGCAATCCAAAGAGTATGATAAGGCTCGTGAATTATTAGAATCTGTATTAAAAGATCCTCTAATTTCAAATGCTCAGGTATACTTATTTTGTTTTCAATACTTATTTATTTTTTGCCTATTAATTTTGTTTTCTAATATGTATTTTGTTTTATTTTATTTTCATTTATTTATTGGTTATTTTAGGTGGATAGTAATGCAAGCGATGGCCATCTGCAACAGCTGAGGTCTGGATTTGTAGTATGATAATTTTTTGCTTCCTAAATGCCGTCACTACCACTAGCAACATAAATTTTCTTTATCTTACTTGATGCTTATGCTTTCACTTTCATCAGTTTTTCTTTTCTTAATTTCTGTTTTTTTTTAAATAACTGTAAATTCAATATTATTGTTGGATTTGATGATTTTATTACCTATCAATTTTTGTGAGAACTGTGTTTTGGACAGAGTTTGTCTGATACAGTATGTGGATAATTTTATCATTTCATTTCTGCAATGCTCTTGTTTGAATTTAATGAGTTTTCTGTACCTTAAGTGTGTCAAATAAATGTAAATGGTTATTAAGGGTTATGAAATTATTATATAGATGCTTTAACTAGGATTTCAATCAATGTTAAACGTTATGGTTTGTTTTCTTCTGTTGGGGGCAGATTTCTAGCGCTGAAAAACCTTGCCACTGTTTTCCTTCGACAAGGTTCTACTCATTATGAGAGTGCTCTTCACTGTTATCTTCAAGCTGTAGAGATCGATACCAAAGATTCAGTTATCTGGAATCAGCTAGGAACTTTATCGTGCTCAATGGGTTTGCTAACTATTTCACGTTGGGCATTTGAGCAAGGGCTTCTATGCAGTCCTAATAACTGTAAGCATTTTTCTAGTTAGTTCAAATATATACAGACATATAGTGCTTTCAATCATTTGATGCCTATTTATTGTTCTATTTTCTGTGTTAAGCCCTCTTTGCCTTTAACAATATGGCTTCCAGTGGAAGCTTTATCTGTTTTTCATAGATGGACAGAATTTATTTCTCTATGTTTGATGTGAGCAGGGAATTGCATGGAGAAGCTATTGGAAGTTCTTATTGCCATTGGTGATGAGGTTGCCTGTCTTTCTGTGGCAGAGTTGATTTTGAGGCATTGGCCATCACATTCTCGTGCCTTGTATGTAAAAAATACAATTGAAGAGTCCGACCCAGTTCCATTTGCTCCTAGAGGTATAGATAAGCTGGAACCTAAACATGTGCGGCTCAAATTTGTTGACAAGAGAAAAACAACAGATGAAAATGTTGACGAAAGTACTGCCTGTAAGAAATTGAAGCAGAATATAGAACTGTGCCTGCCTGAGGCTTCATGGGCTGCTCTTGCAGATGCTCTTCTGGAAATTTTACTTCCACTGAACGGGCGCGAATCTGATATGAGGAATAGAAAAGAATACAGATCTGGGGATGTTAGACTAACTTTACATTTTTCTTCTTGTTTGGATATTCCTACGGGGTCAACTGAAAATAAAGGGCTTAAACCCATAGCTAGTGAAAGCCTATCTGTTCGTGACTTTAACTCTGACAGAGCCAGTTTTGTCAAAGAAAGAGAAGCAAATGCTTCTGAAGAACACATTCATGAGAGACGGAGCACTCGCCTGGAAAGGCTTAGGAGTCGTAAACCGGGAAAGGAAGAATTAGATTTTGCTGCCAGTAAGGATCTAGCCAAAGCAGTACTTCAGTCTTTAGAACCTTTTATCGTTTCTGGACTTGGAACCAAATATTCTGATCAAGCAGCTAGTCATTCTGTTTCATGTCCTGATCAGGCTAATTCTTTGGATATGGAACATAATGATGTCTCTGCATTTGTAAGGGAAGCTTCAAAAAATTATGGTGCTTACCATATGGGTCACTTGCTTTTAGAACATGTTGCAGTTAGGAGCCTTCCATATCAAGATGCATTTGTCAAATTTCTGGATTTGGAGAGACTGACAAGACAATGGGGACAGGATAGGACCCCTGAATGCAGTCTTTTTCTTGCTGAACTGTATTATGAGCTGGGATTTTTGCCTTCCAATGCTTCGAAGCTGCCAGAATTCCTGTCGGAGGCATCTTATCATCTTGGCAAAATAATTGAATCAGTCGCTTTGGATTATCCTTTTCACTCGAATCATTTATCTGGGAATGAAATCTGCTCTTCACCGAAGAGCTTTCTAGATAATAATGAATTATTTGCCAAGGACTCTAATTCCCAGGATTCATTTTTTAATAGTTCCTTAGTTACCAATAAAAATTACTTTTGGGTTCGATACTTCTGGTTGAGTGGAAAATTATCTATTTATGATGGCAACAAGGCAAAAGCTCATGAAGAGTTCTGTATTTCTTTATCACTTTTGGCAAAGAAGGAACAAGGGAATGATTTTCCCTGTTCAGTTCACCTGCCACACCTGAAGATCAATAAAGAGTTGACTGTAAACAGGGTTCTTCATGAAATTAATTTATTAAAGGTTGATTTCTTGCTTGAGAAGACTGTAGGGGAGATGTTGGGCAAAGAAATGTATACAGAGTGCATAAACTTGCTTGCTCCACTTCTATTCTCTACCGAACATGTCCACCTTGATATACTGCCATCAAGTGCTTCTGATAAGACAGGTGAAGGATTTGCAAGCATTGAATTATCTGCAATAGATTTATTAATTAATGCATGTGAGCAAACAAAGCCAAAGGACAATGAAGTACATTTGAATTGTCACCGGCGAAAGCTGCAAATACTCATTCTAGCAGCTGGTATGGATGAATATAAAACTCTCTGTCAGAAGTATGGGTTAAATGTATTTTCTACCTCTGATTTCACATTGAAAGAAAATCCAGACAATTACTGGAATGACTTGGTGATGGAGGAAGTGAAAGCAATTTCACAATATGTTGCACAATTGAAGATGGATCCATCTCTTAAATCTGTGAGTCCTTTTATTTTTATGAACTTAATGTCATTACAGCCATGATTTATGTTAAATCAATTTCTGCTGCATCACTTCATTATAAAATTAATAAAATGCTGATAAACTTATAAAATGAGTATTCTAAAATTTATCATAATGTTATGAGGCTTACCCTAAGATAGTTCTGTTGGTTTCAGAATTACTTCTTTTAAGTTTTTGCTCATTAACATACTTTTTAATGCCATATAGCAATGGAGCATGTGAATATATTATGCTTGCAGAATGGTGTAATCATTCCAACGGACAGCATCGGTGATATTCAAACCTTGCTGCTGGCTGTCATGTGCCACATTGCAATAAATTGCTTCTGTAAGAGATCTTTGGCGCCAGCTGATGAAACTGAACAAAAGCAAGGATTTTGCTTTGTTGATGCAGGCATTGCGTTCTGCAAACTTCAACACCTTATCCCTAGTGTCCCTGTTAAAACCCAAGTGAGCGTCATGCTATTCTGATGAGAAACTGAAATCTAGATATGATGTGGTCTTTTATAATTTTCTTCTCATAGATCTCTAATCAAATTTCTGACTTCTGATCATAGGTTCAGTTAATTGTGGCAATGCATGACTTGCTCGCTGAGTATGGTCTGTGCTGTGCGAGTGAGGGTGGCAAAGGGGAGGAAGGAACATTTCTTAAATTTGCAATAAAGCATCTATTGGCACTGGATGTGAAGCTTAAATCCAATTTGAACTCTTCAAACAAAGAAACGATTCAACATGATAAACAAAATTCTCCTTGTAATCAGAACAAAACATGCAAAAATGAGTTAAAATCTGACACATTGGATGTGGAGACGGGAGGAATTGAAATAGATGAAATGACTACAGTAGATACTGATGTATTTAGACAAATAACTTCGAAAGTCGTGCCATGTCTTGAAGGTGCAGGGAAAGACGATGCAGGTGTAGAATTTGAAAAGCAAGGCAGCAATGAGCGCAAAGGGAAAACTCACCAATTTACTGAATGTAGAACCGAACTTACTGAAGATGAACGGGAAGAACTTGAGTTAATAATTGACAGTGCTTTGGACCAATGCTTTTTCTGCTTATATGGTCTGAATCTTAGATCTGATTCTTCCTATGAAGATGATCTAGCCATACATAAAAATACTAGCCGTGGAGATTATCAGACCAAGGAACAATGTGCCGATGTTTTTCAATATATACTGCCTTATGCAAAGGCATCTTCTGTGAGTATTCTCTGTCTGTGTGTGTCTGAATGTGTGAATATCTGCTTCATTTTGACTTGGCTATTCATGTTACATCTCAGAGAACTGGATTGGTGAAACTTCGGAGAGTATTAAGAGCCATATGCAAACACTTTCCGCAACCACCAGAAGATGTTTTGACTGGAAATGCAATTGATAAGTTCTTAGATGATCCTGATTTATGTGAAGACAGACTCTCAGAGGAAGCAGGATCTGAAGGGTATCTTGAGACCATAACAAAAATAATATTTCCCAATATGGAAAGTGTCAAACAGGACAAGCCAATGTTGGTTGCAAGGTATTTTTATTTACTGCATTAGCTATTTTACTTCTTTCAACTGGGGGTTGCTATTGTTAATATGTTAATTCCTCAGGAATAAGCTTACATTATAAGTAATTTACTTATTGCAGCCCCGAGCAATATTTGGATGTATATTGCAATTTATATTATTTTCTAGCTATGTCTGAGGAAATGAATGCAACTGATAAGTGGCCAGGCTTTGTACTTACCAAGGAAGGGGAAGAATTTGTACAGCAAAATGCAAAGCTCTTCAAATATGATCTTCTGTATAATCCTCTACGCTTTGAGAGTTGGCAACGGCTTGCAAATATTTATGATGAGGCATGATTTCTTCTTGTCTGTCAACTGTTGGTGCTATAGAAACTGAGACAACCAATTTTTTTTGCTGAGGTTTACAAAATCTTTTTCTAGCCATGGTGTTTCTTCATCAGAATTTATTTTCTTTTTCCTTTTGGTTTCATTAAAACAGGAAGTAGACTTGTTGTTAAATGATGGAAGTAAGCACATAAATGTAGCAGGATGGAGAAAGAATGCTACCCTGCCTCAGAGAGTTGAGACAAGTCGAAGGAGGAGCAGGCGTTGTCTATTAGTGAGTTTGGCGTTGGCGAAGACATCAGCTCAACAGGTTCATCCCTTTTCTTTATTATGCGTATGGCAAAGCTGATTTATTCATTTGTTTTTCTCTGACGAATATGATACCCTTGGGTATTTTTGGGTACATCTTAAATCTTACCCTGCTATTATACCATTCACTTCACTTCTGGTAAAGGTGACTTGCTAGAAATGAGGCCAGGACAAGTTCCTTTTGAGAGTCTTCATTGTATTTATTTGAGCATGACAAGATGTTTCTAGGAACTATATGAATTTTTTTGATCTAGTCCAATCGTGGTGTTTTTTTCTGTGATCTTTATTAGTGTAATCTATATTGTCCTTTTTTTTGCATTTAATAACAGCGAGAGTAAGGGATCTTGTGTTGTATAATTATGGAAGTAGCACATAAATGTAGCGGGATAGGAGAAGAAAAATGGCGTACCCTGCCCTCAGAGGAGTTGAACAAGTCGAAGAGAGCAGCGTTGTCTTATTAGTGAGTGTGTGCAATTTTGCCGAAGACATTCAGCCTCAACAGGTTCATCCCTTTTCTTTTAGTATGCGTATGGCAAAAAGAGCTGATTTAGTTCATTTGTTTTTCTCTGAACCTGAATATCGAATACCCTTGGGTATTTTTGGTACATTCTTAAATCTTAACCCTGCTATATTACCATGCCACTCTCACTTTCTGGTAAAGGTGACGTTGCTAGAAATGGGCAGACAAGTTCTCTTTTGAGATCTTCATGTTAAGTATAGTCTTGAAGTCATTCTGATTCAAGAATTATTCTAGATATAATCTATCTCCATGATTTAGTTTATAGTACTCCTTGCTTTAATTATTGCCTTTTCTCGAGCTAGTAATTTCTAATTATTTTGTGGTTATTAGTCATTGTTTGAGAAATATTATGAAGACTAAGATAATGTAATATGGTTTTTGATGAGACGAATAGACGCAGCTTTGTTTTCATGAAGCGAGTCAGTTGCAAATATTATCTTATTTGATTTCAACCGACCCAATTAGTAGCATTTATTTTCCATTTATTCCGGATGTAATTTATGAACAATCCAATGATAATAACCCTTATCATCCACACATGTGACACTTCTTTTTGTACTTTTTTTTTTTCATTCCCCTAGCCCTTTATTCCCAGAATGAGCGATTGTGGATTTTAGTTCTGCTTACTGAAGATTAAATTCACGATGCTAGTTTATTTTTTTTGATGTGATTATTATTTCCAAAACTAGTGTGAAAATAAGCTTTAAACTGAATATTAATTGTTTGAGATTAAATCATCTACATTGTTTACTGGGAGCTTACCTATATTCATCGATTTATAACTTTCTTTTCTTCTTTTGTTCAATTCTTCCCTCGGTGTTATGTACCAATGTTTGAATTTATTTTTGTCTTATTTTTCCCCGTGAATGTAATTAGACATGTGGCCAAGGAATATTAATTGGATCTATTTCTGACTTTTTATGTTTTACGATGTTTTGATTTTTTTCCCTTATAATAGACTGCATATTCTTATGATATGTATTACATATACTAAAAGGTGTGTTAAATTTCTGTTGCCTAATATAGTGTGAGATGACAAACGATTGGACTAAGCAACCTTTAGAGTCGAGGAGTGTGACTGTTTCATACCTATACCTAGCTCTTCCAAGTGTTTATGTGAGTTCCCACGCAGCCAAGAATTCTGACATGTGTTCTGCAAAGATGGACAATTGCGGCGCGAAGTGTGCAGGGGATGTACTTCGGGTGTATCGAGAATACTCAATCTGAAGCAATTATGGTAAAAGCCTCCTATGTCAGCAAGTCCTCAGTTTGCTATTTTCTTATCTATTGTATACTTTTATTTTAACCTGTTTCTCAATAAATGATATAAGATAACTCTGCCTACCATTCTATGTGCTTACTCAGCAGACTGAGTACATCGCATCTCTATATGCGGGGGAGGAGACTCTCTGAAAAGCATTGTATATGCAATATCAGAGCATCGTTGATTCGCTATTTATGATAATCTGGTTTATTTTGAACTGTTAGTGAATCCGTTTCATGCTGTGTTTTTTGGATCCTGTTCTTTTATTTATATCATGTGTGAGTGTCAATTGCTTCTGTCATCTTATAAATGTCATCTGTGATATCTGCGATAATAACTAACGACTCTGGATCCTCTATTAACAGGTGTATAGTTCCGTCCTCCCTGCTCCACCGATACTAAACCATACAAAAGAAAAAAAAACAACTTGCAAATATTTCTAATTTAGTGCTATACTGTACTCCATTGTTTTATTTATTTTAACTTTTCGAATGTACCGCTCCGTTAATTGCCTATTGAGTATTCTATTTGTTGCAAGTGTCAATTAGTGTTCCTGTGAATCCTCTCATTTGTTCTAGAAATAACTTAGTCCTTGTTCGTTTTTGATATTGAATAAGTCATCGAGTTCAGTGGATGGGTTTCTGTATGTTGCGACAGATTACACTCCTGTTATATGCTATAGTAATGATTAATTTTTTATCTATATGATTATTTTGTAGGTGATTGTTATTTATTTATTTATTTGTTGCTATGATTTTTCTTATCGGCCTGATGTTTTCCTTAAAGTCTAGTTCAATTTTAAAAGTATGCACTTCTGCTTTTTATGACATTCCTAGGTAATACGGTTAAGAGTTTTTTGGGCTCCTGAGGGAACATCACATCTTCTGGGATGATTATGGACAGATATGGTTTCTCAAGAGATACTGTTCGTAGAAATGATAAGTTATGTCAGGATTATCAGAATCACGGATGGAATGAATAGTCTCAAGTCATTATGTTTCTTCATTTCAATGATGCATATGTATTGTGTCTCGTTTCGTGCGTCTTGATTAGCTTTTTTGTTGTGTTAGGTGTGAGTCTCAAGGACTATCTTTCACTGAAGCATTAGTAAAGTTTGCTTGCTCAAGGTCTGCTATAAAAGGGTGTGAATGTGTGATTGGAGAGCAAAGGATGAACTTCTTTTTGCTTTCAAATCATCATTGCTCGGCATCATCCTTTTTCTTACTCTATGAAACATGTTGGGAGATTTGATTCAGCCAGTTTGGTCAGATAAAGGGATGAGTGTGTAACTATATTTGCTTTTTGTTTTCGTAGCATTTGTAATGTATGACCTATGTATTGTCCAAAATCCTTGAGTTGTTCCATTGATGGGTTACCGCTATGTCATAGTAATGCCGCCTTGTTTCTAAGAAATTCAGTATTTTATGTTGCCCTTATTACTTTTTTTTTTTCAATTCTAACTTTCTTGCGTGACATTTCACTACTGATGATCACTGTCTAAGACATGTCAAAAATCTATACAGGAAAGTGGAATGACCAGCCGTTTCGGTGAAGGTGTCATTAATCTGAATTTTTTATATGACTATCGATTTGAATCTTCGAACGTGTCGAGTATAGGTGCATGCAACAGATGCCTTTTGTTGTGAAAATGTTTTAAATGATCTTTTCTTTAAATAGTTATTAACAATCAATTCATTTTGATATACCCTGTTGCGTTCTTGGAGTTGCTGTTTCCCAAGTATTTTTTACTCCTTTCATTAGGGCGTAACTTATCTGATGTTCAGGTTACTATTGACTGGGACGTCACAGGTAGAAATACGATCAGGTGTTTTTGCTGTGGAGAATAGACAAATATATGGTGTTAGTGGGGCTCTCCTTTCTTTTTATTTGTGGGGGGTGTTAATAAAGGTTTCAACTTCCAGGGATATATTTCTCGAGTAATTTTTGTATTACGTGCATCCCGATAAGTATTTTGTTGCTTCTATTGTGTTAGACTATTTGTGTGTGAGGAAGGCTTGGGTTAGGCTATGTATGTATCATTGGATCTTGTTTTGCCGTTATTCTTATCTTCACCGGCAAGATAGATGGAGAGGTAAAAAAAAGACTTGAACCCTTTAACTTTAATGTCGTTTGTTTTAGTATTGAACCTGCTGCCATGATGCTCTCGCATGCCAATCATTTCTTACCATCAAAGTGTCGCTTGGCATAACTTATCCCTTAGGTCTTAGATGTTTTGTGTTTCGTTTCATTTTCCACTAAGACTATGTCAGTGGTTGTAGGAGGTGACGTATTTCGCTTGGAGGGCCCCATACATGTATGATTTGGTTTCTGTTCTTTTCTAAAAGGTTTTACCACTTATGTGTTTCTCTTGCCATTCCTTACTCCCAGTCTGTGTACTGTTTAGGTATGGTTGGTGAAGGGTGATATTGCTCTATTACGTTGTGAGTGGACATTAACTTATCTGTTTGAATGAACATTGGCCATCATAATATTTAGGTTGTTTTATCGTCGTTATGACTTAAGATACAAAACTTATTTAATTCACATATTGCGATTTGTGATCTATTAAATTGTCTGGAATCATGTGTTCTCAAATTAAGCTTTTGAGTAAAATTATTTCCGCTGTATACTGAACTATTGCTCTTCAACGGAAGTCATTTACTTGTGACCGTTAAAGTCTTGCAATTTGGTGAATCTCATTTTTCTCACATTGTTAGCATCTGATGATCTTGGAAGTGTTTTCATATGTGTTTCGTTGACTATTTATGTGGTTTTGTATCCGGTTGGCGTACATTTGGGTGAGTTCATCTAAGCCCGGCTAATGTATCTTATCTCACATTTATTGTTCACCGAATGGCTTGGCCTCCATGTTTGCTCTTGTTCGAACTTTCTTGAGCGTCAACTGGATAGAAATCGTCTTCTTATTCATGGAACAGGGAAACTTCGATGCCAGACTAGTAATTCAGCTTGCCTGATACAAAAAGCCCTGACAATATCAGTGAGGGAAGCTTGTATACGGGTAATAATTCTATAGCAGTCATCAGCATTATATTCTTCGTATGTGGAAAGAATTACTTATTATTGTGTCTATTTGTATTTGATTTATTTGTACTATGAATTTAAGTTTCTTCTGTGTAGTACCCTATTATCATGCTTGAACCATTTAGACGGTGCCTCCCAAGCTCCACCCAAAATTTCGCATCCTCCTCTAGAACCTACTCTTCCATGAGTGACTAAGATTGTAAATTATCTATTTGTTGTTTCTTCTTAAATCTTTATTAACTAAATTTATTCTAGATTTCAGTCCATTTATAGACTTACCTAATGATAATACAATTTTATATAATATCATACAACAGCTCTATCAATTTATGCTATATGTTTCTATGTTCTCTTTTAATATTCTTCTGTTATTTGAGAGAATCATTAAACCTTGTATTAACTTCATATTGTAATTAATTACTTATTCTCTATTTACCTTTTTCTTCTTCATGAGTTTCTTGATGAAAATCTATTGTTGATTTCCTTTCTTTTTATGTATCTAGTGATTACACTTTTCCACTAGCTAATACGCAAGATATTCTTCGAAATATATATCTCTTCCTTCTATTCAAATTCCTCTATTTTTAAAGTTGTTTTGATTTTAGGGTTTAATGACATGGAATTTTTATAGAATTCTTATAAAGTGTCGCTCTTGCGTAGTGTTTCAGTAGAGCACCTCTATATGTGAATTTGTTATGTAGTTGTCTGCATGAGTATTTTATATATTAATTAGTTGCAGTTCTAATGACATATTGCTCCTCTTTTGTTTTTTTTTTTTATTTAACTTAACCTAATACTATGTTTGTCTTGCTTCATCTGGATCCATGCTTAATATTTGCATTACGTGTGTTTGCAAGATACCTCCACCAATTATTGATGCAATTCAATTGGACGTAGTGATATATAATTTTTTTTTTTTTTTTTTTACTCTACAGTTGTTCATCTCCAGTAATTTGCATCTTGTTGCAGATACCTCCACAGATATATTGCTTCATTGGAGAGAAACGGCAAGCTTGAGACACTTGAAGCAATAAATGAGAAGATTCGGAAGCGTTTTAAGAATCCTAAGTTATCAAATAGTAACTGTGCAAAAGTCTGCAAGCATGCGTCTGTTGCTTGGTGTAGATCTCTTATAATTGGTTTAGCATTGATCACTCCTTTGCGACCTCGAATCCCAAGTGAGATTCAGGCCCTTAACCCATCAGATAATTTATCAGAAAATAGTCAAGTCCTTTGTGTTGATCTGCAAACAAATGAATTCTGGAATTCAGCATTTGAGGACTCCACCCATTTGGATAGTCTTGAAACAAAATGGAATCCAGTGTTGGCCAAAATCAAGAATGTAATTATACAAAGAGCTTCAGACGAAAATTTGGAGACTGCCAATTCTTTGCTTAGAAGCTCTTATAATTTCTTTCGAGAAAGTGCTTGTGTAATGCCACCGTCCGGTCTCAACCTCTATTTAGTGCCAACTCGGATATCGATGGAAACACAACTTCAGCCTGGCTTAAATGGGGTTGAGATTCTTGATCTGAGCATTCCAAGGAAGCTTCTATTATGGGCTTACACACTGTTGCATGGCCGTTATGCAAACATCTCCATCGTTTTGAAACACTGTGAAGAAAATATTAAGGTATGAAGCTAACTTGATCTACAGTCATACAATGATGATCTTAAGGCGATCGTCTATCGAGCATGGAATAGAATTTGATTGTTGCATCATGGGATTGTTGTCTTTTGCAGTCAAAGATGAAAAAGGGAGCTGGAACTTTATCTATGTCATCAAATGCAAGCTTAACCACTACCACTTCAGTTCATACAGGTAGTTCTCTCCTATCCTCTGGAATAACGATTTTTGCTTTCATATTTTAGAATCACTTAGAATTTCATTATTTTTATATCAGTTTGTAGGTTCCTTCAGTGTGCATTAACAATTTTTATTGAGAAGTTCTTGGGTATCCAAGTCATCATTGAGATGTTTTTCCTCGATTTCATGGGAGGTTTTTATGCTTCCACATATTGATGGCTGTTATTCCATGTAGCTATAGGTGGTGCAAAAGACAGTGCAAGTCACGGTGGAGGCAGTGAGCCAGATATTGTTGTGGTGGCTGCTCCGATGTCTGCATCAGTATCCGCCCCGTCATCCGAGAGTGAGAATACACAATTCATGGATCCATCACCACCTTCCAGTGAAACCCGAAAGAGCTTTTTGGCTGCTTTGCAACTAAACCTTAATGACACCAACCCCGTTAAAAAGGAGGGTTCTACAGCACATGAAGGAGATCAGTATAGGGGCTGAGATTATTTTTGGCTAAAAACTGAATAGATTTGTTATAGAAACAGTTTGTTGTTTTCATTTTTGAACCAACCAAATAGAATTAAAGTAGGAACAAGTATGTAACCCTTTTGAGAGTTGTACTGTTAGCACTTTGATGCCAAAATTGCAAACACTAAATACTTCTGTTTTCATGAATTAGAAAAATGGAATTCTATTCAATAATAAAACTGAATCGCTCTCGGCCCATACAATGATGGGTCCCAACCCGTAGCTAGCGATATTTGCGGATTCTGGATGAATTTTGTTTTTTTGGATCGGGTTCTATTGTTTAATTTTCAGACCTGTATCATTAAACTCTCAACTCTCTGCGTCTCTCTCGCTCTTTCTCTCTAACATAGTGCTAAGATCTCCCGCTCTCTATCTCTAAAACGTTGTTGATTGATCGTCTTGTATGGCGGACGATGATGAGGAAGATGGAGGTCTTAAGGTTTCTATTGGAAGCAGTTTAGATGCCCTTCAATCCAGAAGCTATGATTGCTGGTGGCCTGATAAAGAGAGACTCACCAGATAATAGATGTTAAATTTGTTGCAGCGAAGAGGGACTTGTTCGTGGTGCTTGTGCAATCGTACATCAAAAGTTCCTTTCTTTTTCTTTCGCAATTGGAGAAATTGAAGATTGAAGGTAATTTCATGCTCGACTTTGAAATGGCGAATAGAACCCGAATTAAATTAATTCTCTTTGAACACGGATCGGGTGGGGATGGGATAATCAGCTAGTTGGGCCGGGTAAAAATCCGAGTTGAATCCCCGACCCAACTCGAACTTGAGCACTCCTATATATGAAGCAAATCCAATTGAAGAAGATAAAAGAAATCAAAATGGGAAGTAAGGCTCTGTTACTGCTTAAAATACCAACGCCACTCCAAAGGCATCAGATAATTTTGAACTACGGACGAAGATACTCAACACGATCAACAACTAATGTGTCATCTCTTCAACCTCCAGATTTGCCTCGTTTGGCCGAAACTGCTCGAATTTCTCTTGCTCCCAATGAGGTCTTTTTCATTGCTCCTCCATCTCATTTTTATTAATTTTCTTTCTACTTTCTTTTATTATCTATCTTTTAACATTTTTTAGGTCGAAGAATTTGCTCCCAAAATTCGACAAGTAATTGATTGGTATATCCTTCTCTCTCTTACTCTAAATGCAGATATAGTATTTGTGAATTTTTTAGGATTGGAATTAGGCTTTTTTGTTTAACAGGTTTGGACAACTTCAAGCTGTCGATCTTAATAGTGTTGAACCTGCAATAAGAGCAGGTGTCCTATTAAATCCCTTTTAAGTTAAGTTGCGTTATTAACAGTCAAGTGTTTCATAGATTTTAGGCTTAGCAAAGTTGATTTGTTGAATTGACAGATAGCGAAGGTGAAAACTTGCGTGATGATATTCCTGAAACATACGACAAAAGGTAAGGAATTAGGTTTGGATTTTGCCGAGTTAGTGATAGCTGCGACTAGTTATAATTGCTGTTTTGTTTAAACAGGGAAGCTGCAATTGCTGGTGTTCCAAGCTATGAAGACCCTTATATCAAAGTTCCCAAAGTTTTGAACAAGGAGTAATGTCGTACCCACTTCATTTAGCTTTTGTTGGCTGAAAAAACCAGTGTCATTGTAATTTTGGTTGTGGTTTCTGTAAGAACAAACTATGAAATTTTCTACCTTTTAATGAAAAATTAGATTACCAGATTTTCTTCATGTTAGTTCCTAAAAAGTAAAGATACAATGTGAAGTTTCATGTGCTCAATCTTTTCAATTATCTCTGTAAATAATGTCAAACAAATTCTTTTAATTCCTTGGCTCAGGATCCTTTATCAACCACACTTTTTTTCACATCTTACTTTGCCGTTAATTTTACATCATTCAAGTTCTGACTAATAAGAGATGCTCAAACTGGAATGGATCTCTATTTCGATTGGGTGTTAACCCCCTTGATATTTACATTGGCATTATACGGCAAAAGGAATACAGGAGTTAAAAAATCCTGACTGCACATTGTTCAAAAGAAATGAATGCTCTCACTCTATTTTATCTTTCTTCCTTTTTTCTTTTTCCTTTTTTTTTTTTTTTTTTTTCATTGGCATTATACGGCCAAAAGGAATAACAGGAGTTAAAAAATCACTGACTGCAACATTATGGTTCAAAGAAGAACATAAATGCTACTCCACACTCTATTTTATCTTCTTCTTTTTTCTTTTTCCTTTTTTTTTTTTTTTTTTTTGCCCCTAATTTCGGCATATTTCTAAGCTTCGTGATGTCAACCAGGATTACTCATAAGTACTCAACAAACCCACTGCAACCCGAGAAAACAAACAAACAAGAAACTTTTTTTTTTTTTTTTTTTTTGCCCCTAATTCCTATTTCTACTTCTATGTCAACCATTTCTCTAGTACTCCGAAAAAACATACAAAACAAGAACAAAAGAAGAAGCTCCTCAATGTGGAATGCCTTTGACATTTTATCATGACTGCCAGAAGAGATCAAAATCATTACTGTACAGTGATCGGTCTTGAATCTCCAAATTTGCAACATGCCAATTAACAAGTTGCGATTGTAAAATCTTACACAGAACCAGTCCAGCTGGAAACATCCACCATTCGCTTTCGTCCCTGCACCAAAATCAGTTACTTAAATAGGAGCCCATCTACTTCATTATTCCCAAAACCGAACTTTTCAATTTACTGAATCTCCCAGAAGCAAAAGAACAAACTCACATGCTAATACTCCATGGCTGAAACGGGAACTTTTTACTCGAGGAAGATTGATTGTGATAATGAATATATCCACAAATAAATGCAACAATCTGGCAGAAAGTTATGGGAATGGATTAACGGACAAAAAAGACAATAAACAGATAACAATTTTCTGCCATCCAAGCAAGCAAAAATATTTAATCAGTTACCAGTATGACAAATGAATAAAGCAGTCTAAAAGGGATAAAAATGGCGACTTACAACATTAATCAAGGACGTAATATTCCACAATGCGTAGATACGAGCAAGGCCAGCAGAACGTCTTGGCCCATGACTAAATAAAGCATTGATTCCAGCAGGAAATGGCAGAAGAATACCGAGAGGTAAAATAAACAAAACCAGAAAGACATCTACCAATGAAATTGAATACAATTGGAGCAAAGTAAGCAACACTAAGCTAAAATCTCCTAGTAGTAGCATTGATATGACCAAACCAACAAGATCCTACATTAAGAAAATAACGTGTATCAGATTCTTATATCAATAGTAAACTTGAACTACGAAATAAATTAGTAAAAAACTCGTATTTATTCAAGTGCTACCTGGTGGCCAACAGGTTTAGTATTATGAATTATGAAAGAGAGAAGACAAAATATATCTCTCTTCTCTTCAAGCATATGTAAACTGTTAGTATCTAAACTCGCCCCATAACTCTTTTTCCGCCTTACATAATTTTCACTGCTTCTGGGGGCTTGGCTTGAGAGTGCATCTGCTCCCAAACGACCAGATGGATTTCCTCTGTAAGCAATCTTCAAACTGCTATACATAAGGTTAGAGGAAAACCATGTCAAATTTAAATTAGCATCAAAAGTATGTCTCCATGTAACACACGCATGCTTGTATGAGTAAGCATCAAGTACAAATCCACAAGCACTAGATCTGTTCATCACTAGCATTTGCTGAGGTCTCACCAGAGTCCTATGCTATAAGCATTAATTTTAATATGTATGCAGTTGTATATCCATCCGCAATCCTGCAAGTTAATGCTTCTCTTCCTGTCTGCATAAATTTTCATTTTTTACCTTACACATCTAGATGTATCCTGCATCGGCTTCCAAAAATGCAACTCGCGCTTGTACCACGGTGCAAAAACTTGCAAACATATATTTTTGAGATAATCAACAAGCTAATGAAATGCAGAAGTAAGAGAGCTCAGATATAAAACTACAATGTCACACTCTTTAACACATGGTATCAAAGCAGATCCACAGCTACTGACACTGACTGGTTAGAGGTAAAAAACATGGACCCTAATTAGATCAAATGGTTCTAAATTCGAGTGTGTGAAAAACCATTACCGTTCGTCATTTTGTTTGGCACCATCAGTACTTTCAATAGTTTCTTCTTCGGTGCTGTAAACCAAAAGTCCATATTGGCAATAACCAGAAGCTGTGGCCTGAAACCATGCAAGATCAACCCTTATCCCATGGATTCTCAAAGCAGGATTACCATGAGTTTCAAGCCATCTAATGACAGACCGAAATGTTACACGTAACCGCCCACGGCGAACTAGGCGCAGCTGTGCATTCAAACCGGCTACCATACGATACCAAGTGGTAGGAGGGACCATCTACAAGCCAGAAAAATGATCAATGAATATTACGGAGCTACAACAAAGAAGATGGTGAAGGCAAACATTTCTGTCTGAACTTTGAACTTGAAACAAGGATGGAACACAATTTTCTGGGAGCAAGAAAACAAACCTGGCCCATAAGGCTAGTAAGAATATTATCACTTTGAATTGAGAAAGGAGCCATGTAACTTCCATCACCTCCAAATATTATAGACATTGGAAACCTTTGATGTAAGCGAGGAGGAAGATCTGTTCTCTTTTCGTCCCCACCAAGGAAGAAGTCGAGATATGCAAGCATTAAGTCAGGAGTTGCAGCTACCTGCAGTAACAAAGGAAAAGAAATTTGAAGCTCAAAGGCCATATTGATGTTCTTAACATTAGTCTTTACACGCATCAAAGTTCTTAATTTCCGGAGAGAAATCCATAAAATGATAGCTTACAATCTTAATTGCTAAAGTTTCAAATCCCATCCACACAAAACATTCTTATTTTGTGAATAGCAATTATATTGGTCAAGCAACTGGAAACTGAGATGTTAGGCAATGAAATATTAGGGTATACTGAACAGAAAGCAGAAAGTAAGAAGCAGAATCATCAAATTTAGGTTTAAAAAGCCATATCATGACCATTCATTTAATAGTTTCAGTTCAGTGCCGAATATGCAGTACCAAGAATCTCATAATTTTGACATATCATCAACAATGACAAAAAAGGCACGCCAAATATCAACTTCACTTTTCTCAAAAGAATTTTACCCTCACTAATATATGGAAACTACCTTCGAACAAGTAATTTCAAAAGCAATCACCAAACAAAGCATACAGAAACCAAAATGAATAGTACTAGGATATCCAAGAGCTATTGGCCAATATTCTGCACACATAACAGTATTTACCTTGTACTACTGAAACAGTTGACAAGTTGAGATCAAGTCATGGATGTTGTTGAGAGATTATATTGTAATTGTATTTCTTGTATCTCATCAATCGATTACATAGGTCTATATATAAGGAATTCCTATGCTACCTAGCTATTTTCACAACAAGTGACAAACTAAAATGGCAACGCCAAGCTGTAGTCATTCGACTTTTTCTCAAGGAACTTTTACCCCCTCACAATAAGAAATTTGGGAAACGTACCTCTTCGAACGAAGTAATTATCAAGAAGCAATCACCAATACAAAGCCATACGAAACCAAAGATGAATAAGCTAGCAGAAGCGATATCCAAGAGCTATTGGCCAATATTACTGCGACACATAACAGTATTTAAACCGGATTGTCACTACCTAGAGAGAACAGTGAAACAAGTTGAGATACAAAGTACATGGATGTATGTTGAGAGATTATATAATGGAATTGGTAATTTCTTGCTATCTCAATTCAATGCGATTACATAGGAATCTAATATATAAGGAATATCTCTATGCTAACCTAGCTTTATTTAGGAATACAAAATCATAAAACTAATTAGGAATCATAACTCTAAATGAAACTACATATTTTACAACTCACATTCTTAGACACTCACCCTCAAGTTAGCATAGATACTTAATCAATGCTCTTAAACTTGTTACGGAACTGACTACTTTTCAGCAAGCACATTATACCATACCTCCAGCCAAACTGTTTACCGCCAGCTCATTATAGCAAATATATTTGAATCCCCCAAACTCTAAATAGTAAGTAGCAGAATTGTAGGCAACTTACACTTAGGTTTGTCGGCACAAATCTCACTGGGGAACGGCAGAACAACTCACAAAGTTGAGGCTGTTTTTCAAGCTTCCATAATCCAATGGCATCAAAGAGGAGGCCAGTTAGCGCAGATAGTTTTTCAGAAACGCAGCTAAAAGGAAAATCTGGCAAACAGAGCACACCACTGAAGGCCAATGAACACATTAATGCAACTCACTGGGGTTGCACTACTCTTGAACAAAGGAGAAGGTTCAAAAAAGCAGAATAGCCTTCTAACCTGCCAGAGCAAATGTGCAATACTAAAATATTTACCTTAATCGCACAAAAGGAATCACTAGAAAATCACCTGTTAAAATACATAATTGTTCACAAGCAAGGAAAATAATGTTCCTCAGCAAATTAAAGGCACAACATTACGCAACGGACTGCCGACATCAACTGCAATTAGATATCGCAAGCAACAAACCTATTTGAATAAGCCCAAGACATGACGATGCAAACTCTTACTGGGTTGCCACGCTCTCTTCAAAAGCCAACGTCGGAGAAAGAGTATCGGAACTGGAGTGAAAGACCATTGGAGCATGTTGCGCCAGCCCGCATGTGAGCGTGAGACCAGAGCAGTGAGAGAAAAGAGTTGGCGAGTGTGCTCGCGCCCATTCTGCTTGTGAAATCCGGCGACCGAATTCTCGGGAGTCGCTGAATTGCGGCTTGAGAATATTAGGGTGGCACGTGGCCACTTTCTCAATTAAAGTTGGAAGTTTTTGGGAAATTCCTTTTTTTTTTTTTTTTTTTTTTTTTTTTTTTTGAGCTGGGAAGAGCTCTGATACCATGTTGAGTATGATTTTTACTTGTGTAGACTGTATTCTTGTATCTTATCAATTTCGATTACATAGGTCTATATATATAGTGGAAATTCCATATCTACACTAAGCCTATTTAGGAATACAAATCGAAAAACTAATTAGCGTATATTTAAATCTCCTGATAGAATCTAATTTAGCCGACTATACTCCTTAAACTCAGATGTTCCTATGCTACCTAGCTATTTAGGAATACAAATCATAAACTAATTAGGAATCTAACTCCTAATAGAACTCTATTTACAACTAATCCTTAACAGATGTGTTAGGCAAAAAGGATTCATGTCATAGATATTAAAATCATTAAATGGAGCGCAAATTGGAGAGGAAGGAGTGAAGAAAGGGAAATAGAATGAAATTGACAAGTAGACACACAGAACATAACTTTGGCCATGGCAGGGCTGAAGATAGCTAGCCCTATAGCTCACTGCTATTATGGCTGTAGACACTTACAATGCAAAAGAGAAGAAGAAGAAAAACAGCAGATGAATAGCCAGCCACAAGCAATAAAATTAAGGTTTAACTTAGTTGCATTGAGATGAAAGAAAATACCCAAATACCAAAACACACAATAGAATATAAGATTTTATCTCTCATCATGCAGAAGTAATTGTCTTATTACACCTTGAAGAGTAAACAACAAAAAATGTAAAAGTAGCTATACCAACCTAAATTAGACAGTCATGAGAGTTTATTACTTAGCATATAAGAAGTCTGAGTAGGAAAGGGACAATCATGTTCCAATTATTTATAACATCATATAACCAAACAGACCAAATGCTAAAAATACAAACCTTGAGTCCTTCATAAAGTGCCCGTGAACGACAAGAGCGTAAGCAAGCATGATCATATTCTGATCGAACAAACTCGCGCAATCTTTGCAATTTGATTCGCCGGCGCCATTGCTGCCATGACCATGCTAGGGGATATGACAGAACAGAAAGAATGCTGTACATGGCACCCTCCCACCATTGATAAGCAGTTAAAGCATTGATCTCATCTACAAATGTATTGTATGCACCCTCATATCTGCCAAAAAAAAGATAAAATGAACAACAAAACATACCAGCTTGAAATGATAGATGTTATCGAAATCCATAAAGCCTAAATAGAAGATGACATACCACTGATGATAGACATACAACTGAAGAAACAAAAAAAAAAAAAAAAAAAAAAAAAAAAAAAAAAAAAAAAAAAAAAAGCATGTAACTTTACCTATCCTCTTTTATTTGCTTCAAGGTGGATGTTAATGGTGGAAAAAAAAAAAAAAAAAAAAAAAAAAAAAAAAGCATGTAACTTACACTATCTCTTTTATTTGCTCAGGTGGAGTATGTGGAAGATGCCAAGGTTGACTAAAAGTATTTGGACCCATAAAATACATTCTGTGCACATGACTTTGAGACTCCTCAGCTCTATTTGTTTCCAAAACCTGAAGTGGAATGCAACTCATCAACATACACAGACAAAAGCACTATCCTCCCCATGTGGTGAGTACCAAACGGACGATTTAAAGGGCAGGTTTTAAAGCAATTTCCAAAATTTCAGAAATCAGTATGTCAAAGCATTGAATGAAACCTCATTTAAAGATTCGAGGAATGGGAAAGAGTGATCGATTTGAGAGCCATGCTGAGTGGGAGCTGGGCCTGGCAATTCATCAACTCCAATAAATTTCATCCGGGCAACACTAAGCACCAGGGCTAAGAGGATGAGAAGAGCCAGGAGAAGCAGACAAAATAGCCATGGCCCACCAAATGTGTAAATCAACTCTTCAAGGGCTGTGTAACAATGTGGCATATGAAATCTGTCTGAGACGCATTTGTAAGGACATGGCATTTCAGCAATACCACCTGTTTAAGAGGACAAAATGAGGATCAATGGCTAATTTGCAAGGACTTGTCCCATATTAGTATTAGAGGCACATTTATGCTTGTGCCCATGCATATTTCATTTGTGCATCATGGGTGTGTGCACTTCTCCCTCCTAGATTGTCTGTCCCTCTCAGAAAATTCAACTTTTTGAGTATACATTATCTATTTCTTCAGTACGCACCCCATGTAAATGCTAGTTTGTGGTATCTAAGCATATTCTTTCCATATAAAGAGCACTTTTAGAAGAATTGTTGATCACTTAGGTCATAATACCTCTGACAGCAACATAAACAGCACGGTGGGGAAGGTAACTGGCAGGGCAAGGATGGCAAAGAGCTCTATCAGATCCAGTAACATTCTTATATGTGCCAGCTGGACATTCCTGAAGAAGCCAATAAATAATAATAAGAAGAAAATATAAACTCCAAGAAGTCTAAATAGCATCACAGAACCCACTGAATTGCAGTAAAAATGCCATCAGCTATCACCATCAAATGATATTATGAAATTTGCTCCCAATCTAGCTATTGGCTAAGCTATTAATTGTCTAAAGTTTTGAGGATTGCAAATATTCAACCCTAGGACTAATTCTCAAGGCCAGCATCTCCATGAGGGATAAGGAGAGTTATTATCTAGTTAATTTGTAGTTAGCTGATATTACAGAGAGGAGGCTATTGTTACCTATATAACCTAGGCCCATGTCCATGGGGTCTCATGCAAAAAAAAAAGAATTATTAACGTCAAATAATAAATAGTGATATTTCTTTGTCCATCTTATTTCTTATTCCACATTTCCAACAGAAAAAGATGAATGAAGTGTAAGCCAGAACTCATATTTTCAGCACCACAGAAAGGGGAAAAAAAAATACAAAAATCACAGTAATAAAATATCACATTCTTTGCTCAGCCTTAATCCAGTCAATGATGGAAAAGTTTAAAGTCCTCGATCGGATGCATATAATTCCAAGATAACACATTGTCAGAAACACCTTTAAAAAGAAAGCCAAGAAAATGCAACACTACCTGGCAAAATACTCCATACAGCCCTTTTGGGCATGCTTTCCCAGTCAGTGTCCCATTTTCTCCAGCTTGACCCTCACCTCTACCTATTCCTCCCCTGTAACATCAACAATAACAAAAAAATAATGGATTACAAATATAAGCCATTTTCACCAGAACAAATGAAATGAGCCTTACCAAGGAAGAACAAGAAACAGGTTCTATTCATTCAAACATATCATTCAATAACAGGAATGTACTATTGGCAAGCACCAAATGCAAGGAGATCATAAAATATTCTACTTTCAGTTTTTTGAAAGAGACAAAACTCCAGCAATCCATTGTTTCCACATTGTCTGCCTGAAACATAATTCAATTGATGCAGCATCACTAAAGAAGACTGCACACTCTCTTAATACTAATGTGTTCAAAAGAATTATGAAGGCAAAAGCACTATGCAGCAGTCTCACCTAGGTTAGACAAACATACCCGCTCACCCCCTCCGCATCTATGGGGATCATATGCTAAAACCATTCTACCACTGATACTGGCATGCATTCCTAATGTGCCAAGGTGGCATTAGAATAACTGTCTCCATCAAAATTCCTCAGTCTCTCATTTTGAGTTCACAGATGCTAAATCTCCAGAATTCAAAATACTCATCTCTTTGACTACTTAGTTCTCTATTTTCAACTTCCCTTTCAATCTTTCTTAGATCTTCATTAATTCATCAAATCAAAACATTTCTAACATTCACTCCTTTTTCACCAAAATGTATTAAGCCTTAAGGGACGCACATCCAAGTTGTAAAAGTGAAACAAATAAGAGATAGAACTAGGATGATGTGACATTTAGCAGCATTAGTGCTTTTATAAGCATAGCCCTGAATCAAGTAAAATTGAGGAGACTCGATTGAGATTCAAGGTCACACGAGTATTACTGAGATTACCAGTCAGGTTCTCAATTTATCCTCTCATTTCACAGCCTTTGAAGACAAAAAAACATATAGATAAATGAAAACCAAAAATAACATGGTATATACTATTAGAATAGATGAGCTATACAGATTGCAGAGCATAATCTTGCCTAGCATATCAAAATTCCCAGGAACTCTCTCTATCCACCAGAAAACACATTCAACACATCTACAATTGAAGGTCATATCGTTTAGAATGAACTTTTTTTTATTAATCACAACGTAATAAAGTCTGCTAAATGAGCTATTTAATTCATTTAGAAAACAGGGATACTAATGATGGAAAATTTGAAACCAGACAGAACTTATCATGATAACCATCAGGATATCAAGTATTTAGATGAATACAAACCTAGTTTGGATGCTTCCTTTTACACTAGCAATGGGCTGGTAAACATCTCCAGTAGGAATGTCTGACCAGTGGAAGTGAATCCTTCCACCGCCCCCTCCACCACTCCCATTTAGGCTTCCATAGCCCCCACCACTTGAAACAACAGCAGACTCAGCAAGATCTAGTGTATGCAAAAACAAAAGAATAGTTCCTCCAGAACCACCCCCAGGACCTCCTCTGGTGTGATTCATAACAGTGAAATCCCCTTGCTTGACAATATCTTCAAAACTTTCCCCATCAGCTCTCACTGATCCTTCAACAGACAAACTTGACAAAGGATGTTCCGCTGAGCCCATTACTGCTCATATACATGGAATAACAAAGCAAGTGAAACAAGTCATCAGCTCACAGTTAAAATATGACACAAACATATGCAGTTTTCTCAACATGCAATTAGATAAATAAACCAAGGTCAAGCTTGCAAAGGGATCAATTATCAAGATGCCAGTGAAAGAAACAGATCCAAGTCATACTTGCATCCTGGATAAATAGACTAATCCCTGTATCTTATGCAGATAATCATTGCCAAATGTCATAATAGTGCATGTGCGTGTGTGTGTGTGTGTGAGAGAGAGAGAGAGAGAGAGAGAGAGAGATTTCGAAGCTGTATTGCAACAATTTATCCCGAACATAAGGAAAAGAGAGCTAGAAACTATTTAGTAAATTGAGACATAAGATAAAATTACCTATGATGCCACCGCCTGCAGTCGAATTTGCTGACTTTTCATCCCCACTTCCACTACCAAGTTCACAAGGCAACTCTGCATTTCCATATGCAATCCCACCGTCAACACAGCTACCATTGTGACATCCACGCCCACCTTTACCCCCATGGCCGCCACCACTGCCAATACTATATTCTAAAACCTGACCTCTCCCCACACCGCCTGTGCAGCCTGCGTGAATAGAAATATGTTACTTCTTAAATTTCATCTAAACCATGACTTACAACGATATGAAACATATCTAAAGACAACATATGGATTCTAAATATCTCTTGGTTTAAGCCATCAGCAGGAGAATAAACATCTGTAGGTGCAAGCATGGAAAGAGAAAGAGAGATGTCAATAAGAAATGACCATAAAAGGAGTCTTGTAGAACATACCCATCCCAGATGCACTAATTGTTCCAGAAGACGGAACAGATACAGTCCTTGCACGATGGAAGTGCACAACAGATCCTTTTATAAGCCCTTCAACGGTGATATCCTCCACTCGGCAAATCTGATGTAAACGATACAGTTAAATAAACTGAAATAAGTAAATTTCAAACAGTGCAAAAGATAACTCTGCTCAATGATCACCTGAAGGGTAAAAGACAAAGATGAGTTCACGTTGCAATCTTCAGGAGGATGAAGTAGTTCAAGGGGGCAATCTTCACGTTCACAATGGAGCCTTGGTCTACTACATAAGCAAAAACACACAATTTTCAAGATGCGAGTACAAGATGAAGCATAAAAGAAGATCCAACAAAATCAACTTACACAGCATCATTTGTTGCATTCTTCAGAGGACCACGCAAAACAGATCCAGGTCCAACCTGCACACAAATTAGAAATAAATAATTAGAGATTCAAGGTGAGAAATATAACCTTACTATTACTGCTCCGGAATCAATGAACAACATTCAACAACCTCCATTAAATTTTTTTTTTTTTCTTTCGAACTGAATCCTCATCAAGTGCATGGATCTTAACAAAATAAATCATAGACCACCCTACACATCACCAGGATGGTCAAGAAACATTGCACCATGAAGATCTCCTGGTCTAAAACCTACCAGGAGAAGAGATAAATGATAGCATATGTGCATTCACCAACCAATACCACACATCAAATTTCAATCACATCATTAACTAACCTGATCATATCCTTAGCTAACCTGATACTTGCCTCAACAGTTTTCACCTTTACCACGCACTAAACACAATAAAAATTTTTGGAAAAGGAACCAAAACTCTTTACTTCTGCCTATCGAGAATGGACAATAATTTCACGACATCCAATGACAGAAGCAGGGGACTGTTATTAAGGCATTTAGCAAGTACGTATAAACACGTACTTCAACACTATATAACTCTGGTGTACCACAAGCATTAAATGTCTATAAAATATTTGACAAAATTTAAAAAATTCCAATATTACTCTGATGTACCGCAACTATTAAATATTAATAAAATATTTGATAAAATTTGCAAACTTTCTATATCAGCCCAGTTAAGCAGGCAGAAAGAAAATGGCTATTTAAATCCAAAGTACAAAAGGTACGAGAGATCAAACTACCATAGAACATACATGCAAACAAGGAAAAACAAAAAGTTGTATGAATCCACAAAACTATGTGGATAGGAAAAAAAAAAAGAAAAAGAAAAGAAAAAAAGTAGATACCAAAGTAGTATTGATAATTCAACAATAGTTTTACTTCAATACCAAATTTTTAGTTACTTCAAGTGGATGAAAAACTCGTGAGCCATCATTATATTATACAACCATGACTTACATGAATATTATAAAATAGTGATAGAACCAGTCGTTGAGCTTCGATTGAATCACCAGGTCCTGACAAATTCAACAACCCCTGTCCATGAACTCCCAGATTTGCATTAGATTGTATGACAGATGATTCCTGTTTAACAGAAAAATGAGGAGTCACACAAAAATGCAATATAAGCAACATAACAAAGAAGATAACACAAGGACAGGTAGAGAAGTACCTTGAGAACAATTAAATTACTAGCCTCAAGCCAAGAAGTTGCAACACTTGCATCTTCACCACCATCTATGATCATTTTGGAATTCCACATTAAGAAAATTTTTACAGTCATGCGTAAAGCCCCATATACCTGAGGTGTAATGAACAGAGTGGCCATACACATCATGATCATATCACAAATGGACAATATAAGAAGCATTATGATGTGAGGTTTGTAAACCGCATGAAAGGCAATGAAAATAAGCACACATAACAATCTTACGAATATGGAGATAATATTTAACAGCTCAACTACTAGTAATAAATATTTTTAGGGTGGCAACAATTCAAAAGAAGAAATCAAGCAAGACCACAAAGTTAACAGCAACACTCCCTCCAAAAAGAATATAAACGCAATATTAAGGTGTTTGAGCATATTTAACCATTGAAAACTTAGATATACACTAATATACGTGTGCTTCCATGCATAGGCACAATCATTTCTGCATACAAAGAATTACATATGATCTGTAACCTCACACCACAAAACTAATAATGGTCAAGTCCCATGGTCAATTTAATAAGTACACACCAACGAAATAATAATGGTCAAGTTTCATGATAAGTAGTACAATGTTGAAAAGAGATGAAATCTTCTGGAATTTGTCAGAGATAGAAGCTTTTTCACTCTGCCTAAAAAGTACAATAACAAATGCAAGGATTTCAAGCAAAGATGTGACAGATCATCAGGCCACAGGTAAAGGACAATTGCTCACCTTGATTACAGAGTCACTCATTAACAGCTCCTCTGCCAATAACTCAAACTCAGATGAAGCATAATGAGCTAGACCAAAGCTCAGCACTCCACCACACAATAGACTTATCTGTCCTTGGACCTACATATGAAATGAGGATTAGGTCACAATAAAATCATACTCGCAATTAAGTACTTGGCACATGTCTGAACAGAGGATTTTGGCCAAAAGAAGATACTCAATAAATGAAAAAACAGAAGAGGATATATAAGGAGAAAATTCCCCCCACTAAATGGTACACAAATGAGCAAATCATCTCAGATGCACTCAAATGGAAAGGGATAACACAAAAGGTCCCCAAGGAAAAAACATCTCAGAATAAGTTCATCTTAGGAAGAGGAGTCCAAATAAACAGTCAGCAGAAAGGTAAATTACTATAAAACTACCCTGAGCTTTTGGCAAAATAAATACTTCCATTCACATTATTTTGAAATTGGCTATCTTAGTCACACTATCACTACAGAAAAGAGTAAGATGTTGAGAGTAGATTGTGATTGAACTTTAAAAGTTTCAGGACTAAAAACTGAAACCTTCTCTGGAAAGGGCTAATGACCAAAGAAACCCAAACCTTCTCTGAAAAATTGCAATATACCCAAACCTTTCAGCACATATTACTTTATCCTAAACTTTAAAGGATTTGTTGCAACTGTACCCATTTGATCAAAATCACTTTATTGAAAATCAAATATTATCTTTTGCAATTCAGAAGAGATTGATGAAGAATTATGCTTAGATTGAATTAGGAGACAAGTGATAGGACTACTAGGACAAATTTTAAAGGCTAGGGTAAAATAATATATTTTGAAAGGTTTGGACACAATGGTAACCTTATGAAAATGTTTGGGCTTTTTTGGCAATTAGATCGGTGAAAAATATAAGAAGTTCAGTGCAATAGAAAAAAAATGTTGTCTTCTACATCAAGGACCAAGGTATAGAGTCCAAGAACAAACATGTATACTAGGCCAAAGCTCAAGGAGGTTTAACAATTTACCCAAATATATTCAGGATAATGTTAAAAAATACCTCCAAAACACATAAAAGTAATTACAGATAATTGTGCCTCCTCACTGCACCTTTTATTTGTGATGGTATGAACATATGTCCATTACCAGATTCAAACATAAGCTGCAAATTCATGTATCAGTGTATCCACCATATATAAACATTCAATCCCAGACTCTCGGCACCTTTGTGTCATTTCAACTTCCTCTTTTCTTGAATTGCCAATGTTGCAACTTGCTAAGGATACAGATTTTCCCATTTACATTATGCAAATAGAAAGAATTCATATATCTTCACAACATAACATTAGCAATGGCCATCTTAGCCAAAAAATTTTATAAATTTTGTGTACTCTATTTGTTTTCTCTAGAAAGCAAGCTACCAAATATAGGGAAAATAAATTAACAATTAAAATATCAGAAACCTGAACACGACTCCAAAGCAAGGGTACAGTTGCCCTGGCAAGATTTCGGACATAGACATTTGTCCAAAGGGGCTGGTTAGGAAAGTCCAAAAGAAGGGTCTCAGTATCTGTTGACATATTGTGATTGCTAACAATAAGGCTCCGGGGAACAGCATCATACAAAGTCCCAGCACCACCTGCATTTTCTGGACAGCCAAGACTATTTCCTCCTGAAACATAATAGTAGACATGCATACTTCAGTGCTCCATAAAATCGTACAAATTAAACACACATAAAAATATAGAAGATATGTTTGTATATACACTGACATACACATAGATATTAGATACATATAAATGATAAGCCCAAATAATTACATATAATATATAATAGAAAAGAGATACCTGACGAGCACCCATGTTTCAGTACATGCTTACCCACAATGCCAAGCAAAAAAATAAGTCCAGGTAAAAAATATGATCTAGAAATACATGATCTAGAAACACACACAAAATTTCAAGAATCTTTAAACAGAATGAATCTGATGCCTATTCCACAAGATCTAGAAGATAATATTGGGATGATATAAAATATTTAAGGATGCAAACAGGTACGAATATAAAAGAACAATAATATAGACTAGCTGCTAATATTGGAGGTAATAACACAATGTAAATAGTGGTGACCATTATCATCAAGATGAAAATGACAGGATCCTAGGATTAATATCCTCTTGAATATCTACTGCAGGAACAGATCGACTTTCATAGCAACCAATAATTTTATGCTGGCCATTAATCTACCATAGCCCAGCCCTCCCTCACCAAGTCAAAACATGATATCGGCAGACTGGGAAACTAACAGATTATCCAAAATCCACAAGACAGTCAATGAGATATCATTTAGGGGTACTTTTTTCGGGAGGAAATATCATTCCAAGCTATCGCCTTTTCATCTATAAATAAACATACGTCAAAGAAAACCCCAGATGAATATAAATATCAACATATGCTTGAAAACAACATGCAGTGGTTTGAAATAGCCAAATGTAGTCATGCATTAAAAACAAGGCTGATAGAAAAACCAGGAATTTTCTAAAGTAGAAAGCTAAATGAAGCCAGAAAATACATCAAGTCTCACCATGCACAAAAATTTGAGGGTCATCATGCCTACTGAAAATGTCAACTGCAACTCTTCCACCGCCACCACCAGCAAAACCACTTCCCCCACAAGCACTTATTCTGCCACTTCCAATCCTGCTCTTCACAGACAGAGAGAGACAGATTATAGAAACAATAAGGCATGTATAATGGTAATATCATTACCAGAAATGAAAGGGGAGACAGAGAATAAACAAGGTTCAGAAACCAGCATTTCACTTCGAAATGAAGCAATGCTATGAGATAACTGCTAACCAGAATTTCAAATTAGCTAAAATAAAGAATTACTACCAGCATAGGATACTGAACCAAATCAAAGAAATTAGAATGTTGTTCTCACAAATTACAGAAATTATTTTCATGGATATTGCAATGCATCTTTATAAACCAAATAAAATCAAAATAAAGAAGAACAGCTAATACGAACTTGATTACTAGAAGTTGCAACTTTACTTGACCAACCTCTTAGAGAGAAGCATGGATAGATACAGTCATGAGGAAAAAGGTTATGGCTGTATATAACCTTAAAAAAAAGGTTCTTTTATAACAAAAAAAAAAAAAAAAAAAACATTCATGAGGAAAAAGGTTATATGGCTGTATATACCTTAAAAAAAGGTTCTTTTATAACAAAAAAAAAAAAAAAAAAAAATGACAAGTCTTTCACCAATAACCTAACTTTAGATAGTGACTACAATCAGAAAAATACTTTGAGGTCTTATGAGGACATTGATCGAAAGAATATTTCCCCCTTCATATAACATTGATCCCATACTATAATTTCTAATCAAGAATCCAGAGCAATTCCCATCTGCTATTTAGAGTTTATGCAACCCAAAACTCTTAACACATTTCCTCCGATAAAATGCTAGATTTCCAATTTCATCATCCTAGACCTTACATTCCCACAGTTTCATATTGCTTATTTTTCCAAAATAATAAAGGTCAAATAAACTACATTAAAATTACTTTGACTAGCTTCACATTAACTAACTAATCTTCATTTGTTGTTTTAAAAATCACAAACTACGAAATCCCATTTCTCGCAAAAAAAAAAAAAAAAAAAAAAAAAAAAAAAAAATTAAACATTTCAGAATTCAAAATCTTAATAAAACACTAAACTTCACTCACAATAGCTAGCCCACAGTCAGGAAAGTAAACTTAAAAAAAAAAAAAAAAAAAAAAAAAATTAACATTTCAGAATTCAAAATTCTTAATAAAACACTCCTTCACTCACAATAGCTAGCACAGTCAGAAAGTAAACTTACATTTTATGGGCCTTTAAGTGGATGCTGCCACCAGAGCCACCGCCTCCTTTTTGACCCCCATAACCTCCATCCGCCAATATGTAGCCATCCACTAGCAAATACTCAATTATTGTAAACTTCAATATTCCACCCCCTAGTCCACCATAATCCACCTCCTTACTTGTACTTCCTCCCTTGCTTCCATAACTACTGGGATTCTGCAAGGACGACCAGGAGTACGCGTCCCCTCCCCAAACATCCTCCGGCAGCTTCGCATGATCCACTAAACAACAAGCACCCCTCCCTCCATGCCCCCCTCCCGCTCCTTCTGTTCCCTGAGGGGTCCCACTCGTCTGCGCTGGAGGTTTCCCAGCCATTCCCGTCGTGTTCACCGCCGAACCATTGAGAAAGCTCGCATTATAAGCCACGAGCTCAAAACCTCCGGTCACAATCGATGCATTGATTGACAAAGTGAAATTTCCGGTGATGTTAACGGTTATAAAACAACCAGCAGAAGGACAATTAAAACTCACCCCGGGATGGATGTAAAAATTTCCCTTCCCTTGTATATACACGTCATCGGTGAGGTTCACATCGGATATTATCTGACACGTAGTGTCCAACGAACCTATGCCGCCGAGATCGTCGGTGCAAGATACCGACGGAGCATGCGGCGGCGGAGGCGGTGGAGACGGAGGAGAATAGTCTTGATGAAATAGATTGGAATCGAAATCAATTATCGAGAAATAATCCTCCTTACTAGTAGAAAGAACAAGGTTACGGTTCGTAATTAGATAGGTTACAAAAATGGCGAAATGGAAGAGAGTGAAAGAGTGAAATCGAGCCATTCACTGGTTATGAAAGTCATTAGAATGGAAGGTCAGGATTCTGTAAATAGAAGCATATAAATATCAACATTAAGACAACCATGAGAGAGATAAAGAAACAGTAAGTTCTCTCAAATTTCTTGCAAATGGGGAAGGAATTAAATCGAATGGGAGTGAAAACCCTAGAAATGGTGTCTCTGCAATTAGATTTGAGTTTTTCGACAGGAAAGGAAGTGCTCTATAGAGAGAGAAAATAAGAGCAGATGGCAAGGACAGAAAAGGAGAGAGAACTTTATTGGCTGAGGTTGAGGATTTGGTAGAAACGGTCGAGTCCACGTGGGCTCACTTTCGTGTCAATTATTAATTAGATTATCTAATGCTTGAGCCAATGGGATTCTTTCATTTGGAGATTATAGAGAAGACTTGAGCGTTCTTGATTTAGTAACATTTGAGTAAATCCCACGCTAATTCAAAGAGCGTCTAAATCACTTGCTAATTCGGTAACGAGATCAAACGGACAAGATAATCGTCTTCAAAGGGGTTTTAACTTAACCCTGGACAGTATCACTTTTCGCATTGGTACGTTGATAATTTCCCCGAGTGGCAATTGTTCTACGCGCGGTTACGGAGTACGTGTTTGCGGAATGGCGCGTAACGTGGAGGAGCTAAACCCATAACACAATCCATAATAGGAAAGAGTAGCGATAACATCACCCGCTTAGGATCTAAGATCTGTCACCTGTTGGATTAAAATGGCGCCAGCAAGGAGTCAAAGGACGCTGTTTTTCTAAGTTTTGACTCGTATGGTAAGTGTTGGATGTTTGTTACGCGGCAACTCTGCGGGTGGTGAGGTTAAGTCATTTTCTAGATTGATTTGGGGAAGCATTCACCTTTGATAATACGAGGAGTTGACACGTGGAAAAATGTACGTACATATAATTTTTATATGTTTTGAGATACAAGGAGTTACCTTTAAAATACGCTCATTAGACCATGTTTATAAAAAATTAAAAATTACTTTAATTATTCTTCCTTTCGAATTCCGTTCAATTGTTACGTTTTTCTCTTTTTAATTATCTTAAATATTAATTCAGTCTCTAGACGCCTTTATTTTTAAAAATAACTTACTTAAATATCGATAATTATAATTATTTTTTTAAAGTGTATTGTATATTATTTCTACTCGTTTATTTTAATATATTATTAATAAATATAATATAATTTTTTATATAAAATTGGTATTGTTTTTTGGTGACATTAAGTAAAAAGATTCATTCATGACAACTTTCCATCGGTAAGAAAAATAAAGATTGCGTTGTGCTTCTAATCTTGGTATTTTTAAATCTCAAATAAAATGAAATGCATTTTCCATAATATGTTTTATTATAATATTATTTATTTATCATAATTCATATTTATAAATATATTCTTTAAAACAAAATAAAATGATTCACCCAAAATTTATAAGCACTTTCGAGAATAAAAGAAATGCAACACAACTCCTAGGTCCCTATTAATTCCATTTTATTAGATAAGTGAGATGAAATAAGGAGTATATGAGATATTATTAGTGAAATTATTCTAAATTTTGTTTGACATAATAATATTTACCAGAAATGTAAAATATATATTTTTTAATTACATTCAAATATTCTCGATTTAACATGCATGTTAAAATAAAATTCTCTCGTCAATTTTTTTAAAGATTAACTCTTTCATTTTTTTAATTTTTATAATATATGAATATTCTGCGATAAAATTGAATGCTTATTTTTAGAAAAAAAATAAAAAAATGAGAATTCTTACTTTTAGATTGACTCAACGCGCGGACAGTGATAAATAATTCATTAATAATACTACACGTCCCATTTAAAAAAAAAAATCTCAAATATTGAATAACAAAAAGTCAAAACTAAAGTTGCATGTTTCTTTCCTTTCTAAGGTGGTTGCTTGGATCTTTAGGGTTGCGTGAAACACTGCAATGGCCCCAACAAGGGAACTGTGGTAGGATTATGAATATGATTGAAGTAGATCATAGTTTCACCGGAGTAATGAGATTTGCCTTAAATGAGTCTGCAGACACTATTTGAGTGGTTTATTTCTTAGGTGGGTTTTGTGCTCACTTAGCTAGTTCGCACGTGTTTCTGAAGTCAAATGGCCCCTACTGTGAATCAGTAAACGGAAAATGAACACACGCGTTTAATCCAAATTTTAACTTTAAGGCATTTAATTATAATTCAGCGCATGGTAATTTTAAGCTATTGACCTTTCAACCAAGCGCTATAAGCAATTGTGAAATTATTTTCTGAATCCTTGGTAGAGCAGGATTCAGCATCACTGTCAAAGGCTAAAAATATTTAATTAAAAGAGATATAAAGTTAAAAAAAAAAAAATCCATCCATTTATATAGTAAATTAAAAAATTTCTATTGGCTAGGGGTCGGCAGTGGATGTATTTCTTGGTAAGGATTTGTCTTAGCGATGAAGTTTCTTCGCTCTAAAAAAATTTTCAGGCTACAATATCTTTCCCCTTTTTTTCTTTTTTTTTAGAAAAAAATATCTTTTGCCTTAGAGAAAAGCTGTTGTATTATTATCCTTGGCCCATTCGGAAAGTAATGAGTCCAAGGACAGTGTCGCATTACCTCGGCCCTTCACTCTAATGCAAATCAATGGCCCAAGGATAATCATGGGACATAACATAACAATAAGCCGTAACGGATTTTTTTTTTTTTTTCCTTTAAAAAAAAAAAAAAAAAACTCAAGTGCTAAATAATTGTTAAACCAAATACTATTCACCATTAAACTTAATCAATTAGTGCAATGGTCGGCGCAATTTACTTCTAATGCGTGCTGATTTGAGAGTTTAAATGTATAAATGAGAGGTTCTAAAATTGAACATAATTAACCATAAAATATTTGCAAACAAATTTATTTATAAGCTATGGATAATAAGAAAAGTATATATTTGATTTATATCGGTTACAAATTTGGAACGAGTGAAACTTATTATTTATTTTCTATAATTAAGGACATTTTGAATCACAAGAGACAGAAATAACTTGTAATTGTAGCTCTTGTTCTTTGACCTCTTCAACCTGTTGAGCAACTTTTGTTGCATGATTCTGCAGTTCTTTATTTTTACCCCATAGCAGAATGTAGAGCCCCACGATTACAATAATGGATCCTAATAAGCTGGTGTAGTCATTCATTTTTCCAATGCCAAAAATCATGAGAAATGTATTATAAAGATTTACCGAGTCAAAATTAATAAACTAAGAAGGAGAAGCTCACCTGCCAAAATGGAGTTCCTCGTGCAATATAGTAATATCAAACAAAGCTGCCATTATTTGAACGAGGGGACTAAATGCTGAAGTGAATACAGGTCCCCTTTTCTTGACACACCAAGCCATCCCTACATAACACAAGCCCGAGCCTACCGTCCCCTACACGGACCATAAAAATTGACAAATTATTAAATAGACTCTAGCTGTGTATTCCGTCAATAATAAAATAATCTATTGGAACAATATGTCTTGTTATAATAAATTTATAAATTTACCATTCGGGTTGTTAAACGATAACAAAAAAAAAAAAAAAAAAAAAAAAAATAAAATAATCTATGGAACAATATTGTCTTGTTATAATAAATTTATAAATTTACCATCGGGTTGTTAAACGATAACAAAAAAAAAAAAAAAAAAAAAAAATCCAAAAATTTTGCCATTTTTCAAATTGAGTTGAATCACAAATTAATTGTTAAAACTTAAAAGTTGAAAATGTGAAAATGGAATACATACAGCATACAGACAGTTATTAATTGTATTTTTCCTTTGGGAAGCCAAATAAGAGAAGATTCCTTCTGGTAGACAAGGCTTTAAAACAGGCCAGATTGAATAGCCACCAAAGAATGAAAAAAAAAAAAAAAAAAAAAAAAAAATCAAAATTTTGCATTTTCAAATGATGAATTCACAAATTAATGTTAAAACTTAAAAGTTGAAAATGTGAAAATGGAATACATACAGCATACAAGACAGTTATGATTTGTATTTTTCCTTTGAGAAGCCAAATAGAGAGATTCCTTCTGGTAGACAAGGCTAAAACAGCAGATTGAATAGCACCAAAGAATGACATAATTGCAGTGCTTGAATACTGGTAAGGATATCTCTTGCCAATTTTTGATTGAAGCAAGAACCAAGAAGACCACAATAGGGTTCCTGCACCCAAAGCAACACACCCAATTGTCCATTTTTCAGCTTTTCTTTTCCTGTAACTCACTAGCTTTATATGTTCCATAGCTTGATGTGGCTTTAAACTTGTTTGTAAATGTGAATGTGAATGGGTGAATAAAGGCATTCCTTTGTAGAGAGTCAGCACCATAGCCCCTCCAACACAAACCAGAGTGCCAACTACTTTAGCTCTCCCACTGTTGGATTTTATATTTACACTCTCCATCCTGCATTGCATGTATGTACCAAATAATTTATTAAAAATGATTTAAAAAGTATAATAAAGCTATATCTGATAAGTCATAACGGAACGTAACATAAGATAATCAAATGTATGTATAGAGTAATATTTTGCATTATAAATAGTTTTGATTATGTTACATTACGGTTCATTTCGACTCACCGGATATAGTCTAACGTTAAGACGATACTTGAAATGTTATCAAGACGTATAATATATAAATACACACATTACCCAAATGGCAATGCCGTTATAAATGTGATCACAGGCACCATGTTGACGAAGGCACATGCAAACGTAGCAGATGTGTATTGAATACCAAGAAGGAAGAAATATTGAGTTAGTGATGCCCTGCAAGAAATTTTTAGTTAGTTTTTCTTTTTTTTTTAATGATATTTTTAACTATTCTTGAAAATCAGATAAAAAGGAACTAATTAAAAGTTGGAAAGCTTATATTAGTAACTACTAAGCTATATAATTAATTATTGATTAATAATACAAACCCGACAATTGCACTGAGAAAGAGGTAACACAAGATTCGAAATGTGAGCTGCGATCTGCTATTCCTGCAAGCAAGTTTGGTTTATATGATCTACATATAATCTAAAGCTGAAAATAAAGTGTATAGCAACTGTTTAAATGAGAAAAATCTTTCAACTTCTAAATCACAGATAAATTATAAATGGAGGCATGGCTAGTTTGATTCAGTGACCGCGATTAGTTGTTGGATATTAACACTCATCAATCAATTATTGGTGATTCGATTAAAGCTCGAGAGTTAAAAGTTACACCAACAAAAAAATTTAATTTTTTACATTTTATTATTGGTTCAAAATGCAAACTTTTAAATTTCAAAACCGTTACTTCTCGAGTGTTGACTTTACTGACGAAGAGAGCATTTGGTTCAGCTGATTCATATTCAATTGTTAGGTTCAAACTAATCCTTGGAGGTTCAAAAATGCTAGAATTAACTATATAAACCATGAAACTGGGTAGGGTAAAAAATCTCTAGCTCCAGGAAATTATTATGGAAAAAAAAAAAGAAATAGAAAAGAGAAAGAAAAGCTGCTACCTTTCCCAGAAATAACCGATGGGACCTAAGAAAGCAGCGGAAATCGAAAGGCGATAGGTGATAAGGACCAAATGATTGATCCCTTCATTAAGAACTTTCTCAAGAAGAATATTCACAATAGAGAATGCAAAATCAACTGTTAACATAGCAATGAAAGGTTTCCACTCATCACAGCCCTTTAATAAACCAGCCATTATAGTTCAGTTCACCAAGCAGGCAGCAGCAGCAAGATCAACAGCTAGCTATTCTCTCAGGAGAGGAGGAAAGAAAAATAAAAAACCGTTAGATTTGAAAAAATAGCTAGCTATATATAACACATTGGTGTAATGAGAAATCAAACATCTATTACCCACTAAATAAATGGACTCCAGAATAAGTGGGAACAAAGCAAGATTAAATTCTTTCGATATCACATCAATGCTTTAAGCAACCAACTTTGACAATAGTTTAATATATATTCTCTTCTTTTTGACTGATCCTTTCCAACAAATTGAGATCATATTGGAATCATTTTTTGCCAGGTTGACAAAATAGTGAAGCATCAATGTAAAAGTTGTGCTTATTGGCCATGAGTTTTTTCTTTTTTTCTTTTCTTTTTTCTCTGTATAAATTTGTTATTTCTGGGCTTTGTCTACGTGGGTTGTTCATGTAAGTTAAGCTTTTAGGCCCTCTGGTTATGAGTCCTGCCTTATATAGCTTACTGGCATCTTTTCTTGAGTGGAGGTGTCAGAAATTTTGATACTCTTTTCCTTGCCCTTCTCTTATATATGCACAAATGTTATATATATATACATATAAATTAGCATCTAATGCTTCATCTTTGAAACAGAATGATTAATAGCAATTTGGAAAGGAAGAACAATGTGTCAAATCTACCTGATGAAAGGGTGGTGAAAAAATCCCCATTTAACCATTATATTTTCTTCAATTTGTCAAATTATACTTTTTTTTTTTTAAGGAAGAAAGAACTGTTATTAATCAGAATGCAAATACTAACAATAAGAGCTTCTATATTGATTGACTAGTGCAAAATTTAGCATATGGATAGTTTTGTTTGCTTGCCTTCGGGCATGACTAGCGTAAAAATTATTATTTTAAATAACCGTAAGTTCTCCTAAATCTAATAATGATTTATCTTTTTAGGAAATAAAAGTCCTCCACTATATCACTCGCGAAAGCAAACTCGATCCTGATTTTAAAATCTATATATACTAATTAGAAAGAATTGCAAAATTAGGGTGGCAGGTTTTAGAAGCTAAGAACTGCAAATGGAGATAATGTTAGGCAGAACGGGGAAAAAAGATGCTTTAATTACGTTAGCAATGACAAAACTGAAAAAACTGTCTACATCTTGGAGCTTTTTGGGGTAAGGTCTGATCAGGTTCATGCCTTTTATTTTTATTTTTATTTTTTTTTAATTTCCAAATTTTAAGCAAACATTCAGATTCTGTTATTCCGAATTTCCACTTTTTGGAATGGCCGTTGCCATTCGTTTATTTGAAAATCTTTGTACAATCGTACTATTTATCCTTCAATTGCAAGTTGCTGAATGTTGATCCCACCTGCTTTCTTCACCAGTGTAAAGCAAAAAATAATACTATTTTTTAAGGCATATAGTTGCTAGAATGACCTTTTATGCATTATTCTACCACCACTGCAGGAAATAAGATTAATAATTAAAAAAAAAATTCAAGTCAAATTAATTTAACATAAAGTGTTCATCATTATTTAGGACGGCCAGTTGGTCTGACCTAAACTGTCTTTTTAGAATCCGGATACTGATCGATTTCATTAGTGATAGCTATGGGAACTATGAATTACCGATCTATTTCCAAGTTTCAACTATTGAATCTGGGACCAGCACTAAACCTTTCCAGTTCCGGTTGATTATCGAACTAACCATCCCAAACCGGTTTGATATGATTGTCTTCAGACCAATTCCAGTCCCACTCCAATCTAGAATTGACCCATGGCTGGGTTTGATTTAGGCAAATTTACCTGACAATATCTATGAAATCTTTTTGGAAAAAGCTGTAATCTTTTTGTACAATACTAGCATAATAGAATAATTCCCCATGAGAAACCAAACCAAGCCACCATCCCAAAATATACAGCCGCCTTAAATTATTTGAGTAGCTTTGTCAAGCTCGCATAGTCAATATCTTGCCTGTGCTTTTCCCACGACAAAAAATTGCCACGTTGAAAACAAAGACATGTTTTAAAGAAAACATCACTTCACTGTCCCATTGACGAGGCCAATCTAATCTGATTTAATTAAGAATATTAGGTTTATCACATCATGTCTTTGTTTCAATTTCTTTTGCTTATGTATTGGATAACACTAATTAATCTTTCAGACCTTGTTTGTATGTGTCAAAAGGAAAAAGGCAAAGCAAATTGGAGCTACTTCGTAACAAAAGTTTACGAGTTCAACACTCTTTCCTACCATTCTTTAATTGATTGATGTAGTTCTTCCTCTCGGCATATTTTGTAATTTGCATTGTAATCTACCCTCTAATGGGTTTGCCGTATAGTGTTGTATGTAATATCCTTTGTTACAAAAAGAAAAAGAAAAAAAATAAAAATAAAAAGAGAGCAATGAATACCGTTACATAACACAAGCAATAGAACTCCTTCAGTACTTCGCGTTTTGGAATAATATGCATATATTACATGTGAACAATACAATACATAAACTGAGAATATATGGGAGTTTATGGGGCACAAGAAAAAGAATAATTGGCTAGCTAGCTGAAGTGATGGAAAAAAAAAAGCAGAAAAATTAAAAAGAAAAAAGAAATACTGTGAAAAAGATAATGGTAAGCGATCAAGACTAATTTCACTCTAACACTGAAGAGCATAAAGCAGAGGGTCCCAACCACTATTCTCACACGGCTGAAATTGTTGTTCAGATGACCAAACACCCTCTGCAACTCCATCAATTGTTTGACTCGTCCCATTTATATTACCGATTCTGCTCAAATAGCTGACTCCAACTAGTTTGGGACTAAGACTCGATTGTTGTTGTTGTTTGCTTGTTGGCAGCTCTACTGGACAGAGATTTGAATATGGCATATCAATAGTTGGCTCAGTTGAACCAGAAGGAAATTGCCATGTGGAAACATTATTAGTATTTGTAGCAATAGCATTAGACTCAAATGAAGCAACACCCTCAACAGTATGATTTATCTGTGTAGACCAAGCTGCTGCTACTTGATATGCCCGTCCATTAGACCATGCTGCGGTTTCTGTAGCCGCAACTAGACAGGTTTGATGCCACTGATCTAAAAGTAGGTCACCCTCGTAAGGAAGACTAATACTACTACTACTATTACTGTTATTGTTGTTGTGGGATGAAATTGCAATTTGACCAGATTGCCTACTTGAAGAACAATTTGAAGGTGGAAACATCTTTAGTCCCTTATTGTCAAGTAGCTTGGCCTTAAGTGCACCAAGAATTCCTTCAGCTTCACTACCTGTACCACAAACATCTTCAAATGAGAAAGGCTCAATATTATCTACATGTGCACCAGAATAGTTGGTTGTTGATGACTGTGGCAATTCAAAGTTCGTTCGAGCATTATCTCCGCGCAAAGCGCGAGCTGCATCATCATATGCTCGAGCTGCATCTTCTGCGGTGTCGAAAGTTCCAAGCCAGAGCCTAACCTTCTGTAAGGAGTCCTTAATCTCCGCCACCCATCTGCCGGATGGTCTCTGCCTTACTCCTACAAATCTGTGGTGTCCTCTTGATGATTTCTTTCTTCCTCGCAGTCCGCCACTTGGTGATGCCGACAATTTTCCTAAAGGTGCCCCCATTATTCCTTTTAGCAGTGTTAAGGGTCTGGTTTTCCTTTTTCTTTTCTTTTTTTATAATGGTGCAGCGCTCAATTGGAATCTGCAGTTCCTATATACGGACAAGCAGGAAAATGGCAATCTCAGCTTATTAAAAAATTTGATAAAATGGTATGTCGTTATTGCAGGCGGTTTTGTTTATATCGAACTAAGATTAAATATTTTATGAGTCACTGACATGACATTATTTGTTGGAAATGTAGAATAATTCAATGGTGCTTGAACTACTTTTTCCGGTTACAGGTATACCATACTACAGTTTCTAATAATCTTAAAACAGCAAACAGACAAGATTACTCCAAAATTGAGAATCTGATTTATCAGCACTCGGTGCACTTAGAAGGCATGACCTGACCTACAGTTCAAAAGGCGCACCAAGACTGTGCATATAATGAATGCAAAAATATAAGCATACATGCAGAGTGGAAAATTATTGCTGCAAATAAATAGCTGGATTTATAAGGTTAAATAACGTGCATTGAGATTCAAAATACCTACAAAGATTACTCTGTCATTTCATACCATATTACACACTATAAAGAATCAAGAATTGTACAATCAGGATATCAAGGTTTGAAGAATGTATTAATATTTAGAAATCTATGTACCTTGGCAAAAGAAAAATAACATGAAAGAATGAAAACTATAGAACATAATATACCTTTCCTATCAGACCAAAAAGAGAGAATTTATATATTGTACATATTAACTTCAAAGCATGCAAAATGCATGTAAAGACATAAGATGGAATGACGACCATTTGATTGAAACGCAGTAAGATAATCACACCGTCCATTGAAACAAAGCCAACCTTCTTTCTCGCCACCATTTTCAATCACTCGATGAAGAATGCGATAGTGGAGTATATTGAAGACAGTTAAACTATGCTCAACCAACTAGCTTTGCAATCAAGTGTGTTTGGGACGAAGCAAAAACCTTAAGTTCAACTTCATGAGTGGGTGTTATAGGAGAGTTTAGGATAAAGATGAAACTATAAATTCACATAATATCTTAAATTTCTGCAGGTTTCTTCATTCCTAAGCCTTGTCATAACTTTCTTCTCTAACCTCCTTACCCACTCTTTGCTTACATGGAAAACCCTCCCAATCTCCTCAAGTGATTTGGGTTGATGATCCTTGAGGCCATATCTCAGGATTAACACTTGCCTCTCTCTTGTATCCAAGCCTCTTAATAGGTCATGCATGTCTTTTATCATGTGTTGCCTCATGACAGCTTCTTCAGGGCTTTTTATCGTTGTATCATGAATAAATTCCTGCATCATAACACCGATAACAGTTTCTCAGTGAATTAGAATATCTCTGGAAGTTCAATAATGCCAAATAGAATATTAAGTATAAATGGGCCCCCTCAATGTAGCTCATAGAAAGGGGAGGGGCAGGGGATGGTTATTAAGAAAAGAGTTAAAACCGTGGTTATTAGGAAAAGAGTTAAAACCGAGGTTATTAAGAAAAGAGTTAAAACAGTACCAAATATTTTGCATTGAAACAGTCTCCCATTTTCTGATCAATTGAACCCACAACTCTAAGACATCTGCTAGCTGATTCAATTTTAGCCAAAGAAAGACCTGTGAACTCTGCGATATCCTCGTCATCTGGGTATTTCCCATGACTGGCGCTCAAGTTTTTTCGAGCTTTTTGTATCTGGTTTATTGCGCGGCTTAATGTGCACTAACAAGAGCAACACACAAGAAATTAACTAACAGATGAAATTCCAGATGAGATTTTTATGACATTACCTCTCAAACACAGGGAATAAACATACAGGAATTTGGATCCCTCTAGCATGTCGTGATACAATCTTTGACATTGATTTCCGTATCCAGTACTGTACATATGTTGAGAATCTGTATCCCCTAGCATCATCAAATCTTTCTGCGCCTTGCAAGACACCCATATTTCCAGCCTGAACCATTGGAAATGAAATTGGTCTTCCAGTCAAACAGAAAACTAAAAGAAAGAGAATGTACGGGCAAATTTCCAATGTCTGAAGGATTTTATCCTATTTTTCTTTCTATTCTGTCTATTTATTTCACTCTATGGCAACTCTATGCAATTGACCATTACAACAGAATGAGAAAAGAAAAATGATCATTGGAATAACGATATCCTGCTCATAATATTCTGCTTTGAAATAGAATTAAAATTGTGAAAATTTTATCAAAAAAATATATGCATCCATAAATATATGTACTACAGACATCTTTGTATGACAACAAATTTATTTGCTATTCCAGGATGATGGTAGGAGCTATTGTACAAGCTTTCATTTGCTAGAGGAAAACAAAATTAGCTAGTCTAATGAAACAACCTCTAATTCATTCTGCTGAAATTATTCAGAGCTCTCAATCCTGAAACAAAATCTGTTATTATTACAGCACATACAGGATAACAGAATCCATTTATTGGCAAAGGCAACCAAAAGTTTCAGTTTGAAATAAAAATACAAAATTATAGAAGACAGTGTTAAAATATCAGATAAACTGAGACACAGCTGACATACCTGAAGTAAATCTTCCAAGGCTATTCCCATACCCCTATAATTTCTGGCAAGGAATAGAACTAATGAGCGAGTGCTCCTGACAAGCTCATCCCTGCAATACCAACCAAAATGCAACTGCTGCTGCAGCACCTTCATGTCAAGTCCAGCTGCTTCAGCCCAGCAACTCAAGCTGACTGCTCTCCCAGTTTCTTGTTCCAAAGTTGTTCTGATCTTCTCCAAGTTTGCCAGCACCTGAAATGGGTATAGAATGAAATTAGCAAAGGTAACCTTCAGAATAACGAAAGAAAAGAACAGTGCTTTATCTAGTACAAGCTTATAATAATAACCTTGACTCCTCTGGACATTTCTGCTTCATTTCTAGCAATCATTAATCTTCTACTCTTTGAGTTTGACGTTTTTTTGTCAAAAGAAGTAGCCTTTCCACGACCATTTTGAATGGATTTTAGAGGCAAGGGAAAACAAGGAACTTTGTGGCCATTCTTTAAAGAGGCTCTTTCTCTTCTCGATTTTCTTTCTTCCTTTTTCCCCGTGCAGACAATTATTTTATACACATTACCATTTGATGTACCATCTCTCTTACATTCTTGAATATTTTCAGTAGGAAGATCAGAAAAATCCAAAACATTTGCAGTTTGGACTTCAAGTGTCCTTGTTAGGCATGTATTGAACAATTTCAAAGCTCCAAGCTTTCCTAATTGTAGCAAAATATCCCTTTCCAACTTCAAGACATCAGAATCAGCAAATGACTCCTCTAAAATATTAAGATTTTCCAATAACAAGCTAAAGTTTGAAGTCCTATCTTTTGAGCTTGAAGGTGGGACAAAATCGTCCTCTTTAATAAACACTTGAGCATCATCAATTGTATCATTTAATCCACTAAGAGATCTCTTGCCAACACTTATCTGAAAGATTATAAATAACATTAGATATCAATTAGCAAGAAACAAAATAAAAGACAAATGCATCTAAAATGTATGGGTAAACAATCACAAACCTTAGCTTCCTCAACTTGGGAATGCTCATTTTCTAATGTTTGCATTCCAGATGATGAATAAGCATTTGTCTTTAGATGATCTCTATGCAAATTGTCACCCTCTTCAGAAATAACAGACAAAAAAGACAATCTGCTGATGTTTATAGAACCCTCCCTGCCCTTAACTGTATGAATTATAATCACAAGCCATTATTAGCACTAAATCAAGAATAAAGATTTAAATTCTTAAACAAAATTATCAATTCCAGAAGCGGATCATAAAAAATCCAATTGAAATAACACAGACAATTGAATTTGAAGCGTTATAAGAAAAAAAATGTGAAAAATGAAATGAACTGACCAGCAGAAGGAGAAGAAGAGAGTCTGGATGGTGAATTGACGTGGAACTGAGAGTGGAATGGAAAACCCAACTTGAGACTTAGCCTAAAACCCAGACCCATTTTGGTTTTAAGGGAGGAGAAGAAGGAATGAAAAGAAAAATAATCCATTAAGTCCTTAAAGATTGACAACAAGAAAGAAATAGTGGCAGTGAAAGTGTTGTCCGCTCTCCACCACCGGTTCTTCATCTCCAAAATGTGTCACAAAGCCTTCAACTGGCCCTGAAAGGGGATTAAATAAGAAAAATACCCATAACTTTCCCATTTGTTATAACCGAACACTAGTTTAACTTTCTAACAAGTATGTTCCAAAATGAAACTTAGAGATCAATTATATCCTACGATTAAAATTGAGAAAAAAAAAATAAAGGGTACCATTACAACGATATGTGAATTTTACATCATAAAATAATTAATTACATCCTGTAATTAAAATGTTGTCAATTGCAAAAGTATACAAAATATTTTTACAGTCTAAAATAATTGATCAATTTATAAAATTATTTAAAATTTTTATTAAAAATTAATATGTGTTATCATAATTATTTTCAACTATTAAATTTTAAATTTAAAATTTTCAAATTTTAATACTAAATTATATTTCTCAAGTATACAAATTGTTGGATTTTTTTTATAAAAAGTCTTTTGATATTTTTAACTTTTATTTTCATTCATCGAACATTTTAATTTATAAAATTATAGGTATTGAACAATTTAATTCTAAATATTATTCAACAGTTATAAATGATGTAAAATTATAGGTATTGAACAATTTAATTCTAAATATTATTCAACAGTTATAAATGATGTAAATAAAATTATAGGTATTGAACAATTTAATTCTAAATATTATTCAACAGTTATAAATGATGTAAAATTATAGGTATTGAACAATTTAATTCTAAATATTATTCAACAGTTATAAATGATGTAAAATTATAGGTATTGAACAATTTAATTCTAAATATTATTCAACAGTTATAAATGATGTAAAATTATAGGTATTGAACAATTTAATTCTAAATATTATTCAACAGTTATAAATGATGTAAAATTATAGGTATTGAACAATTTAATTCTAAATATTATTCAACAGTTATAAATGATGTACAATATTATAAAAATTCATAATTTTAGAGCATAATGTGTTTTCTGCAAAGTTTAAAGTATTATAAAACTTTTTTTACCTAAAAGTATATGGGAAGTTTATATATTTGTCTATTATACTTCATTTCATTTTAATTATAGGAAGCAATGCAATTAATCTTTTCATTTTAGGATTTTGTTTTTTTAGAATAGGATATATTTGTTAAAAAGCTAAAAATATGGACAATTATAATAAATTACAAAATTGATGATATTTTTTGGTTATTAGCCCGGAGTCCAAAAGTTCAAGTACACGACTTTCTCACTTCTCATAATTTATATTCTGATAATTCTCAACATAAAATATCTGGAAAATTTTGGGCGGAGGGCTTTAAATAAAGCCCAAAGCCTATAAAGTCCTCGTAGGTGCCATTAGGCTTATAGAGCATCAGATAATCGAAACCATGCCGGTCAAATCCAATGGATCGGGAAATTGAATCGCCTGTGGCCTGATCCATGAGAGTTAAACCGTTTTGTAAGAAAACGCTGTACACTTTCTGTGGGCCATAATACTATATACTTGAAGTGTGGCCCACCCAACTTATCCATGAAACCGTGGTCCATCATCAATCAGCCCACAACAGGTCAAATCAAATACACCACCTGTCCATATATATAAATCATTATAGAATATGTTTTTTTTCCTCCACAAATGCAAGTTGATCTGAGAATATAAAAAAAAGTAATTAATGATATTTTCTTTTAATTCTATATTTACATTAAATATAATAATTAGCTATATAATTTTACAAAGAATAATTTAGCGAAATAAATAAATATTTTATTATAATTTATGAGAACTAAATGCTTCTTTAATTATAATTCTGCATTTGCAGTTGTTCACGGACAGGTAACTTTTAACTCTTAATATTTTAACAAATAACTTATATTTTATACTCCATGTATTATTTTTAATAAATAATTTATTTTATTTTTGTAAAGCCCTATGCCTAATATTTTTGGATATGGTGGCATTTTGGGCGACAAGTAGTGAACACAAGACCCTAAAACATGGCCCGAGGAATTTCATAGTGAGCTACTCGTACTCCAACATCAAAAGATCTCTTTCACTGCTTAATCACAACCTAACACACTATTCAACGCTTTAGGTAATATAGGCAATTAGGCACATAGTTATCTAATTAAGTAATTATGGACCGACGTTACAATTAAATTAATCCAACTTGTATTACATATTTATTAGCTATATTATATTTGACAAATGTTTATAAGTTTAATCCAACTTGTTCGTTTAATAATTATGTTAATTAGAAACTAATCCTGAATGTTAAATAATTCCATAATGGAAGCCAATTGCCCATGTTCCCCACCAAAAATTTGATATGGATTAAATTGAATTCTTAGAGTAGATATGGCAATCAACCCCAAATGCAACATTTTGATTTTTACATGCGTGTTTATTTTTCTATATTCTAGTATATTGTTACATAGTGTTTATGTTTTAAAAATTATATATTTATATAAATAGATAACTACATATAATAATTTTTAAAAATTACTTTAACTAATTTTTTAACAAAAATTAGTGAAATTCATTGCAGAAAATATAACTTTTTTTGGAAATTTGTCGTCCAACTTCCAATCACGTGAATACAAGATTAACGCTATGATTAGATAGAGAAAAAAATTATAAAAAGTAAATAATTAAAAAAATAATAATTTTTCTTCCTTATGAAGAGAAATGAGAACATGGAAGAAAAATAATTAACCAAATTTCCAAAATTTCTTTTGAAAAAATTAATTTTGTTTCTTTCTATATTTAAAAATATAAGGAAGGATTTTAAAAAAGAAAAAAAAATACAATAAAGGAAAAAAAATTATTTCCCAACATTCCTTATTTGCCCTCTTTATTCTCTTTCCTTACTTGCATTCTTTCTCCTCTAGTCCAAACAAAGGGCAAGACCGCAAGAGTACTCCTAAAATAATAAAATCATTTTCACTTACAACAATGCTGTTTTTTGCCGTTGATTGAAACGACTGTGCAAATTTGCCCAACAAAATAAATAATCGAACGGTTTGTATTTAGCCAGAAGCAAACATAAAGAGCAGTGCCATCTGAGCAACACACAGAATAACTCTCTCTGGATAATCTTGAAGATTCTAATTATTTAATTTAAAAAAATGAAGCAATATCGGAGGATAAAAACAGTAAAAGGAACGATAAAGTCAAGTCAGCATCATAGAGATCTCGAGAGAGGTAAAAAAAGGCAAAGAATGAAAGAACCGTATCTAAAATCCATTGCCGCGTGTATACATCTCCATCATCTTTGATGGAGTGTCTGTCAGGAAACAGCTACCTCAACTGTGCCACCAACCACGTGGACAATACCCTCATTGACTGCTACCATTTGGTCTTCGTCACGTGATCTGTCACACGTTTCACTGCTGAGTCGGCTAGTTCCTACTCACTCGATCCGTACATGTGCTTATATATTCTCTGTACGGAAACGGAAAGTTAACCGCTCTTTCGTCTGCTAGTATCCGTTCATTTCCACGGTTCAAGACCCTTCAACTATGTAATAATTTCCTTTCCCTTCAATATTTAACTAACAAGACTAATTTATATAAATATAAATAATATATATATTTTAAAAAATGGAATACTCTACGTGTCATACCCAGCTAACATGTGCTATAGATATTCAATACTGTACGGAACGGAAAGGTTAAACGCGCTCTTTCGAATAATCAGTACCGTTCAATTTCCACGGTTCAAGACCCTTCAACTATGTAATAATTTCCTTTCCGCTTCAATATTTAAACTAACAAGACCTATTTAAATAAATTATAAATATTAACTAACAAGACTAATTTATATAAATATAAATAATATATATATTTTAAAAAATGGAATACTCTACGTGTCATACTTAACAGGATGCTTTTATCTTTAACCGAGCAGACAGAATAGGTTTTAAATACGATATTCGGTAAAATTGATTTATTATTTGCTTTCATTTTGTCTGTCACTTCATAAAATTAAAGAAATATTAACATTTTTTTTTTCTAACTTCACTTTTATCTGTTGGCGTCATCTCTGTATAAAAATTAATTATTTAATAACTTAATCTAATCAATTATTTTTATTTTTCTTTTTTTTAAGCGAGCTGATTTAATTATTTTTTAATTATTGTATAAAATTAGAAGTGTCAATTCTAAGGAAACAGAGGAAACCTAATATAATTAGAGGTGACAATTATATTCTGGCATTAGTCATTATATAATTAATCATTAAATATAATTGTTGATTATAGTTTCATTAATAAAATGCCATCAATTTGAAAAATAATACGTTCATTATATCTAATATTTATAAATACATGTATATAGTTTTTTTGGAGTGTCTATATATATATATAATCCTGAAGCAAAAAATAGTTTTAAAATGCTAACAATATTTTTCTTTTTTAGAAATTTTTTGAGCTTTTCTATCTATTTTTTTCTTTTTTTTATTTTTTAGTTTTTTTTTCTTTGCATAAATATCTTTTTTTTAATTTAAATTCTATTATATGTTATCTATATTAAATCATTTAACTTATAAAGTTTATCTTAATATTTGTTTCTAACAATCTAAGCATATCTCTTATAATATCTTATCTCTAACTAGTAAATATTTAAGAGATTTTTCTTATAATCTACTCATCTTTATCTCTATCAAAAGTTCATGTTTTCTCACTTCTTATACGGTCACAAGAGTCGTATTTTCTGAGTAACGTGCAGTGCTGCACGAGGCAACTTAGTCAAGCAGCAAGCAAGTACCATTAGAAATTACAATTTAGATTTGGAAGAGTTTTTAACTTTATGATTATATTATTAAATAATGATTTTAATTTTGAATTGTTTCGAATGAATTATTTATCACTATCTTAATTTTATGGTATTGTATTATTAATTGACTGTGGTTTCATTTTAACATTTTGCAGATGAAACAAGTTAGAGGCGGATTGCCTATGTATAATGTGAGAAATTGTATTAAAAGTATCAGGTCGTGTGAACAAATTTACTAACATTATGATCAAAGATGAAAAGACCGGAAATTGCTGGTGTGTTGAGCTGAAGGATTTCTGCAATATAAGCTTGAGAAAGGGTCTTGATATTTGTGCTGAGAAAATGCAGCAAAATTAAACCATGTACCGTGTTTTTACTATATTAGATGATTTGAACAATTAGGTGCTAAAATAAATAGTATAAGATTATTGTATATAAAAAATGATATAGGATTATTGTATAAAAATAATTAATTTTGTTTTATGATAATATTTTAATTTAATACATTTCGGTGGTCTAAATTTTTGAAATATTTTATTTATATGAAACTAATTATATTAATTAATTATCCAAATTTAAATTAAATAAATTAGTTTGAACTCTTACGTGAAGTTATAACATATTCTTAATTAAATGTGTTAGTAAGAAATAAGTTCAAGACCTATAACTAATTAAGGGATATTTAATAATATCATTCAATATTCCAAGTTAAAAATTTTAGCTCTTATTACTAAATACGACAACTTTAAATTTACATTGAATAAGATTTAAAATAATATTGTAATTTTAAATCTGCATCAAATTTTCTATAATCATTTTATGAAATGAGCTTAGCTTGTATGTATATGTAAAGAGTTACTTAATGGTTGAAATTAAATGCCTAATAATTTTAAATTTTTAATTTTACTATTTACATTACTAGAAATCAATCACAAGAGATCAATAATTTTATTTAAAAAATTATTATTTTTTAAAAAATTATTATTTATTTAAAATAAGTATCTATCTATATCTTTAATTTTGGAAAATTTTTTTTTTCACTTAATCCTTTTAATTTTATGATTGAATTAATCCTAGATATTTTATCTTTCATAAAGTGAAATTTTATGTATTTTATTAATTATAATCATCTATCATACTTTATTAGGTAAATAACATCATTAAACTATCATATATTTAGTCTTGGGATGTTGCCTACCTATATTTTTTTTTAATTTTTTTTTACAACATTGAACATTAATCTATTTATATGATCCATTATTTATTTCTTATAAACACTACTTTATAAAGTTGGTTGATAATACCACAATAACATGTTGGAAAAGGTAAGAAAGTATGACATATAAAGCAAAAACCACTAACGCAGCAAAAGAATTGCTACTCGAACTCTTAACTAGCACTCACTATAATCTGTTATAAAAATAATAAATATTAAATTACTACCAGGAAATACTTTTAATAATCTAATTAAATTAGAATGGTAGAGGTTACTTAATTTGTATAAAATATGGTTTTATCTTTATTTTGAAATAAAAAATAAGCTTCAGAACAATAACCCTATAGACAGTAAATAATATATATATATCAACTTATATTTTGTTGGAGTCACCATTTTTAATTTTTTAAACATTGAAAAATCTATATAGACCATATATACTAAACAACTTATAAATTATAAATAAAAATAAAAACTAAAAGTATAATATAAAGCAAAAAATAACGCGCAATGCATGAATCTTAACTAGCTCATAATAATCTGTTATAAAAAATATATGAAAATTAAATTACTAGAAATTTATAATCTAATTAAATTGATGAATTCAATTTGTATAAAATATGTTTTATCTTTTATTTTGATAATAAAAAATAAGAGAAAATAAAGAAATAAAACTTTACGGTATTGAATAAACGAGAGAAAGTAAAAAAAGTTTTTTGGTTGGAAATAAAAAAATAAAGTGTTTTTCTTTCATTATCTTGGCTCCAATTTGAAAAGTAAAAGAACGACGAAAATTATTTATTTTTCTTCCTTTTCTTATTTTTCCTTTTCCCCAATCCTAGATAAGAAACAATAATAATCCTTTGGATTTTCCCTTCTTCATTTTTCTATTTTTCTATATTTAGACGTGGAGGTTTGTCAATTTTATTCTTGTATTTCGTAGAAATATATGATTTGTCCTTGCAGCTTCAGAAATACATAGATTTTTTTTATTTATTCATCAATTAATTATTTCATCTTTATGTCGATTTTTTATATTTTCGCATTAAATAGATGGTAAATTATTTAAATTTATTAAAATATAGAGATAAAATAGTAATATAAAGACTTATTAGTTAATTTCGCAAAAAACAAAAATAAAATTACAATTTTTATCGAAAATAAAATTTATAGAATGATATATAAATATAATATAATAGAGGTAAAAAATAGAGACCATACAATATTATATATTATGGCAAAATGAAGAATAAAATCAGTTAAAAAAACAAATTGAAGGATAAAATCATACTTTTCCTATGTATATACCCAATCTTTCGTTATAAATTCAAAAAGGTGTCCAAATTCTAGTTTGCGAAAATATCTACTTCTGCCGCGCAAGTTAAAGCATCAAAGGAGGAAGTTACTAGAATGCACAAGGAACTTCCCTTAACCATCCTCGTTGAGCAGGCCGGGCCCTAACTGCCAAATGGTTCGTGGTTCTCAAACTTTGCAGAGATTTCATGACAAGTAGGCGTAAAGCACCAACCAAACTGAATACGGCCATTTCCGCATGGCCACCACTACATCATCTCTCTTCCACGTGTCCATCCTTACCGTCTTATTTTCCCTAAAAAACCTGCATGTAATTTCTCGCAAAAATATCGTACTCAAAATATCTGAGAAGCAAATGAGATCTATAACCAAACTTCTCGTTTAGTTTTATTTTCTTAATTAATTTAAGTTGGGTTGATTGATTTTCTAATATTATATAAATATTAGTAATAAACTATTTCAACGCAATATTTTTAATATCAAATTGTTTTACCAATTTGGTTAATCAAATAAAAACTATACTATTTGCAATTGAATGCTTGAATTATTAAAAAAATCACAATGAAATGCATTTATTTTATGCAAATATTTTCACCAGAAAATAATAAAAATATATTTTTACTAAATAAAAAATAAGCTTAAATATTCATACAATTCAATTCTAAAATAAACAAGAGAAAAATAAATAAAAAATAAAGGCAATAAACATGAAATTAAATAAATTAAACGAATATATTAAACAGATTATTTTGATTTTCAGTCAGAGATTTGGCCAGATGCGTTAATCATATTATTAATAATTAAATTAAATATTATCAAATTTTATGATCTGTTGATGCCTAAATCACGATATTTGCACCGGTTATAATGCGATAAATGACAAGTACCTCAAAATATCCGAGGGTGCCAAGCAGTGAGCCGTCGGTTTCGACATAAAATTAGGATATTAGGTCACAAGATCATAGCGGTCCTTTTGCTCACATTAACCCAGCAGAGGATAATGGTTGGGCCCACGAAACGATTAATCAAACAATTATTAAAATGAACGGTAGAGATATGTCCGTGGCCTTCATTCGTCGCATCCAACATGGATACTATTGAAATCTCGTTACTGTAACCATAGTGGAACAGAAGGCGGTACATTTATAAACCTAACCATAGTTAACAAGAACCTAATCACAGTTAGAATTAGCAGTTTATATTTCAGAGACCACCTCCTCTCCATACCATAGGTGATAATGTCCAAAGATGATGATCGGAGAACCTCCTACACATTCTAATCCAACCGTCCAAATCCCTCCCTGGGACCCTTTTTTCGACGAGCCAACATCACCGTTACCTTCTCCATTCGCTAACTGCGGAAATACTAGCTCACCTTTTCTCGACTCCTTAACCGCGCTCCACCGTTACCTTCCGTCAAATGAGCCTGATTCGTTGAGCGATGACTTGGACTTTGCTGTGGATGCTTTCTCGTGCGATCATTTCCGCATGTATGAGTTCAAGGTGAGGCGGTGCGCACGTGGGAGGTCACACGACTGGACGGAATGTCCATACGCACATCCTGGAGAGAAGGCTCGCCGGCGTGACCCACGCCGGTATCATTACTCTGGTACGGCCTGCCCCGACTTTCGCAAAGGTGGGTGCAAGAAAGGTGACTCGTGTGAGTTTGCTCATGGGGTTTTTGAGTGCTGGCTTCATCCGGCTCGATATCGAACCCAACCATGCAAGGATGGCCCAGCTTGTCGCCGCCGGGTTTGTTTCTTTGCGCACACGCCGGATCAGCTTAGGGTTTTGCCTCAACAAAGCCCAAGGGGAAACGCGCCCGGATCAGTTGAGATGGAAGTTGGGTCGCCTTTGAGGCACCATATTGACTCTTACTTGTCTAAAGCCGGGTCGTTTCTTTCTTCTCCAACCTCGATTTTGACGTCTCCGCCTATGTCTCCGCCATCGGACTCGCCGCCAATTTCGCCAAGTAGTCCCCAGGTAGTTGGCGGTTCGTTCAACTCTGTGAGCGAACTAGTTGCGTCTATGCGAAGTTTGCAGTTCAGTAAAATGAAAGCGGGATCTGCATCTTGGGGTATGCAGAATGGATCAGGGTTTGGGTCACCCCGTGGGTCCTCTCTTCGACCCAGTTTTTGTAGCCTCCCTTCAACTCCGACCCGGGCCATGACTCGGGCCGGACTGGGTCAGGTAGACCTCTGGGACTCAACTCTCGAGGAAGAGCCCGTAATGGAGAGGGTAGAATCTGGAAAGGATTTAAGAGCAAAAATATATGCGAAACTCAGCAAGGAAAACTCGTTGAATCGGTCTGACTCGGCCGCTTCAGCACCAGATGTTGGGTGGGTTTCTGAGTTGGTGAAGTGATTTAACTCAGCTTGCAATTGGATTCTTTTTGTTGTTTTTTGATGAAGAATTAATTTCGGTGGCCTATGATTCTTCACCCTGACTGTGAATATGAAGTCGAATCTGGAAACTTGGGGTAAAATCACTTTTTTTAAACTCCTCTGTAAATGGTAGATATGGGAGATATCTCGAGTATCTCTATTTTGTGGCAATGGTAGCAAAAAGAAAAGGAACAAATGAAGATAAAAAACTTGCAACTTGTGTACAGAAGACAAAGAAGGATTTCTTAGGGCTGCCGGAGAATGGGTAGCGGTTTGTTTGTTAATTAAATTTGTCTTTGATATTTGTATTTTCTCATCTGATTTTCCCGGAAAATTAATCTTTTGTACGTTGCTTTCTGTTTATGCCTAATCGATGTAATTACCGTCATATATCTTGTTGTGTAGTCCTCCTTGGTTTATTATTAATTATTTGTGCAATTTTTTTCTTCAGTGTCATCTTTTAAGTATTAGATTTTCATTCGCAAGATGGGACTTTCTTTTACTAGATGTCTAAGAATCATTTTAAAGTAGAAGACTTACTATTTTGCTGTAGACTTGTACTGAAATGTTCCCGTTAATTGTATTTTCTTTTCCCTTTCTATTTGCAGCTCTTACTCTATGAGTAAGAAAAGAAAATTTTCCTTTCCCCTCCTGGGTAATTAGGATTAGTAATTTAATAATTAGGTAAAGGGGTAATGATTCAGCTATGTTAAATTATTAAGATCTTTCTTTTTTTTTATGCAAATAAAGTTTAGTTCGCCGGAAAGGAAGTTCGAAATCAATCTTTTGGTATAATCTGATATCTAATTTGTAGTTCAGTGGAGTTTATTCAAAAAGTTCTTTAATTTGTCGAAAGTGAAAATGTCCATTTTGTATCTTCTATTTTCTTGAACTTATGCTTCTATTGTCCTAAATGGTAATTTTGGGTTGGATTTTGTAGTTTTTTTTTTCTTTTAATAATAAGTTTAGATGTCACAGCACGTTTGAATCTTCTCTGTAATATTATATTAAAAATAAAAGCTCTTTAACAATTTAGAAAATGAATTTTTATTTGAGCCCCATAAAATTAGATAGTTAAATATTTATTGAACAACTTAAAAATTATATTAATCATATAATAAATCAATAGTTCACATTCACATACATAATTTGTATTTAAAAAAGTAAAAAGTCTTTAAAAATTTGTTGTTTTTAGAATATTTGAGGTTGAGATTCTCCCTCCAATACTAAAAGAACAAAAGTTGAGAGTAAATCATGGTTTGTTCCTTTTATTATTATTATTATTATTGTAAATCTAGGGAAAAATTATATTATATATTTGCTTAATGTGGAAGCGGTGGCAGATAGATTTAGCCTGGCAGCAGATTGAATATGATAATGGCTTAGCAACAATATTATTATATGTAATATTAAAGAAAAGAAGGCACTATCAAGTAGGAGATAAATGATTTTTTTATTATACCACTCTTGTTAAACAAGGATTACCTGATATTTATCCAATGAGACCAGATTCGTGACGTGGATGTTGAACTGATAAACCCGTCCTTATCTTCACATAGTCTTTTTAATTATCTCTTTGGTGCCGCTTGTTATTGACTTTAAAAAAATTAACATATCTTTGATTAAATTAATTTAGCTCCTTGACGTGAAAATCAATCCCTTTCAAAGGACAGGATGTGGTCAAGATAGGAACTACTGCCCCCTTCCGCATGTAGGGCCCCTTTTAAAAAATCTTGGGGCTTGTTTCTGGATTCTGCCTTTTGATAGACAAAATGGACGGCTCGGTTTTGCATCAACTTAGAGTTGATCACTGGTTCAATTTAACTTTCGAACTGGATTTCACTCAATCCCTCAACATCAACCACTTAAACCTTTCTAAATTTTGTTTAATATGTGAAGCCAAAGAAAACTTGTGGTTTCTGACAATTAAAGCCAAAACTGGCCGGTTCACGAAGCTTTATGCTTCTAGGAAATTGGTCCTTTTAATTTTGGACCGACTCTAATTTTGGCCAGGTGCGATTTCGTCGAATCTCAACCGTCAACCCTTCCCTTTTAGGAAACGGGATGAAATCGCCGCCGAAACTGGCAGTTTAGTCGATTCTCAATCATAATTCTAACTTCTAAGGGTGTGAATCAAAAAATCAAACCGATCTTCCGATTTCAGTCTACTGTAAAACCAAAATTCCCCAATCGATGCCGGTTCAATATTTCGCGAGACCAGTTAAGAAGGTTTATCGCGTGGACTCATCATCTCAAATGGGATTGGTTCTCATTTTTTCAAGATATTGTATTTATCATCTTTTATCATTTATGAAACTAGATAATATAGTTTTTTAAATCATCTAATCAGAGGTTCAAACCATGATGATCTAATGCTATGTATAGAAACATTGATAAGTTAGATGCACTTACAGCTATATTTTATTGTGTAAATAATATTAAAAAATAATAATTTCATCAATAATTATTATAATTCTGACTATTTTATCTAAAAATATATTGTAATAATCTAATAAGGTGAGATTGAGTTGTAAGATTTCTTTCACTTTAGTCCCATCACTAAAAAAATGTCGTTCACATAATTTGCACATTTTTAATTTCAAATATCTAATACAATATTATGGATGCTTTTTCTTTTTTTCTTTTTTTTTTTTTTTCAAAATAATCACTAAAAAAAATGTCGTTCACATAATCTTGCAATTTTTAATTTCCAAATATCTAATACAATATATGGATGTTTTCTTTTTTTCTTTTTTTTTTGTTTTTTTTTTTTTTTTTTTTTTTTTCAAAATAAACAGACGATTATTCAATCATTAGTTTATAGTTGTGTGGTTGGATATCTATTGAATTTTGAATTAAAAATATTACTCCTCTGTTCGTAAATATAAATTGTCGAAGTAATTTTTTTATTTATAAATATAAATTATTTTGAGAATATTAAAAAATAATTCATGAAATTTTTTCAATTTTACCTTCATATATATTAAATGCATTAATCATTAATTATGTGAGACAAAAGGTAATTTAATCAAATCAATAACATTATATAATTGAAAACTCAAATGTTTAAAGCTGATTAAAAATTTATCAAAATAAGTGCCTAACAAATAATAAATAAATATAAAGTATTTATAGAAGAATGGAGTGGATGTTAAATTTAGAGTAATTAGACATGATAAAATTAACTTTGTTAATCAAAGATGATCTTAATTATTTTTTAATCAAATCTTCGTACCTTAAGTGCTAGTATCAAAATAATAAAAATAGGTAACACAAAAAATAATAAAATAGTAAATATAAAAATAATATAAAATGACGCAAAGGGCCGACAAAGTGGACGGTAGTTTCAAGATTTGGTTCAATATTAAATCTTAGCTGAACCACGTATTATGGACTATAGTATTAAAATCTAAAGTAGGAGAATGTGTAGAGATTCTGTAGTGACATGCTGTTTAAAGCTGTTAGCTTTTGATTTTGGTGGCTCTTTTAGCCCATCTACACCGTATGCTTCTCGAAAGTTTTTGGCTAGTGTGAGCTTTTTGCAGGGATATGTTTTTTTTTTTTTTTTTTTTTTTTTTTTTTTTTTTTTTTTGGTTTGGTTTCGATTTAATTAGCATCAATGAATTTTTTTTTTTTTTTTTTTTTTGGTTTGGTTCGATTTAATTAGCATCAATAATTAAAATCAAAGTTATTAGCATGATATCCTAGCTAATATTATGTTTTGTATTAAAAATATTAAATGAACTTATAAATTTTATTTTATAAATTTAAATATAATTAAATCAAAATTTATTAGTTTTGATTCAAAAATCAGTTAAATTAAACAAGGATAATAAGTAAAATCGTGAAATTGAACCTCTATTATCAATTTTGCAATTTTACTTGCAAAAGATGGTAGGATTAGATCACATCATAGTTAATTTAATTTGTTAACAAATAATTTCACAGTTAACTAAAAAATTACAGCGTAAAGATTAATAATAATAATAATATAGTATTGTATGATATAATTTGTAGAATTAATTATTTGGTTTCACTCAAACCTTATGTTAGCTAATTATAACAAATAAACCTTTGGCTTCACTCAATCGTCTTGTTAACTTAAAAGGGGGATGGTGGGTTCAATGAGAGGACGTGGCAATTATTTTTGGATAGAAATTTTTGGCACTATACCATGTTTTTGATATGCACATATTTGTCTCCTTTCCTCGCATTTTTTTTCTTTGGCCTCTCCTTTTCTTTATCCATGCCTCGCCTTTGTAATTTTCACCTAATGATGTTAACTCAATATGTTGTTTTCAATTATCCAAATCACCATTATATTCAAATTAGCTTTTTCTTTATTATACGATCGAGCTTATTTTGATTCATCTTTTTTACCTAATATTAAATATCAATGGAATTATCAAATTAGACCTAATTAATTAGTGAATGAAAATGAATCGAGTTGAATCAAACTTTATTAAAATAAAACTCGAATTCAATTCATTTAAAATTTGAAACACCAACGCATTTCTTTACCGGTTAAAATTTAAATTTGAATTTGAGTTTGACTTATTTTTTTAACAAGCTCAATAAACATGTATAAATTCGACTCGTTAAGCTTATTGACTATATGGTATCTTACAAACAACTCCTTTCAAATTTATTACTGAATCTCTAAAAAGGAAAACAGCTAAAAGTGATTTCTACTATAATTATTGGTAATATTTGAATATTGGCATTCCTATTGTTTGTTTTGGAACATGTAAACACTTTTATTATTTAAGCTGTCAAAAACTATTTCTAAGTTAAATAATACTCTTTTCGTTCTATTTTGTTTATATAATTTGATAAAATATATATATTAAGAATTTAGTCAATAAAAATCATTTTGTTCTTTTTTATTCCTTAACTCTTTAAGATATTATAAAGGTTTTTCATTTAATGAATGATTATAAAAATTATAATGAATAAATAATTATTTACATAAATAAATTTTGGGACATTTAGAAAAATAATATCAAATAAATAAATAAAATAAAACCGAGGAAATACTTTTTTTTTGGTTAAACAATCTAATATCCGGCACAATTAGCTAATCTAGATTTGGGTTCTTAAGAGTTCCATTACAGAGGCTATCCTCCCAATTTAACTAATACTTTTCATTATATTTATTTGACGAATTAAATTATGTGTTAGTGTGAGGTGGAGGAATGGACCTGACTGCAAGGAGGAGAGGACTTTGGTACTAAACGACAAGTTAGGTCGCTGAAACTCCCTCTAATAATTATTACGCATTTATCTAGTTCCTAGAAATCAAGATAACATGAAAGTAGGCCCACGCTATCTAAAACTGAACATGCATGTGTGACTTAGGACTCTATATTAATTGAGTCACAATTTTATTTCTCAATTCTAATACCAAAATTGCCATCATAACAGCAGGCATATCTTATGGTTGTGGGGGACCTTAACTTGCCCTTAATATGTCTCTTTCAACATCCAATTAAAACACTGTCGTTTTCACTTTGGTGTTTGCCTATTTTGGTCAATCAAAGATAGGATCATAGGGTTTAGGGTATCTTGTATTTTCATTATCAGTGTTTTAAATTTGAGAAATCACATTAATATATATGAAAGATCACATTAATATATATAATAGTATATATAATAATTGATATATATATATATTGAAAGAATTTAGACTTATGGGATTAATTATTTTGATTCTCACCCCTTGCAATTTTTGTAACGTGCAATTCTATTTAGAAATAGTTTTTTTATATTTAGATGTCCAATAGATCGAAATAATTGTAGCTGCTCAATATAGATATCGCTCTGTTTTACATATATTTACCAAATTAATAATAAATTTTTTAATAAAGAAAATTCAAACTCGAAATCTACTGCCTCTACAAAATATAACTAAACTAGTACTATTTTTTCTAAATAAAATGAGATATTACAAATTTTCTGCCTACCCTGTCTTCCTTTTTTTTTCCTCTCTCTAAATCTTTAAAACATTTTTGACCACCATGAGATACCAAAAACGGGTGAGATTTCCTATTTCACTTGTCGTTCTGCTAGATATTATTAATAATGGTGGACCAACAAAATTATACGCTTTCCATGAATTACCTATTACTGTTTGGTAATATTTGGTGTTCCTCGCCATATAATGGTTTCAAAACTTACAAAATTAGTTTTTTTTTTTTTTTTTTTTTATTTTTTTTACAAAAGTTAGTTTTTTTTTTTTTTTTTTTTTTAACTTTTTCTTAAAAAGTTAATTTCAATAAAAATCATCCCTCAATTTTGTTCTTTTCTTTGTGTTTTGGAAACAATTACCTTATCAGGGTTTAGATTTTTTTTTTTTTTTTTTTTTTACTTTTTCTTAAAAAGTTAATTTCATAAAAATCATCCTCATTTTGTTCTTTTCTTTGTTTTTGGAAACAATTACCTTACAGGGTTTAGACTAATCTGATTTCGTTGGATAAATTAATATTTGATATATCTATCAATCTTATTATGTGAATATGAAGAGATATTACTATAATATATAGGGTGGTATTTAGATAAAAACTTTTAAATAATTATTGATTCAAATATGGAATTTTCTGACCTTACAAATAAAGTTCGTCTAAAATATATTTAGATGAAAGTTTTTTAATCAAACTATATTAAAATTTGTAAAAAATCTTAAAGTCTTATACTATAACGAAACTAACACATGAGTCCTTTTATTTTCAAGAACTAACTATAAAGTTACTGAATTATAAAGAAACTAACACATAAGTTCCTCGGTCCTAACAATTTTTCATTTGTTGATCAATTTCCATGGAAAAGACAAAAATAACCTTTTTTTTAAAAAAAAGATTCATTCCTAAGTTACAGCAAAACTAACACATATTTCTTTAATATGTGCTTCCATTTCAAACTAAGGACTTAAAATTAACAGATTTTTTGAACTTATATATTAGTTCTTGAAAATACAAACATCTATATATTAATTTAACATTGGACCCGAAATTTGTTTTCCCTTAGAATTAATTCCTAAATATATGAATATAGAGCACGGTCCCATGCTCCCATGGCATGTCAATTCTGTGCAATAAATTCTATGAATTGGGAAGATACAAAGTACAATAGAATTATAATATTGAATTATTTGTCTACACAAATTTGCATATTCAGTGAACTTGACCCACGATAATAACATTTCTATTAAAAGGTTGGGTCAATACATTGAAAGCTTCCTGTCAGGCTGGGCCCATATTCATTGGGCCACACATAATACTATTCAGGTTTTAGAGAATCCAGGGCTATAGTTTCCTTTTGTTTGAATTATCCATATCTTATTTAATTTTACTTAACCATATATGAGTTTTATTTAATAACATCAGTTTGAACCGAACCAACCGATTTGCTTACCCTTACATTATTATACCTTACGAAATCAGCATTGAAATTCAATTTGATCTCTTATTACTTTATCATAGATATACAGTGATGAGCTCTATGTTTGTTTATGGATACAGCAGCCAATAATTTTAATCTACTCCACATTTTTTAAATAAAAATAGACTTGATATAAAGCAAGTCTACAAATTATTAGATTATTAGTATTTAATAAGAATTTTAATCAATAGGCAACAACTGATAGCTAATTAAAATCTTAATCAACCGATGATTCTATAATTATATATTTTTTATAATTTTTCTCTATGACTTGATATGAGATTTTCATTTATATTATATTTAAAATTCATTAATATCATAATAAATATTATATTTTTAAGTTAATATTCTTTTATCATTTTATTTAAGTTATTAAAAAAAATTCTACTATATATTATTCTAAAAAAAATACAATTATTTATCTAAAAAAAAAAAGTCTCCCCCATCTATAAGATGCCGCCTAGCGAGCGGCGCTGCGCAGCTTAGGCTCCAAGAGGAGACTATTATTTGGTTGGGCCTCGTTTCTTTATGACTTGCTTTGAGTTTTGTGGCTAGGCCTGGATGGGTGTTGTTGGGCTTTGATTTTTGAGATGTTTCCCAAGTGGAGAATTCAAGATTTTTATTTTTATTTTTTATTGAGCTAATAATGAAAGATAGAAAGGAAATAAAAAAAAATGTTTTATGAAAGTATTACATTAAAAAAAAAAAAAAGAAACACACACACATATAATTTTTTATTATCCATTATTTTAAAATAATTTGATTTATTTTGAAACATTGATTTAATGGATTAAAATAAAATATATTGACTTATTATAATAATTCATTTAATTTTAGTTTCTATCCACCACCATAATATCTTATTTCAGTCTAAGCCATACATTTCTTTCGACTTAATATTTTCATTGGAAAAACTTGGAATCTTAAATTATATTCCCGCGATACAAAATAACATCATTTTTATAGGTTATCAATAATATATAATATCAATGAATACAGAATCAGGATAAACATATGAACCGATTAAAAGAATATGATTATAATTTGTAAATACAGGAAAGCTATTAATAAATTTTATTAATAATTAAATCGTTTTAAAGTTTCAATACATTTTTTTTATTATCATCATTCAATATGTAAGATTCATTTTTCTTGTTTTCCACGCACAAATATATCTTTAAAGGAAACTAATATGTGTTCTAATTTCAACGTTTATTTCATATAAATTTTATAAAAATATTCTATCAAGAATTGCTGATGTTGCATAAATAGCATCCTTTTTTTATTATTTTAAAAATAAATAAGGCAGACAAAATTGACTATTGGTTGATAAAAATATGTAACAAATCTGCTTTTGTTAACTTGTGTTGTTGCTTTATTATAATTCATCCCCTTTTGCTGGTCTCGCATGGACAAGTCAAAAAGATTAAAAAGAAAGTCCATTTGGAAACTTTTGAAGGGCATAAAGACAGAAAGCAAGAATAAAATGAGAGTTACTAGAACCAAACAATGACCTTTGGAAATTCCTGCTCACCCACATCCATTAAGGAAATAGGAAAAGAAAAATTATTATTCATTTTCAATCTATATATAATTTATTAGAAGCGACTCAAGTGATAAGACACGTTTGAATTCAGCGAAATTTTTACAATATTAAAAGTTTTATCCATTAAAAAATACGAGAACAATCACGAACTCTAAAAAAAGTGCAAGGATATTTTTGAAAATTTCGTTACATGTATAGGATGTGCTTATACCTAAAAGGAAATTCTTCTCCAGTAATAGTAAATAAAAGATATATAATTCACATTTTCATATCTATATATAAAATTTAAAATTGAACACCCAAACAAGAAAAATAAAATATAAAAATATTTTTTTTCTAAAATGGCAGCTCGCGATCATTTCAGTCCGTGACTTGCATTTTTCCAATTTTTGTACCAAAATTAATTTTTAAATGTAAATACATATAAGCATGTAAAAAATAAAAATAAATATGGATAATGTTTATTGACTGCGTACTCTGATGAGGTCTAGTTAGTCAACCAATGAAATGTTGACTGTGTCCTATCTTGAGAAACAAGAAAGAAGACATGTCCAATTGTTAGTAAACAAATGGGATAGTCCTATAAAGTCAACATTATAATTGCTTCTGCTTCTCTAATCTCTGCTTTATAAACCCTTTACTGTCTGCTGCAAATCCGCCACCGGAACCAGAGGCCAACTGTTTTGGCTATCATAAAGCATTTTTCTCCTGTATTTCTTCTTGTTTCTACTCTCTGGCTATGGGGAGAGCTCCCTGCTGTGACAAAGCAAACGTGAAAAGAGGACCATGGTCTCCTGAAGAAGATGCTGCTCTTAAACGTTACCTTCAAACCCATGGCACTGCTGGTAATTGGATTGCCTTGCCCCAAAAAGCTGGTATGTTTTTTTTTAATTAAAGTTGCATTCTTTTTTTTTTTTTTTTTTTTTTTTTTTTTTTTTTTTTTGCTTAAAAACGTTACCCTTCAAAACCCATGGCAAACTGCTGGTAATTGGATTGCTTGCCCCAAAAAGCTGGTATGTTTTTTTTTAATTAAAGTTGGCAATTCTTGGCATTTTTTTTTTTTTTTTTTTTTTTTTTTTTTTTTTTTCTGGAAATCATACGGCATCCGAATGAATAGTTTTTTTTTTTTTTTTTTTTTTTTTTTTTTTTTTTTCTGGAAATCATACGGCATCCGAAGAATAAAATTACATTTTTAATCGCCTAATTTATTTTTAGTTTCCACCTGAAACTCAATCATTTTTATTTCATTACAGGCCTTAAGCGATGCGGCAAGAGCTGCCGCCTACGGTGGCTAAATTATCTCAGGCCAGATATCAAACATGGAGGATTTACTGAAGAGGAAGATAATATCATATTCAGTCTTTATAATCAAATGGGTAGCAGGCAAGTTAATCTCTCTAATTATTTTTCATTCTCATTAGCATATACCCAAATTATTATTATTATTATTATTTATTAATTTAGTTATCAATTGAGTTCGAACTTTGAGACATTAATAGGGTTGAAATAATATTATGAGCTATATCTCTCTGAGTCCGGTCGGAGAGTTCGAACCTGAAATTTCCTACAAATCAAACCAATAATGTATTAATTTGATTCTTCATAATTAATGCTTCAACTTGTTAATTTAATTCTTTTTGTCAGATGGTCTCTAATAGCCTCTCGCCTACCCGGAAGAACAGATAATGATGTGAAAAATTATTGGAACACCAAGTTAAAGAAGAAGCTACTTAATGGAGGAAAAACAATCGAGAACAATACAAACCCTAATAATATTAATCCTCCTGCTAGTGCTAATTATTATAACACCAATACTATTAATTTTATTAACCCTAATTCAGTGACAGTCCTTCCTTGTGTTCCTTTCCCAGAGACTGAAACCAACTGCACCTTCACCTTCTGTGATTCTTTTGTCAATACCAAAGAAGGGTCAAGCATTTTAGACTCATCAACGCCGCCTACTAATGGTGTTGGAGAGACTTTAATGGATTCTAGCTATGATTTTCCTGACTATGATTATTATTCTTTTAATGGCCTTGATTTGTTTGATCAAGATAAAGCAGCAAGTGAAATTGCTTCAAGTAATTATTGCAGCCCAAGCATGTGAGTGTTAATTATTAATTATTAACAGAGATTGACAATTAATTGTCCTTCACATTGTATATATGTTTTATTAACTGAAGCTGAATTTGTAGATTTTTTAGCGAATTATTAATTTGCAGGTCTTTGATTGTATAATTAAATATTATTTTTTCTAAGAAAATATATGTTTGGATTTTGATTTTGATTTTTTTTTTTTTAAAGAAGAAATCAAACTAAAAATTTCATTAAGTGAGACTGTATCTAGATATTTGTTGGGACCGCGCGTACCATCCAACCCCGAATTAGTATGATATTGTCCGCTTTGGTCCAAGCCCTCACGGATTTGTTTTTGGACACCTCCCAAAAGGCTTCATACTAATGGGTTGGGTTTGAACCATTATATTTTGGTTCCATTTCTCCTCTTTATCCGATGTGGGACTTGGGAGGATATCCTCAACAAACCTCCCCTCCAACCAAGGACCACACAAATCGTGACCTCCCCACCATCTTGTACCGCCGCTACAATTTTGCGCGACACGCCGCCCGACCTCCTCTTGTCGGAAAGACTTTCGACACAAGGCACCACTTGCAGATTTTCTTTTGGTCTTGGTCCTGTTGTTACACCGTCACACCGAGATTTTCTCACACTGCGCAGTCCGCTAGGCCAACCCTTGCGATTTTCCGTTTTGGTCTTGGTCCTGTTGTTACACCCGTCCACAGGGCCGAGATTGTTCCATCACACTGCGCCAGTCCGCTGTTCAACGACCCGCTCCGAATCTTGGGCCCTCTGGATACCACTTGTTGGGACCCGCGCGTACCATCCAACCCGGAAATTAGTAATGATATTGTCACGCGTTTGGTCCAAGCTCTTACGGATTTGTTTTTTGGGGCAGCCCTCCGCAAAAGGCCTCACATACTAAATGGGTTGGTTTGAACCATTATATTTGGGTTCCAATTTCTCCCAAAAGGCCTCATACTAATGGGTTGGATTTGAACCATTATATTTTGGTTCCATTTCTCCTCTTTATCCGATGTGGGACTTGGGAGGATATCCCCAACAATATTAGATGCATATTAGATACATATCAACATATTTTTATATTTTGGTTTTTATTTCTTGTAAGGAAATAAATTGAGCCATCAAAGTTGTTTCTTGCTGGCTATTAGGTGTCATGAAAATTGCATGGAGATTACTGGTTATCTTTGGCCTGTTCAAACTTCACCATGGTGACCATAAAAGATTCTCTTTCTATATATATATATATATATTTGAAATAGTCAATTAGTACATCAGCTTCCATGTGAAAAGAATTCAGTACAGTCTTGTGTTTCACCGGACCTAGTCATCCTAGTTAAGCTAAAATTCACTTAAAATAATAAATTAAAATTTTTAACTTCAATTTGCACTCAATATAATAAGTCATTAGACTTTTAAGAATTTAAAAATGAATTGTAATTTTTATAATTATATTATTCAACATTTATTTTTTAGTTTTACCCAATTTTAAATTTCGTGTCAACGTAAGTGATTACTTTCATTTATTTTTTATCGCAAATATTTATTTTGTAGCATACCATTCTTGATTTGCGTAATTTTTTCTACCACATGTAATTTTGAATGAAAGAGAGACAAAAGAAATAAGATATGAACTACGTAGTTTTCCAACCCCCAAGACAGGAAAGTGGAAGTTTTGGCCTTTTGGATTCTTTGAGTGAAACCCAGACGGTGGAATGGCGTTTATGTGAAACGACTTTGTTTATGGATAACACGATTTCATTTGTGTGAAATTTGGACGTCATGTCGTTCATAGACCGAGTTAAAAATGGTTGTCGCCCTCGTCGACGCAAATGAAGTTGAATTTGAAAAAGGATTGTGCAAAGGGAACAAAATTGCAAGATCAGGTACAGCATGTCGTTTCCAGCAGTTATTGTCGTTTTCTTATTAAAAATTGTTTTAGATTAGTTATTATCCTATATATTGTTGGCATTACGTATATCCTTTGTTCCATGCCTATTTAAATAAAATGAATAATATCGACAAAACAAGAATATGAAGATGAAGAAAAAAGACAACCGTGTCAAGGTACCATTCACATTCAGTGCTGTCAGTTATACATTGTTTTAGATCATTAATGCAGTTTTGAAAATTTTCCCAATTTTAATAAATACTGGATTCAGGATTATTAAAATCTTTTCTTTTTTTCTAAAATTCCTAAGAGGTAAAAAGAACTCCGATGTTCTAATTTGATTTTTCTAAAAAAAAAAAAAAAAAAAAAAAAAAGAACTTCCGATGTGTCTACATGTTGATTTTCCCTAAAAAAAAAAAAAAAAAAAAAAAAAAAAAAAAAATCAATGTTATACAATTGGTGACAACTCCTTTTTTTTTTTATTTCTTATAAAATTAATGAATATTCTTATAGATAAAAGGCTTGAAGTTACGTTAGTAGTGGAAAGTCTTGAATTCGAATCCTCTCAATTATAAGAGTAATTTGATATAAACAATCAATTAGTCATTCTACATGTGATTTTGATTTGCACTCTATATATTTTCATTTTTTTTTCTTAGTGAACGGTTAATGATAGGAATAATTATTAAGAATTGACCGAGCGTTACTCAAACTAATATAAACAAAGTAATGCTCGGTCAAATATTTATTTAATCATGTAATTAATGCTCAAGATTCTCGCAACATTTATGATTAGGATTCTTACTCGATATCTATCTCTTCAGTTAGAATAGAAAATGTACTATAAATGTTTGTATCACATCTCATTAGGATATATTACATTCAATGGCAATTTACGAGTATTCTCTCTTTTAATTCTATCGGTTAGAAATATATTAGTTTCAAAAAAAAAAAAAAAACTTAATTTTCATTGTTGATCTATGGATGGATGACTCGAGCTCTTGTCAAAATAACAAAAAAAAAAAAAAAATCAACATAAACAGAAAAAAAAAAAAAAAAAAAAAAAAAAAACATTTGCAATCATGAAACTCAATTGGAACTAAAATTGACGGAGTCTGAACCGGCCATCTCTAATTATCAGCTAGAAACAAAGAATATACGCTGAAGTAGAAACCTAAAAAAATGTGAATTTACAAAATTATGAATGTAATTAAAAAAAGTAAATTTATTTTCGATCGTCTCATACCTGCCACCAGGTGCAGATTTATAATGGGGGTAATAGGGTCACTTGTTCCGCTGACTTTTTACGGTTCAGTTTATAATTTTTTACATTTTAATATATATAATTATGTTAATTTATATTTATTCCACTGAATTTTCATATTTTACCCCCACTGAATTATAACTTTTATACATTGTCCTCACTAATTTAATTTTCTGGATTCGCAACTTGCCTGCCACCCTCATATTGAAAGGTAAATTTTAATTTTATTTTTGCTTGTGATATAATATTCTTATTATTGATTTATAGGTATTAATTAATAAAAATTTAAATCTAACTTGTGATTGGTTGTATATATGAATGTGACACCCAAAAGTTTTCTAATGGTGTTCTTGACATTGACCCTTAATTTTGTATAGTTAATGTAGGTAGCTTTGCATGGTTGGGTTTTTAGGTCAATGACTTGGATATGTAATGTGTAATGTCCTTTTCCTTGCTAGCTAGCTCGCTCGTGCCAATGTTGTGAGATCAATTTGTACATACCAGATTTTTTAAGCATTATTTTCTAATAATTATTCTGAATTTATCATGTATCGTAACCTATCAATTTCACTAGGCATAGGACCATCACATTTGGTTTGATGGGATGAAAAAATATTTGTCTACTTTTGCTATATATATCTATTTCTCATATATTAATTATCATTTAAAAAAAAAATACCCTTTATTATTATTTTTTAGTGAATAATATATTTATTTGTACCAATGGTCATTATTTAAAAACGAAGAAGGAAAGCATAGATCCCATGTGCTGAAAACTATGTTGATGGAACCGTATACATTAATCAGCAATGGCCACACTAAAGCGGTGAGTGAGATCTCTCGCATCCAAATTCTTTGTTTGGTGGAGTTTGATTGATCGCTGCAACAATGATAGGAAATGGGCAATCCTCTCCTCTCACCTCATCATACATTCATTGTACGCTACTCACGGAAACCACTAACATCATTGGATTTTCGATTAGACAACACAGCTTTTTATTTTTATTTTTTTATATTGTTAGTTCTTTCTTTTTTAAATTAATACTGATTAATTATTATTAATATTAAAGGGCATTACATACAAATAATGGATGGAGGATAACTATTAAATTCCAATAAATCAGAAAATTGAGCTAGCAGCTCTAACTAATATATGAACCACTTGATTCGCTAATTTTTTAACAGACGAAAACTGTAATGAAGTAAATTTTTGTATATATAAGACTTACGATCATGAATTAATTTTGTAAAATAAAAATGATTCACTTCGTTTTTCTCTAAAGCCTATTTCACTATTAAATTATCAATCTCTAATACAACCTGACCTCGTAAAAAATGTACTTTTAATTTAATCAGTTTAAGGTCTCCCTCACTCTCAAATTTAAAAAATAAACTCTTGAAAATAATAAACACGATGTTTAGGTCTGTTTACGAATGAAATCAATTATAATAAAGATTTTTCTAAAGACTGTTCTCATTTTGTTTTAAAAAAATAGTTTTCATTGGTTTTTTAAATCCGGAGACTGGGTCTAAGTAAAGGTGATGCCAGTTCAGACATGGAATCAATTTGGGCTGGATAATGAAAGAATGACCCAATTTGGGTCCATCCTAGCCCGACCAATGACCAATAATCAATAATCAAACTTCAATCAATCGTGTCAGTGTCTAGGCACATTTTAGCCTTAGCTAACTGCATCAGTATGGCATCTCTTTTTGTCCAATCGAAGAAGGTCCATCCGTCCATGCCCTTATCTTAGAGGGTACATGTTGGATCTACCCTTGTTCAGTTCCTTTACTAAGCTTTTTGCAACACAAGAATGAAATATCAGAATTTGAAGCTGAAACTTGTCCAAGTACTAAAACATAGTACATCAATATCTTCTCTTATGGTGGTTACAGTGCTTGCAATTATTTGGGCATTTTGATTTTTTGGATATTATTATTTTTTGGTCTCCTTTTTTATTTATTGTGGCCATGCATGGGTGTCCACTACTTTTTCTTTTTTCTTTTCTGGGTATGAAGAAAATAAACAAGCAAAGCTACCTAACAATAGATTAGTGACTTGTAATTCATAGGATACACTCAAAGAATATTTATACATAGTGTTTTTTTTTTTTTTTTAATTTTTTTTTATTTTTATTTTACTACAAGTAAAGAAAATAACTTCTTCAAATAGAAAATTAAGACATGCACGTTCTAAGATAAACAATTCCATAAGTATCATAGAGTAGCAATCTACTTAATTAGTTGTCAATAATGCTCCGCATAGAAGATATTTTGTTAGATTATTTAATAATCTATACGTGGCCCATGTAATTAAAGGGCTGATTCTAATTAAGGTAGCCCAAGATGATGATTATTAGTCTTAATGAATAAGGGCCAGTTAGGGTTTTAATACCCTTCCTCTGCCTAGACAGCATCCGCATTTGGTGGTTATTTAATAATCTATACGGTGGCCCCAATTGTATTAAAGGGCTGATTTCCTTAATTACAGTTCTAGCCCAACGATCGGATCGTATTATTAGCTCCTTACATTGGCGAATCTGATAAGGATCCCAGTTAGGGTTTTACATACGCAGCCTTCCTCCGTGCCTATCCTAATATAAAGATAACGGAATACAACAGGCTTGGGTTAACACAGAAAAGAAAAGAAACACCTACGAGAGTTGTGCCGGCTCTACCTTTCTCACGAACGACGTGATACAATGAATAGCGAAGCTTGTTCTAGAAGTGATTCCGCGAGTGCGAAAAGAAAAGAAAATAGAGAGTGTGACGGTTACTTCAAACACATACAATGATAGGTTGTTTGAGAGAGCGTGAATAAAAACTCCCTGACCATTGAGAGAAAACTTACAGAGAAAAGGCCAGAGTGAAGAATCAAATTGCCGCAACGAGGTAATCCATAACATAGATCTAGGTACGCTTCCGATTGTTGTATATTTACTAAACAAATTCTGTGAATAATAGATCTAGGCTATATTAAAGATTTATTTATCATATTTTTATTGCTGTGAAATGAAAAGTTTTTACTCTTTATATTATTGAAGATATATAGAATAATTAATTATGTTTTCAATTTATAGCTTTAAAGATACTTATTTACTCTCAGCGTATGAGTTCACCTATATATATATATATATTATTGCAGTGAGAGTATTTCTAATCATTCACTAAGAGCAAAAAGATAAAACAATAATAAATTTTACAAAAATCATTCATTCATTCGCTTGCTGTATGGGACCCATACGATGCACTGTGTCTAGGCAAGTCTTAACCTATGTATCAAATTATATAATAAAAAAAATTCTAAATTAGGCCCACTTTTGAATATTGAAATTAATTATATATTATAATTTTGATAAAATTTTTATATAAATAAATTCTAAATTTATAAGGTCACATATATATTAAATAAATAACATAATAAATATGAAAAATTCCTTTACTGGGATTCTATTATGGAAATATAAAAATAAACTTAATTACAAAATAAAATAAAATTTAAAAATAATTAAGATCGTTTGAGGTGTCTCGACATCAATAATAGATTAACAATTTATAATAATATGTAATTATTGTATGTTATCATATTTATTTATTTATTTTGTGTAAACCATCGGTATTCGGATTCTATTATTAAGAATTGTCTAATCAGGTTCAGGACTTAATCACAGTTGAGACCTTTCACCTTTCCTACAGTTGTATTTAGTAGGGGATTAAACACGAGAGTTCTTCCCACATATCCAGTCTATATTGCTAACTAAGCCAAGTTGCATATTTTTATCATATTGGTTTATATTATACTAATTTGGCTACATTATTATTCAATGAATAACAGTGAATTCCAGGTCTCATCAATATCTCTATCATTCCTGCTCAGTACACCAATAAACACCTTTTGTGCTCCTTAGATTCCTCATTTGATCGTCCAATCATTTTAGCGGTGTTACTTTGCATGCATCATGCATGATATAATTAAATAAGCCCAAAGTTTGGTCAAACATTTACTCTCTCTCTCTCTCTCTCTCTATATCTCTCTCTCTCGCTATATTTACTATATATCAATTATATATCATATTGCTATATATTGCTAGTGGCATTAGCTAGCTTCCATGATATACACAAATTAACTTGGCTCAAGAACAAATACAAGAAATAGAGAGAGAGAGAGAGAGAGAGGAAGAGAAATGGAGATCTCTCTTCTTAGAATCTTTTCTTCTGTTGCAATTATTGGAGTTGTTTATTTGATCAAGGAAATCTTGCTTGGGCCAAAGAAAGCGAAGAAGAAGCTCCAAATGCAAGGTATTAAAGGGCCTTCTCCTTCTTTTCTTTATGGAAATCTTCCTGAAATGCAAGAAATCCAGTTCAAGAATTCAAGAAAAGAAGCTCCAACCCAAGTTGATGATATTGTTGCTCAAGATTATACTTCTATTATTTTCCCTTACTTCGAACATTGGAGAAAACAATATGGTGAGTTCATCAAAAACTCTCTTTAAATTTTGCAATTGCTGAATAAGATTTGAATTTTTGAGATTAAATTCCGAATATTTTTTGAGTTTATTTGAATTGATGCATGCTCAAACACATTTTTATCAGAAGCCTTTGTTTCAATCTATCTATTTCTTTCTTTTGAAATTTTGATGTAAACCAATGTGAAAACATCTTAATTTGATTTGACCGATTCATTGCAGGCTTGCAGCTTGTTCATTTTCTTTTTCTTTTTACTGAAAACAGACAACGTGCGCATGACTATATTTATATGTGATTGATATGTATATCTATTACATCTGTCGATGATAATGATTTCAAATAATGTGTTTATATAAATCCACGCACTTTATAATATAAAATACATGTAGGTTTATATAAATCCCACGACCTTTATAATATATTATACTTAATAATATATATATACTAATAATATATATATATTATATATATATACTATATCAATGGTATATTATTTTTAAATTTTTAAACGCAGAGGATTAGCAATTTGTTTATTTCAGGCATAAATAGATAACTAGAATTATTATGTATATATTACTTATTACTATTATTAGATTTTGGATACGGAATTGACTTTAGAAGTGTTATTGAAATTGTTTAATTATGATTTAACTCCAAATAACCTCAGTTCATCATTAAATTAAGTATTATTAAATGGTATATATTTTAAATTTTTAAACAGCAGAGATGCAATTTGTTTTTATTTTTCAGCATAAAGGAACTAGAATTATTATTATATTATTATTATTACTATTATTAGATTTGATACGGAATTGACTTAGAAGTGTTATTGAAATTTTTAATATGATTTAACTCCAAATAACCTCAGTTCATCATTAAATTAAAGTATTAATTACATATTACTAGTCAATTAGGGAACATCATTTACATTAGCTCTAATAGTAAAACAATTAAATTTGGCCAAATTAAGTGTCTTACTATTTATCTGTTGACAAGAGTTTCAATTTTAATTTTCTAGAATATAGTGACGTAATTTTAAGGAGATATTTAAGTGATTAAAACTTGGAATTTCTATTAGGAGACCTGAAATAAAAAAAAGTTAGGTAGAAATATAATAGAAAGGGTGCATCTTTGTTTTACACACTTAATAAATTCTTTATACCATATTCGATAAAATTAGTTAATTTGGTAGTTTTTAGCTGTTGTGAAACGCTCGTTTAATCTCTAATAAGCAGTAATTATAAACATTATGACATTGTGCATTATAAATAATTGGATAGTGTAAAAATAGTGCATTATATAATGTGAAATCAAATTCATTAAAAACGTTTTTGAATTCACAATTTACTTTCGACTAGCAAGGCGGGGAATTTAGGGTAAAAAAGGACCGATAAAAAAAAGAAGAAGGGACATAATGCAAATTAGTTGGAATACGTGGTGATTTATTTAAGGATCAAAAGTAGTGGCAGTTGGATGGAGCTGTCAACTGAAGGGGACCAAGTAGATTCGGTTCAGTCCGGAACTAGCTAGAATCAAAGTTGGCCCATTAATAATTGTTTCATTAAAGATGGTAGTTACGTTATTCTTACTGACCCATTTTTATTTGGGTCACTTTTTTGACCGATCCAATCCTAAATCCTACACCAAAAACCCAATTATTGTAGCTCCACATTTTGTTTTTAGATTTTTCTTTTGTTTCTTTTGTAAAAGTAAATTGTACAGCTTGTACAAATGAATCTCATTAATATCTATCTATCTATATATATATATATACACATATATATAAAACAATTTAATGTGTCTATTACATAAAAAAATTTAATGTTTTTAGATTTTTTTTTCCATTTTGCGGAATAAACTTGGGTTCAAATCTATTGAAATATATATGAAAATGCAGGTCCAATATACATATATTCAACAGGGTTTAAGCAACATTTGTACGTAACCGATCCTGAGTTTGTGAAGGAAATGAACCAGTGCAACACTCTGGCCTTAGGCAAGCCTCCTTATGTGACTAAAAGATTTGCGCCCATGTTTGGCAATGGTATTATGAGATCCAACGGTCACTTTTGGGCTCTACAACGCAAAATTGTAGCACCAGAATTTTTCATGGGCAAGGTCAAGGTAATGCTTCTTTTCAATTAAGTAAAAAAAAAATATTTTAATCTTAAAATTTTCAATATTTTTTTATTGATTATGGTCCAATGGATCGAAATAACACTACGAATTACATAAATTGTAAAAAAGACCTAAACTTGAGACTTTTTATTAATCAAATAAATGAAAAGACCAACTGGATAATCACTTCACTTTTGGGCTCTACAACGCAAAATTGTAGCACCAGAATTTTTCATGGGCAAGATCAAGGTAATGCTTCTTTTCAATTAAGTAAAAAAAAATATTTTAATCTTAAAATTTTCAATATTTTTTATTGATTATGGTCCAATGGATCGAAATAACACTACGAGTTACATAAATTGTGAAAAGGATCTAAACTTGAGACTTTTTATTAATCAAATAAATGAAAAGACCAACTGGATAATCACTTGATTAGCTAGAATCTATGGATCTTGAAGAAAAAGAGAAAATTAATGTATTGGTCCATGAAAATACAAGCAGAGCATGGTGGGGCTAATGGTGGAGTCAACCCAAGTATTGATAGGAGAGTGGGAGCAACGCATTGGAACCCAAGGTGGAGTCCCGGCAGAAATTAGAGTTGATGAAGATTTGAGGGGTCTCTCTGCAAATGTCATTGCAAGAGCCTGTTTTGGGACCTCTTATTTCAAAGGCAAACAAATTTTCTCTAAGCTTAGATTTCTTCATAAAGCCCTTACCAGGCAAGGCACCCTCTTTGGCTCCACAAATTTCCGGTACGTACTTTAATTACTTCCCATTACGGTACTGCCTCTGTAAATTAATAGCTTTACAGTTTATTTGAAATTTAGATCACTTGGCTATTATTTTATTTTTCTTAGAAAGAACTGCAGAGAGATTAGCAGCTTGGAAAGAGAGATAGAGACGTTAATATGGGAGACAGTTCAAGAACGCCAAAGGCAAAGTTCAATTGAAAAGGACTTAATGCAGCTAATACTTGAGGAGGCTGTGAACAATACTAATGCAGGAAAACTTTCGCCGAAGCAATTTATAGTCGATAATTGCAAGAGCCTATACTTTGCAGGACATGACACAACTGCTATTTCTGCTACTTGGTGCTTGATGCTTCTCGCTTTACATCCAGATTGGCAATCTAAAATCCGGGCAGAGATTACTCAATTTTGCAATAGTGAATTGCTAGATGCAAATTCACTATCCAACCTAAAAACGGTATTAATCAAGATTGATTTTTTATTTTTTATTTTTTGAAGTTTCGAGTGATGATGTGTGATTTATTTTACCTGAATAGGTGACTATGGTGATTCAAGAATCACTAAGGCTATTCCCACCAGCAGGGTTTGTGGTAAGAGAGGCATTTCAAGAAGTTCAAATTGGAAACATTACAATCCCAAAAGGAGTGTGCACATGGACTTTGATTTCAACATTACATAGGGATCCTAACATTTGGGGACAAGATGCTGACAAGTTTCGACCAGAAAGATTTGCTGATGGGCTCTCTAAAGCTTGCAAATTTCCTCAAGCTTATATCCCATTTGGAATTGGGACTCGCTTGTGTGTAGGTAGACACTTTGCTATGGTGGAATTGAAAATTGTTATTTCTCTTATCATCTCCAAGTTTGTATTATCCTTGTCTCCTAATTATATGCATTCTCCTGCTTTTAGAATGCTTGTGGAACCTCAGCATGGTTTACAACTTATAATCCAAAAGATTTAGCTAATGGGTTTAGAAGATTGTTATATATATATTATGTTCTTGATATAGTTATATATACACAATATGTGTTTCTGTCTGTCCGCTGGACATTCACTTGGGCAGTACTTATGTTTTTAGTGTTCTGTTTTATTTTAAGTCTTTTGGTTTGATTTCTTTTCTGTATCAGAAGAAACTAATAATAGGTTGGTTCGATGTTGAGTGATTTAAATATATTTTTATCATATTCAGGTTTGACTTTGTAACATATTTATATTTTATGGTTTTATTTGTTATGATATCAAATTTTGACACCAATATATAAATACAACGAAAATTATTCAGTTTTGGATTTATTTGTTAGCCGCCATCATTGAAAACAAAAGAAAAAAAATATAAAAAATTTGTTTAGCTCAATCCCGCATCGGGGAGAAGAGATTATGGAGGATAGTAGATTGGCTATAAAATGTCAAAACAAAAAGAAAAAAAATATAAAAAATTTGTTTAGCTCATCCCGTCGGGAGAAGAGATATTGGAGGATAGTAGATTGGCTTATAAAAGGAGAAATAAGGTTTAAGGTTTCTTATAACCAAAACATCACTTTTGAACGTTGTTTTTATATTTTAGGAGTCAGATTTGAAATCCCTTGGCAGTATAAATATTTGGGTTTTTGAGCGGGTGGGTAGAAAAAATTGTTAATTTGTGGTTGTAACAATTTGCCGCATAGTGAATATTTTTTTCTTGGATTGTCGTTTTGGCACGGCCGTGTTTTTCTCTCACTTGGGGATGTTTTCCACGGTTAAAGCTATCGTGTTCTCTTTATTTCTCAGTTATTATTTTATTTTTCTCATTTGTCTTCCTGCTTTTTGAAAGCCGATCCGAAGGGCGGGAAAATAAGGATTTTTCCCAACACAGTGGTATCAGATCCTAGTTGTGTAGGCGCGGAGCTTTTAGTGTTAAAATTTAATTTCTTTGTAATTATAAGTATGCTCTGTGGGGTTGCGGGCTTTAGTCTGATCTTCCACATCAGAAATACTGTTGTTAAAAATTATTTTTATTTTAAATACAGGTTGGAGTTTTGGAAAGTCTTTGAAGCGGGTGTAAGCTACCTTTGGTGTGCTTGAGTATCGGTGCCGATGAATGTCCTACGATAATTATTGAAGTTATTCTATTCTGATAAATATACCGGTTGCACGGTAACCTTCTTGTGCTAGAAGGCCGTGATTTTAAGTGGACCCACTTGTGAGACCCTCCGTCCAACTGAGATATTTACGTGGAATGGTATTATTGTCTAGGAGATTTGTTCATTTGTCGCGATCTTATCGCTCCTGGCCGGCTATTGCCTATCGGTTTACTTCACTAATTATTGGGTTTCACTGTTATAAGCACAAGTAAGCATGATCGGCTATGAGAGTGAGATTGAGAAATTTGATGGAAGAATGAATTTTTGCACTTGGTGGCAAGTGAAGTCAAAGACGTGTTGATTCAGCTTGGACTGCATAAGGTTTTTTGAAGGGCTAAACAGTCGCGGAGAAATTCAGGAAAAGACCTATAGCAGGGAGAACTCAGAAAAAATCCCAAGGGATTAGCGATGAGAATGGAGGAGGAGCTGGATATCAAGCCGGCAAGTCAAATTCCGCAATGTGTCTTAGCAAAAATGTTTTCTGGCTTAATTGTGCTTGGATTGTTCCCGACAAAGGGAGTTGTGGGAGGACTGGAAAGAATGTACGCGGGCGCAAAATTATCCAAACAGTGTTTATATTTGAGAGGAGCAATTTTACATACCGTTTGAAAATGACGGTAGGTAACAAAGCTTGTCAGATCGATACTGAGTGCAGATCACCTGAGTGTTCTTAACGACATCGTCTCTGAATTAGAAACTCTTGGAGTGCAAACCGAAGATGAAGATAAAGCTCTCCGACTCATCATGTCAGTTCCTTCGACATATGAGCGCATGAAACTTGTTCTGAAATATGGTAGTAAGGAAGTGGTGTATGCAGATGTAGTTAGTAAGCTCCTTACTGAGGAGAGAAGACTGAATGAAATGAAAAATAAATCATATGAGGATTCAGCTTTATATGTCAGTACCAGGAAAAAGAATAAAAGCTCCGGAAAGAAGAAAGTTGTCTGCTGGTTTTGTGGTCAAACTGGACACGTGAGGAAGGATTGCCCGAACAGTGGAGCCGATTCGGCTAGAAGCTCTAAGGTTGTTGTTGCCAATGTGATCTCCTGTGGCGAAGGAGAAAATAAGTTTCCAACTAGTTTCACACTGATATCGTATTAAACAAAATACAATTCTCACATATGAGCACATGAAACCTGTTCTGAAATATGGTAGTAAGGAAGTGGTGTATGCGGATGTGGTTAGTAAGCTCATTACTGAGGAGAGAAGACTGAATAAAATGAAAAATAAATCATATGAGGATTCATCTTTATCTGTCGGTACCAGGAAAAAGAATAAAAGCTCCGGAAAGAGGAAGGTTGTCTGCTAGGGTTGTGGTCAAACTGGACACGTGAGGAAGGATTGCCCGAACGGTGGAGCTGATTCGGCTAGAAGCTCTAATGTTGTTGCTGCCAATGTGATCTCCTGTGGCGAAGGAGATGATGTGTTCTCTCTGTAATTGAGAGATGTGTGCCCTCATGGCATGATTGCTACCCGTTAAGATGCCATGGAAGAGGATGGATTATTGGTAGCTGGTCCACGGAAATGCGCACGGCATTGGTTGACAGTTGATGCAAAGTGTGGTGGAAAAAATATGCCGATGGCTAATGAACTCTCAAAAAAGTCAATAGGAGGGTTGCACCATAAATAGTCTCAGACACGCTCATAATGTCTCAACAGGGAGGGGGTGGAACCGATACAGTAGTCTATTAGCGCATTCGCGACATGGCCTGATTTGGCGAACGTCGTATTATAACTTCTTGGATGCTTTCTGTTCCAGCGTTTTGTGTTAATAGTGAATAACCCACCATAGTGGATCTCTCGTGATACTCTCAGTCCTTTATAGTGGAGATATATGAGTAATTCTCTCTTGAGCCGATAAGACAATTCCATGTTGTTGGTAAGCCAGACGCCATTGTTCTGTGTGTTTCTTTTTTTTTCTTCTGTTTCTTTTTTGTTATGTTATTTCTCTCATATTAACGAGCTCGTGAGAGTTTGCTATCTAGCCGCCTAACTTAGCTTGAAAACTATAGAATAGCGCAAAAAAAATTATAATAAAAATTGTGTTTACGCTTCCAATTCCACACCACGGGTCAGCAGAAGATATGATGATTAGGGCGGCGAATGCTACGATTTGGCTTATAAAAAGGATATATGATAAAGGCTTTAGTTACTATAGGATCACGCAACAACACCACCTAGCCGCTGGCTGTGTGAACGTTGCTTTTCATATATAGGGAGTCTGTGTGCAGTATCCCTATTTCTCTTTCATTAAAAATCTATCAGTTGAGACCTTCCTAGTGCAGGCAGTACACGTATGCAACCTAGCCGCTCAGTGGTTGATGTTACTTATGGCAGCCGGCCTACATTCTTTCTTCTGTGTTCTAATCTAGCTGCTATAATTGCTCTGATGGTTATGTAAAACTACTCACTGTGTTAGTAGCGCATCTGTTGGTTGACTCGGTCCGCTCTCAACATGTGCAACCTAATTATGACGATCACTGTGAGCTGAATATTTTTTCTTATGGAGTCCAATATCGCGCGCGGAATTGTCGTGGTATTAAGGGCACTACGACTTGCTCTGAGTCTCAGCGGTGTATGTTTTCTTCTCGCTTCTACTTGTCAGGAGAGCGTTTTCCACTGTGGTTAATATCGTATTCGTCGTTCTCTTAATATTTCTCCTCCTAGCCTTATATATTCTCCTTGTATTGTCCTTCCTCATATGTTTCCCTGCTCTGGCGATAAGCCCTCATGATAATCACGTATATAAGCGGTCTCCAGTACTTGTGTATAAGAATGGATCGCAGAATCATGTTCACTCTGCGGCGAACAACTCAAGACCTACGGACTATACCTTTTACTCTTATAAAATTAAACCTTCGAATATTTAGACGAAAGATCACAAGTCCTCTCGATTTTGATATTTCATTCGACTCAAGGCGTTGTTCGATTTTAGATTCTTTCGCTAAGACCTATAGGATGTCTTTCGGCCTCTGTTTTCTGACTCGGCTCCGGCAAATCTTGTCTCATCACGCCTACATCGGTGGCCACCGGTAACAACTGAATCTGGGTGCTGTCAAGCGACATTGTTATTTTTCGGGCTCGCACTCTGGGTAATCTAAATAAAATGTTGTGAGTGTAGTCGCGTTATCTTATGGCGTCATTCCTAATACCGGTTCAGGAGTGCTCTTAATTTATCGTAGGCCCTGATTGCATCTTGATGTATAGTCTGGCTTGGATTCGTTGTCGTTCCATTCTTCGTGTGAAGATAGCCCTTAGAGTTTTATTGCTCAATAGTATTTTCATCCTCTGGTTCGCTCTCGGTCGCTCTGGATCAAGTACGTCATGCACAAATAATGCGGATCTATCTTGGTTTCGAACAGTCTAGTATTTGGTGTGGTATTTAGTCTCTCCAATATCAATAGTGGTCGCTTTTCTTCTTTTCATAATCATAGAGTTTTGGGTCTCCCGAAACAACAGCTCGGATCAATGATGCCGTATTGTTCCACATAATAATGACATCCTACTTTACCGACAGAGCGCAAGTGTTTAAATAATGGTGAACGAATCTGCGTGACCGACATCGGTTCGCTACGCTCTCCCGAAGTGTTATATTAAACAGTATATGATCTTGATACAACTGTACACTTGAACACATTACAAGCCCACTAGCTGTCCCGACTGCTATATCCGCGTCCTCTGCGAGTTATCGTTAGATCAGCTCTCTCGCGCTATATTAATCTCAGTTGTTTTACTTGTGTATTTACGCAGCTATCCTTGAGATTCAGTGCAACTATCCACCTACTCGGCCCTAGTCATCCTTTGCGATAAGAGAAACGATCACCAGAGATATGTAAGAATAGTTTTAATGCTGCTATACCTCTACTCCGTATAAAGATGTCATACATTGTATCTTACTTGATCTGCGTGTCGCTCATGTATCGAACTTAGCCGAAGTGAGGCGTATCCTATCTTCCGTCCCCTATTGTCCTTGGCCTTCCCAGGAGCCCTGGGTGCTGAGACGCTGCGCTCCTCAATCAACACGACCCTAATCCAACCCTCTGCCCTCAGACGACAATCTCTGCATATATCCATCCTTGATTCTCAACCCATCCTACCATACGTCGAGGATAGCCGACTCGTTTATACATTGCTTCGCCAATTCTCACCTATCTATAGACAAACCTCAGCTCTGTTGTTGCACATTATCAAAGCATTCCGGTCCGCCCTAGACTAGGCCTATATTACCCTATTACAAGTACCCGATTGCTCCAGTAACTCATGAAATTACCGGTCCTCGTCGACTCGTCTAAGTCCGTATCTTAACCTGAGCACTTTACTCGCCTCTCTATTCGCTCGTGCGAGGTTGAAGATTTTCATTTTATCTCATCTTTCATATGTTTCTCGCCAGACTTCCAATCGATTCATGATCATTCCTATACTGTGGAAATCGCTCCGCTCTAATCGCGCTCGGGCCTCGGTACAAGAACTCAGAGACCGCTGCGTGTCATTCCCGCGGTAGTACTGACTTCTCTGCCGTCTCTATCGTCGCCGTTGCAGTGTGCAGACTTTGCCGGAGTGAGTATCCCGTGATTATCCTGCTCTGCGCTTCTACTTTCTCGGTGTGCAGTCTCCTGACTTCTTTTCCATATAAACTTTGCCTTCCTTTCGCCAATTATTTTTTTTCTTGCTAAAATTTCAGCAGATCTTGTGGGCAGTTGTAGTGCTTATCTGATTGTTCAGAGAATAGAGATGAGCTCGTTAATCTCGCGAGGGTTCCTGAAGCAGCTTTCTTGAGTAAGTCGATACACAGTGAATTGGTAATTATAAAGCTCGCGTTTTGCGTTATTATAAGTTATGAAATCTTCTCTTCGTTTAAATTCTCCGTGTTCTCTTTAATTTCTCAGTTATTATTTTATTTTCTCATTTGTTCCTCTTGAAGCCGATCCGAAGGGCGGAAAAAATAGCGATTTTCCCAACATTATTTACTATAAAAATACCTTCGATTAGACGGAAACCAAGCTGATTTGATTTAATTCGACTCAGTTGTTCATTTCTAGATGCAAGTATAATTGTTACGCACTCTTTTTCGTCGGTCGGAAATTTGTCTATCACGCACTGTGGCTCGTAAACTATGGGCTTCAGGATTTTGGCCATCTTGGGATCTAAAATTGGATTGGTCCGTTATCTTAGGCTCATTTAACCTTTCAAGCTCTATTTGTAGGCCGATGATGTAAGCGGGCTTGTTTAGTCATTGGTAAGGCCCATATTTCCATAGTTATCCTGTCGTTCGACGGTATCGTCATTCAAATATTCGGCTATGGTTTCAATAGTTTTGTGGTTTAGTCTTTATGTCATATGGTCGTTTTCTTTTCAAATAGGTTTTGTCGAACAACATGCCGGACAAGATGCGATATTTTGATAAAATGAAGTAAATAAAAATGGTTATAAGAAAAAAACTAACATCACCCGCCACCTTTGTTTGTTAATTTAATTATCAGTTTGTGACTGGTCTCGCATTAAAAATTTTTTTTAATTATTTTTTATTTTTAACTCGATACGTATCTTCTATCTCCTCCCTGCAAGCTGCAAAACGAACCACCTCCCGAGATCTGAAAATTCTTAACATCTCCACTCAAAGGTTTTACTTCTCCTTTTTAACAAACTCTGGTTTTATTAAATCCCTTATCCTACAGATCTACATAATAATATTACCAGCAAATTCCATTCGGGTATTCATTTCATTTCATTTCGCAGATCCAATCATGGATTTCATGAAGGTCTTCGATCAAACAGTCCGCGAAATGTGAGCTTCCTATCCTCTCTCTTTTGCATATTTCTTCAAAATTGCTCTTCGATTTTTTTTTTTTTGGCAATTTTTTGAGTTTTTGCTTTTGATTTCAGAAAGAGAGAGGTTAATCTCAAGGTCCTGAAGGTTCCTGAGATCGAACAGAAGGTAATTAAATCGGTTTGCTATATATAAATTCTTGTTTAAAATTTATCGTACAATTATATTTCCTGTTTCAATTAAGAAGGTAGTGATCTCATGGAAATCTACTAGGAATCAGTTCAAAAATGGCGTTAAGTTATTTTATTGACCTCATTTTATACTCGAAGTTGTGATTTCAGCATTTTCTAATCTGTTGTTTCAGTTTTTAGATCAAAGAGTTTTGCATTTTTTTTTTCTATAGGCGGTTTGCTCTATCTTTTACCATTTATGATGCAGGTGCTGGATGCAACTGATGATGCTCCTTGGGGTCCTCATGGCACAGCATTGGCAGAGATTGCACAGGCCACTAAGAAATTGTAAGTTCTAATTTGCTTTTCGCATTTTTTGAATATTTTTTATAGTAATGATTTAACGGAAGGAATATTGACTTTATTTTCTTGTGCGTCGTCCTGCAATATCTTTTAGCACCGAATGTCAGATCGTTATGAATGTTCTGTGGGTAAGATTAGGCGAGACAGGCAAAGACTGGCGACTGGTCTATAAGGTAAGTCTTTATATTTTTAGCTTATCTACTTCAGAATTTCCAATACTGTAACTAGAAACTCACATATGATTCTCAATCTTGTTGCCTTGCTGGTCTTTTTAACGCTTCTATTCAAATTATGTGGAATACTTTGGTGTCAGGCATTATCTGTTATTGAGTATTTGATTGCACATGGATCTGAACGCGCTGTTGATGACATAATAGAACACACATTCCAGATTTCAGTGAGTTCTGTTTTTCATTACTAAACTAAGGTTGCATATCTCATTTTTGTGGCATTCAGAAAAGAACTGAGTTTCTCTGACTTTTGTTTCTCTTATTTATTTGTTGGCAAAGTCACTTTCAAGTTTTGAATATGTTGAGCCAAATGGAAAAGATTCAGGGCTTAATGTGCGGAAGAAGGCAGAAACTATAGTGGCCCTCTTGAATGATAAGGAAAAAATACAAGAAACCAGAAATAAAGCTGCCGCAAATCGTGAAAAGTAAGTGGACTCTTCAAAAACCAAAATTGCGTCTCTCTTGAGCATTTTTGGTGCTGAAATGTTGTTTGCTGCTCTTTTTAGGTACTTTGGTCTTTCATCTACTGGAATAACTTACAAATCAGGTTCAGCCTCATATAGTGGCAGCAGCTTCCACAGTAGAAGTAGTACAAGAGACAATGATAGTTTTAGAGATGATTATAGAGATAAAGATCGTTATGGAGATGAAAAAAGTGAAAAAGATATCTATGTAAAGTCACGTCAAGCGGGTAAGAGTGATGATCAAGGGAACACGTTGAAGAAGGGCTCTACGCGTGTTGGAAGGTTTGGATTTTTATTGGTGTATACGTATGTTCACAAGTTACATAAACATCCATGTGTATAATTATGGGTGGATAAGTGCCAATATTTTTAAAATAATGGAGCTTCAACTCTATTGTCACGAATCCAATTATTCTTGATGGTTGTGGGCTGCATATTTCTTGTATCACACTCTGGTATACTTCTTGATAGGTTTTGATGGATATCTGTTGTACTAATGATGTTTTTACATATCATGCAGTCTTATGTTCATAGTATCATTTGGTTAGACGAACAACTTGGACCACTTATATACACTCTTCATATATTCGTAAGATATGTTGCTAATTTCTTCCCTTTCCTCCATCAGGGATCAGAATAAGTTGTCAATCAATGCATCAAAATCACCCTCTAAGTTAAATGACACTAACAAGAACAATTCAGTTCCTGCTCAACTCTCAAGGACGACTACAAGTAATTATGACGATGACTTTGATGATGATTTTGATCCCAGGGGAACTTCCAGCTCTAGTATGTATTCTGGATAATATCTTATATAAGAGAATGTTTGTGATGTGTATTTTTATTGACTTTGTTTGGAAGACAATGTATTAAAAGAACAACACTATCCCAGAACAAAAAGAAAGACTAAAAGGGCACCTCTTAAGGCCCTTTAGCAAGAGTATCATAATCATACTTATGCTATCATTCATGAATCAGAAAGAAAATGTGATTGAAGTGCATGAGCATTTCATAAAATTTTACTTGATAGTGAAGCAGTTATTTCAAATGCACGGCCTTGGAGGCTGAGTTTATTATTTTGCATCAATATAACAGTTGCATTGTGTAATATATAATAACGGATATAAATGTTTGTACAAACATATAGTTGTATTTAAATGTATTTGAACTTGTACTTACATGTAACAATAATGTTCATGTCTTGTTTTTAGTATACTTGCTCGGTGCTTGCAATTCATATGGATGCAATGCTTGCCAAAACATTTCTTACCATATAGTTGTGATTTACAGAGTCTGCTGCTGAAACTTCTAACAAAGTTGATCTGTTTGGACAAAGTTTGATCGGTGACCTCATGGATGCACCAACATCTATTCCCACAGAAACGTCAGCCATAAGTGGCAATTCACCAGATGTTGATCTGTTTGCTGATGCAACATTTGTATCAGCACCACCCCAAGTTGAAAAGGGAGCAAGTTCTCAATCTCAGGTCAATACCTACTCATCCCTGTTTCCAATCTAGCTCTCTTGTGACTTTTTGAGTGTAGAAGCTGTTATGTGTTCCAATTTGGGTGCCATGTGGTTAAGACTTTGATTTTGGTTGTTCCATTTGTTGTTGAAAATTTAAGTATATTTGTACCAATCGTTGCTGTCTGTACCTGGATAGTATAAATGACTTGGAATTTCAAGAATGATAAATTACATAAATTGTTAGTTTGTAATCCTAGCAGTGCATGATTGCAGTCACATAGAATTTAGAATGTATGCCTTCACAGTAGTTGCTAAAGTATTCTTCACTAATATTTTTATAACCATCTCTGCAGACCCAGGTTGATCTGTTTGCTTCACAATCTGATGTCCATCCTGTAGTTCCTGCAACAGTTGATTTCTTTTCCACTGGCGATCCAGTTATGCAACCGGAGACCAAGACTCAAAATTCTGATCCAACACACAATGGCGTTGTTGATCCATTTGCTGCAGTCCCATTGAATAACTTAGATGGATCGGATCTTTTTGGTGCATTCTCCTCTAGTTCTAATTCAGCTTCTATAGAACCCACTCAAAGTCCTATAAATGATGGAGGCCTTAACAATTTGATTGTGAAGGCTTCGGACCCAAAGCCTCCACCAAAGAAAGACACTTTCCAGGTTAAGTCTGGAATATGGGCAGATTCACTAAGTCGTGGACTGATTGATCTTAATATATCTGCACGTAAGTATATCTTTCTTTGTTATAGTATCTATCAGAATATGTTATTGGATGTGTGAATATGTGGAGTTAAGATATGAAATTTTTTCTGCTAAACATCTAAAATCTACCATGCATGATAACCAACTTGTTTTTAGCATTCTTATTGTTAGACCTATCCTTCAACATGCATTTGCACTTAACATTTGTTTAGTTTGAAGTTTGTAACTGTCTTGCCATTTCAATTAACTTGCAGCTAAGAAAGTATCTCTAGTGGATATTGGTGTTGTGGGTGGTCTAAGCGAAGGACAAGATGAAAGGGAAAAGGGACCACCAACTTCATTTTATATGGGAAGAGCTATGGGCACTGGGTCTGGTCTCGGTAGATCTGGTTTTACTTCACAGTCACCGGCTATGGATGGTGCAGACTTCTTCTCGAGCCTTGGCAACCAACAACACCAATTTGGTAGTTTTAAGAAGTAAATTTTGGTTTTCTATTTGGCATTTTGCCCTTCATTTATCTTCTCAATATTCTTTTGGCCGTGTGGTAAAGATAATTTTAAGCGATGAGCATATTGGTGTGCTATAAATCTTGCTCATGCATCAAAACTACTTTACAATGATTTGATTATGTATCTATCATGAGTGGATCAGTTTACGGAACTGCTTATGTTCATTTCATTCAATATCGTACATTCGTACTAATGTCCTTTGTAAAGTCGATGGTTTTTTTTTAAGGCATTGTTTGAGAAATTAGATCAGTACTTTTATGTTCTTATGGACGTGAGAAATCTGCATCAAACAAGTTAGGTGATGGATATGCACTGTTACTCGTGATTGAAAATTGGGCTATTTATGTAATGAGATATTGTTATTATCTATTGCCACTTCCTATTTAGCTTCATGGCTTGTATGTCTTGGAAAAAGAAATCTGATAGTTCGGCATTGTTTTGCCGGTCCTTGCATACCATTTGAAAGGAAGTTCTAAGAGAAGCTTTGCCTGATCTCTAAATTCAACTCTGGATACATGGTTAGTTACATCATCACTTTAACACCATCAAAAGCATGAAAGTAACTGCAATGGAATTTAAATCTAGAGATGATTCACATTTCTTATAATGAAATGTGGAAGCAACCAACCGTCTGGCTGAACCCACCGTGAGCCCGCAATGCATATTAGTACAAGTAAAAGCTGGATTTAACCAGTTCTACCCTGAGCCAATCATCATCACATCTTGAAGAAAGCAACCCATGACAGGCTTAGGGTTTTGCAACTAACAGTTTAGCTTCTCAAATTCTCTTCATCTAAGCCTATCTCAAACAGCAATATGATGTTTAATAACTGTATGAAACCAGCATCTATTTAAACGGGTAAATGATAGATCATAGTAAATTAGATAGACAGGCAATGATTTGGGAAATTTAAACACAAATTCTATGGATTGGAATTTGTTATCTGTTGAAGGGATGCATGACAAACAATGTTCCCTAATATAGTTCCAGCATCCTCCCCCTCAACATGGCCTCTGCTTTCCTCACCTGTTTCACTGGTCCGATTATGAATACCTACAAGAAAATTACCTATGTCATGCACTGGAGTTTATAGAAATCCCAAACTACAACTAAATTCAAGCACTTGTACAACTCCTGGATCTAGGAATCTAACAATTCAAGTAATTTGTTAGAGCTGGATAATATTAGATTTAACGAACTTTTTGTTTCTCCCAAATTTTGTGATAGTAACAAACTGAATTGCAAGAGCATGATAATATAATCAATTCCATGTCAAATTTGTGCAGGTAGGTCGCATGGCAGCTAGGCATCAGAAATTTTCATAGATTGATAGTTTACCTTGTCGGGAGGACCCTTTGAACCTCCAATGAAAATTTCGGCACTGCAAAAATATGATCTTGATGTAAAGAAGGAGATTGACCAAATTACTGGTTACAAAACAAAAAGACATGAACGTGACTGTGAGGCAGATAGAAGGGACATACTTGCAAGATTCCTTTATTGACAAAATGGAGGCCCCTCTTCTTCCAATGACACGTCCCATCTTTCCAGGGGGAACATCAAGAATTGAAAGGATTTCCTCCTCAGGATCATTACCCATGCCTACAAGGTTATCTACACAGAAAAAAAATGTCCAGATCAAAAAATTTTAGTGAAACATTTATGCATTACTCAATAAGAAAGTTCCAAGCCTGAGGTCAATGTTGCTAGAGAAGAATGCATTGACTGCAAATACAATTGTAGATCCAGGTAAAATATAGAACCTGGAATAGGAGGGACAGGAGGCCAATCAGCATAATCATTTGCATTGATGCAAAAACATCGGCAGTACAATGCACTACGAACTGCTAGATACCACAATGATCTTTGGTTTAGTTTCTCCATCATATTATGATAGATATAGAGAAGAAAGCGAACATCATCCGTAGCTGCACGGATCATCAATTCAGATAATGGTCTGTATGTCCAGAAGTTAGGGTCCTGAAAATAGTGCACAAGACATGGCATATGTCAGAAATACCAAGCTACAATGTTACAGTGCAATGTCAAAGCAACATAAGTCAACAGAAGCTACACATCTAAATCTCTAGAAAACACATAGTACACTCCCTAGTTAAATAATTAGAATGAAGAGCTAATGATAGTTGATATGCATAATAACAAAATTACTTGGAAAATGCTTTCATTTAGATTGTTAGGCCATCTCATTTATATCACCTTGTCTATGCCTTATGGGATCCAACATGGCAGGGGACTCAGAAATTTCTTCTATATGACTAAAAAAGTGACAATTTCACTCTGCCTAAATGCTAATACCATATCATCATCAAAATCCTGAATTATGGCATTGATAGCAGTTCAAACTCAAGAGCAGTACCGCATTTAAAAGAAGAAAGATTCTAAAAGGGTGACAAGTGTTCCAAGCTAGTCGCCATTATATGCTAACTTTTCTAAGCTCTAAAGCAAATTGCCACTAAGAAAGCATGGCTCAAACAGTTCTATAAAATTAAGATCAGCAAATCAAGAAAAACTTCCCTTCACCAAAGGATAAAATTGACGTAAAATGCAAGAACTCCACAAATTTAATGAGATGTTTAGACTAACCTGTCTAAGGAGAATACGGACCTCTTCCTTCTCCAAATATGAAATGCCTGCATTCAAATACCCAAGGTATAAATCCAAGCAATATGGTGAATGCTATGCGCAAATCAAAATTCAATAGTTTGTAATAGCCTATTTCTGTTTCAAAGCAGGGAGTTTAAGAGCTGAGTTTAAGAACCCCCAGCATACAATTTTTTTTTTCTTGTTTCAGAAAAGAGAACAATAAGGAAGTCATTGCTGTCAAGAGCTGAGTAGCTCTCACTAAATTAAATTAAATGGAAAAAAAAATAAATGAAAGGAAAAAGACATGGTAGAACAGTCAACGTAGAAGTCTATGCAGAATGTAAACAACCATTATCAATCTCATTTTAATTAAATAAGATCCCTCCTAGGACACGTGGGAGAAGTGAAACTAATGGACAGAAAATAAAACCCATAGTATGAATCTATCCTGGGGCTACAATACCTCCTTGCCATACTCAGGAAAAGGGAAGATTTATTAACATAGATCATAAAAGAAAATGATCTCTTCAGAATAGACACTAATCAATCAAGAAGAGTTTTGATCCACAAATCTCCCAATTCAATTATAAATGCATTGTAGAAAAATTCCAAATTCCTTGTATCTATTTTTTTAAACCTCTTTCCCCTACATCTCTTTTCATACAGATGAGGACTGAAGCGAGTGATCAATATTAGAGGACATGCCATTAACAAACAATATAAATCAAACAACTACTTGTATGACATCAAGAAAATTTAGTAAATATTTACCAAAGACTTTCAATGAGTATATATTCATCTGGAATATTTGGGGAAACTAACATAAAGCTGTGTCATGAAACAAATAAATCAAAATGGATACCACGGCATATAAAATACCACAATAGCGTGGATCTGCAAGGAGACCAACAAAAGATATATAGTCAACTGTCACTCTAGTCCGTCCTTCTTGCTCCTCTAACAAAGAGTAGGCAATCTACAAGCAAACAGAAAGAAAAATACACATACACATCAAATGACAGCTTTCAACAATAACAGTCATTACTAATATAAGCAATTACAATCTGCATTATTTTCTATAGAATAATTATTATATAGACAACGACATGGAAAGGTGATTTAGCTACAATGAATTGTAAGCCGGCCTTTGCTAAAAGCAATTTTTAGATAGAATAATATTCCAAAGCTAGTCATACATAAAAAAATTGATCAAATCAAAGGCAAAAATTAAACATAAGTATTCTTATGTCAATCTACTTCCATTTCTAAGAACTCATCCTCAAGCTCCCAGAAACATGAAATTCATCCAACAATAACCACGAGGTCCACAATTAACACATTCTGTGTTGATAAGAGGATTAATCCAGCCAGAAAAAGAGAAGCAAAACCACAGCAGCGAAGAAAAATGAAAGTGAAAGAAGATGATGAATAATGTTCCCACCTACAAAAAGAAAAAAGAGGTGGATTCCACCTGAATGGTGATCAAGTGGGGATATGGAGCAGTTTAAAAGAAAAAATATAAAATACTGAACTGCCCAAAAGGTTGAAGGCTGTAATAGGGGAAACTTGCATGCTATATTGACTCTGATCCCTAACAAGTAAGCCACTTCCAAAGGCAAACTAAATAAATTAACAATAAAAACCTAAACCATTGCCCAGCCCAACATTTGAGGATTGAATGTGAAAAAACAAATCTAAAACAATTTTAGAAGAAACTAGATACTGGTTCTGCCAATAAGTTCCGGCAAACCACTTACCTGAGTGTCAAAAACATTGTGCAATTTGATGCCAAACTGAAAGTACAATGCCTACAAAAAGACATTGGTGTCAAATATGATATGATAACAGATCATAAAGAACATATCAAACCAAAAAAATGCAAAGTAGAGACCTCACTATCTCGCTTGCAATCATGAATAACTTTTGTGATGTAACTAGATTCAAGTGCAGGCTTACATGCTTTAATAAGCACCTCTCCACCCTGAATGGCATCAACCAAAAATATAGCATTTGGAAATGCAAGCTGCCAAAGACAAATTTTGTTAGTGTCAAAGGTAGAATCTCACAAGAAATGTCAGTTCAATTGCATTACTTGATAGAACGAACTAAACTCCACATCAAAAGATAGAATAGCACACCATATTCAAGAATTTGAATTCCGAGTCAAACAAACCATACAGAAGGCAATAGAAATAAAGCTTGTACCTGCATAATACAAAGGGTCCCATGTCGACACAGGTCAACACCCTCACAGTCAAACCCGATGATCAATTGCTTCTCAGGTGAAGGGTTAAGGAACTCAGCTGGGAGTTGAGAAGCCTCAGTAACAACATGGACAGGAACCAGTGATAATTGAGCTTCGTGTTCTAAAGTTTTACCACCTATATGACATTACACAGACAAACGCATACCTCTTAGTGTCAATTTTTCGAATTCAAAAACCAAAACCTCTTCATTACAATTCATACATAAGAAATTAACGTAGTCTTTTTCAATTTCTGATGGTGCCATAAGTGAATTTATTCACATTTTCCAGCTAATCATACAAACTAAGCTAAGAAATTTGAAGGCAGAAGCATCGATACCAATTCTGTGTAATAATAAATAAGCAGAGACAAAAAAAAAAAAAAAAGGAAAAAACAACTAAGCTAAGAAATTTGGAAGGCAGAAAGCATCCGACTACCAATTCCTTGTGTAATAATAAATAATGGCACCAGAGACAAAAAAAAAAAATAAATTGGAATAAGAAAAACCATAATCAATCGAAACATGAGGATGAACGGCAATTAAGTACACAAAACTAATACCCAGAGAATTAAAAATGATAGCTTAATAATAAAAACACAGTAAATTAAAAAAAGATAAGCCCATATAGCAAAATGAGGTGAGGGATTTCAGGAGTGATACACCAGAATGGACTTCTCTCGAACAGGTTGGAGAGAGGAATGTCGCGCTTATGTCATAGATGAAGGGAGGAGAAGATGGAAGTAAGGACGTGTACGAGAGGTTCCAATTGTGTTACGAAACCATTGCTCAAAAAAAGCCTAGTATCTCCAACTTTGCCTATTTTTTTCTTTGACTTTCCCTCGAACAACCCCTGGATTCCGCGTTTGAATTATTAGGAATAATAATTGGAATATATTGTAAGGGTGAAATTTTACAATTTATTTCCAATCATTAATAGACAAAAAAAAAAAAAAACTTGGGAAAAACGGAAAGGGTATATCGAAAAAACGAAAGGGAAGTACAATAGAGGACCTGTTTATGACATTTAAATAGGATAGAGAGGATTGGGGAGACTGGAAAGAACCTTACCCATAGAGTAGTGAATGTCCTATGTTCCCCTAAATATACATTTCAACAAAGCAATTTATCTTACGTCACGTTTCTGCTATGGTTGAAGAATACGCCCAGTTGTCTCGGACGCAAGGTACGTCCTCACCGTTTGAGCACTCCCAGTGGAACCAAATTTAGGCTTGTTCAACTGGCGCACTCCCAGCTGTTCGGCTCCCGTGCATTAGTTGGCCCCTTCATTTAGAATTCTGCATTTCAAATTTAACCAAAGAGTTACAAGACAACTCAATTCGAGAATATTTACTACTAGATTTTTCGATTGGTAGGATCGTGTTTCAACTCAGAACATCCGGTTCAAAAAACCGAGGAGGCGGCCCATCTAGGGCCAGTTCGGAGGGTCCACTAATCCGACAGGTACGTGGCATGCGCTTTAGGCTTATCCATATCGTGAGGTCTTTCATATATATATTTTTCCTAATAAAAACTGACCAAAAAACAAAAATTTGAAGTTACGTCAATGTTTAGGTAAATATTGTTTAAACAAAAAGAGAAGAATCAATTTGTCTTCCTAGCTATTCTTAAAAATAACTAAAATCCTATTTTTTCTAATATGATGTTTCTATTCTTTGTAGTTCCCAAATATCAACAACTTTTTGAACTTATTAATTTGTGAGGATGAATTTCTAAAACTAATCATCCTTTTTTTTTTCAAATAAATGAAAAATTTTAAATTTCAGTGAAAAATTATTTCTTTATTTATTTAGAGATCAAAGGATGACAATTAAAATAAAAATTGAACGAGGATTCAAATTATATGAGAACTTTCTTAATTCGTTTTATGAATGTAACATTTTATATACTTCTAGTTTCCAATTTTTATAACTTCAGATCAAGGTTTCTCAAATTAACACCTAATGTCGCAAACACTCTAATGGCTTTAACCTTTCTGCTGGATGACGGCCGCAAATTTACGACATATTCTTCATCCACTAAAAATATTTCCCTTCCTCTTTTCCACTTTTATGAAGGATTTCATATTTGCTTCTTCGGAGCTGTCAGCCATTGCAAAAGGTCTTGAGGAAACTCCCACAAAAAATAGCACATATGACTATATCTTACTACCTCGGCCACGTCAGTCACTAGAATTCCAAACACCACATTTAACACAAACAACACCAACTTGGCATTAATGAGTTGACAAGGGGAAGGAATAATTAGCTGAGGATATATTATGTGGCGCCAAAAGGATTATATAATTATGTTTCAAAATTTCCAAAACAGAAGATGAGTACACCATCAACATACCTAAATCCTATTCCTAGCGTCAAGCAAAATCCTAGTCTACTTATTACCCTCAATGTTGTGGAACTTTCCCATTGGAAGAGTGGAATTAAATAAAAAAAATCTTAATTCTTTACCGGAAAACTTAATTTCATTCCCTTGATGATCGTTTTACCCACTCTTATATATTTTGATATACTTTCTCTATCACCAGACACATATTTTAATGAATGGTAGCTTATTTAATTCTTTTTATTCGTATATAAATACAGACTCGTGTCGAATTTTTTTTATTTTTTTTCGCGGAGAGTTTTACCTTTATTTTATATAAATATGCAAATAGGAGTAATTGTGGGCTTTTATTTCGGACGGGACACACAAAATAACAAACGCTGCTGTCAGTCTATCAAACTAACCCATAAAAACGCCCCTGTCGATCTTCCATAAACGTTTACTCGGCCCGTGTTATATGCCACCGGTACGCCTGCCAAAGTTTTGGATCAATGGATAGATCGTCATAATGGGTAACACTCCCTAAAATCCCATATTTTCCTCTAATAGCCTTTACCATTTTTTATCTAATAAAATTACTTCATATAATCGAAATCTAGCGATTCAATTAATCTACTAAAGTTCTAAATAGCTTGATATAAGAATTAATCCAATAAATATAACAACCTCGTCCCTAGTATAGCCTTAATTTGCGCGATCAAGTGCTCTCAGATCAATATGCTTAAACAATATGCTCATAAAAAGTCTACAAATAGAGGAGCGCTTTTCTGGTTCCAATTACAGAACCAAAGAGAGCACTTTACGAAGATTAGGAGACGACTTTGTGTCTAACCTAATATATGCCTTTCGAGGTGAAGCCGAGTTAGACTGATCTCTACGGTAATGCTCATAATTTCCCTTTGTGTTTTATTTTCTCGAAAATTCCGCTTTAAACAAAACATATGCACTCGAATATTGTCTTACACATTAGACTTGTACTTACTTTTCTGTTGCGGGTTTTCCTGCAGAATCTTTTGTCCCTTCTCTTATATTTCTATCACTTTTTACCACTCAATAGGTATTCCCTTACTTATTCCCTTATTCTACTCACCAATTTCCACTAGCTTGCTACAAATAAGCAAACTCACTTTTGTCTCTTAAAGGCAGAGAGGAGCAACAATTCTTCGACTTAAAGAAACTTTCACTAGAGGCTTTTCTGATAATTCGCTCTGAGGATGACAGGCTTCTCTATGTTTACATTTTGGAGGCATGTGTTTAGCTTAACATTGCCTGAAAGTTTGGATGATACGTGCAGCTCTCTTACGGTTTTGATGAATATTGGAATGAACAATGTTGTGATGTTTTGTGAGGTCTGACATTTTCGGGTTCATATCATATTATCCCTGTATTTCTCTATGAGGAATTGGAATCAGATGTTTCCTTTGAGGAATAAGGCAGGCATCTGAAGAGTTGTATATTTGAGTTTTCCAAAATTATCCTAACTTTTGTGGTTTCCCGGATTTCCCTGTATTTCATAGCGAGGTTGGGATCAATGAGGGTTCTCTTCGTCTGTGTGCTAAAATGAGAAAATTGAGGTCCTTCTGGTTTATGGTTTGTCTTTGAGGCTTGGTACAAGACCAACCCGAATTAGATAGGAGGCATCGGAACGAGAGAGAGAATAAGGATGATTGGAAGAATAAGGGACCTACAATGGAGGGCTCTCTTATAGTCTCCCTTAGGCTTTTTCAAAGGGTTAGTATGCTGGACCTAATCGACACAGTACGAAAGGAGTGCACAAGAAGCTCCCCTCCAAGGAATCAAAGATGGCCCTTGTATGGAGCAGATTTACTCTCTAGTATTCCTATTTAGAGGCTTTAATGCATGCTGTTTTCGTTCGGCTCTTAACCCAAAGATGACACATGCTTTTTAACGTGCAGTCACTATGTGAATTCTTCAGCTTCATTCTGCAGGCAATCCTCTCCCCCCAAAGTCCCCATAACCAGGTAGCCATGGTGTGAATTTTCGATTACCTATGTTCTGTTTGCTATGATAATTTATAATCCAAAGTCCCCCATTGCTCTAATAAATACTTATTTGTGCTTCTCAATCTTATATGGAGTTGTGCCTCGACTAAGTTTCATATAGAAGACCCGCAAGACCAAAAAAAAAAAAAAAAAAAAAACGAAAAGGAAAAGAAACGAAGGAGATGGGCCTGTTTATGATTATGGGAGGATGGGGAGATGGCCGAATGGACTTGTTCTATCAGACAGCTTGTCGTTTCTGTGGGAACGCCAGTTGTCTTCGACTCACCGTTTGAGACTCAGTGGACATTTGGTTCATGGCATAGTGTTCGGACCGATTTGATTGATTCAATTCAACCAATAAAATCGAGAATTACTACTATTTTCCTAGAATTCATTTCAACTCAAATCCGTTAAAAACCAACCCATCTAGCCAAGTTCAATCACTAATCCGACGGTCCGTGCATGGTTTAGCTAATCCAAACGGGTTTATATTTTTCTAATAAAAAAAAAACCAAAATTACGTCATTTTGGTAATTAAAAAATCAATTTTCTTATTCTTAAAAAAAAAATCATTTTTCTCATGATTTTTGTGTCCAATAACTTTTTGAACTTTATTAATTGATTCTAACTAATCATCCTTTTTTTTCAAATTAAATGAAAATTTTAAATTTCAGTGAAATTATTTTTTATTTATTTAGAGATCAAAGAGACAAAAATGACGAGATTCAAATTTAAAATTTTTAATTCGTTATATGAATGTAAATTATAGTTTCAATTTTTATAACTTCAGATCAAGGTTTTAATACTAATTAAACCTCTAATCTTTAACCTTTCTGCTATGACCGAATCCATTTCTACAAAAATTCTTCTCTCTTTTCACTTTTTGAAGGATATTGCTCTTCGAGCTGTCAGCCATTCAAAAGTGGAAACTCCAAAATCAATATATCTACTACCGGCACGTGTCAATTCCAAACCAATTAACCAAACCACTTATATGGTTGAAAGGGAGAATATTGCTGGGATTATGTGGGCCAAAAGGTTTTAATTTAAATCCAACAAGGAAACCATCATCCTAATCCTATTCCTAGCGTCAAGCAATAGTCTACATTACCTCATTGAATTTCCCATTGAGAGTGAATTAAATTAAAAAAAATCTTAATCTTTACCGGAAAACTTAATTTCATTCCCTTGTGATCGTTCCCATTATATATTTGTATACTTTCTCTATCACAGAAATATTATGAGGTACTTATATTATTCTTTTTTTTTTAACAGACTGTCGAATTTTTTTTTTTTTTTGGGAATTTTCTTTTTATTGAACATATTGGGCTTTCGGAGCAAAAACGCTGCTGTCAGTCTATCTAAAACCAAACCCTGTCTTCCATAAAGTTACTGGCCCGTGTCTACCGTTCGCCAAAGTTTGGACAATGGTACGGTCAAGGGACCAGCCTAATCCATTTCAGTAATTTTTTATTAATAATTATTGATAATGAAATCTAGCGATTAATTAATCACTAAAAACTATTAGTAATAAAATAAAATCGCCAAGCCAATTGGCGATAAGTGCCAGATCAGAGCTAACAATTCATAAATCACAAAAGAGCGCTTCTGGTTCAATCCAAAAGGGCCCACAAAGGAGCACTTTTCTACCTTTATCCTTTTCAGGAAGCCGATGATCTTCTTCTTCTTCTTTGTGTTATTCGAAATCCCTAAAAATTGCCCCATTTACCATTTAGACTTGTACTACTTTTCTGTGCGGGTTTTCTCTGCAGATCTTTTGTCCTTCTCTTATATTTCTATCTACTTTTACCACTCAATTAGGTATTCCTTCTTCTTTCTCTCACCAATTTCAGCTTCAAAAGCACTATTTGTCTAAAGGGAATTGACTTAGAACTTCTGGGCTTTTCTGATATTCTCGAGGATTGGGCTTTTGGGTACTTTGAGGATTTAGCTACATTGCTGAAAGTTGGAGTCGGTTTTCGTTTTGTGATTTGATGAATTTGGATTTTGAGGTCTAAATTCTTCTCTGTTCTTGAGGAATTGATCAGTTTCTTGAGGAATAGCAGCTGAAGGTATTTGAGTTTCAAAATTATCACTTTTGTGGTTCGGATTTTCTGTTTTGGAGGTGGGATCATGGGTTCGTCTGGTGTGCTAAATGAGAAAATGAGTCTTCTGGTTTTGGGTTTGTCTTGAGCTTGAAAGACGAATAGAGGAGATGAAGAGAGGAAAGGATGATGAAAAGATAATGGGGCCTATGTTCCCTAGGCTTCATGTGAATGACACGGAGAAAGGAGGGCCAAGAGCTCCTCCAAGGAACAAGATGGCCCTTTATGAGCAGCTTAGTATTCCTTCTCAGAGGTTTAATCATGCTGTTTTGCCTCTTAACCCAAGTAAAGCTAGCAACTTGATTCCTGCAGCATCCTCAAGCCAGGTAGCTGTTGAATTTGATACTATTTTGTTGTATGATATTTATAATCAGTCATTGCTCTATAACTTATTGTGTTAATTTTATGGGTTGTTCGACTAAGTTTCTAGACACGAACAATAGACCACTATTTTGGTCGTGTAAAAAGGAATAGCTAGACTATTTATTTTTATAGCATAATGGAATTGATTATTTTTGCTGTCTCAATTTCTGCTTTTGCGAAATTGGGATCGCAACTATTTTTGTGTATTCTGGTCGATATTTGCTTCTTCTTTGGGGTGTGTGTGTCTGTGCTGGCATACACAAACGCTCCTTGCCTGCTTATGTGCCTGTGTCAATGGGGATGGTGGTTTGTTATTTCTGATCTTTGTAGCCAACTTATATGCAGGGGAGTGGCTTTGAAAGGAGTTTGCAGTTCCCAAATCATGTTCCTCCTACATCATCTCATCTGGTTGAGAATCTTCATTCTCACTCATCTGGAGGCAACTTGAATGCTTCATCACCCCAACTTGAGCAGAGAAAGAAGGTAGGATATGAAGACGATTTCAGAGTACCTGTATTTGTTCAATCTGGGATGGGTGGATGTCTTCCTAAATCTCAGAATGGTATTGATGGGGGAAAACCCACTCCCTTCAGCCAAAATTATTTAAGTCATTCAGTGAAAGTAAAAGATGCTGGTGATAGTGACAAAAAAAATTATAGCTCCAGAGTTCCCAATTTGAGACTGGATACAAGAAACCAAAGTGAGGAGAAACTAGAGGTTTGTGTCTCAAGTAGGGATCATTCAGTTAGATCTTCCACAAAGTTTGCGACTAGAAAAAAGATAGCTAGCCTTGGGGATGCATATCAAAATCAACAAAATCCAGATCTCCCTGGAGCTAATTTTAGCAGATTTTGTGAAAATGATGATTTTTTGCAACAAGAGTCTACAGCTTTTTTGCAGCAAGATAACAGTGGAAATGGTGAAGGTGTTCCTGAGCTGACAAGAGAAATAGAAAAAGGAAATATTTTCTGTCCAAGAAGTGACTCTCTCTCAAGGGAAGATTGTAGTAGTCCCAACAAACCTGAAATTGACTGTGAATTAAGTGGAGAGAAGACGTGTAGGTCATTACAATTTGGAAATGGAGATAAAAGTGATGATGTCTCTGAGACCTCCATGGTGGATTCTATATCAGCATTGGATATTTCGCCTGATGAAGTTGTAGGAATAATTGGTCAGAAACATTTCTGGAAAGCAAGAAGGGCAATTGTCAAGTAAGTTATTATTGCTTTTTTGATAACCACCAATACCCTTGCATCTTGATGAATTTAAAGAGTATGATGGTACAAAATATTATATTTTTCTAATTGTAGTAACTCATTGTTCACTTCCATAAATGAAAGACATTCTTTTGATCTTTTTCTTCTTAACGCTCATTTGTGCTGTCTAGTCTCTGTTCTGATTTATATTTGCATGCTTATGAAAAAAAAAAAAAAAGGAAAGAAAATAAAAAAGAATTGGGAATAACATAGGAAATCAACCTATATACATTCATTTTTTTTCGAGCCTTTTGCTTTGAGTATCTCCAATCTTAATGGTGGATGTGGACTGAAAATCAAAATTGTTAGAAGAAAACAAGATGTTATTTGCATTATAAATTTTGCTCAGATTGATTTGATGCTAGTCCTTTTTTTTCCTGTTCCATATTTTTGTTATTGTTGTACTACTCCCTCTCTCTCTCTCTCTCTCTCTCTGAACAATTTTCATCTTATAAACAGTTGTGAGGGTTTTGTGATAGTGCTTCCATTCTGATTTTATCATATTTATTTGTACAATTCATTTCTGTTCTGGGGCTTGGCCAACATGTAATTACTATTTGTGACTCTAAGTTTCATATATATGAGCTTTGATTGTCTACCTTATTTTTCGTATTGGATCTGCAAAACTGGAATTTTTTTTACCCTGAAAAGGATACTTGATAAAGTTTCATCAAGGAAGCTTCTACATTTTATTGTTATTGGGATTAGTTTTCTTCATAATTGAACAACTAAATTAGATTGTTGAAATGCCATGTGGAATGCTAACTTCAGGAAAATGGAATGATTGTCTGTTTTGGAATGGAGAGTTGTATGCATGGCTATGGGCAAGGGAGAATTCGATAGTGTGGAGTTCCAGGGATGCATCCAATCTGGCGTGTTTGTTTGTCTAAATGCCCTCGATGGCAAATGGTGGATCATCTTACAGCAGGGAGATGGACAGTACTAATTTAGGTACTGTGTTCAAGTTGCCTCCGAGACAGTTTATCATCACGTCATGCATTGCTTTTTACTATCTTCTTGAAGATATTCCTGTCTCGGTTGGTTTTGCTTTATTTTCCCTGCACTGTTGAAGATTTTTCCCATCTGTGACACTCGAGGGCTTGGAGCGGCAGCAAAGTGTTGGAGGATGGTTCTGGTATCTGTTGATTGGTCATTATGGAATAGGGAAACTGGAGAGTAATTGACAGTCAATGGGTAGTGGACATGGTGCCAAACCTATAGTCAGTCTCTTGGTGTTCTAAGTTGGAATTTGGGGCTAGGATTCATATTGTTTGTACCCACTCTTTATCTTGTGATTTTCTGTGTACAGCTTGCACATGTAAATGTTTTCAATTTTTGTTAATTAAATTAGTAATTATCTAATTAAATAAAGAGTTGTATAGTATGTACATGTTGTAACTGCAAAGCCTTGCCTTTTCTGCTTCCTGCCTGATTTTTTTTTGTATTGAAGTAAGTTTTTGGCATGCAGAATGTTCTCTGCATGTTTTCACTCTCATAGAAAATTACTGCCAAGGTGTACTTATGATTCATCAATGCTAGAAGCTTTTACATCTATATTTCTATGACTGATTTTGCACTACAAAATGCTTGCCAAAGCTTTGTAATGTATATCACGAATTTGTTCATACACAATCTTGCATGTAAAATGAATTTAATAATAGATTTCTCATGGATCTGCACAGTGTCTGAAAGGCTTCACATAGAGTGAGCATCAGCACATGTAATGAAATTTACATATTTTCAGTTCAACTGATGTAACCATGCTCTAGTCCTAAATTTGGTTGTGTAGGTCTTTTAAGAATTATTCTATGCTGTGCCAGATTATGAACTAATATTTAGCTGATTCTCTAGCTCCATCTGTTTGCTTACTATAGATTCATTTCCCAAACTTGCGTGGTTAATGTTCTTGATCCAACTCTTGTTACTCTCTACAGTCAACAAAGGTTGTTTGCTGTTCAAGTGTTTGAGTTGCATAGACTGATTAAGGTAAGATATCCTTGTAACTGTTAAAATAGATTCTTCTCCCAGAATCAGATTGACTAAAAATATTTGTCAATATATGTATGGTTGATGAAAAAGGGAATATCTTAAATATTTTGCTTTTATGCAGGTTCAGCGTCTGATAGCTGCATCGCCAGATCTTTTACTTGAAGATGGTACTTACCTCGGGACACCTCCTACAAAGGTTTCTCCGGCAAAGAAACTTCCACCAGAATTTGTGGTCTCGCCTCCAGTTCATGTTGCTAAGCGCAAAGATTATCCCGAGAAACCAAACCATAAGATGGAATGTTCTGCAGAGAATGCAATTGGGAAGACATCATTTTCTTCTGCGAAAAATGGTAGTCAACCTTCTAATAATGGTTCTTATTTAGGGAATCCCCCACCTGTTCCTGTACCTACTGATTCCAAAATGAGTCCTTGGTGTTTCCAACATTCACTTGGACATCAGTGGCTAGTTCCTGTAATGTCGCCTTCAGAAGGACTTGTATACAAGCCATACAATGCACCAGGATTCTTGGGATCAGCCTGTGGAGGATGCGGACCTTTTGGCGCATCTCCCATGGTCGGTAACTTTATTAATCCAACCTATGGGATTCCACCTTCTTCTCATCACCATCAAGGAACTGGCTTCATACCTGGTGTTCATGGTTATTTCCCTCCATATGGCATGCCAGTTATGCATCCAGCCATGTCAGGTTCAGCAGTGGAACAAATGAACTACTTTGCAGGGGCTGGTTCAACTGGTCAAACTGGTCAGGTTTCAGGAGGGGGAGCAAACTTTAACGTGCAACATCAAAGCTCATGTAATTTGCCGAATCAGAAGAGCGGATCCGTTCCACAAGTTCCAAAGTTCCGGGCATCTAAAGACACTGAACTACGGGGAAGTACAGCTAGTAGCCCTGGGGAGAGAGTGCAAGGAGTTGGGACTGTTGAGGCTGCTGAAGGAAGAGATGCACTGCTGCTGTTCCCAGTAGCTCCTGCTACACCAGAAGGAGCCTCTCAGCCTCAAGAGACTGACATGCCGACAAGAGTGATCAAAGTCGTGCCTCACAACCCAAGATCTGCTACTGAATCAGCAGCACGAATTTTCAAATCTATACAGGCAGAAAGAAAACATAAAAACTCTATTTAGCTTATGTGAGATTGGTCTAATATGAGATTCTTCTAACTTACATATGGTGTGCTTTGTCATATTCTCATGTACTTTATTAGGGCATGATATTTTGCAATGTTATTTATCCTCTTTTTGGATGAACTGATTATAGGCTATTCATATGTAGATACCAAGGTGGAAGAAATACAGCAAACCAATGTAACATGAATATGTTGGCTTTCATAGTATTTTGTATACGACGTGAAATCAATGTTATAGAGGTGTCATTGCATGGGATATATTTTGCAGTTAAACACAAATAATTGCTCTGTTTCATGACAAATTTTGCACTGATTTCTTCTTTTTCTTTAAATTTCTTCTCTTAAATATTAATCAGAAGGTGCATTTTGTCAGATGTGAAAAATATTGAGCGAATTACTGAAATTTGTAATCTGAAAATATATAAATCAAGCTAATCAATCCAAGAAATTAGAAAATTTCAGTGTTAATTGATGCAACTATGTAGGTCAGAGTGACCGTGTTCTAGCTAATATATTTAAGCTCTAAGGGCATACAGGATTTTGGCCAGGCCCTCCAAAATAGAACTCAGGTTCATCCATGTAATCTGCCTGATAATATGTTCGATAACAGTCGTACTCATCTTGGTAAGTCGAAACCCATTCTGGAAATTTTAAAAAGATAGAATTTTCACGAACTCGTAATCTTCTAACAGCTCCTGAATTGCCAAATACACCATCAGGAAACTGTCCATTGCCCATTGCTGTCTTAGTATGTGGTGGATGCCCTAATTTCAAGCTGTAAACTTCACCTCCCCATTCAGCTCCATGTGCATTACTATGTAATAAACCAAATAACTCAGCTGGCCAGTAACCTAAGTTTATTTTCTCTCCATATTGCACCCACCAGTTGTTTGTGCTTGTATCCTAAAATCAAACATAAAACAAAAATTACAAAAAGGAAACTAAGAAATGGTTTGAGTTTATGATGAGAGAAAAGCTATCTAGTGCGAGTTTATTACCCTAAAGATGTAAATGGTTATTTGAGATGGTAGCCCAAATGGAACTGATATAGGATAAATTGCTGCACCAAGAGCAACTTCATTACTCGTTTGAACAAAACCTGGGCAGGTGAGATCAAAGCAACCTGTTGTCTTATATGCATCAACCTAAAGAATAAACATTTCTCATTAGCTATTTATAACCATATTTTAATAAGAAAATTTCTTATAATAATGGCTTTTGCTTACAGTCCAATATACAAATAATCGAGTTTTTCTGTCCCCATAAACACTTGGATTCACCTGAAAGTTTCAATAGAATTTTCAGTTCTAAAAGAAAAATTGCATGGTTATTAAGCATTTTACAGTTTCAATTCAAGAAGAATTTGTGCTTACTGCCCATCCAGATTGAAGACTTTCAAAACTGTACCAAGGTCCACTTTTCAGGCTAACCTGAGAAATACTATACTCATCATCAGATTCAACAAAAGGATTCCAAACTTTGATATCTCCTTTTACTCCCGAGTAACTGAAACCTTCTGTCAGAAGTATTGACATCTGATTCACAAAACCAAAGATTAGCCACTCCTTAGTCCTTTCCATCAAGAATAGAATATAACAGCGCTAAAAATGTCACGTAACTGTCAGCTTACAAGTTTAAACCTCTGTCATAGCATAATTAAAAAAGATTAACGCAAAACGTAATACTACCGAGCGATTTGTCTCTCTGAGGTCTGGGGTTGGTTGAAAGCTAGGCTTCTTCCTTCCAAAATCTTGAATTGAATCTGCTTTAAGCAGTTCTTTTTCCTGAATTCGACGAACCGGAATTGTTCCGGGAGGACAGCTACCATTTTTCTGCCATAGTTGTGATGTCACAATCAAAGGTGAGTCTTTATTCTTTTTCTCAAATGTGCTTTTTCTTGCTGTTGTTGTTGGCTCCATAGTTGGATCATAACTGGGTTCCATCTGAACAAAAACCAACAATGTAAGTGTTGAAATAGAAACCGAGTCTGGATATATAATTTTTTTGAGACAAAAAGAAAATTATGACCTGGATTGTGTGATTCTTCAAAGCAGGATGATTGAAAGCTGGCTGTTTATAGATATCAATACAGTCAATAATGTCACCGTCTTCACTCTGCAAGAACAAATTTTATTTGTTGCTAAATATGTTACCCTTTACAACTTGCAAGACTATTTCATATGAGAAAACAGCAGAAAATTTTACCTGAATGGTCTTTACTGCAAGGCTTTTGAGACTGTCTATTCTCTTTCTAGCTTCCAAAATTTTCTTTCCAGGGATTAAGTTGCCCTCCGAAACTCCAAAACCATAAAAAATAATTCCCAACAGAATTACCATTCCTTCAGGCGAAAACCCAATAGAACAAAATCTTTTTGCCATTTTTGAATATCAATGGTAAATCCTGCAAAATGATTTAGAAAATCTTTTAAAAAATGATGAATGCACTAATATTGTGATGTAATAATCATTTAAGAATCACACTAATGACAAGGTACTCAAAAATTGAATTGTAGATATGTGTATATATATACACACATATTGACCTAATGTACATAAACAAATTTGCATGATTCACCTTCTAATCATCCATTCTACATTTACATCTTCATCAACAACATACGTAATATGTATCATATGAAATTCCCAAAATAAAATTTACATCTATAATTAAGAAAAGACTTGCTTATAGTTTATCCAAATATTGTTATTTAATCCATTTGCTGTACGATGGACTCATATCCAGACGTAGACAAGTCTTATTTGATTTTGAGTGCTAATATTCTTTTATATTACAAAAAAAAAAAAAAAAAAAAAATTTAATCCAAATATTGTTATTTAATCCATTTGCTGTATCGATGGAGCTGCATATCACAAGACGTAGACAAGTCTTATCTTGATTTTGAGTGCTAATATTCTTCGTTAATTACAAAAAAAAAAAAAAAAAAAGACAAAAGCAGTAAAGAATTGATATTGGTCTCGTTTGAATTTCTTTTTGGCACAAAAAAAAAAAAAAAAAAAAAGACAAAACAGTAAAAGAATTGATATTGGGTCTCGTTTGAATTTCTTTTTGCACAATATAGGAGAGCAAAATTTGCCAGTTTTATATAGCTCCTTTTAACATTTGACATAAGAAACCTGTGGATGTGCAGGTTTGACAAGACATTAGTCTAGCTTCTTATAGTCAATTTTTGTGATTAGCAATTAAGCTGTCAATAGCTGAACCTAAACCCTGCTACCATGTTTGCAATTTAGTTCCACAGTAATTAATTTTGTCTAATCAGGATTAATTTGGTTTGGTTTCAGGAATTTGTTATGGTTCCTCTTAATTAATGGACAAGTCATTGACATTTTTAACAATAGATGACAGAGTTATCTCAACAATTTCAGCACCATCTTGCTCGTCGCTTTGCTTGTATGGGATGTGCTAATATGTTTTGCGTGGCAAGTCACTACATATTTGAAGGGACAGGAGGCCATTTGTATGATAAATATGCTGGTTTTTAGACAATCTAAAGACTAAAGAGTGCATAACAATTCATTTATCTGTTTAGTAGCATAAGCTTTGATTAGCTCATTTTCAATAGGTGAAACATGTGATTTTTACACGCATATAATTTAAAGTAGCTAAGTAGATTATGCCTAGTCGAGATGGCTGAAGTTGATGCCTATGCGCAAAAGGTCGCAGATACTCACTATTTAACCTTTTATTTTTACCATATAATTTGAAATTATAACTGTGTAATTGCAGCTTCTGTGCAAATTAGTTCATTTTTTTTGCAAATCATACTACGTAATTAAAAAATTGTCAAGTAAAAGGCAGAGAAGTCCAATCTAAAGGGAGTTATTGCATGAGATTCTCATCCATGTTGGTGATACAAGCATGGGCCTGGGTCCATTTAATATGCAAATGGCCCACATATTGCCGTTTTATTATTTCTAAACCGAATAATGACTTGGGTTGGGTCAGCTTAATGGACCGTTTCAAAAGAATTTGTTTTTCCATATGTTATGCTTCATGCACTATTTAAATTTCTTTAGAAAAATATTTACGTGGAAATCAATGAATTTATAAAAATTAAAAAATATTTAATATGATAATTATAAATTTTTAATAAATAAAATCAGTAAAAACATGAAAATTTTTTAAATGCGATTAATCTATATAAATATATATGTTCCTTTCACTGGCCTGAAATCTAAACAACGTATTTGTATAATGTTTTATTTTTATATTTCTTATGAATTAATCGGCTGCAATTTCCACTTATGCATTGCAATGCCGTTTTTGCTATTTGTTCACAATGTCACTAAATAAACTTATACTAATTATTAGTATTTATTTATGTTAATTATTTTTTTAATCCCTAAAAAATGGGCTTATTTTTACGAAATGAGGGAGTGAGAAAGGGTGGAAGTCGAATTTTAATCACCGGACTTTTCCAGATTTAGGCCAACGAATAATTCAGTTCTTATTATCCATATGTTTCTTTTCAAGAGCCACGTGTCGCAGCACCATTGGCAACAAATTACACCGGCTTAAAATCCAAAAGTCAAGGTCTCGTGCTATGAAAAGGGTCAAAAGCGGTGAAAAGCCTTCTCGAGCAGCATTTTCACCTACTGTACAGAGAGCGCAGAGAGAAAAGGACAGCTTGATTTTGACGCAAAAGCCAGTGGAAAATGGTGAACTACATGCTAATGATAACCGCCGATCTCGAGAACATCGCCAGCCTCCAGCCTCAGGGCGGCTGCGATGATCCTTCTTTTTCCTACCTGTTCAAGGTTTCTTCAAAATCTCCTCCCTTGTTCTTCTCTTCATCTCTACTTATAATATGAAATAGCATTGTATATGCACTAGGATTTTTTATTTTGTGGAGGTTGGCGTTTTCGCTTACACTTGTTCTTCACTGCATTTTTAATGCGTACAGTTGCTGTTTTGTTAGCCATTCTTCGTCTCATTAGGTTTGTGTATCATCTTCATTTTTGTTGAAGTTGTTATTGTCTCTATATTTTCTTTCTTCTTTTCGAATCTATATTCTTATAGTTATTTGTTATGTATTTCATTTTTGTTTTTAAGAAATTATTAGTTCTAATCAATCAGTGAATTTTACTGTTGTTTGTTGCTTTTCATTCTCCTCTATTTCTTATTAGCTCTGCTGTTGCTTTCCCTTTCGCCTATTTTTAGGTTTTTCTTTTTCAAAATTTTAATCTACATAATTTTAGCTTAATGTGATGGTAGTTACTATTTTACTGTTGTTTCTTCAATTTATGGTACTCTGATGTTTTCATTATATTTTTGTGTAAATTTATCTATATTTCTACTGGATTTGAGTTTATTGCATGGATAGATCTCTACATTGTAGTTTTACAGGTTCTGTTTAGTTCTTCCGAGTTCCTTTTCCCTTGTTTTATCTTTGACAATTTATAATGACGATACAGTTTTTTTGTTCCTATTATTTTGATATTATCCCCTTTCCTCAGTATTTGCTATCTCGGTTTGTTTGAGATATTGCTTGCATCTGGTTCATTTGTTTCTGAATCTACTTGTGAGACTGTTAATTCTTTTTTTTTTTTTGGATATCTAGTTGAAATGTGGAAGGTGTGGAGAAGTCAGCCAGAAAGAAACATGTGTAAGCTTGAATGACACTGTTCCTCTTCCAACAGGCAGGGGAACTGCTAATCTTGTTCAGAAGGTAATTATTTCTTTTGTTATGTCTGTCAATCTCCTTTTGGTTGATGGGAAATTTGAAAGGAAGCAGATCTTCTGTTTTTGTTTTCTACATGTTTATACCTCATCTTGCGTGCTGGTGTATGGTACTCCAGATTCTACATCTCGATTTTATGTTTCTGTTGATTGGATATTAGCAACATTTTAAGGTCTCTCATATTAATTTCCTTTGTTCTCACATTTCAATGTGGCCAAGTAAGAGTCTCTCTCGCTCGTGGATATTCATTTTGTAGGATTATATAAAGTTGTTAGTTCCAGATTGTATTTATCACCATTTTACACGCAGAATCTAATTGGTGATGTAGGTAATTTAGAACTGTTCTGTGCCTGAGAATTCACTGATTCAAACGAAATAAATTTGGCATAATATTGCAGTTTCATGACAAATGATAATAATCTTGTTGTGCCTCTGTGGGTGTGTTCTCATGGTGTTTTTGGGGATATCAGTTACATGTATTGCAGGAGTTCAATTCATTGACTATATTTTATGATCTCCAAATGGTTGTTTTCTAATGCTAACTAGCGCATGATGTTTTTTTTGCCCTTTTCTTTGTATAGTGCAAGTTCTGTGGGAGGGATGGAACTATACTGATGGTACCAGGTAAAGGCAAACCTCTAACTCCAGAAATCAGTGAGAAAGGGGAATATGCCCCATTGATGATGTTTGATTGTAGAGGTTACGAGCCTGAGGGTTTTGTATTTGGTGATGGTTGGAAAGCTGAATCTGTAAGTTTCTCATCATGAATCCTCCCCTTCATTTCTTCTCTCTTTGAGTCTTTGTTATTGAATTTGAACCAATAAAAGTTTTTGGGTTCAGTTAAAGCTATTTTTATTTTTTTATTTTTTATTTTTTGACTACATCTGATGGAATTATAAGATCTCAGTCAGTAAAGACACTGCTGGTTTTATCTTGCAAGTATTCAAAAAAAAAAAAAAAAAAAAAAAAAAAAAAAAAAAAAACAGTCAGTAAAGACAATGCTGGTTATCTTAAAAAAAAAAAAAAAAAAAAAAAAAAAAAAAAAAAAAAAAGAGTCATGTCCACCTAGCTTAAGAGGTTTGAAAGATTGGGACTTGGACGTATAAGACATTACTCTATATTACTAGTTCATGAAATATTTTGACGAGCGTGTCACATCTTATGCAACACAAAATGGTGTCATATAGTTTCCTTCAATGCCAAGGATGCTAGATATTCTTAATCTGCAAAACTCGTGTTTTCTTTGTCTGTTTGTCTCTGATATCATTTGAGCAAAAGCATATTTGTGCTGGTGTGTGTATGTTTGTGAAGAGAGAAGAAGAATAAGAAGTATAAACTACACTGCTTGTCAAAATATTCAACGCAAGCTAGTAAACAGATTTCTAGACATGCTTCGCTGGAGTTCCACTTCTCTTACAATTTCTGATGTGTTTTCATGTTATGTTTATGTTTTCTTTTTCTTACACCCTGTCATTTGTGCAGACTGCAGGGACTAAGTTTGAAAACATTGATTTGTCTGGAGGTGAATTTGCTGAATATGATGAGAAAGGGGAGTGCCCAGTAATGATATCCAACCTTTCTTCTAAATTTGAAGTTGCCAAGTAGACTATTTACCTTCTGCATGCTGTCTTCGTATTGAAAACCAAACTGATATCTTGTGGATGAGGTAGAAAAGTGACTGCTGTATATGTAGTAGGCATGAAACCAATGTCTGGTGTTGGTTTGATACAATATTTCAAGTTTGGGTTATATTCCATAGATAATCTACACACTTTTGACTGATTAACAGATAGAATTGGGATATGAAGCTTTTGATATGTCATCTTCCAGTATGTGTATAGTTACATTTGTGACACGGCATCCCATGCATATTGGTCATGGTACTGCTTGAACAAATTAGTTTTTTACCAAAGTGTTTTATGGACCAAAAAATGCCTTGAACAGTTTGGAACGATGATCAGGAAAACCATGATTCTGTAGCTGCAAGGACCAATTGTTAGGACTGGCCAGTCCCATGAACATATTCACTCCCCTCGGCGTTTTGGGGCTGGCAAATTAAACAAAACTTTCATACACAAGTCATCTTTTCTATGCACATACGATTTGTCTTGTGAAAAGGTCTGTTTCTGGTGTGAGAGGTATTACAGCCTATGACGCTCAAAGTTCCATGGGAGGAAGCATCTGTTGCCGTTAAGCCATTACAATCATTTCCTTGTTTAACTATGTCTTTCGAGCAAAGATTTCTTAAAGCAGATTCATAGCAAGAAATAGCCTGCTTGGAATCAATTTCAGTATAAATATCCTGAAGTTCAGAAGAAAACTGATCACATAAATCCACCTGCTTCTGGCCCCCCAAATCCCCATATGAGACGAGGTCCCTCTAAGCTCCATATGAAACCTTTTCAACTACCTTGATGAGCATGGCCTACTCTTTCAAAGCCAAAGCCTTAATAAACTCAAAAGTATTCATATAATTAATAGAACGGTTGCTGTCACAGAAGCAATATGTCCCTATTTTTGAACCGGAGTTTGTTGTAGTTGACTGGTAGTGAAGCAGCTAGGTCACCTTTCCTGGCAGATAGAAGGGTTAAAATCAATTTAGGTGGTGTTGTTCGCACGTCTCCACTCTCACCTCACAATACATGCATTCATATGGCATTGGTTGTTGGTTATGGCCGTGGAGAGTCGTGGCAGATAATGTCTTTGTTACATTAATATCAAAATCATCCAATTTCATTTCCCAGGTCATCTAATCTTCCAGTTTTACGTTTTAGGAATCATAATATTTTTTTTACGGAAGGAAAACTTGGATTAGAAAATTTTTTAAAACAAAAAGAATGTAGAGAGAGTTTTTGTTGGGCTTGCGCGGTTTCCTAGTGGTGTTGGATTTAACTAGTATAATAAAATTGATTGCTTTTCAGATCCCAATAATATGGATTTTTTTTGCCGGCAATTGAGAAGTCGTTGAGTGATAGTTAGTTCACCAATGACTCAACACAGATCAAATCCTGTTCCTCTGAACTATATGCCTGCATAATGGCGAGAATTAAGCCAGCCGATACGTCATGACTCGTTGGATACAGATCGGGATTGGGAACTCCGCAGCTCTATAGTGAATATCGTGTCCCATTTAGGATGATTACAACTTGTCCAAAATTACATATTTATTTATATAAAAAAAATATCTAAAGCATTTCTTTTTTAGGTAGACATTGACATTGCATAATATAATATTTAGTACTGCATTACATAAATTATTGTGTGTTTATTATCTTGTTTAACACAGAACCAATAATTATAGATAAATTATTATTAGTTATAGTGGTAGTGGTGGAGATGATATTATAAATCAGTTTGATTTTCCTTTAAGAAAAATACTACCCCATCGACAGGGGTTAAATCGGGTTTTCACTTTCTAATTATATTTATTGGTAGTAAATAATGTTCTCTCCATCTTATTCCTACAAAATGGATGTTTCCTTTTTCATTTATCTTAAATTATAGATAGATCACTTTTTTCTTTTTAAACATATACAATTAATTTTTATTTTTCTAGTATATTCCTATTTATTTCTTTTTTTCTCTTTTTCAATTTTCAATAACTACAGGAATAAAAATAATTATTTATGCTGAAATAAAAATTTTATAAATAAAAAATATATTATTTTTGTTTTGACATTTCAAAATTTAATTCTAGCAAGATAAGTATGGGAAAAACAAAATTATACAGCGAGGCTACCCTTCAAACCAATCAAATTGTGTTCTGTTAGTTACAGCGAAAGTACCCATATGATAACAATACAACTTTGAAAAGATCTAAGCATAAGACGTGCCAGGTCACAAGAGAAGACTAGAAGAGAGAAAGTCCCCCTTATCTTCTCATATAGTGTGAACAAACATTCGTGGATACCCAGATTTGTTTCACAGAGTCATCCCTCTCTTATGTCATTTAAGAAAAAATTTCTACTCCTATGCGTAACTTTCTCTTCCTCCATATCACTTCCACTCTGTAGGAGTTAAACCGCCTTCTTTCTCTGTCTCTCTACCCACTGGACATTTGTTTGTTTTCACTGCCATTTCTATAGCACAGTATCTTTCTTTTCTTTCTTTCATCGCAAGTTCGCAATCTGACCAATTCAAGCACCAAATGGACTAGTAAAGGATCCTTGACTATTCACCATTATTAGTAACATGTTATGTTGTCTACTTCTTTTCACTTTCTCACTGATCCCATATCCTTCGATCTTGGATAAAAGCTTTGATTGAATCGCTGTTTGCCTAAAACCCATGTGCTTCGAACTCTGATTTCAACGCTACGTACCTATTTGTGTACTGTAGCATCAACTTCTAGATCTGTATTGCTATTTTGTTGCAAGAAGTTTCTCGGGCAATTTGAGGGCCATTAATTTTGTGGTAAGAAATTTTGGTGTCTGGAGACAAAGCACGATTTGTGTTGGAACTTTGAGGGTTTAAAGCTACTCCAATGCGAAGAGAGTGTTTGTATATTGAACTCAGAAAGTGAATTTGGATATAGCATCGTTGTAGGGATGCAATCGAGGGTGGTTCCATTAGAGGAGGGCAAGGACCCTGCGATTCCAATCAAAACGAGCCAACCCAAGGCGTTTCCATTAAGGTTACTCCAGTTGTTTCTGCTTTTTCTGGCTTTATGTGTCGCATTTTCAATAATCAGTATATACGCAATCAAAAGTTTTGGTGTTGTTAATAATGTGGTTACAAACGTTAAGACCAATTTCCAGCCATGCCTTGAAGAACCGAGTGCTTTGGACCGTTGGATTAAGCCTCCTTCAAATCTGCTTCACAAGATGAATGATGAAGAGCTCTTATGGAGAGCTTCTCTTGTTCCTAGAATTAAAAAGTATCCCTTCAAGAGAGTTCCGAAGATTGCATTTATGTTCTTAACAAAGGGGCCACTGCCTCTGGCACCTCTTTGGGAAAGGTTCTTGAGAGGGCATGAAGGGCTGTATTCAATCTATATTCATTCACTGCCAACCTTTGAAGCCAAATTTCCACCGTCGTCTGTTTTTCATGGAAGACAGGTCCCAAGTCAGGTAGCTACGTTTCTATGTAAAACATTCTTGTTTTTGTTTTGCATTTTTTATGTTCGATGGTGAAATTATATGTATAGGAATAGCTATATTAACTTGTTTGGATGATTTTAAATCCAAGAGGTCCATGGTCGTACTCATTATGTGGTACATGGTGTTGGAAGTTGAAACAGATTTCAGGTCATTATAAGCTAATTTTATTTTCTTTCCCAAGTCTGCTTTCCTGTTTATTAGAATTAACACAGGAGATAAAACAATAGGCTTGGATGGAGGAATTTGGCCCAGGAGATTGGGGTGAGAAAGAATTTGGGATTTAGCTAGTATGTTTTGGATTTGTTTTGAGATGAAGGATCCTTTGAGTTTGTTGACCATAATCAGAAATTTAGGTGAAGGAATTGTTAGAGAATGCAACAGTTAGGACTAATATTTTTGACTCTGAGACAAGCCATGAGACCGTATGATGTATGATATCAAGGCTTGATCCTTATTCCTTATTCCGGCTGTATGATGATATTGTCCGGTTGCAATTACACATGATGTTATTTTTTCCATCAGACATGCAGTAGTTTAGGAAAGAAGGGGAAACCCAGGCACAGAGAGCTAGAGTTAGGTTCTTGAAGTCAAATATAGTATCAGATTTGTTGTTTTCATTATTTGAGTTGTGGCTGGAGTTTTTAAAACTGAAAATCTATTAGGCTACAGACTGTCTGAATGTTAAGATGAAATCTTAGAAAATTGTTAACTCTATCCTGAGTAGCAGAGAAGATGCAATAAAATGTCTATGATATTTAAATACAGCAGCGTATCTTCCTTTGCCTTAACCTTTGTATGCTGTGTCTGGACAACTGATCTTTCTGAGTTCATCTAAGTTGAAAAATATTCCACTTCTGATGAGTAGAGTGTACAAAAGGCTAATATTGGGAGTAAAATATATTTGTATTAGGATACAGAAGATGTGTGTCTGTATCACTTTCTAGAGACCAGTACAGAGAAGAATAAGAAATGTTCACCTTACTATAATTGATTGCTGATATACATGGAATTGTTAATGGCTGTCCAGACAAAAGTTAGGTTCCAACTTGTGATGACTGTCTGGTTTGTTGTCATGAAAGGGCTGTGATATGGTGCTTTAGACTGCTTTATTTAAGGATGACTAGTTGTGAGTAAAAAGAATTAATTAAATTGCAACCATGCTTGGATGCCGAGATGAGCAACAATAGAGCACATATTCATTCATGGCATTCTTTTGGTTGTCAAGTAATTGTGCTGCTGAGGTTTATATGAACACACAAAATGACAGGTGGAAATTAAATTATCTGGCACTCTGTTTCAAACTGTATTTTGGCCCTTATTCCTTATTTCTTAAATGCAATGTACATAAGCTTTACACATTTTCTTGGTTGTTTCTGACTTTCATTTGATTAATTTTGTACATGTTGCCCATTTAGCAGTTCTACGATTTGCTTTCATCAAGAAGCTGATGGTGAACCCTTCCTAGAAAATGATAATAGGAAGTTCCATAATTAAGAATCATAAAGCTATACAATTCATATGTACAATTCATATCTTCTATATACTTTTGATCAAGGAAGCTTTACGATTCTAGCAATTGGTTAAAGTGCATGGTATCATTTATTTTCTCATTCCTGAATGGCTATGTAGCTTACTATTCATTTGTTGTTCACCATGCAGATTTCTGAATGGGGTAAGATGAACATGTGTGACGCTGAAAGAAGGCTTCTTGCTAATGCATTGCTAGATATCTCCAATGAATGGTTCATTCTCCTATCTGAATCATGCATTCCTCTTTATAATTTCACTGTTATCTATCACTACATAATGAGATCCAAGTATAGCTTTGTTGGTGCTTTTGATGACCCTGGTCCATATGGGAGAGGACGATATAATGAAAACATGGCACCTGAAGTGAACATTAGCCAGTGGCGAAAAGGGTCTCAGTGGTTCGAGGTTAATCGAAGGCTTGCAGTTACCATTGTGGAAGATACTAAATATTACCCAAAATTTGAAGAATTCTGTAAGCCAAATTGTTATGTTGATGAACATTATTTCCCTACCATGCTAAACATTCAAGCAGCGCATCTCATAGCAAATAGAAGCCTTACATGGGTTGATTGGTCAAGAGGTGGAGCTCACCCAGCTACATTTGGAAGAGCAGATATAACAGAGGATTTCTTCAGAAAATTTTTCGAAGGTCAGCACTGCACTTACAATAATCAGCCTTCTTCTATTTGTTTTCTTTTCGGGAGAAAATTTGCGCCGAGTGCATTGGAACCTCTATTACATATAGCACCATCGGTCCTGGGTTTCTGACAGCAGAACTCATCAACTAATTTTAAACAGTGAAAAGTAGCTCAAAAGAAAATGAGAAATTTCATTATTTGCAGCTTAGATATTTTTATGCAGTAACTACTTTTGGTGATAGGATGTGGTTTCTTGCTTGTATACTTCTTTTGGAGTGCTTCTGTCCAAAATTATATTATGTACAGGTAATGCATACCCAGTTCAGTTTGCATTATATTTTCACATTTTTTCAGTATTAGAGATCAGCATATCATAATTGGTTTTTCCTTTTCTTTTTCTTTTTTTAAGAAATAACTACCTATTGGATAATTTCACCCAACAGCATGTTTTTAATTACTGTTATTTAGTTTTCAGTTTCTCAACTGGCCTTCGCAGAGTATCTAATTTATGGTAGTGAAGCCCCACCCCACACATAATTGATGTTGGCCTTTATTATGTAAGAATAATTGGATGTGACTGTTTACAGATTAGAATGAAAAATAAATTATTTATATAACTCATCTCCCTTTCTCCAAGAGGGTATAATGAGTCCCTTACTGCTGTTATTTGATGGAAACCATGTCCTTGTTTGTATAATTACCAAGATTTTTTCCACCAACAGCGTTTTCAGTTGTGACAATTACATGGGTTCATTTTGGTCTTAGTTTTTCAAATTCCGTCACAAATTATTAAGTAGCTAGGACCAGTATTGCACGTTCCTAATTAATGTGCTTCATTGTAGCGCACGTTTTCCTATTTCACCCTCCTCCCATTCTTGTGAAAGTTTAAAAAGATACCTTGAAAATGCAATTTTTGAGTTTGGAGCATATTTGAGTGATCATAAGAACCTTTTATAGCAATCAATTGTTAATTTTTAATATTTGCAACACAATTTAATGAAAGGGAAAGATTTGTATAAACTCGTTGCATATACACACAAAATATAATGATAATAATTGGTAGTATAAAATAAGGGTACGAGAGTCTTTTTATTAAAAAAATAATAATAAATCGGTACTCATTTCTTTTTTTTTTTTTTTTGTCATTAGAAAATTTTTAATGCGATGATTAATGAAGTAATTAAATCACCTAAAGTTATAATAAAATACTTATGTGATATAACTAAATTACTTTTTACCTCATTTAATTTTATTTCGACTTAATTCTCTCTCTATTAATTTAGATAAATAAAGAATGAAGTGACGTGAAATTTAAGAATTTATAGAAAATAATTATCGTGTTTAGTAGAGATAAGGGTAAGATTGAAATTAAAAAGAACATCATTATAATTTAAGTGATTTGATTTTTTTAATTATCATAAAAAATTGTTTTTTTTTTTTTTTTTGAGGTAATAATCATAAAAAACTTAATGGATAGATACAAGAAGATAAAATAAGTATTCCTTAATCTAGTGAGAAAGATCATTGAAACTCATTAAAAAAATGAATATATAGATACATATATATAAGTATATAGATAAGAAAACCATTCAAAAGTTTTAAAAATTTAAATTTAAAAATTCAAAAATTTTAAAATTTTAAATTTAAAAATTCAAAAATTTTAAATCTTTTAACTGTTCAAAGTTTTAAATATATATATATATAAATTGTTCAAAAATTTAAATCTCTTTATGTTCAAGTTTAAAGTTTTATATATATATATATATAAATTGTAAAAAATTACTAAAAATTTAGTACATTTATAAAAAAAAAAAAAGAAAAGAAAAAGTTAAAATATTGAATTGTTAAGAATTAATATTAAGAATTGATTGTTGAATGATAATTATATTTCGTTTTTTTGAATGATAATTGTAAGAGATAATTTTATATTCTCATCTAATAGATTATATAATCATTATATCAACTTTATAAGAAAATTTTTCATCCTGAAAAAGTTTAATTTGTAAATAGATAAAAAAAAAGCATATTTCGTTTTTTTGAAAGGTAAAAAAAAGCATATTCCGTTATTGTTTAAACAAATAAAATAAAAATCCAAAACAAACAACTCGTCCGATCATCTCATATCCCCAGTTTTGAACGGATATATTTTTTTTAAATAACCGAAATCTGTGAGAAACGCGTTAGAATGTAACCGAAATTGCCAAATTTGAAGTTGAAATTGTAGTAGCCTCTACTTCCTTAAGTTTCATTAACCGCTGGCCAGGCCATTCATATAAAAAAAAGGTTCTGGAAGACAATAAAGAATGTCAAATCATATGGCAGACAAATTCAAAATAAAATACAAAGTTAAAAAATAATGCCGTTGCAACGAGTCCTTTTCCGATGGCCATAGTAGTGCGTTTGTGGGCCCTTATTTTGAATCGCCCATCTTTTCTAATTTCTCCATCGAATCGCGTAATTTATTGCGCTAAACATTCATTCATATATAATCAAACAAAAACGAAGCACGCGCCAACATATACACTCGCTCTGTTTATCGTTCATTTATCTACGGACCCCACTGTTATGCCAAATGTTTACAAAACAATTCGCATTTGTAACGCACGCTGGTTCTCTCGTGATTTTGATCTCTTCTTCCAGTAGAACAGAGAATAAATTCTTAATTTGGACATTAAACGGCGCCGTAACAAAAATAAAACCCTCTCTGAAAATTACTCCACAAGAGAGAGAATGCTCCGGATGTCATTTTCTTTTGAATGACCGGCTGTGACTACACCATTCGCCAGGCTGTAAATTCGGGCAGCTGACCGTAAAAATTTACCACTTTGTCCTAAACCTACTCTTTCCCACTATATAATCCCCTGACTAGTACGCCTTCGCCTCTACGAACAAACCCGTCGCAATCTAGAATCCTCTCCTTTGTTTGTCTGCGCATTTCTCTCAAATTTAAAAAAATCCCTAACCAGACATTCAAAGAACAATGGCTTTTCTCTCCAAGGCCTCTCTCATTGCTGTTATGGCTCTGCTTCTTGCGGTTCTCTCTGCTAACGCTGCCGCTCCGGAGTCTGCTCCTGCTCCAGCCCCCGCCTCTGGAGCTGGCGCGATCTCACCTTCGGTGGCCTCTGCTTGCGTTGCATCGGTCGCTGCTCTCCTATTTGGCTATGGATTGAAGATCTGAGGGATGATAGGTGGTTTAAGTAATGTCATTGATTATTCAGATTTATTACTTATTATTAGAGTTTTATTATTGAGTGTTTGATTTGGATCTAGGTTTTTTGGGTTTAGAATATTTATATATAAAATTTTTAGGATTATGAGTGATATTTTACATATATATATGTAATCTGTTTGGTAGTGCACAGTTGGTTATGGATTGGCATATTATTATATTATAAATTAAATCTATCGATTTATATTTGTGTCTAATTTTTTTGGTTTTCTTAATCTTGCTGATATGATTAATTGAGTTTAATCTAATTGATCGGAACAGTTTTAAAATTTGGAATTCCGGTTTAGATTTTAAATCTATTTGAATTCTGTAGATACATATAATTGTCTATTCTCTTTTATTTTTGAATATAAATTCTAGGGAATATAATTTTCACATGGCACGGTACCAAGAACTGAAAATAGAGGTGAAGAATAATTTAGTGTATGTAAGTAAGCCATACTGCGCATTACTATTTTGCTTTCCTTAGCAATTAAGTATTAGTCGTAGTGATTGTTAATTAGCAAATTCACTTGGAAAGTTGAACGAAGAAAAATATTCTTTAATTTCTTTTCTTATTTAATGCACGTAGCCACCGACACGTGTCAACGTCTTTTTTTTGTTTTTTTGTGACTCATGTCAACATGAGTCACAACGCTTGATTTTTTTTTTTTTTTTTTTTTTTTAGGATTGGCACACAGCATTCTTTATGAATGAGTTGGGGTTACAGATTTCGAAATCTATTATTTATTTATTTACTTTCAGGTTTGGTCCTTTGATTTTGTTTTCTTTAAATTAAATACATTAATAGTCGGATAATGATCATAGGTTTATTATAAATAATCGCAATTTAAGAACTAATGCTCTCCTTTTCTCCTTTTTCCTTCTGGAAAGTCTTGTTGGGCAGTTGATACTGATTAAGATGATATTTTATTTGATGATGGAAAATTACACGAGTTGTGGGTCCTCCTTTCAAATGAAAAAACATTTAACCCAAACACGTCACATGAAATGGGCCAGTAGGTAGGCTACAAGTGGATTTGGAGAATCATGTGATTGGTGAAGAATAATAATGTAGTTGATGCAGTTAGATGTCACTCTCTGATTCGGCCACCACTTGCAAGTCCAAGTGCCCTGTTTGGAATTGCAAGATAGTTGTCTGCATATGAAAATGTATAGCCACTACTAATTAGCTAATAGACCAAAACAATAATTAGCGTTTGATGTTATTTAGTTGAAGTTTTAGCAAAGTAATACTATAAAAAAATTAGATTAGAATAACAAAATATTTTTGAAGTTTTTATTTTTCTTTTTTTATTTAAGAAACGTATTACCTCCCTTTGTTAAATTTGACACTTTATCCTCATCATTATTTAAATATCTGGATTAAACTTTCTTCCTCTTAATTATGGAAATTAATAATTTAATTTATTTATTTTTATTTTTTTTAATAAATTGTGATTACTAAATCTTTTTTTCTTGAGAAAATTCAATTATTTTTTTTAATTCTTGGGAAAAAGTGAAAAGTGTGAAATTTAACATTCTTTTTTTTTTTGGCTCATTTTACCTTTTTTCCGTTTGCCCCACATTATAATTTTATTTCTTTTTTAGGATTAAATAATATTTGTAGTTTTCAATTGTACCCCTATTTGATGTGTATATATATCTCTATAAAATACTAATTAATGTTAATCAAATCTTGAAGTTAACAACTAACTAGCTGCTCTGTAATTTTGATTGCTTTCGTTATCTCATTAAACAATTATATTTGGGTTAGTTCAAGAATAATTTAATATAACGGAATAGTAACATAATTATTTAATATTAATACAAGTGTATATTATAAAAAATAAAGTAAAAATTAATCAGATCAACATTATTTTCTTAATCTGTTTGAAGGTAAAATTAAAACTATTTTGATGGGATGAATTATTAATTTTCTTCAATTGTTTGTTTTATATTGATATTAATTTGATTAAAATGGAAATTGAAAATAAATAATTTTTATAGCGGACCGCAATAAGTTTGGAAGTACGACTTAATGTTGTTATTAGTAAGAGTATTAATTTGATGTGACTTATTATCTTCACAAGAAAAAGTTTTACTTTCACTATTAGTCAAAGATTGAAACTATAGACCACTATGGAGGAGGATGTTTGTGAATATCCATTTCAACAAAATACAAATTTAGGCTTAATTTTTTTTTTTTTTTTTTGGTTGAAATTTATAAACAGATGATTAAACTTGATGGCAGGTATCCAATGCCTTCTACGTAAACTCATGCGCAGTTTAAATTTTCACGAGGTGTAGCAAATTCAATAACGAAATTAATTTTAAATGGATTGGAACGGTAAGTACTCCCGTCTAGCTACCATGGGTGCAAGTTGAAATGAAAGAGCGCGCATAAAAGAAATAAAACGGTTAAAAAAAAAAAAAAATCATCCTTCCATTTTCATAGCGGGTAAGGACATACATGATTTACAAAAAGTACCAACATTCCCTCACATGGCACTGTCAAAAACAAACCGCTTTCAAGTTTCAACAACAGAGTCATCGTCCTCATTTTCCATTGGCTCATTCAGAATCCGAATCCATATTTCCCATAGCTTTCAAGCCTCTCGGTCTCTGCATATTGAAATTCAATCGTCAGCCATTGTTAAAAAGAGAGAAAAAAAAAAAACAATCAAAGCCAATTTCTACCTTATTTATGTTATTGATTTACATTAAGTAGAACTACATTATAATAATAATAATAACAAAAGAAGTTACCTTCTTGGCGATTTTCTTCTCTCTGACCTCGTACCGTTCTAGTGTCAGATCACACAGCCATGCTCCGGGACTTACAAGCTGCAAACAAAATCCCAATAAAATGAGAGCCAAGTCAGATTACGCTTCCTTTTTTCTTATTGATTAACCATCTAAATAGAGAGCATTATAAAATTTCTATCACAAAAAAAAAAAAAAAAAAAAAAAAAAAATCTTATCCACAAAAAAAAAAAAAAAAAAAAAAAAATCGCACGTTACAGAAAACAAGGCCCACACCCAAAAGTGGACAATTCAGAAGTCGGACATTATATTACCATTAGGTCCATCCAATTTTCCGCGTTCTGTCGTTTACTATTTGTTGATGGGAAGCTTTTGTTCTAATATTTTTTTAATCCAATCGACCGTACGCCGTGGACACCATGCTCGCTTCATATTTCCCACAAGAAAACGTTCCATTGTTGCTAATTAAAAAAAAAAAAAAAAAAAAAAAAAAAATCGCACGTTACAGAAAAACAAGGCCCACACCAAAGTGGACATTCAGAGTGGACATTATACCATTAGGTCCATCCAATTTTCCGCGTTCTGTCGTTTACTATTTGTTGATAAGCTTTTGTTCTATACTTTTTTAATCAATCACCGTACGCGTGGACACCATGCTCGCTTCGTATTCCCACAAGAAAAAGTTCCATTGTGCTAATTTTCCGAGGGATTATACTTGCCTTAGACGACGAATAAACCAATTAAAATAAAAAATTTTTAATCTATTTTTAAAAAGATTCATATTTTTATTTGTTTAATATATACATGAGTCCATGAACAAAGCTAACAAAGGCACAGACAGAACAGAAACCCTACTAGCTGGATCCACACCAGCTTCCCATCCAAAAATGACTGTAGTCTACATGTGGCCTACCACGTAGACGATGATTCTCCATTTGTTTTTGTCCTTTTCAAATTTCAATTGTTTTTAAAGCGTTTGTAATAATACTTTTTTTGCTGTAAATGCCAATTTTGCATATATATAAAATAAATAATTAGGTGTGGTCCCCACTGTCTCTCCGACTAATAACAAGCAAAATTATTAAAAATATTAAAAGAAATTAATTAAAAAAGTAAAAGAGTAAAAAATTAAGTAACGTTTTTCTTCTTCATACTATTATTTAGATATTACCCTAATTGAAATTATTAAAAACAATTTACTATTGACTCGCTAATCATAATAAGAAAATTCCAAAATATTAGGTCATAGACTGCTAATACACGTTTAGGTCACTGTTGGGTGCACATCCACACTTTAACTGCCACGTGTAAGTTCATCTCTAGCTTAGTGTCGCATTACACGTTTTCCCAGCTTTTCCAGCCAAAGAAAAAGGGCCCAAAAGGAAGAACAAATTCACGTAAAACAATTTTAATCAAAGTCCCTTCACCTCTCCAATCAACAGCTTAGTATCTTAAGAAACCCCAAATTTTCTAAAGAAAAAATTGCTGAAATTTCAAAAAACTAATTGCAAATTTTTGAAATTAGAAACCTGAAGAAAGAAAAGAGTGGCTTACATTGAGAGTGCGTTGAACGAATTTAGCTCTCTTTTTTGGTCTCTGGGGCAGCTTGGACCCCTTAAAAGCAATGAAATCTTCCTCTTTCTCTTTGTTAGTTAAAGCAATCACAAATTTTGGTGGCCAAACCACCGGTGGTGCCGCTTCTCCGCTTCCAGAAGACGAACCTCCTCCTTTCTTGCTATCATGCGCTGTCTCAGAAGATGCTCCTGATTTGTTATTATTATTATGATTATTATTATTATTCTTATTCTCATGGTTGCTGTTGTGGTGGTGGTGGTGGTTGTTATGGTTATTGTTGGCGTTTCTCTTATCGTGCGCAGCCCTGTCAGGCGAAGAAAGGCTTCTCACACCACCGTTACTCTGGCCTCTCATGGCACTGAGATTCTCAGAATTTCTGTCAAAACAAACATTAATTAGAACCATATAATAAAAAAACAACCATGTAATGAAAAACTAGCCAAGTAATGAAAAGTAACATTGAGATAGGCAATTTGGATAAAATTACGAGAATGACCTTTCCCGGCTGATCTAGATCGGTAGAAGGGTAGAGACTGGATAGAATCTCGACGGGTTGTTGCGTAGAAAATGGGTTAATGTTTGTCTTTGTGTTTTGTTTTGGGGTTTTAAAAGGAAGGGCAGGGAGTCGTAAATTTTCCGTTGTCCTGTATTTTTATTTTGGTTTTCGATGAAAAGTTAAAGATATTTTGAGAGGAGAAAGCATATAGTGGTGAGAGATTCTATATTTCTATTTCGGTTTTCTCAATTTTCAATCCAACATGAATAGCTGGAGTTCTTTTAGTATGTTCTTGGGCCGTTGGATTGAGTTCGTCCCATTTCGGGGTCAGGATGCATGTGAGATAAAAGGTGGACCACATTCCTAATCTAATCTAATGATCCGACGGTGTATGATTGGTTCTGATTAAAGAATCTTTTGTGGACACGTGGAATGGAAATGTCGTCCTTACTATTCCATTCTGTTAGTTACTAGGAGGCGTTAGGAGCAATGCATCAGAAGAAGCTTAATAAGAAAAGTCAAAAAAAGACTCCAAACTAATTCAATTTATATGTCATAAAGTAGATTGAATAAGAAGAATAATGATAATGCTTTATTTTTTTTATTATTATTTCATTTTCTATATCTCCATTATTAGAGTAGCTGAACTGGTTTTTTTTTAGAGATTAATTTAACTCATGAACCTGAAGCATATTAAGAATTCAAACCCTAAACTAATTTAGTTGCGATATCTAAATCAATAACAACTTTACCAATCCAGGGGAAGCATAAACATTAAACAATGTAGAGGACAAGATGGACAATGTTCCACCAATTCTAATATCTTAATAGAAAAAATCTAAGCTGGAGAGTGGGCAAGATGTGCGCACTCAATCGCTCTTACATAAGCTCAGCTTCCCAACCATAAATATGCGCCCATTATAAGCATCCTGCATCATCTTTCCCCAGATAAGCAACAATTTTAAATATCCAAACCGCTGTTCGGTTCGATTTTTTTTTTTTTGGTTTGAACCGTTGCGTGTCCCCCGGTTAGTATTCAGCCTACATGGAATTTTGGGGATCCAGTGTTTGCCATCCAATGCAAGTACTGGCCTTATCCTTTTCCCACTCCTACCAAACAAATTGCACCTACAGACCCTTATCCTAACAGAGAAAGACAATTTGATTATTTATTTATGCTCACAAAAACTTTAGGTACTAAACTTAAGACGAGGTGAAGGCTTTTCTAGATATACTGACATGGTAAGACCGGAACAGTGAAAAATTGAGAAGTGGTCCAGTAAATACCAACAACCGTTATCCAACCCACCCCATCGGAAAACCCAAAGCGGACCCTGTTTTTTAAACAGACCGAACTGAACACATGGCGTAATTTTTATATGATGAAAATCACGTAGATCTACTCAAATATGGCGAGGGATCTGTACCTGAGAACACGCTGAGGTGGAGGTGGCGGTGGTGAGGATGGACGTTGACGGAGATTCAAATATACATTGCTTTGATTGCTTTGATTAGAATTGTTATTCGTTGTACTTGGCTGATTAGAAGTCTCTTTATCGGCTCTGACGACCCGGCGGTCAACCCGAACCGTAGTTCGATGGACCGGAGTGTTGGAATCGTCCTTCACCTGGATCTTCATACACCTTAGGCGTTTCCGGTTACCCCACTGCAAGACGAAATCCGACGTCGTTTGCTTTGCGGAATCTGAAATGGCTCTTAACAACCCATCGGCGCCTCCGATTTTATGGTTATTGTTGGTGTTAACATTGTTGTTGCTTCTTAAATAGTCTTTTTCCATCTTTTGCACACCTGTCCCATTCCAACAAAAGATTAATTTAAACAAATTTAACTTTAAAAAATTGAAGATAAAGCAAGTGTTGGTTTTCGCTTAACAAAGGCCAACTCCGATAACTAAAACAGCCTCCTCTGCAAATTCTACAGAATTCAAACAAAAGCAGTCTGTGAAAAAGAAATAAATGAAGAAATTAAAACAAGAAGGAAATTGGAAAAAGATTCCAATCCAACGGCTAAGCCTTTTCAAGGTATAAACTATAACGATTGGTATCCGTCTGATGAACAAATGATGTCGAAAAATTATGAGAGAAAATTCTTTGAAGAAGGAAAAAAAATTGAAACTAAAGAGAACGTTCACTTTAACAGATAGAGTCAATCTACAAATGGATCCACCTCATTTTAAGTGGTTTTAACATATGGGAAAGTAGAACATGCAAGAAAATTTCTCCAAACTGTGCTTGGTTGCTGAGAAAATTTAGAAGATGAAAATTAAGAAAATCCAGACCTTGAATTCTCAAAGATTCATTGCCAGGAACAGAAGGAAACTTGAAGTTCCACCACTAAATTGAGCCTGGAATCAACAAGCTTCCTTTTTTTTAATGCTGGAAATTTTTAAAACCAAAGCGAATTTGTTTCGCCATAGTTTCCTCAGAAACCAAACTGGAGTCATTGGCTACGGGAAGGAATTCACCAAGCACAGATGAATGTCATCAATCAGAAAAAAAATATTAAATCCCAGAAAATAATTAATAAAAAATAGTCTAAAATGATTCTTCAAAGGAAAAATGGTAAAACCAGGAAATTGAAAAAAAAAATCTAAAAACTGAAACAAAAGACACTCATCAGGAGAGAGATGGTAATTGAGAAGCGTTGAAAAAGGAAATTGGCGCATTACCTGAAACTTCAATTCGTAGAAGAAATCTTCGATTCTCAATTGAATTTAAGACCCGGAAAACTGAATTTTTTTTTTCTTCTCAGAAGCTGCAGATTGCAAAGGAAATAAGGCAGGTGAATCAGAGCTTCTTTTTTAGCAAGGGAAATGCACACAGAGAAGACGGGGAAGAAAGAGATTAACCAGCGGAGATTTCCCATAAACTATAATAAACAACCAATCTAAAGCCAGAGTTCAAACCCCAACTGGAATTCTATGATTTTGGTGGAAGAAATGACCTACATGAGTATATTACATAGGTTTTGACGCGGTGAACAAAATTTGCAAGTCCTCAGGCAAATTGTACGAATCTATGTCAGATTTTCAAAAGAATGTGACATCTCGAAGTTTAAATCCTCGACTCTCATGTCAGATTCCGATCTTTGTATATCCATAAACTGATCTTTGTATCTTATAATCTGTAGATAAATGGTCCAAATTCCTTCTAAAGCTGCTTAAGTCTCTTCAAAATGTATCTGTAAAACAGAAACAAGTCAAATACCATTATTTCAGAGTGTAAACGACCCAAAAATTAAATATAAACGAACTCCTTTTCAATTACCTTCTATCTGTGAATCTAAACGTATAAACCCAACTTTCACAATTCTCAATCGGCTATCAAAATTAAAATTAAAATCTCATCCAGTGGAAATTCCTCGCGAGAGCACCTTGAATTCCCAACAAATGTGCCTGTAAGAACAGAAATAACAAAATCAATTTACCAATCATAAATCCAGAATTTCCACTAAGTGAAACCGACGGAATCATATTCGGTTCTCAATTACACACCTAAAAGCCTCTCCACTCTAGTAGCTGCAGATCCTCAGCATTTATTTGTTCAATTCTCGTCAAGTTCAATTCAAATCCCTGTTTGGTTACCGAGAAGGAGATGAGAGAAAAGCGAGAAAATTCGCAGAGAAAAACAGAGACAGAATACAGAAACAACAATACTACGAACAGGAACAGCTTCTTTTTAATTGAACGAAATGCTCTCTTCTTCAAACCCAAACTTTATAGCCATCTTCCTCTCTGTTTCAGCTTGCCGTTCAACACAACACATTTTCTGATCGTTGATCTGATTATCCAACCGTCAATATTGCTCCTACTTTGAACCGTCAAGTGTGTCCATTCTGTGCCCCGTTACGGCGTTTTCCTTACCGCTTTTGTTTCGTTTGTCCTCTACAGTAAGCCTCAGGGCTCTATAGAAGTCTAACGGAATCTTCAAGAGATCGTTAAAATTTAAAAGAAAAATATAAATATAAATTGTTTTTTATAATAATATAAAATATATTTTTCTCGCAAACTAGCGTGGTGGAGAGTACGTTAACCACGGTTACTTTTGTGACAGTTTGGCAATGTCATCACAAATTTGAAGGTTTTTTTTTTTTTTTGAGATCGTTAAAATTTAAAAGCAAAAATAAAAATTACAATTGTTTTTTATAATATATAAAATATATTTTTCTCGCAAACTAGCGTGGTGGAGAGTACGTTAAACCAGGGGTTACTTTTGTTTGACAGTTTTGGCCAATGTCAATCAAATTTGGAAGTGGGTGGTTTTTTTTTTTTAGTATAAAAATTAATAAATTTAATTAAGAATAAATGGTAAAGGTTTTTTTTTTTTTTTTAGTATAAAATTAATAAATTAATAGATAAATGGTAAAGCAGTACATTAACTTGCCAATCTTCTTAGCTGCATTGGAGTAAAAATCTCGAGTTTAAATCATTTTTATTCGAATGTAAAAAATTTATACTAAATTAATAGGTTGAAAGGAAATATTATCTTTATTGTATAGCTCTAATTTTATTTTTGTTTATTAAACATGCTAATGATAATTCAAATTTAGAATTGTCATCATCAAAAAAGTTATTTGTGATTATAACTGGGCGCAAAATCTTGCCCAATTATCCATTAACCAACGGTTTCATAAATTAAAATTTCATTTATTATATAATAATTATTAGAAGTGTTAAAATGGTCCATAAATATGCTAAAATAGAATGTAAATAGGTTCATGAACGGTTGACCCATATATGAAACAAATCGTATCACGAATTGACTTATTTAATATATTCAACGTGTGTTTATTTTATATATATCAAGTGATTTATATGTACTATACATGTTGAGATTTTTAATTTAGGTACGATTCATTTAAATAATTGAATTATATTTAATTAAATATTTGACTTAATTATTGAATAGATGGTATGTATATTGACATTAATTGTATCGCGTGTAATTAAAAATCACTCATGCTATTAATATCATTAATGAACTTATACGTGTATTTTTATCAGCATGTGATAAAATTAGAACAGTCTGCAAAACAACATTTAACTTTTGTTGCTACTATATTGTATGAATGTAAGTCCATAAGGTAAAGATTCTCGAGTAATCTGCGTACCATACAAAAGCTGTGTCAATGGTCCATTTTAATTTTTTCACAAAAATAGTCTAACTAATGTACTTAACAGTATTTTTTTTTTATTTAGTATAATAAGGAGGTTTAATCCAACACCTTGTTGGTTTACCGATAACCTTTTTAATAATTCACACCTTCAATTAATTTTTTTTTGTTTATATACTTAAATAAAATAAAATAAATTGAAAAATTGAGATGCCGCTATAAAAAAATATGCTGCACTCAACAGGCCCCAACCCAAGAAATCAACTACCGGGCCTCTTTCCATCTTTCGGCAAAGGCTATTTTAGTCCGAGCATACAAAATTTTTTCGTTTCGCCTATCGGACCAGAAAAATAAAGGAGAGGATCTGCAGTTCGCATTATTTGGATCCCAAAATATCTCCAACCTTAATTGCCCTGTCTACGATTAGGGTTTATTTCGAATTCATCAACTGCTTTAATATAATTCTGTAAAACAAGAGAAGGTAACATATATATATTTCTCTTCTCTCTTTATTACTTTTCAATATTTTGATATTGTTTTTGTTTAATTGCTGTTTTATTTATCTTAATCATACTTTAATTTTTTTCTGGGCTTTATCGTTTAGGGTTTTTCTGTAGAACTATCAAGTCTGTTGTTGTTATCACATTCAAATATGTTTTGATTTCATGTTTTCGATACAATATTTAGGGTTTATTTGATTTTTTCATTCAATTGATTATATAGCTTACCTTCGATTTTTCTGGCGTTGGTGCAGTACAGGAAATGTACAACGGAATAGGGTTACAGACTCCAAGGGGGTCAGGGACCAACGGATACATACAGACCAACAAATTCTTTGTGAAGTCAAGGACAGGGAAGGTTGCTCATAACACTAAAGGATTTGAGGGCGATCAGGGTACTGCTGGAATCACGAAGAAGCCTAACAAGGACATCCTTGAGCATGACCGCAAGCGGCAAATCCATCTCAAGCTTGTCGTACTTGAAGACAAGCTCATTGATCAAGGATATACTGATGTTGAGATTGCTGAGAAGCTTGAGGAAGCTAGGAAGACTTTGGAAGCAGCCTCAGCTGCTGAGGAAAGTGGAGGATCCGCTGCTGTGGTTTCCGATATGAAGTAAGTAATCCCTGTCTTTAAATATATAATTCAAGTATTGTTGTCAGGTTTGTTCCTATCTTGTTTTGTATGCTTGTCTATAGTGTTTTTGTATCCTATTTATTTTATTATCCGGTTGTGTCAGATTGGTTGAGATTGTTTTAGTCTTGGATGCATGGGGATCTTACCAATAATGTCAAAAATGAGTTAAATTGCAAATAGGCATTGTTGCACTAATGCCTGGTGAGTCGGGATATATTTGCAGTCAGCGGTGAAGTTAGATTCTGCATTTTCTATATCTTAAGATTTTGGGATTTCCTTTTTCGGTTTGACGCACTTGATGATTGTGGTGGTTATATTATATGCTTAGCAAGTTATGATCTTATTTTGATATCAAAAGAAACTAAACTTAATGGCTTCATCAGGGTCTCTGATACACAGTCCCATCAAATTGCTGCTAGGAAGGAGAAACAGATGGAAACATTAAGGGCTGCTCTAGGAATCAGAATGTCTGAGCCTGATGACCAAAATGCTGAAGTCATTGATGATGGACTACAAAATGGTAGAAAGAATGGCCCAACTGATGATAGCAAGTGGAGTGAGAAACATGAACATGCCTTTTTGGACAGAGGTTTTAGCCACAAGAAACGTTCTGTTGAAGACCCAAATGCTGAGAAGGATGATAAGAAAAAGAGTAAGAAGAAAGAAAGAGATGAAGTTAATGATTCAAAACCCTACAAGAAGGGAGAAAGCAAAAATAAAAGTACTCAGGATGATTCATCAGATACGGATAGCAGCAGGAAGCATTCCAAAGCGGTCCAAAAGAAGCATCGTGGAGTTAGAGAGGGAAGTGATGGTGAGACTGACACTGACTCCGACTCTGACTATGGTAGGAATAGAACTTCAAAGAAGCATGAGAAAACCAGAAGACATGACAGTGATAGTTACGATGACACCGATTCTGACAATGGGAGGAAGAAGCATAGGATGTCAGAGAAATCCATGAAAAGTAGAAGACATGACAGTGACGGTGATCGCACTGATTCTGACAATGGGAGGAGGAAGAAGAAAAAAACTTTACATAAATTAACGAAAAGCCGAAGATATGAAAGTGACAGTGATAGTTCGGCTAGTGATGATGGCTCTGATTCTGAAGATGGTAGGATGAAAAAGGGAACTCTGGAGAAACCCATTAAAAGCAGAAGACATGACAGTGGCAGTGATGTTTCTGCAAGTGATGATGACACTGATTCTGGCAATGATAGGAAGAAGAAGAACAGATCTTCAGAGAAGCACAAGAAAAGTAGAAGACATGGCAAGGACATAAAGGATTCTTCAACTGATGATGATGATGATATTGGCAAGGTCATCTCCAAACAGGAAGTTGAAAAATCCAATAAAATCCGTAGGAGGCACGAGTTTGGTGATGATTCTAAGTTATCCAAGCACAGAACTGAGGAGGCGAAGCAGCTTATGAAAACAAGTGGACGGCATTATTCTGAAGATGACTCTGATTTTGATGGTGAGGCGGGAAGGAAAAAAAGACCTCTTGGCAAGCTTGGAGATGAGCAACATGGAAGGTGGAAGACAGAAATGGATGATTCTATTTTGGATGATCGTTGGAAGAGTGAGGACATACATGGGACAAGCAGCAGAATTCGGAGCAAGGTTGATGAACCCCAGCATGAAACTAGGAGGAATGATAATGACCATGAAGGGTATGGAGGGGAGAAAAGGCATACCAGGAATGAAGTGGATCGTAAAAGAGGAAGATACCAAAGAGATGTAGAGGATGATGGGTACCGGAGGCGTGAAAAGGAGGAACCCCAGCGTGAAAGTAGGAGGAACGATAGTGATCATGAAGGGTATGGAGGGGAGAAAAGGCATACTAGGGATGAAGTGGATCGTAAAAGAGGAAGATACCAAAGAGATGAAGAGGATGATGGGTATGGGAGGCGTGAAAAGGAGGAACCCCAGCGTGAAAGTAGGAGGAATGATAATGATCATGAAGGGTATGGAGGGGAGAAACGACATACCAGGGATGAAGTGGATCGTAAAAGAGGAAAATACCAAAGAGATGAAGAGGATGATGGGTATGGGAGGCGTGAAAAGGAGGATGATGATCAACAGCATGTAAGTCGAAGGCATGCAAGAGGGGAAGAAAGGGACCGAAGAAGCAAAGGTCATGATGATTGGGATTACGAAGGGCGTGTAAGAGAGAGGAGGTCCCGTGGGGATGAAGAGGAAGCACATGGAAGGGAGAAGAGGTACCACAGGGATGAGGAGGACTGTAAAGAGAGAAAGCATGAAAGGGATAAAGGGCTTGATGACAGGTATGGAAAGCATGTAAAGGTTTATGAAGACCAACAGGATGGAAATCGAAGGCGTAGAAGAGGTGAGGAAGAGGAGCGAGGAAGTTTTGAGAGGGAGAAACAAATGGATCACTCCAAGAGAGCAAGATATGACGATTCCAGGTCAAATGAGAGGAAACGGTTCGAAAATGACAAGCATAATGATGATCTGTCCAGGCGTCGGGACTGAGATGGCTATAGTTTGTGCAGTATTATGACTGGTGACTGTCCTCTAGAGATATTTCTTCTATTTGCTTCTTTTTTTTTTTTTTTTTTTGACTGGTGACTGTCCTCCTCGAGATATTTCTTCTATTGCTTCTTTTTTTTTTTTTTTTGGTGGTTCCACTTGCTGCTGAATTTACAATTTACTCCAAAAATATTTCCGCAAGCCTTATTCTGTCAATTTTCATAGAAGTGTTTTTGGCTGGTGGGTCAGTAGTTTTTTTTTTTTTTTTTTTGGTGGTTCACTGTGCTGAATTTCTTACCAAAATATTTTGAAGCCTTATTCATGCTACAATTTTCATAGAAGTGTTTTTGGCTGGTGGGTCAGTAGTAGATCATAAAACAGGTCTATATGTTTAATGCAAAAGGTGTATTGCTGTGTCTATGGATATGTTTTCAATGCATGCAATTATTGAAACTTTGTGGCATTTGTCAATGTTTATTTATCTTGAATAAACTTGGGATTTTCTGAGTTGGGAGTTTTGGATATTATTCCTAGAAACAATGAATAATGTATGAGTTCGTGGTGCTTCAGATTATAAATTATATGAAAAAGTAATATTTGAAAATAATCTGATAAGTGGTTTTTTTATGTACTGAAGTACTAAGGCACTTTTTATGCATGCACCTTATTGTTCATTTGCATATCAATAGATTGGATAAACTTGCACTTTTGAAGAAACCATGAACTAACTCATTGAACTCATCATTATGAAGGAAAAAGGGATGATTAGCTATGGATGCTATTGCTTTGCATGATTGATTATGGAGTTCCTTTTACTTGGCTAAGGTTGATTTTATTATTTCAGTGTTGGTTGCAAAAGGCTGGTTAAATGGTCACCAGACATAATACCTCGAGAAAATGGAGGACTATCTATTGAATTTGATGGAAGACGCATCGCATGAGTACTGCAATCTCGTTAATTGTGTTGCATCCTTCAAGTTTCAGTCCATACGAGTGTATCAAAAGTTTGTTTATTGTAGAACAGAACCTTTATCTTGATTTACATGTCTAGCTGATTGACTTTCTTGGTAGAATAACTTGTAATATGCTGCCTTTGTCAGGATCATAAGGATTGTAATGTGCATGTGCCGATTATATTATGTTTGGTTCCGAGTTTATGATATGGCACTTTGTTATTTAGCCATGATCTGAAGGTTGGTGTTGCTTTCATGGAAAACCAAGTGAGAAAATTTTGCCACTGTTAATTAGTGGTAAGATGATCTTTGAATGGGATTAAGATGGCATTATTTTGCATATAGCGAGGAGCGAGTTTTCAATGTTTTGTTTTGATGTTTTTATTTTGAGTAGAGCAAGAGATAAAAAGTGACAGAGACAGTATTAGACTGGTGGAAGGGAAGAATGTCTCCTAGTCCTGGCTCTCGGATTTTTCCATTTTTACTTCTTGAGGACGTAAATTGGATTCTCCTTCACTCTCCTTCACTCAACTCCAATATGATAAAATATTCTCCTTCACTCTCCTTCACTCAACTCCAATATGATAAAATTCATTGCATGTGTCCGTAATGTGAGGTTTTATTTATATTTAAAACGAAGTCCTTTGCTGACTACCTATTCAAAGTTCAAACAAGAGGAACGCTAATTTTCAAATTTTCATACGTGAGAAAGGAAAAATACTTTCCTCTTGGTGTATGTAAGTGATGCATTAGTTTTGCATTGAGAGTTTGCAAGAAGAGGGAGAAAAAAAATCTAATCAAAATGAATATGATAAGACTAGCAATAGAACAAATTCTAATGGACTTTAGAAATGTCATTAATTCAGGGTCCAGAATGGTCATGCCAAATAGATTGCCAAACCGCTGGTTGATAGAACAGGCATGATGGACTTTACAGGCATTTTTACAAATCAATAATCATTAAATTACATTACAATGCATTTGGGTAGAGAGGAGTGCTTCTAATTCATATTTACACAGAAGCAATGGCACAGACAATCACAAAGTACAGCAAGCACGAAATTGGTATAATATAACTGAACTATCTCTGACTTCTGAACATAGAAGCATATTCTTCAATTATGCACTGAACCCCTTGTGAAGAGAGCTCCATGGACCGGATGGAATGCTGACACAGGCTTGCGCTGATGCCTCGGCCATCTGATCTTCCCGAATTCCAGCATTGCACAAGTTTGCAAGAGAGCGCATGTGTTTCATCCCATATTGTGACAAGGATCCACAATGTGTTTCAAAAGTCCTCACCTGCACAACAGAATAGGGCATAACAATCTCTCAGAACTCAAGAAGTGATATGAATGAAATTAAATCTGCCAGTAGGAGGTAAGAATTAGAACTGTTACCAGTGTTTTGAGGCAAACCCAGTCATCAACAAGAGGTTGCCCAGCAGGACGAATAGCATTCAGCACCTCTGAGCCTTTTCCAATTCCGAAAAGGAGTTTCCCAATTAGTTTCATGCTATGGTCTAAATGCATCCTATGAGACATTGCTTCAACAAACTGCTTCTGGGCTTGAATCTTCCTGGTAGAGCCATCAGGGGCCTTGCGGTACTGCAGAAGACATGGAAGACAGTTAGATATAATAAAAGTAGAATGAATTAAATGCTTTCATAACAGCATGATATTGAAGATTATGTTATAAACAAACATACTTCAGGCTGGGGAAAGAAGGTACAAAAGCAGGACACCCTGAAATTAAAATTCAAGCTGACCGACCATGCATACCCCCTACTTCAAAGTGATTCTATGGACCTAAAGAATTCTGATATTCTTAAGTGCGTTCCAGTAGTGGCAAAAGATCACTCATAATCTCAATTCATTAACCACAACGCTCATTCATATCACACCAATATTCACCATATAGATGATGAATTTTTAGCGTCTCTCTCATCCAGAAATTAACGACTCAGTAAAGATAAAAGAGGCAGCATAAAAACCTTATCCCAGAAATGGACAAGATCAGCATCCCGTTGGTTGACAGCTTTTGAAGGAGGTCTTAAGGAATTCTCATCCACGAAAGTGTAGTTTTCATTTGCAGGATTTGTACCCATATACAGGAAGAGATTATCCTTGCTAAGTCCTACATCACCATATTGCATGACATGAGAGCCATAAGCAGAATTTCCGTTTGCAGTCCTCCTTTTAACCTGCAAATTAATTACATAAAACAACATGACAATGTAGACAAGTGAAAAAACCATATGAAACTGAGGGTGTGTATAATGTTGTCCGATAAACGAATTAAATCTTAATGCTGTTGTTGGCTGTATTATGTATTGGCAAAACATGGATGATCAAATGCCCTTACCAGTTGATATTGCTGGCGCAAAGTTTCCGTTTGTAAATTGTGTACATCGCTGTTGAAAAGTAAAGACATTAATACTCATAAAAAAACAAGTATTTGAAAACTATTTCAATGAACTTGAGATTTCACTTTCTCCAAAAAAAAAAAAAAAAAGATTTGGTCAGGAGAATCTACCCAAGAGCCCAAGAAATCATCTACTTGCCTAATGGGTTTCCTATTCTTAACAAAATTAATGCTGTTCTTTTACAGGCTGAGGAGTGAAAGCAACTGAATTATTCATACCAACTTCCTAACATCTAGGTAAACAGCGAACTTGAAAACAAACACTTTCTATACCTGTCCTCCATCCAGGCAACACTATACAAGTCACCCAAACAGGTTTCATATTCTGGAGGTGGGCTGGGATACTCCCCAGGGCAATAGGTGCCCCAACTGCTCTCTTCAGCATTTGCTGCTGTGGTTGCATAAATATTCAAACCTTCGGGAAGAAGGCCCTCAAAGATGCTCCCAGATTCACAAGCTTCAAGATAGAACACCTACAATTTCACAGATATAACCCATAAATAAATGCACTGCCAAAACAAAATGTAACATTCTTAGTTGATTCTATAAGGGGAAAAAAAAATGAAATCTCTGGGAGTAATTTACCAAGCTTTTATAGGTCCCGGAAGCATGCTTCTTTATCAAGACATCAATCAGATCATTAGCATAAAGGTAAGGATTGGTAGGCATCCCTGATAATAAACCATAATGGGGTCGATAAGTACTGATTTTACATTCAGAAATAGAATAATTAAAGAGATTTGGTAAGAAAAATACATTTATCTCAAGGAATCTGTATGAAGGCCTAGATAAAAATACAACTATATTTATTGGAGTGCTTTCTTGGGACAAGTCTATCCATACGACTGCTTCCAATTCAAAAATGCCAGATTAAACTAAATTAGCTTGTTTAAACTCAAAAACTGATAAATTCTCGTTCTAGTTCTGGTTGATAAGAAACTATATTACAGCACTGAAATCCCACTCAATCCTTTCTAAAAATTTAATCTTAGGTTAGCAAATTGTTTTTCATCAAAGAAGAAACTTCAGTAATTGATGCAAAATATAGGAAGGATCAAATTCTCATCACTATTTACTGTTGCTATTGACCAATATGCTGTAAGGCAAATATCAATCCTCCTTTCTCACTTTTCCCAGTGACAAACAGCATTGTAGCAGACCAATGACTAATCTTGAAAATAAAAGGTTATAATCTTGAAATTTTCTAATTTCTTCTTAGAAAGAAAAAGTACTACTTATTCTTCTCCCTGATGAAGGTATAATGCAATGATTACGTGCAATTTATGGAAGTAGCGACATGTCATTAGGAGATTACTCCAATGCTACTAACCTAGCACTCCAGGACCTCCATGATCGGTGTAGTATATGAAAATATGATCATTGGGACCGCTATCCACAACTTTCCCGCTACCCCCAGTAATAGCAGTTTTGTTGCCAAGGATAGCAGCAAAGAAATTATTAACATTAACGTCTTCACCGGTGTAATCCTGACATAGAAAAATCAACCACATGAGTAGGAGAGCTTAATTTATGAATAGGTAATTAAGCTAAAACCTTAGCTTAAAAAAAAAAAAAAAAAAAAAAAAAGTAACTAGGCAGTTTTGTGCAACAAGGATATAGCAGCCCGCAAAAAGGAAAATATAATAAACATTAAACGTCTTCACCGGTGTAATCCTGACATAGAAAAAATCAACCCACATGAGTAGGAGAGCTTAATTTATGAATAGGTAATATAAGCTAAACTTAGCTTAAAAAAAAAAAAAACAAAAAAACTGGACCTTTGGAACACCTTAAAAAAAAAAAAAAAAAAAAAAAAACTGACCTTTGGAACACCTTTATAAACATCTTCGCCGTACGGATTATTGATGATGACCCCAGGCCTTGGGTTCTCTTTATTAAAAGCAATGTCATCATACATGAAAACAATTATATTTTCATCCTTCAATCCACCTTTCTTCAGCAATTGATAGGCATGGCAAACATCCGCCTGAATACATACATAACTCATATCAATCTAAAGATTTACATGATAAAAATATCCAAATAAACCTAATAACTATTAACAAGATACAACAATGAAACCTTAAATGACTAATAGCAAGAAATGATGAGCTTGACTTCCATAAAAGAAGATAAATTGCATTGTTACAAGACAAATAAAGCCACAAACCAAAAAGGGATCAATAATGACCTGATGCCTGTAATTCCAGTATCCATTAGATCCAGCGATCAGAATCGCCCATCTGGTGCCCGTTGAGTCGTCTTCTTTAGCGACGTGAGCACCACCAGGTCGGAAAAACCTGGAAGCCTCCGATGGCAACCGGAGTACGTCTCCGACGATATCTCGACTACCGGCGGATGAGACAACGCATAAAGCTAGCAGCAGGAGAATTACGCCGGTGGCGAGGCGCGTCATGATCGGTTTTCCGGTGACACAGGAGGAGCTTTTGTTTATTTGGCTGGCGAAATTTACCAGTAGTTTGCTTCTGAATAACAGATGAGCTTCTTTATTTATAGACAGGCTGGTGCTTTCACTGAAGACCGAAACTTTTTCCACGTGGATGGGTCCCGTATACTATTGACGGTTACGATGCGATTAATCTGAAGAATGGAGAAATTTTGTAGCGAAACGTGGGTCATGAGGGTCAGAGAAGTAGGCTGCTGGATTTGGAATCTTATTGGATGGGATTGATCTCAGCCGTCGTTGATGGGGTCTACATAGGAAGGAAGATTCAGTTACGGTGAAATTTGTCCATTGGATTCCTGTAGTTTTTTGGGTATTTGAGAATCGTTGCTTTGGTTAGTGGGAATTAGATCGGTCTGTGGGGGGCCACCCCTAAAGCCGCCTTTGTTAATTAGTCGATTAAGCAATTTCCCCATTGCCAAGTTTCCATGTTTTTCGACTTTTACCTTTTTCTCCCTAAGTAAATAATAAAGATTTAACAAATTTTCACAATTATAAAGAACTAATATTTAAAAAATAATATTATTATGCATTTTGTCTAATATTTTGATATAAATTTTCTTTAAAAAAAAATATTTTTATATAAACCTAACAATTTCAGTCAATTGAAGATAACTCCCACCTATGATTCGATTCAACAAAGTCAATATGAAATCCATTATTTTTTTTACACATTTGTCTTTTGAATCAAATGTTTAATACAATACAATGGTAAATAAATATGATTTGACCACCCTACCATTTATTATCTATCCTATCGAAATATATCTTGATCAAGAAAAGTAAATTTTTTTTTTACTTTAAAAATAAATTTAATCTATATTTTTTAACATATATTAATATTAAATATCACCTTCAATCAAGTATTAAATAATATATATTAAATAAGATAATATAAAATTATGAAATTAGTTTTTGTTAAAAAAGAAAGTGATCTATAACTTGTGACAAATAGATAAAAATAGAAAAAAGAAGATAAACTTATCCTCGTAGAAAGAAAGGAGTATATTTAATGTAGTAATATTATAGTGATTAAGTTGATCCACATTTATAGGATAATTATTTAAATTCATTATTATAAGAAGATAAGTGTCTGATAATGTTATTTTGGAAAAATTTACGTAGAACGGATCCATGGCACTACTCATGGATCAAATCAATCAAAATAAGGTTTTTTATTAAAATGGGGGTATTTTTGGTTTGATAACGAGCGTGACTACAAACCCGGCAAGTAATTTCCTATTGTTTTTTAAGGATATCTATTATTTTTTAAAGATATGAATAGTTTAAATTTTTTGAAATTTGAATTTGAGTATCTCCACTTTTAAAATATTAACCAATCAATAAAAATAATTAGTAGATGTCCAATTAGCTAATTCAACAATCTTGTTATCAAGAATTTGAACTTTCCTACTAGATTATAAAATAATTTTTCTATTCTGATTTGTTTTTTTTTTTTTAAAAATTTGTCCAAGCTAAAATCTGATGCAGGCATATGGAACAAGTTGAAGCTGAAGTACAGTAATAAGGAAATATCTCTGCAATTGTCAAATTTGTCGTTAGATGATAAAAGAGCTCACATGAAGAACGAATCTAAACCCTTACCCCATATGATGGAGACTGGTATGGAATCTATTTGAATTTAGAATCAATGTATAATAAAAAAACAAAACTGAATATTAAAGAGACATCACCTGGTGTTGATACCATAAAGAATCTCTTCCACACACTGCTCTTCTATCTACTTGTCGTTCATTTGCATTTTTTGTGCCATTGATTTAGGCAGACCACTTTTGCGTGTTATGATAGCTTAACTACCATTCTTTGTCTGGTGGCATATACAACAAACTTAGTTGAAAATCGGTTGCTCTCAATAAATAAATAATAATAACTTATTTTGAATTTCCAAACAAAATTTTCAAATATAGTACAAGAACGTATCTGATTGTCATTAGGGAATCTTTTTTTTTTTTTTCTGAGCTGGTTTATACAACCCACAAGGAATTAGAAATGTATCAAAAAGACTAAAATTAATGTACAACTACATTTTTAAAATTTTCTGGAAATTATCGTAAATTTAGATCATCAATTGCTTTCAAATGTATTTCAAATATAGTAACAAGAACGTAGGTGGATATTAATTTATATAGAAACAAGGTATCGTGTCATATCAAAGCAACTTGTTTATATAAACTTCTCAACTTTCCTTCGTCATGTCTGATGTCTACCTTGAATAGATTATTGTAGTTGCGTGTTACAAGTCGGCCACTGTGGACCTATCTGATTTCATTTCATACCAAATTCTTGGATTAGGGAGTGCAGTAAGGAATTCCAAATACCCAAAAAAAAAAAAAAAAATATTTCATACCAAATTCTGGATTAGGGAGTCAGGTAAAGGATTCCAAAAATACCCAAAAAAAAAAAAAATCGAGAGAAGAACCGATCTTCAAAGAGAATGATTTGGAGTTCTCTTGAAAATTGGAATTTATGTAATATGAAGATAATTTTTTTGAAACAGCTAATTCAAGTATAAAAATAATGTAACTTTATGTGATTTGTTGAGAACCTGAGGCCGCTAAGGGAGCAATACAATCAAATCAAATTCAATTATTTATTTAATATTGGGCTTATAATGGTTGGGTTTGACTTTAACAACAAAATAACACTAACCATTTTAATATTGGTTTACCTTTCACATTAATAGTCTTTTTACTTAATTGTATTTATTACGTTGGGATTACCACGTAGACCTTCAATTATTTATTTAATATTGGGCTTATAATGAGTTGGGTTTGACTTTAACACAAAATAACATAAACCATTTTAATTGGTTTACCCTTCACATTATATGTCTTTTTACTTAATTGTATTTATTACGTGGGATTACCCACGTACTCCAACAGTGATATTATTTTAAGATTTTTACGCATTATGGGTTTTCGGTGCTAGTCAAACCTTCAAAAGCGTTTGATTTTTGCCTCTCGTGTAAGCAAAGGAATTGATTTGTTTAAAGATTCTTGAGCATGCGTCAAATTTTAGTTCAACTGAGATCTTCATGGATTTGTTGCAATAATTGGTACTGCAAATTAATAAAACTTAATTTTTTTTTTCTCCATAAAGAAAAAGTGTCTTCTGGAGTGTCGTTTCAGCAACATCAAACTCTGATCGATGAACAAATAGAAACTCTCTCGTTGTTATTACAAATTGAGATAATTTCGTAAGGTTGAATCCACTTGTCCACTGTTATTTCAGTGAAAAACATTTATAGAGAGATTGAATGGAGAGTGTAGTTTTTGAGTTGCAGATACAGATGAATGGATATTCATCTTCTTGTGGTCAAGTTGTTGACAGAAGGACGACGAGAGCGATACATGTAACGACATAATCAGCCGCTTTTCTTTGCTTACTACAATGACCATTATGGAAATTATTTTGCTGGTCTTGCAAGTTGCGTGGTGGAGCACATTGCTACATGTGGTCGGTCCGAACACTTCATTTTCATATCCAACATAAGAATATTTATATAGAAAGTGAAGTTTTTCTTAGAAAAGTATCCAAAAAATTGTAGGACACCAAGAAATATCTAAACCATAAGTGCATTTAGCCTGATAATTTATCAAGGTTTGAATCTCCCCGTTAATATTAAAATATATATATATATATATATAATTGTAGGAAAGACAATAAATTAATTACAAAGCATTCTTTTTCACAATCAATTTGGATTCTAAAAGACTAACCCTATTATGGGGAATAGAAGACTCGTATATCATGTAAATTTAATTTTCATATATATTTTTTTTATTTTAACCATTCGGCATCTAAAGTCTACTAATCCAACTAATTCAGTCACATCTGGCAAGTCCATTAAAGGGTAAAACATTCTCTCTGGGTATTTTCATCGGGAGGTTAGTTTTCGTATTTTATTTTAATTAAATAGAAAGCATGCAACCCACATATAGAATTAAGAATAAGACACATTTCTTCATAAAAATCAGAACAATTTTGTGAAGTCGTATGAAATATCAACCTATATAATTCACTCACATTATCCCTGAAGCCCGTTTAAAAAGTATTTCTGATGTTAAAAATGTGTTATATTTTCATGTCATTTTTTAAATGTAAAGCATGATGGATTACTATTAAGGGCAAAACCAAGATTTAAATTTGAGGGAGGCAAATCTTTAAAAACAATGAGATCTAAAGGTCCCAAATTTACTCCTATCCCCACAATCATTTAAGAGATACTTTTGCTATTTGACTTGCTTAAGATTTAAGGACCAAGTGCGGTTGATGTGTACTCTATTATTTGTTTCTTTGTTCTTTTTTACTGCGATGGGCTAATTTACAAGAAAAGCATAATCGGGCTGGGATCACATTGGGGTTGGGCCGATGAATGGAGGTCCTAAACCCATATGGATCCAATAAGAAAATTAGCCCACTTAATACAAAGTCCAACAGCATTCTTGGTTTCTTGGTTGGTTTTAGAGACATCTCTATCCGCAATGCGCATATGCTATTCCCTTCAAAATAGATCCTCCGTCTTTGCCGTTTCACTTGAAAAATACCCAAAACCATCAAATTCTGTCACTCGCCATTAGCCACTGGCAGAGGTCCCGCCTCACCTTTTCGTCGACACACACTCATCAGCGAGTGTTTGCTAAATTCAATCAGGTTTACCTATCTCTCTCGCTCTTTATATGTGTTTTTATTTTAGGTCTTAATCTAGGGTTTTCATATGTGAATACTTTGGCATTTGTGTTTTTTAGAGGTCCATTTTGATGGAAGTAGGAGAGAGCGTATTGGATGCAATATATGAAGAAGGCGACGAATTACAAGACATTGAAGATGTTGAAATGGTTGACTTGGAGGAAGGAGAGCTGGTCGACCAAAATTTACACATTAATTTGGGGCAGAGCGTCACCGAGGGCGGGCGTGATAGTGTCGGAAATCAAGATTCCCAAAGCAAAAATCGCAAGCGCCGTTCAAACAAGAAGAGGAATAGGAAAAGGAGAGGTGGTGCAGGGCAAGGTGTTACAAATATAGACAAGTAAGTTTTAAGAGTTCGACTTGTAATTTAAGTTTCTTTATTGCTATTGAGGAATTGTTTATTTTATCTTTCTACTGTTTTTGTATCTAAATATGATTGCTATTCTTTCCTCGCAGGTTTGTGCTAGATACATGTAGACGGCTGAAAGAGAAAAAATCCTACATGTTATATACTGCTGTAGGTATTTTGGGGATTTCTGCTTTATCTGATCTGGTGAAACAGGTATTTCCAGGGAAAAATAAGTTAATTTGATTCTTTTATGTAAAGAGCAACATTGTATTGAGCTAAGTTTGATCACTGATTTTATTAGCTGGATACTGACTTGATGTTTCAAATAAAAAATGCATTCCAAGACTTCTTTAGATGACAATGTGGATTCCCTGTGATACTTTCATCCCTAGCAGAACAACTGTAGGTATCGTTAGTGTGTAGGTCTTGTGAGATGCTTTCTTGCATCTTCTTGTTCTAAGAATGTGTATTTATCCCATTGTCGCAAACATTTTTCTTCAAAGCATTTTGTTTTTCCCCAAAATGGGTTTTCTCTAGTGCTGTCACCGATGTCTGGAAATATTCTTACCTTATTCCTGCACATATTGCCTCCTTACAGCCCCATGGCAATATTATCTTTAGATACAAACCACCTCCTTCCTTTTTTTTTTTTTTTTTTGCTTCTTACCTTATTCCTGCACATATTGGCTCCTTACAGCCCCATGGCAATATTATCTTTAGATACAAACCAACCTCCTTCCTTTTTTTTTTTTTTTTTTTCCTTCCTTTTTTTTTTTTTTTTTGGACAAGTTGGTTCCTGATAGAAAAGGTGAGAATTTGGACTTGGACTGGCTCAAAGCCAGCGATGCTTGTCCCTTCTAACTGAAGCCATTCTGAATATCTGATGCTGTATATTTCTTCCCTACCCTTGCAGATTTTCATCGCAAAAGCATTTTGCCGCTTCGAATTTTGTGCTCTGAGATGACATATAACTTGGCTGAACCACTGCATCATTTTCTCTTTGCGTAGGTTATTTTATGTTTCTTTTGTAAGTTTTATATTCACCCAATTCGCATACCAGTTTTTTTTCATCATCCCTATAGATTTACATATATTAAACAGACAACCATAGGAATAGATGCTTTTATGTTCTTTTCTTCTTTGTTTATGCAGATGAAATGATACTTTGATTTGTGATTGAATGTAGCTTGTCAATTTCATATTATTATGTTAATGAGTGTTTATGCATTTCGAATTGACTCGAAGTTTTGTCATGATATAGTGTGAGTTTTACATATCCTTTTGCTTTCCTTTTAGGTCTTCATACTCAATCCAATAAAATTTTTATTTACAGTTATATAAAAGTTGAAATATATAGACAAAAGCTTACATGTTTGCCGGAGGTTTTGTGATTTGGTTCCCATAATTTTATGTATCGTGCTTGTACTTCTATGGACTGATAGAGCTTGTTCTCCACACATTCTGAGGAAATGTAACTACCATTTATTATTGCTTGGCTGTGTTGCATAAAAATAGCAATCTTTTAGTTATCTGGTTCTTATTAATTTTCTATGATGCCAATTACTTGCCCCATCACATTGACAGTATCCTCAATGTTGTTGCCTTGTTGTATGCTTTGTTTATTTTTAGGAGTAGGATTGTTTGTTTTGGTGGACATGCATCCTAAAATATGAAGGTTTCAGGTGGACGCAATTCAGTCTTGTGGAGGGCAGATGACTGCCGATGGCAGACGATCTAGAACAGGAGGTGGGATTCTATGGAACATCATGAAAACGAAAGAACCAACGGCCTATAGAGAGATAATGAAAAAGTCCAAGGAATTTGAGGTATGTGCCTGTAATATACCTGTAAATATATTGAAACTATACCATCTAAGTAGGCTAGGCTGATGTGACTTCCCTTCTGTGTGTATATTGTCCTTTTTGGTCAATCTCAATAAGATTTTTCATCTTTTATGATCTGCAACGCTTTGTATTGCATTATACTTGTTCACTTTTTACTTCTTAAAGTGGGTTTACTTTTTTTTTTAAAAATTTTTTCGCAGAAGCAATTTAAGCGACAAAATATCCAGCGAGCACCAGAGAAAAAGGAGGCTTCCTCTCAAGAAGCTGCATTAACTGATGGGACTCAATCCAATGTTCCGGATGATTCTATGCTTGATTGTCAAAATCAGCATGAAAAGTCCAGTTATGAACAGAAGCACAGATCTGTTCGTGATAGGATCAGGGCACCCGTTTCCTATGATGACCTACTTGGAGATGATCCAAAAAATGATTCTGCTTGAATTTTGGGAATGCTTTTACTTTGGAGGTTTTTTATTTTTACTTTGTGGACACGAATATCTTTTTAGGCTGCGAAATAGAAAATTTCTACCCATCTTTTATAGGAGGAGAATTTACTGAGAGTACGATAATGGCGGCTGAGTTACATAATTTTTCAATTGAAACTTTTGGTCTCAAATTCTATCTCCAGTTGCAACTTTAATATTTTACTATAGCTAATTGTCATATACAATTTTGCAGTTGAAATATATAACAATCCTTCATACATGCAAGGCCGATAAGGCAATTGACTTGGTTCCAGAGATGATGCTAATGTATATGGCTACGCATCTTGTAGTTACTGAGCATTTGCAGTTAAAATATATTTTACTATAGCTTATTGTCATCTTGATGGGGCTCGATTCTTGTGAAATTTTCTGATAAACGTAACCATTTTTAGATGTAGTTCAGGCATTCAATCCTGAATCCATTTGTTCCATTGCCAGTCAACGGAAAGCGAAAAACTTTTTTTTTTAGATATTTAGTATTTGGCTACGCATCAAAGTCAGGAGGAAATTTATATGGTTTCTCAAACTTTAAATAGCCAACCATATTTCTAAATATATAAGCTGCAGCAAAGAGACTGGAATTTGGAAGGTAATAATACTCAAAAACAAAATTCTAAAAGGTAAAATCTCGCCGTTGCTTCTTACGTAGGAAGAGGCAAACTGCGGTACAATCATCTACTTTGGAAGCAGGATACTTCTTCTTCCATGCGGCTGTTGCTGCATCCACTACCGCCTTTGCTGCTGCCTGTTCACTCTCCGCAGCCCACACGATGGATGCAACTTGTTCGTTACTAAGCACATCCCACACCTGTAATACCCAATGAAAACTAACATTTACAACCATTTTGAAGGGAGAGTTTCAAAACTTTAAAGATATTAATTAGTAAGTTTTAAACATTTTTTATTTAATTTTTTTAATAACAATTGTGCTGAGTCGAGTAGGGGCCGAAGGAGGGGACTAGGGGAGCGCAAAACAATTTTTTATTCTTTGATTTGGCTCCTTTTAATTTTGAAAATTTTCTTTTGGCTCCCTTTAATTTTGGATTCTGTTCCGATCGAGTCAAACACAAATTCAGAGTTTCTCAAATATTCCTTCCATTGAATATTATTGATTTGACTCTATTTCATTATGCGTCCTTAGATTATAATTTACCCATGATACCATTTAGTGAAAAAAGGCTTACCCCGTCGGTTGCCAGAATGATGAACTGGTCGTTAGATGTTAGTCGGCGGTAAGAGATCTCCGGCAAAGCAATAATTCCATGATTTTTGAGTAGGAAATCGCCAAAAGCTCGAGACATGGCAAGCCCTGGAGAGTCTTCATGGGGTAGCCACACTCTATGAATATGTGGTTCTTCCTTCAAGGCAAGTACTCGACCATTGCACTTCCTTATTCTATCTGCTTCACCTGAAATCAAAATTACAGGTCGACACTTGATCCAAGACCCACTTTTCAATTTTTTTAACTCATTTTCTATCGAATTACCAAAAATAAGAAATTTCTTACTTGGTACATTGGGCTTCAAATCTGTGGTTAATTGAACAGGCATGATTTTGTTCTCATTTATTGTACCTAACACTGCTCTTGAGTCTCCAAGATTAGCTATGGCAAGATCTTTACCCTGTTAAAAAAAAAAAAAAAAATTAAAACAATAAAAAAAGATAAGAAATATCATAAACATAAATTTATCATAAATTGCAGATTCTTTTTATTTTTATTTTTTTGAAATCTTGATGATTACCTGTCTCATAACAATTACTGCTGTGGTTCCACTGCAAGAGCAATCTAAGTTCTCTTGAAGCTTGACTTCCTTGTCCATAACCTTGAAAGCATTAATACAAGCCTCTTTCCATATATAAAAATTGTTGCTTGGTACTAAATCATCTTCAACTTTCTCATTTTTGCTATCTACAACTGTCTTTGTCTTAGCCAGGACATTCCTTTGATTTAGTAACAGTAATGGCAATCCGTTTCTGACAATCTTGCTCACAATATGACCATTCTTTCCATGACCGTCAAAAACTCCACAGAAAGCTCCACCTTCTGCTCCATAACCCTTTTAAATTAAAAAGAAAAAGAAGTTTCAATCAATAAAAACTTCAAGAAGAGAACAGAGAAGGCAACCTGTTAAGTATTTAACTAACCTGATGAAGAATAGCAGAATCTTGGTTTAACCCTTTGCTTCCTTCTTTAGAGTAAAGAGAACCAAGTCCTTGAAAAGCAATATTTTCTTCTATGTATACAGTAACCTTTTCAAGGCTATCTTCTGCCTGGTGAATCTCTGAAGATGCAGAGGATATGCAGATTCCCATCTCAACTTGTACAAGTTTTATTATTTCTGAACCAACTTATTGAACTCCAATGACTAATGAATTAGTCTTCTTAATCTTGAATTTAAGGACCCAAAATGCGCATGTTAGCCAAGTAATAATTATAATAAATAGGTGCTTAGAGGTGGCTCCCAATAATCTGAAAACACAATCTTGTGTTTATTTTTTAATGTTATCTGTTATTTTAGACTACCTCAAGATTCACTTAAAGAGGCAAGCCATGTGTAAATGTAACTTTGTAGAATTAGTATCTTAAGGCTCTTTATTTTTCTATATTAAGTTATTCTTTTAGTGTTTATATAACTAATATGAGCTTTCTTGAATTCTTTAGCTGAATTATGTAACCAAAATTATTGCTACTTTCAAGGGTGGAAATAAAAAAAAAAAAATAGAGTTGACTCTTGACCAACTTGATGCACTTTCTAAGGACCACAACAATTGGAATTAGTTAAAATTTTTTTAACATTTTAGACAAAGTTATCAAAAGATGTAAACAAGATGGTGGCCTAGTTAAAATATTACTTTTAAGTCTTAGCTCTTAATCCTAGTATTATAGAGGGGAATTATGATTCAGAATACCCATAAGCAAGCATGGAACCAAAGCAAAAGGTACCCTATATCAAATGGCGCTAATGTATAAATTTAATCTTAAACTTGGAGCTATTATTTTTATGGCCCATTGAATTGCGAGGGTTCAATATAATCCTATACTTTTATATTTCAATAATAATTATATTCTTCGCTAAATTGAAATATCTTTACAGAGATTCAATCATGACCTTACATTTTTACATTTTATTTTAACGATGTACATAGTTATTGTTGAAATATGAAAATGCAAAGTCATGATAAGTTTTCCGTAAAATTTAAGAAACCATAAGAATAATCCCTGAAAATATATAATCAAATTTATGCATTACACCATCAAATGTTTCATACTATCAAACGCTTGTAACTTTAATCAAACCATCTTGACCCTATAAACTGTGGACTTTTTTTTTCTCTCTTAAAAGATGAATATTAATAATAATAAATTATCTCTAACTTTAAACATGACTTTACCTTCAACAAAAAAAAAAAAAAAAAAAAAAAATGACCCTATAAACTGTGGACTTGTTTTTTTTCTCGTCGTTAAAAGATGGAATATTATGAATAACTACAATATCTCTAAAAACGTGTTAAGACATGACTGTGGATCACCTATCAAAACAATATACAAAATAAAAATGCGAAAAACCATAAAAATAAGAAAAAAACCGTGTCGTTTTAACAAGGAGTGACTAATCCCATACAGAACTCCCACAGGCCATTGGATCACTATATGTGCAATCCAGAAAAGCCATAGTATCTGAATAGTGGACCGAAGCCAAAGGAATAATTGCGTCAATTATGAATTAATAGGGAAAGATTAATCAATTAACAAAAAATAATGTAATAACCTCTTCTATAATAAAATAAAAATTAAACCAATTAATCTTGAGAATGAGATATTAATGTATTCGGGTTTTTCGAAACCTAACATAGAGGTTAGGGGCCACCTAAGGGTTTTTTTTAAACAAAAGAAATACTAAAAATAATGGTTGACTGCATAAATGTTGAAAAAAAAAAAAAAAAAAAAAAAACTCTAAAAATGAATTACCTCCACTTGATCTATGAATCAGCTATATTAGGAGAAAGAAAATTCCAATATAATAAAGAAATTTAACAAAATATGAATATTTTTAATTAAAAAAATAAAAATATTTTGAATGATATTAATTATTGGTTTTGATACATAAGGTAGGCAAATTTTTTTCAAAAATATAATAGTTGACTTCTATTTGTTAAGGGTATTGTTTAGTGGTGGGTCCTATTCCCCAAATGTGTGGTTATTTTATTGATAATGTTTTATAATTAGCCAACCAATCCATTGACTATATGTGATTGGAGGCTAATGACTGTCATGTAGTTGTTAACTGAAAGCAAGAGAGATTTAGGACTTTGATTATTAGATTATAAAACATACCATAGATTAAAAGTATATGAAATTAGCTTGTAATAATGCATTCAAAAAACATAAAACCAACCCTAATTTAGATATATTAATTAATTTTACAAAGATGATAACCTTAGATTCCCATGAAGGGTTATGTGCCTTGAAAGTTACTCAAAATTTCTTTAATCATATCATTAAATAATCTAATATAGGCAAATTTGTGATATTTGATATTAGATTAATAGTTCAACCATCAAATGTTTGCTGATGTCTTTGAAACTTAAAATTGCAGATATAATTTTTTAGTGTTAGACATAATTTTTTTATTAGATAAAATAATATATAAGAAATAATTTACTTTTCCAAAAAAAAAAAAATATATAAGAAATAAATTTCTCATTGATTCCTTTATTCCACTGAATAATCTGTCTCTTCAATAACGTGGAATTCCAATATAAAAAAGGTAAATTTCTTCTCTATTTTCTACCTTTCTTATCGCATTAGTGGAAGTTTGGATAAGTATAACATCTTATCAAGAATTACAATTTGCTGGCCACGGCTTTCTTTCGGAAAAATAATTTACGGTTTGACAAAGAAAAAAAAAAAAGAAAAAGCCAGGAATTTGAAATTATGAAATTTTTGAAACACTTGTCAATTAAAACTATTCATCTTATGAACTTATTGCGTAATCTTGTAGGTTTTCTTTATCATATTTTATAATTATATTTCACATTCCGAATCTTTTATTGCTTGTGAAAAATATGTGCAGGTTAAAGTTAAGACAGTCTTATAAAATTGCTATAATGTATGGGGTGTCATATTTTTAACTCGTATAAAATTATCCCAACGATGGCCGTAAAAATTTGATCAAGTAGAATCATCAAAATCGTAGATTTTTCAAAGGGTATTCCATATATTTTTTTGGTATGAGCTGCTTCTTTATAAGTGTTTTCTTAGTGGATCGAATGTTTTATTTCAGGATGATCATCAATTCAATTCAAGTGTATCTTATTACTTGTATCACTCTTTATGGATAAATAAGATAGGTCTTTATTTTTCAAGGAAAATATCAATTCTTTGTTTTTAGGTGTTCCATTGAAAATATTATTGGAAACTGAAAGTGGTATGATTAAGATAGGATGGAAAGGGCGAACAAGAACAAGGGGTGACCGTCAAGGTGAATGATATAGGAACGTCAATAATGTCAATCGGCCAGTGAAGCTGATAATCAAGCTATTTGCTAAATGCTAAAATGATAAAGCTGATATTATTGAAACAATAATAGAAATAGATAGCTTAGAAATAAATAAAAGTTGAAGCGAGGTGAAATCAATTAACTTTGCATTTGGATGGAATGAGTTTAAATAATGAAACCTTAAAGTCTTATAGTATAGACTTTCTGTAATTGATTGAATTTAACTTTAATGTGAATAATTGATATATATATGTATATGTACATGCAAATTTTTTTGAGTATATTGAATAACAGGTCCAATTGAGTGTTTTTTTTTTCAATATTTAGATTGAAACAAAAAAAAGATAGATATGTAAATAGATAGATATGTAAATGAGCCAAGTTACTTTTGGCTCGGTTTGAAAAAAACTCTTTTTGATAAGTCTAAGCTTGAACTTGATTTTGAGCTTGAAAATGAGAGAAAAGAATAAATTTTTAATAATGGTAAATTATAAATGAACCGAGCTAGTTCTAGCCGGAGTGTACCTTTATCGAGCTGAAGTCAAGCTCAACATTGATCAGTGTAGCTCGCTTACAGCCTTACAAGGAATGGTAGATTCAAACATCAACCTTTCCCATGCACTTAGCACGGTAGATTGAAACATCAGCCTTTCCTATGCACTTACTGTTAACTTGCGTGGTAAAAGATTGGAAAAGAAATGTATTCTAAGTTTAAAAATTTGCAAAAGTTCTTTTCTAGAAAACATTAGGGTGAATTTGGTATGACATTTCTTTCACATTGCGGGATTAAAGACGTACCTATCTTTCTCCTCTACTTCACATGAACGAGAACCGAATTTCTTGATAATTATCCATTTGAAATTCCATAGAGTTGGATTTACAAACTTGTACAAAAAGACAGTAGAAGGTTTAGGTACACTAAGTATTCTCAGCTGAAGATTCTCACAAACTACTACTAAAGCTCAACAGCACAAAGAACCAGAAGGCTTACACTTTCAGCTGAAGCTTAGTAGCACATAGATAAGAAGCAACATTAACTCATTAACTGACATTTTGACGGTTTTATTGGCTGGATACAGGAACACTATCTTCACCATTTGCTGAATCACCTGCAGGTGATCTCTTTGTTAGAGACTTCGGTATGTCCATGTCATCTTGTGGACAACGTTGTTGAGGGTGGGATAACAGAACAGACAAGTATCGGAGGAGGATACGCAAGCCCTGCCCCGTCTCATAAATGAAACCTTCATACTCACTAACATGTTCAAGGGTGTCAACGAGTGCATCATACACTTCCTGTGGGCAGTTGTCAGGTCCAGGCTTATCATGGAGGTACATCACATCTAATGTGAAGAGTTTCTGGTTTATAGGCCATTGGTGGTGTGGTCGAACAGACGATCTGCAGTAGAAAAGAATCTGACCCAATGCCGTATTGCAACCCATGAGAAATGGAGTGAGAGCACAATGTCAGGATTCATAACGCAGTTGCCACAATAAGAATAAGGAATTGTCAATTAATTGTTGAAATATATAATACGATGACATCCTAATAACATAAAAGGGAAAATGATCTTTCACATTGCGAATGCCTAATGGAAACAAGCTAGATTCAGTCAGCCAGAAATATAAAAAGAGGTGAAGTTCACTGATTGCATAAGTTACAATTTTGCAAAACATTAGATGGACGACTTTAAGCTTGAACTTGTACAAAAAAAAGTGAACCCAAAAAGTATTTACCACTCTTAAAATCCGATTTTGAGCATGCGATTTCTTTGCTTCATGAGCTGCTATGCGGAACAATTGCGTGAGGTCTGCTTGACCACAAGATGAAGTAGCTCCAAGCCTTCTTAGAGCAGTAACTGCGGACTCAACATCACTGCTGAACTCTTTTCTAAGCTACGAGATAACAAAACAACAACTTTCTTGTAAATTAAAAGATCCTTACTTCAGCAAAAATAAACTAATTGACCTTTTTTTAATCCCTATCTAAATTTATAAACTTAATGAATAATGCAATTCATAATCATTGCCAATTTGAAACACCAGCGGACTTTTCCCTCAAAAAAAAAAAAAAAAAAAAAAAAAATTTTTAGATCCCTATCTAAATTTATAATAACTTAATGAATAATGCAATTTCATGAATCATGCGCAGATTTTTGAAACCCAGCGGACTTTTCGCCGTGCAAAAAAAAAAAAAAAAAACAAAAAAAAAAAAAAAAAAAAAAAAAAAAAAAAAAAAAAAAAAAAAGGAGATTGGATAAATAAATCGTACAATGATTATAATGCAATAACACAAAATAGAAAACCTAAACCATCTACTTTTAATTTAGCAGTTCAATCTCGCAAAAGTAAATCATCAAACACAATGCAGGGAATTGAGAGAGATAGAAGGGGATAAAGTAATAAGTACCCAAGAAGCCGATTTAGCAAGAGTCGCGAAAGCGAAGCGGTGATCGGGGTTGATGGAGAGCTTGGTGTTGATGAAGAGAAGAATAGCTTGCTTAATAGAGTCCAATCTGGTGAGAGGTCTTCCAGTAGGGCCGGTAGTTTTCATTTCTACCAGAGACTCTGTGTCTACATCTATGCAAAACAATATGTCCTCGCTGTTTATCCTTGTTGGCTTCAGTGCATATCTCCCTCTTCCTGAACCTTCTGCTGCTTCTACCATCTCCATCTCTCTCTCTCTCTCGTCTCAAATTGCAACGAAAGGAAAGTTGCTGGTGGGTTTTGGAAGAAGAGAAAAGAAATGATAGGCAGCACAGCCTCAAATGCGACAAACGGTGCGTTTGGAAATAAAACAAACACAATTGAAAAACACGAAACGGTGCGGTTTGGAATAAAAACATTTGAAATTAAAACGGTGCGTTTTAGCATCTATGAAATTATTCCTTACTTCTTCTCTCTGGAATCTGGAGACTCCTTCACCATCAATCTATCAGTGATCAGCTTAGCCGTTTCCTTGTAAAACTGAAAAACTGAGAAACTTGGAAGGTGAGAAATGGCATGTTTACATGATCATAGCTGTGAAGATCACGATTGCTCATCTAATTGGTCTCTCTACAAGCACATAGACCTCCCTCAGGCAAATCTCTATATCTCTCTCTCTCTCTCTCTCTCTAATTCTTTTGAATATACGCTTAATCATTTTTTTTTATCTTATCAATTGAATTGGTACTTTGTTTTGAACGATTTATATTTATAATTGTGCGGTTCTGGTGATATCTAAACTTATAATCTCCTTTGGAACTTCAATTACTCTCGATTTGTAATTGCAGATTATTATTGTTTGTGGTTGTGCTCGTTAGGTATCTGCTTTAAACGAAGCTGTTCATGGAAGTGTTAAGTCAGTTTTTAAAGCTTGGGAGCAACGCCTGGACTCTTCTGGGGTATTCCTTTTTTTATTCCTTCTGTAAACATTACTAGCCATTCGAATTTGGAAGGGAGCTTAAAGGCCTTGTTTTCATCTCCTTTTGCCGTTTCAGGAATACTTGGAGAGTAATGAGGGTGATCCAGAGTTACTTGTATACATTCCGTGAGTCAAAATTTCTTTGTACCCTTTATTATTGCATATTAATTATTGTAGATTTGTATATTATTTTATTCGAATCTGGTATCAATAAAAGTAATACTATTCAGTGAATTTCTTGAGGATTTTCAATATTTTCCTATGCATCTTGCTTCTCATAGTATATGTTATTACTAGTTTCTGGGCCTTCAGGTATGATGATTTTCAATTTGAAGAATTACAATGTCTCTTTGAATAAACAAACAAATTGGGAAGTTTGTATTGCCTATTCTTTGACATCTTCTTAGGGCTGTCTGACCATATAAGTTGGAAGGTTTTCTGTTTTCATTATCCAAAAAATTCTATCATTGGTGTAGTTGCAAGTCTTCACTAGAAATTTTATTTTATCCATACTATACTCCTTCTATGTCATTTTCTATTTAATAGGTTTACATCTGATGTCAAGATAAAGAGCATTTCAATTGTTGGTGGGACTGATGGGACGAGTCCTTCAAAGATGAGAGTGTAAGTTCATGTCCTATATTTCTGAGCAGTGCTGTCATTTCTTTAGCTTGAGTAATTTGTTTAGATGTAGCATTATTATAAAGATAAGCTTCCAAACAAGACTTCTGTGCAACACTGATAAGGCATTACCTCCAAGGTTAATTGGCAGTTTTGGCTTTGTCATTGTGGCGATGTGGTTGGGTCATTGCATTTACAGTCATTCCCACCTTATCCAACCCCAGTTACATGGCTGCACAGGATCTTTTTTGCTTTTTTATGTTCTCCCTCTGTCCCTGCTTATTAGTTGTGCTAATTTGTTACACAGAGACCAAATATATGACAAAATGATGTTTAATTTGGAATATTTTTCTCGATGATATTTTTTTGTGTTTTCTCCTCTGTGTTCTTTTATGTTAGGTTCACCAATCGAGATGGCATTGACTTCTCAGATGTCCAAAGTATGCAAGCTGTTCAGGTATCATTTTAATCTTAGTTTGCTGGTGAGTTCTGGAAAAATTCAACAAATGATCATATTTTAATCTTTGTTTCTTTTGCTTTAAGGAGTGGGATTTGGTTGAAAATTTTCAAGGAGTTTTAGAATACCAAACAAGGTAATTATTCCAATTAAGTTTGTTAACATTAGTAGCAATGTGCCATGTTAAGCTGGAAATTGCATTTCTGTGTTACAATTAAGTTTAGCATGATTGTCAGTTATCTGCTAGTTCTTATCCCATGTGTATTCATCTAAATAGATATGCCAAATTTCAAAGTGTGGCAAGTATCACATTGCATTTCCCTGATAATTTCGGTGGAGACACAAGTCGGATACATTATATTGGCTTTAAAGGTGAAGCCACCCAGGTAATATTGCAAAAGGATAAAGCTTGAGCATCATGCCAATCAGGTTCCAGTACCTAGATTGACACTTTTTTCCTGTCTATGGTTAACAGTTGAAGAGGGATGTTGTTGCAACAATAGTTTATGAACTTATGCCCAATCCTTCAGACCACAAGTAAGTATCAATTGCTTTTTTTAGCATATGGTTTGTATTCATAGAATTTTGTGCTTCAACATTACAAGTTTAAATTTGAGATAATAAATCTAAAGGCACGATGCATTCCCTGTTTGGATCTTGTGCAAACACTTTAATACGAGAACAATGGCAATTTGTAGTGGTAGGCAGTTAGTGTTTGATGTAATTGGCCAACATACCATCTTTAGATGAAAACTTTCTATCGTCTGGCTGCCATTTGAACTACTAGTTTGAAGGCATTGAAATGAATACGAATCATGATAAATAAGTATAATCTGAAAGTTTGTTTCATTAGATGCTGACACTATCTATTAGAAGCCTTCTGCACCAGTCTGCTAATTGCTAGATGAGTTGAATCACTGGAATAAACTAAGAGCAGGGACAGATCTATCTAGCTGGTGGTTTGGGGTGCCAAGCTTTTCAAAATTTAATTTTTCACCCATAATATATTTGCCTCCAAAAGATTTTATTTTTATTTTTCATCCCTGTGCAAAAGGTTGAAAGTCTGGTTCCGCATCTGAATAAAAGGCCTCAACTTAAACTGCTGGAGTAACATATTTCATGTATGAAGTTTGTGCATTCCCAAATCTATTTTTAACTGCTAGCCCCCTGTCTAAACAATATTCATATGCATTGCATGTTTAGTTTGAATGCTTATTCACGGAAGTGATGGGTTGTGCAGGACAAAGGCGGAAACGGGTGGAGGTTTTTCACAGGTGGAATGAGAAGCAAGTGATTTAGGATGATTCTTCACTAGGATTGGATCAAACCTTTTGTACATTGATAGTGTTTCAAACCCCTTATTCCCCTCCTCTCCTTTTCCCCTGTTCTCGTAATGCACATTTTGATCTGATTGGGCGATCAAATCTAGCAGTACATTCTCTTTTGCATCAGCTACTGTGGTGCTTGGTTAATGTTGAATTGTTTTACCTACTTATTGACAAGGATCACGTTTCCGCATCAGAATTATTTTATTTTTGTTTTTTTGGGTTGCTTAAGTTTCAACCGGAGATTGTATATGCAACTTTTTAGTCCTACACACGACACGAGTCGCATGACTCTGGTACTACTGATCTCTCACTTCAGTAAGCGTTAAAACCTTTCATTTTCATATTTAAATTTTTTTTCCATAAGCTGGACTCTTTTTGTTTTGTCTTTTAAAACACAGATATCAAGTATAATTTATTTCAAAGGATAAGGTTGGAATTAAAAATGGTGGAGACCAACATTTTTCTTTTGGTTCGATTGAATCACTGAGGCAATGTATATTGTATACATCCAGAGCCGTGATTATACTGATTATGAAAGTGAAAATAAAAGTTGTCAACATAATATGCATTTACTGAAAAACCTAAAATTTGTGTATTCTAAAGTTGGAAGTTCGTTAATACTTTTTAATACTACAGGAGAAAAAAAAAAAAAATCTGATGCCTATCTTTCAATTCTCTTTCTGTTATTTCTATTTAATTCAGATGGAAATTTAAACATGTAATGCAGATTTATAATATTACCTTTTTTTTTTTTTTTTTTTTTTTCTTTTGGTTCGATTGAATTCACTGAGCAATGTAATATTGTATACATCCAGAGCCGTGATTATACTGATTATGAAAGTTGAAAAATAAAAAGTTGTCAACATAATATGCTTTTACTGAAAAACCTAAAATTGTGTATTCTAAAAGTTGGAAGTTCGTTAATACTTTTTTAATACTAAACAGGAGAAAAAAAAAAAAAAATCTGATGCCTATCTTTCAATTCTCTTTCTGTTATTTCTATTTATTCAGATGGAAATTTAAACATGTAAGCAGATTTATAATATTACCCTTTTTTTTTTTTTTGAGAATAAGATAGATTGAAGGATTTGAATCCCCCTTTTTTTTTTTTTTTTTGAGAATAGATAGATTGAAGGATTTGAATCCCTATAATATTACCTTTTACACTATGAAACAGTTGGTAATATATAATAATACTATATATGCACACTTAAAAAAAATCCAAGGGTATCCAGCATATGTTTGCGTGTAGCCACTTTATCTTTATTTGATTTATTTTGCTCTTGTTTTTTCACAAAAAGGCGCGGCTCACATTTCTCAAGAAACGCTAGGGTTTAAGCTCTTTTTCTCTGCAACTTGGTTACTTTTTACAAATACTACTTGCCAATCCACTAGGGTTTAAAGGAGAAAAAACCAATTTCAGTAAGCCACTGCCTCTCTCTCCCCTCTCTTATTTTTTTTTTCCATGTTTTGATCAATATTTGATTTTTGTTTGAACTATTTTCCTGGGAAGTCAATGACTTGCTATTAACTATTAGAGTACTTACGAATTCGATTATGGTATTTTATGACTAACAAAAGAATTATTTTTTATAACTGAATTATCTTATTTGGTGATTAGAAGGTGTAGGAACTTTTTCAAGTGTAGTATTTGGACGCGAAAATGCAGTCTTGCAGTGGAACTGCTGTTATGGGTTCTATACAACAGCCTGCTTGGACCAAAGGGTCACCCCTCCTTCAAAAAAGGTTCGGTGTTATTGGGTTTCCACATCAGATTAAGCTCAATTCGGTGAAGCCTTGTAGATACGTCAATATTGAAGGGAGCTTGGCCACTGGGAGGCCACCCTCTTCTGTGTCTGTCCCTGAAGTTGGAGGTAGATTGAGTCTGCTTCAATTCTTATTGTGCTTCTTTTGTCTTCTACCTTCTTTTGTCTTCTACTAATGAATGATGATCACTTATTAAGTTGTTTCTTGTGTGTTCTGTGGCTGGGATAGTTTTATTTTGTACTTTTTTTTAAAATATTTTTTTTTGTGCTGGAAATATTTCTCAATGTCTATGTAACAGGAGATGCCAATATTTGTTTCGGTTGAAAATTCTTGAGCTTCCAGGGGCAAAAGTAGAAACAGATTTTGATTGTGAATTTGTGTTGAGTATTCCACTCCACAGTTATAAATTGTATAGCGTGGAGATTTTATTTAATATACTTAATCTGCTTTTATTGTTTATATGTCTTCCTAATATTTGTTAATAAAATGTACAAGTGTAGGTTATGTGCTATCTTGTTGAGTTTAAGTGTTTGAAACATGACCTTACCTGACGTTAGATGCTTATAAGATTACTGGAGTATACAATTTTTGTCACGTGGTATGTCCAAAAGGGAGGGAAGAATCATAGCCATTATGATGCTAGCAGTGAGCCATCTTAATAAGACCAAAATGACAGCTGAAAGCAGCTTACAAGGGAATCCACACATAATATTAACCTCTTTTTTGCTTCGAACTGTATCATTGCCTAATAAGTGGCAAGATTTATGCCATCCTTAGATCCTTGCACTTTGTGGATGAAATTTTATGTTACTATGTTTAGGTGGCAGTAGTAGTTTTGTAGATTATGGTCTAAGTGAAGCAGATCCTGAAGTGCGTGAAATTATTGAGAAGGAGAAGAATAGGCAGTTCAAAAGCCTTGAATTAATTGCCTCAGAGAATTTTACATCCCGAGCAGTGATGGAAGCAGTTGGCTCATGCCTCACAAACAAGTATTCTGAAGGACTGCCTGGTAAAAGGTAAACATGATTCATTTAATTAAGTTGTGTTGTGTCCCTTTTCTTTTGTTGGAAATTTACAATTAAATATGGCTAAATAATCTTGTTTTACATCTTAGATACTATGGTGGCAATGAGTACATTGATGAGCTCGAAACTCTTTGTCAAGAAAGGGCTTTGGCTGCTTTTCAATTAGATGGAAAGAAGTGGGGCGTTAACGTCCAACCATTGTCTGGTTCTCCTGCTAATTTTGAGGTTTACACTGCACTCCTTAAACCGCATGACAGGATAATGGTAAAAAGTTTTCTTCTTTACTATTCTAATTTGTTCATTATATAATGTGATGGTTCCAGAAATCAGAAATCAGAAATCCTCACGCTTTACATTTGCTAACTTAGGGCTTGGACTTACCTCATGGAGGACATTTGTCTCATGGGTTCATGACTCCTAAAAGAAGGGTATCTGGCACATCAATTTATTTTGAATCTATGCCATATCGACTTGATGAATCTACAGGTGATGCATTTATAACGTCAGATTTTCTTGGGAGGGAATGGTTACTCATATTTGTCTGGTGGTACATTAATAATCTCTAAACATTACCTGCAGGCCTGGTTGATTATGACATGCTTGAGAAAACAGCTAATCTCTTCCGACCAAAGCTCATTATTGCTGGTGCTAGTGCTTATCCTCGAGATTTTGACTATCCTCGCATGAGGAAGGTAGAGGTTACATGTAGTTAACTTTGGTTACTAGCTTTACCTTTAGAGAATAATTAATCATATCAATATCAATTGGAAGATTGCAGATGCTGTTGGCGCTTTTCTCATGATGGACATGGCTCACATAAGTGGACTTGTTGCTGCTTCTGTGGTTGCTGATCCCTTTCAATATTGTGATATTGTGACCACAACCACTCACAAGGTTAGTTCCATGTGACAGACAACTTTAGAAGAGTTCTCTTACATGGTATCATAACTGTCTGTCTTTGTCTGAGAGTCCACTCTGCCCAGTCTAACAAAGTATGTAGCATCTGCATTTTGTGTCGATATTAATTAAGGGTGATTTCCTGGGAAGTCTATTGCCAATGGATTATCAAGTTTCATACTACCTGTCAAAATTTATTTTCTCTCTGTTATCTGACCTGCACATTCACTAACCTGAGACACTCTCATGTTTCTCTTCAGTCTCTACGGGGTCCTAGAGGTGGCATGATCTTCTTCAAAAAAGATCCTGTCCTTGGAGTTGATATGGAATCAGCCATCAATAATGCTGTTTTTCCAGGCCTACAGGTTAGTTATTAACCATGCTGTCTGAATTTCATATAGGTTATTTGCTTCTGTCGAGTTCCATTTCCACCCTAACTCACTCGAGCTTTGGCGCTATATGAAATTGTTGCAGGGTGGTCCTCATAACCACACAATTGGGGGACTAGCAGTTTGTCTGAAGCATGCACAATCCCCTGAGTTCAAAAATTATCAAAAGCAGGTGATGTATAATCATGACTATGCTTTGGTCAGAGGTGTGTTGTAATCCATCTAATTTAGTTAAATTATTATATGTTGTAGGTCATCTCCAACTGTAGAGCTCTTGCAAAGCGATTGGTTGAATTAGGATATAAACTGGTTTCTGGTGGGAGTGATAATCACCTCGTTCTTGTAGACTTGAGGCCACTTGTGAGTTTCTTGTTTCTTCGTTGTTTCTGCGCTTTCTTTTACCATTGAATTGGTATAGTTTCAATTGTAAAATCTAGTTATGCCAGCACATGTCGTGTCAAAATGTAGTATGGGATATAATGAAAATGGTCCAATTTTTAGAAAAATCCTTGCTTCATATGTGACCCAATAAGACAGTTAGATCGCTCATAGATTCAGTGACTCACTTCTTTTGCACAAGCACATTGAAATGTTCTAAGAAGTAAGATGATTTTCCACAATTGGCAATAATGTCATGAATCAAACTGTTCCAGTGTTTCTGCATGATATTCAGGGAGTGAAATATTCTTTCCATTTTCATCGTGTTGAGAGCAAATAACATGCGCTGACAGGGCATTGATGGAGCTCGGGTGGAGAAAATTCTTGATATGGCATCAATTACACTCAACAAAAATTCAGTTCCTGGTGAGCTTCATCCTCTGGACAAGTATTTTATTTTGGTGTTTGTCTTGCCTTCGTTGCTATCTCTGTGCTTACGCCTGCTAATGTTGAACTCCATAGGCGATAAGAGTGCTCTAGTTCCTGGTGGCATTCGCATTGGATCACCTGCTATGACTACCAGAGGATTCACTGAGAAAGAATTTGTAGCTACTGCTGATTTTATTCACGGGGGTGTGCAATTAACAATTGAAGCGAAAAAATCAGCTCCGGGATCAAAGCTTCAAGATTTCTTGAAGTTTGTTGCATCTCCTGACTTCCCGATGATGGATAAAGTGTCAGATCTCCAGGCTAAAGTTGAAGCCCTTACAACTCAATTCTCTATTCCTGGAGTATGAATATATGGCAAAAATACGTAGGTTGCTGTTATTAATTTCTGGAATATGATTTATAAGTTTATATTTAAGCTTAAAGTATCTACAGCATATTAGGAGAACAAGAATTGGAGAATAATGCTTTATATATCTCCACTGATCATGCAAGGACATAGGTATCTTGAAAGGCAACAATGTCATAAATTTTTTTGGCTTTTCTATATATATGAGCTAATTTTAACTTATGCTTCATGTGTATGTTTAATAAATTTGTATGAAGAAAAGGTTGAATTTTTTAATTGCTAAAATTTATGTTTTTATTGTTTAATATTTATATGAACCAAAAAAAAAAAAAAAAAAAAAAACCAAAAAAAAAAAAAAAAAAAGAAAAAGCAAAACGTCAAACCTTAGAAAATATGTATTATAAAAACTTAGAAAATATGTATATAATCACAGAAATTTAACTTGAGGCCTGTCTTTTATTAGTATTATTTTTAAAAAAGAAATATAAAAAAAAAAAAAAAAAAAAGAAAAAGCAAACGTCAAACTTAGAAAATATGTATATAAAAACTTAGAAAATATGTATATAATCACAGAATTTAATTGAGGCCTGTCTTTTATTATTATTATTTTTTTAATAAAAGAAATATTTTGGAATAGCAGAAGGATTTTACCTCTCTTTTTTTTTTTTTTGGGGTACAAATGAAAGAAAGATAAATTTTTTTTGAAAAGAAGGATATTTCGAGAGTTTGGACAAAATTTTTTATTAAAGGACGAGAAATATTCCATATTCCAAAATAAAAGGGCAAACACAAACATTAAATATGTACTAGGATATATTTAAATAGAAGAAAAATATGAAACAGAAAACAGATCATTAAAAAATATTACTATTTTTATTTGGAAAGAGTTAAAAAAAAACATTTATTTGTTTTTTAAATTTTTTGTTCATATTAGAAGGAAAAATAAAAAAAGAAAGTAGATAAATAAACTAATGAAAGAAAATATTATTATTTTTTTCTGTATCCAATCATAAAAAAATAGTTTTTCCGATTTTTTTTTTTCCTCTTTATTTTCTTTCCGTTTTTTTTCCCCCCTTTTAATCCAAAAACATTGCAAGAGTTGTTTAGCTGACAATTTATTTGTTACCTACTTTTCCCAACACGGCGTCGTTTCGCTTATTCACTTCTCGGAGCACAAAACCCTCCAGTCGCACCTCTCCGTTGCCGCCTCACGCAAAGCCAACCCGTTTCTCCTCTCCGTAGCCTCTCCAATCTCCATATCGGCAAACAGGTGAGTATCTAAATCTTAGGGTTTCCTGGTATGACGACTTCTGTTTATACTGTTCTAGTTATATTGTGCTTCTCGACCTATATCATGTTAACATATTCTGGATCCTGTTGGGCTCTTGCTTGTATTGTTCTTTTTCTTTTGATTAGTTTGAGCTTTCATCGAAGTTTAGTTTTGGAAATTCTATAGCTTTTTTCGAACTATCTTAGCGTTTGGTTGTCGAGAAAATGCGGTTAAGAATTTAGAAGACTAAACCTTAGACAAATTAGTTGTGTTAATCCCAAAATTTGGTTGTTAATATTAGAGTCTTCCAATAATTTGCTCTAAATTGGTTGCCTGAGTAAATCTACCTGTTCTGTTGTTGTTTTCTTCCTTACTCATTAACAGTGGACGCTTACAGAAAGCTTAATTTTTTAATTGGTTTGAATTTTCAGATTGATTCAATATGCCCAAAAAGAAAACTTCAAAGGCAACCGAGCAAGCAGAAAAAGAAGCCACTGTAGTAGAACCAGAAAAACCATCGTTAACGCCAAAGAAATCGAGTAATGAGATTGATGAAATCTTCTCTGGGAAGAAGAGGAAGAAACCTGAAAAAGAAAAGAATGTTAAGGCAAACGAAAATGAAACTGAAGAGCCAAAATTGTTGAAGAAGAAAAAGAAGTCCAAAGAAGATAAAGAGGGAAGGTTTACCAATCTGCCTTCTAAACCTCGAAAGAAAACAGAGGATGGTCTGACCGTCTATACAGAAGAGGAATTAGGTATTAGCAATTCCAATGCTGGAGGTACCCCACTTTGCCCATTTGATTGTGATTGTTGCTTTTGATGATTCTTAGGTATAACTGCTTGGATTTAATGAACCTACTGAGATTTTGTTCTGGTTTTTTAATTCTCATTTGTGATTGTGGAATTTGTAGTTTATGGGAAATTTTGTTTGAAGTTCTACTTTTCTCTTCTTGTACACTAGAATCAGATTAAATGAAAAATATTCAATCCATGCTACATGGTACTTCTAAACTTCTCTATTACTGGAGTTGTTTTGTTGCTTTGAAAATTCTTAAAAGTGATCGACCACTGGCTGATCCATCTTCATAAATTCCTTTCAATAACATGGTACTTGGTTGGCAAAAGAACGCAGGGTATTGGGGAATAAGTTCTTCATTTGGTAGCCTCATGTTCTCACATGAGAATATGAAAACTAATGCAATGCGTATTTGGAACATTCGCTTGAAAAAAGTTGCATCTATAAGCACTTCTTGAGTGTAGATTATCAAGCTCAGGCCTTCATTCTTGCAACTTCAAGTTGCTCGTTGCTCCTATGAATTCACCGAGGGGTATTATAGTTGGTGTGTATTTTCTGTTTTCGACCAGATGAACTAAAAACAAACTAGTGCCAATTCCAATAGTTTCACGACTTCTATAATGTTTATCCATCTGTAGTTTGTCCATACATAAATTTGATGCATTTTCTCTCAACAACCCGTTTCTAATTTTATTTCCTTTCAACACCCAGTTTACTAGAGATACTTCCTGTTGGTTGAGGTAGCAATTGCAAAATGCAAATCTTCATATTCATTATAAAAGGTTGCCCAAGAACTGGGCACTTTGGTAGTTTCATTTTACAATTATGGCAATGGTAACTAATGCATTCCCCACTTGTATAAAACTTTGTATGAATTAATGGGTAAATGTTTAGCTTCTTTTTGAGTCTCTTTAATGTTGGTTCCTACCATACTGTTATGTAAAATTATGGTTGTACTTGAATTTGGTTTTTCATTGGATATGCTTTTTTCTCCCTGAACGGCCAGAAGTTGCAGCTAACATATACAAATGAATAGTTCCAAAATATTAGCAATTAGACTGAATTAAGGACCAAAAGTTACAAATTAGATCCAAATTTTTGACACTTCATTAATCAATTTCTGCATACATGAAAGTTTCAAATCAGAGCCACTAAGAATTATCTACTCACAATCAATTTAAAGCTAACAAAAATATTCTCGTAAACTCATAGTTGGATTAAAAAATAAAAACAAGGGTTTTTTTTTTCAGAAATTCCCTTCCCCGCTACAATTCAATCGACTCCGGGTCCTGCTACAGATTCTTCAGCTTCAAAAGCTACCATCTGGCTTGCACCATACTCTGAGATTAGGAAAGATCTTAAATTCAAATATTATCAATAAAGTTAAAGAAACTTCGCTGGTAACATTCGAATCCAGCATCCGTCCACTGCATATAACATTAATCAGCAACACCCAAGAAGAGAATAATATTTCCAATTATAGAGAGAACAGAAAATTTTCAATTTAAAAATCGATTAACCAAGTTGAGAAAAAAGAATCCATCTAGAATAGAAAACAAAAATATTTAAGAAAAAAAAAGAAGTTAAAGGGGAAAGTGTAAGGGTTCTTCTGTCTTGAAGAATAAAAAGTTCAGAGCTTCACGCAGGGCAATAGCCAACTTACATATAACAGATGAATAGAGTAAGAATTTAGCTACTCAAAATTTGAAGGAAGCAAAGGAAAAGAATTGCTCACTCCAATCGTGAAAAGCAGCTCTATTTAGGCACCATGCAAAAGGTGAATTGGTATTAAATTATCTCAAACACCCGTGTCTGACTGAGTGCCATCTTCATCTTTATTACACAAAAATGGCTATAAGCTTATATCTAAACGAGAAGCTCATATTGATAAAAAAAAAAAAGACCGAAATATAGCCGGAATATTGTGACCTGAAACAACGGTGAGTTTCAAGGATCTTCTTCCGGCCAAAAAACATTTAATTTTGGCTCTATGCGGCAGACAGATCGCCATTAATCAGCGCCCGCTGCTGACTCAGGTAAAGAGCCATTAAAACAACCGACATTGTTAGCTCAGAGATTTCTTTTAACTAGAGAAAAAAAAAGCTGCACATTACATTATCTAAGCTCTCCAAAAATGGAAAGATTTTCAATTTCTTCGAACTTGTTAGAGATTCTTTGCTTGCAGAGGAAAATAAAAAGTAGCGAGACAGAGAAACTGAGGAACAGTGCGTGACAGAGTTCCGCTTGGAGGCATGGAAAGTACCAAGTTGCGACCAGTTAAGCACCTGCTTATATACTAGTTTCTCTAGAACCCTAAAGCATTGGGGATATTGAAATTACAATACTAGACTCGCGGAAAATGACTTTAAAAACCCTTGGGATTTTGTTTTTTAATCGGTATTTAAAAGCACCCCTCATTCCTGCACCGACTTACCCACAAACCTTAAACGATTATGTCGTCTTATGATACCAGCGATGCAGCGACAGACGACAATAATCAAAAGAACAAGTCCATCCTCCCTTCCGTCGTCCCCAGGCTTCCAGGAACCTTCCACCCACATTTGACCTAACGAACCCATAAACGTTGAACGCGTGACAGTTCAAATGCAGGGTTTGGTATATTATTTGACTTTCAACTGATGGAAGATATTTGTTTATTTATTTATAATAATAAAGAAATCCCCAAAACCAAACACATATTTATTTTCATTTCTTCTCCTTCAAATTCATCTTTTATTTCTTTCTAAAAATAATTCTCTCTTTGATCCTTTTTTTTGGATATCTTATTAAAAAATTGAGGCATGGAGGCGGCAACACTATCTGGTTCACTGCCGCGGTTGAAGCTTTCTGCTTCAAATCATAAATTGTAAGTCTTTTTAGTAATTTTTTTATGATTAATTGATCGAGTTCAATAGTTGGATCAAGTGGGTTACTTCTGAGTTAGATCGCCATTTATTTTGATCCTTTCTTTCGAAATTTAACTTGATTTTGTCAAATTTTATTGAAGAACTGTTGCGATTGTGCTAAAATAGCATTTTGGGATATTGGGACTTGGTTAACGGGTTAGTGTGGTTAACGGGTTAGTGTTATATTTGACCTGATACTGGGAAATTGCGACGGTAAAGAAAATGTAGTTTGAGAAGATTTGGGATCATGGCTGTTTAAAATGTCCCTAAATTTTTGTTTTTTACTGAATATTTGCACGATAAATATTCTTGCTCAAAAAGGGAACTCTAGCACAACCAGAGTTTTTGTGTTGCAATTTGCAATTTGCAAGGGGAACAATAACATGCATTGTCATTTGATTATTTGTCTTTGATTATTTAGGTGGCGTTTTATGCATGTTGTTGGTATCTAGATATCTGATTAGTGGCTTATAACTACTTTCGAAGATTTCAATCCAGTTGTTTTGTTAACAGATCGTGGTCTCAGGGCAGGTCTATCATTTCTGTCTCTTGCCGCCCATCTGGACAATTGCATGATACTGTTTCAAGTTCTAGTTCAACTGATAGAAGGGTTACCATTAGTGGGGGACTGTACGAGCTTAGTCCAGCTCCAAAGAGAAATCCAGTTGGGCAAACACATTGTGCAACCTCAGCAGGAGCATACACATATGGTGAAAGTTCTCTTGAATCTCATTCACATGCAGCAGAAGACAAGGTTGGCGTGCTGCTTCTGAATCTGGGAGGGCCAGAAACACTTCATGATGTTCAACCATTTTTATTCAATTTATTTGCAGACCCGGTATGCCTTCCTATCATTTCTCTTTATTCTTTTTGTTTGGTCCAAACATTAAATTTTTAATATTCATTTTATTTTACTACAGGACATTATACGACTTCCCAGGCTGTTTCAATTTCTTCAGCGACCTCTAGCTCAATTGATTTCTGTGCTCCGTGCTCCCAAAAGTAAAGAAGGGTATGCTGCCATAGGAGGTGGCTCACCTTTGCGTAAAATAACAGATGAGCAGGTAGAGTGCGGTTGAAATTACTGGCTCGCTCTTTTGTTTTCTCTTTTTTGTTTTATTTTTTTTTTTCCGGCATTTGTTCAACTTGTTTTGCACAAAATACATGGTTACTAGTCCTGCTTTGCTTTCTTTCTTTTGTTAGTTTTTGTATATTAAATTTTTTTTTTCTTCTTTATTTTAATATATTTGTAAATATGTTGAAATACTTATTGCAGGCACATGCAATCAAAATGGCTTTGGAAGCAAAAGGCATGTCTGCAATTGTCTATGTTGGAATGCGTTATTGGTACCCATTCACTGAGGAGGCAATTCATCAGGTGAGACTTCAAATTATGTATTAATTGAATATATATTCTGACTTTCTGAAAGTTTATTATCAACTTCCTATATGACTTACTTTGCTTGCTAATGTATTGAATTCCTTTTGGTTTTATCTGGCAGATCAAGAGGGACAGGATAACAAGGCTTGTTGTGCTGCCACTTTATCCACAATTCTCCATCTCCACAACTGGCTCAAGCCTTCGTGTACTCCAAAATATATTCAGGTGTTAGATCCATGCCAGTTTCTGTTCTTTCGTTTTAAGAAATTCGAAAGTAATTACTGACTTGTGTCGACTAAATGTGAGTGATCTTTTAGGGAAGATGCATATCTATCAAGATTGCCTGTTTCTATCATACAATCCTGGTACCAAAGAGAAGGTTACATCAAGTCTATGGCTGACTTGATTGGAAAAGAACTAGAACAATTTCCTAAGCCTGAGGAGGTGGGTTTGACTGTTGCAATTTTTTTTTCTTCCATGTGTCTTTTGAGAATTGGTGTGGGCATGCTGCTTGTTCGAATTTTTTGACTTTTGAGTAATCTTTCTTGTTTATGTGGAATCTCAGGTCATGATATTCTTTAGTGCTCATGGAGTTCCAGTGAGTTACATTGTGGATGCTGGAGATCCATACAAAGATCAGATGGAGGAGTGTATCTACTTAATCATGAAAGAATTAAAAGCTAGAGGATTTAGCAATGACCATACTCTTGCCTATCAGGTTGATTGATTATGATTTAAGTTCATAAATTAGAGCTTCTAGTGTTGCCCTTCAGTGATTATGAGAGCCATGTCGGCTTGTTGTTGACATTGCTTATTCATTTCTCTTCTCCATCCCCATTATGGCTATTATATTTTATTGGTCCTATCTGTGTTGGCCCTTTATTCCTCAAACTCTTTTGTTTTTTTGAATTTTCTCAGAGCCGAGTTGGGCCTGTACAATGGTTGAAGCCCTACACTGATGAAGTTCTGGTTGAGCTTGGCCAGAAAGGTGTGAAAAGTCTACTTGCTGTACCTGTAAGGTATGCAAGCTGTAGTTTCTTTGCCGCATATTTAATAACGTTCTAAATAAAGAATTATCGAGAGTTTTGAGTCATCACGTTGGTTTTATGGGTTTTTGCATGCCATGTGTTGTTGCATGTAACATTCATTTGGTTTTCCTAGAGAGTTGCCTTCTTTACTTCTAAATTTGTGTATGAATGAGTGATGGAAAGGTGAGTTTCAGAGGGTAATGAGGCTGTTTCATGCTCTGTCAGTTATGAGAATCGACCATTAAAAAGCAAATACAATGTCTCAAGAATTTAGTCCCTACATACTTGTAATTCCTTAATGGGTGAATGCTCGTACTCTTAACTAGAGCATTGGCAGTATTTTGTATCTGCTCATTCGGTTGTAAGTTGTTCTTTTTTATTGTGAATGTAGATCATTCCAAGAGGACCCAATTATTTAAATAACAATCTTATTGGGTAATAGGCTCAAATTTTTAAATTTGACCAGTTAGCACTTGTAATCAAAGTTTAGCTCAAATTTACTTTAGACTAATAAATTTGATTCTGTCCTATTTGAAATTCCAGCTTTGTGAGTGAGCACATCGAGACACTTGAAGAAATTGACATGGAGTATAAGCATTTGGCTCTTGAATCTGGTGTTGAGAATTGGGGCCGCGTACCAGCACTAGGTTGCACCTCATCCTTCATTACAGATCTGGCAGATGCAGTGGTAGAAGCCCTACCTTCAGCAAAAGCCATATCAACCTCAAGCAGCACCTCAGAAGAAGCTGATTATGATATATTTAGATGTGCTATCAAAATGTTGTTTGGTTCAATCTTGGCATTTGTTCTGCTTTTTTCCCCAAAAATGATCCTTGCATGCAAGAATTATCTCTTATAAAGGCAACAAGACAAGTTTCATACAGGTTGCTCTTTCAAATAATGAAGTATAGTGAAAAGATTGGTCAAGTTGCAGAAATTCTAACCGGGATTTTGTATTCATTTAATTTTTTACTTGTTTTGAAATGGGAATTTCTGCAATGGATATGTATTTAGCTGAATTTTCTTGTTTTATATACAAAAAGTTGATGCTGTTTTAGGGGCACACCTAGTTATCAGCCAAAATATTCTTAAGAATTACTTCAATTTCGAAATTATTTTGGCCACTATTTGTATTCGTCTCAGTTTCCTTCCAGTACTGAGGGGCAGATAATAATAGCGTCAGATGGAAGCATAGCATATATCTTATTCGTGCGAGATCATTTTGCAGTCAACGTTAACCCTTTTTTTTTTTTTTTTAATTTTTTTTGAGCTTCAATTATAACGGCAAAACTAAAATCATAGACCAACTAATAACCTGCGGGTAATGACTTTCCTAATCGATGTGCAAGAAGGTACTGATTGAGATTATAATTTACTTGCTACTGCATCACTGGGTATATATGATTTTTCAGAATACATCCAAGTGTTAGTAAGATGGTATTACCACTTTCTACTAAACCCTATTCATGTGTTCATATATGGTGAAAGCTTGACTTGGAGGAGCTGACTTTTGAACGGCTCTAAACACACACAAACAAGTATCAGAACCAGCCACAAAAGAAAAGATTATTTGCAAAACGAATTGCTCCTAATTTGGTTGCAAATTTATGCCAAAAAAAATTTCTAGTCATGTATGTTGTGGTCGATTGAAAATAAAAGGAAGAAAAATAATTGAAACTTTATCAGTTCAACTCTAAACGCAGATAATCCTATTGCAGCACTCAAACATGGTAGCCAGTGATTGTGAATCCTCGACCAATAATTTCACCAGCACAAAACCAAACAAAGCACTCCAATCCAAAAAGTGTAGCAATGCCAGCATCCTCAACCCTGAGCTCCTTCCTGTTTTTCCACAAATGCTTGACATAATCAACCTCCTTCCAGAATGCTTCATAACGCCCGGGAATACTGTCATAGAACCAAATAGATACATTTACCCTTAAAAATACAAGACAAGGTACAAAAGCTAAGTGCATATATATGTGGCTTGATATGCAACATGCTAATTCAAATTGTCCAAATACATATATTTCAAACAATAGACGACCCGGATGATACACTAAAGTCCCCAGCAAAGTGTTGTCATTCTACCATCAAGTTCAACTCAAACATTATGTTCAACGGAGCCCATTCATCCAACATGTAAATCATTTAAAAAAATTTGCAACATTGGCTTAGAAAAAACAATATACTCAAAAAATATTACATCAAGACATTCCAAGGCCGAGTTTTGGGGTCCAAATCCAAAAGCAAACCATCCCAAATAACAGAAATCAGAGAGTATAGATTTCTAAATTTCACTTTGAAGCTTAATCAACTGCTTATCCTGGCCATCATACATGTATCATTATTTCATCAAAATATTCACTAACATTGTTGAAATTCAGAAAATTCTAAGCATATATGGATTATCCATATAACAACAGTATAGAAAAGGAATCAACATGTAAAAGAACTTAACTAGTAAACCTTCATAATTTTTTATAAAGTTTCTGCCAATCAACACCAAATGAAAATACAGTCTAAGAGACAAACCTCGCAAGCCGTGTGTGAAACAACTGCTTCGACAAAAGATCGCATGTCTCAACAGTGGCTGGGTCCTGGATGTACTGCTGGTTCTGTTCTAATAGCTGCTTGTAGTATGCAGTACCATGCTTGGCCACGAATTGTGAGGCCTGAACAGCCTTTGATTGCAGTTGAAGTAGCTTGGATGCCATTAGTTCCCCTTGACCTAATCATACATGATAACCAAAGATTACAGAAAATGCGGGTTAAAACAAATCCAGATTTGACCTCAAAAAATTAAAAAAAGTGTTTACCAAGTAAAAGATTATTACATCAAGTAATCAAATTGAAATTTCATATTCAGTACCAATCGGAGGAATAGAGAGGTTAAAACCAACCCCAAACCGATGAACTAACACCCAGACTTAATATCACAGAATGGTATCTAATTACAATTAGAAGCATAAACATATTTAATTCAGAAACAAAAATTAACAAGAAGATTATGCATCACGAACACCAAATCAAATTGCAGACTAGAGAGATTTAAGCAAAGAAGAAAATACCTGTAACAGCTATTGGTGATTAGTGTGTGAGATAGCGAAGGGAAGGTTTTATACCGCGGGGGGGTTTTTTTCTGGGTCGGCTGCACTGCACTTGATCCCTTGCTCAACGATGTCCAATAATCTCGTGCCATATGTCTTTTAGTTATTTTTTTCTCTTTTTCTTTTTTTTTTTTTTTTTTTTTTTTTTTGGGTCGGCTGCACTTGCCTTGATCGCCTTGCTCAACGATGTCCAACTAATCTGCGTGGCCTATGTCTTTTCGTTATTTTTTTCTCTTTTTTCTGTTTTTTTTTTTTTTTTTTTTTTTTTTTTTTTTTTTTTTTTTGTTTGGTGATAGTTATTTTTCTTTTTCAACAAGTAATAGTTTTTTTTTTAAAAAAAATTAATGTTTAAGTTGGTGTCCTTTTTCTTTTTCAACAAGTAATATTTCTTTTACAAGGTAACTTTTCATAAAATTAAAAATTAAGGATTTGAGAATTTAAGAGTTAAATTTCATAATATAATCTTGAAAATTGTAATAGTCCTATAACCTCATAATTGGTGTAAATTTAAAATAAAAATATTAAGCTGTCATTTTAAATTAATTAAAAATTTCACATAATATGTAAACGAGTTAAAATTAAGATTGCACGAGGCTTTAATTTTAAAGGTTAAAAATATTGTAATACAATACCTTAATTTAGAAAATATTTTTCTTCTATACCATAATTTGTTAGTAAGATTATAAACTTTTCGAAATTTAAATTCGTAATTTTCAAAATAGACAAAAATAAAACTATTAACAAACATGTTAATAAACCACTATCGAGTACCAATACCATTCCCATCAATTGTTGAAGTCTATCACAGTTTGCTAATCATCCGCATGCTATTATCAAACAATAACCGTACACTTAAAAGCATATAAACTTTCTCTTGACAACGATTGCGGGGAAAAAAAAAACTTTATAGTTATATGTATTATTTTTTATTTTACATTAATATGTTATACAAATAAAAAATATTAATTAATTTTTGTGACACTGTTAACGGAAAACATGAATTAACGGAATCAATCGTCCCAAAGCTCACGAGAAATGGCTCGACTATCGTGCTAACAAGTCGCTTGGTGCACCATACTGCCTCATCAAATTGTACCGACCATGCACATTCAACTTTCCACTACAACCTTCCAAATTAAAAATATAATGTATTAAATACAGAAGCCAACAGGAACACTTCCAACGTTATAATTCTGGAATCTCCAATAGAAATCAATTAAAACATCCTCCACCGTAACTAAATTCAACAAACAGAATGACTAGAGAATATTCAGGCATAACCCAATAAACTCAAAATGCAAGTACAACAAGATAGATACTTAAACAGTACATAACTAACAACTAAAGCAGAAGAATAAAATTTAAACATGCAGAAAACATCAAAAACAGAACAGAAAATGTTCACCTAAGGCCAATGCATTTAAGTCTTAAAAAACTATAAAAACCTAACTAAACCTAACAGCATGAATACATAACCAACAATCAAACAACAAAATCTGTGTCTGAAGCCATATCAACTTTGTGGGGATGTTTTTGCAACTCCGCTCTGCTGAACAGGCTGTGACGCTGGAGCTGCATCATAAGTTGCCCGAGTATTACTACTTCCATTGCCATCAGCAGAATACACCGCAGGTTGAGAATAACCACCACCATAAGAAGTGTTGTAAGGTTGCATCCCCTGTCCATAACCTGATTGACTAGCTGGAGCTGAACCATAAGTTGGACCATACCCTGCCTGAGCACCAGCCGCACCATAACCAGATGGGGCACGTTGCTGACCTGAATCTGGTTGAGTATATCCAGATGGTGGTGGCTGGGAATGTGGATAGCCAGGCTGCACAGGGGCAGGCTGGCTATAACCTCCGGGAGTGCTTGGTGATTGTTGTGTCTGCCCATAAACAGGAGGATTTGCTGGAGGTTTCTGTGCTTGAGGAGGTCCATAGTTGGACCCATAAGCAGGCTGAGCTGCTGGTTGACTCCCATAACCAGTTTGGGAAGTTGGTCCATATCCTGGCTGAGTAGTTCCTTGAGGTGGATAACTTGATGGATTTGGGCTAGGCTGCTGTCCAGTGGTATAACCTTGCTGACTCATTGCAGGGGGTTGGCTCGGTGCCTGGGCCAAGTCTCCTTGGGCTCCATAAGAGGAAGTGTTTCCTTCTTGAGTTGCATTACCATAATTGGTTGCTGAGGTATAACCTTGCGGTTGATCATAAGGCTGTGGTTGACCATAGCTAGATTGAGGATACCCACCATAGCCATCCTGAGCATAACCTTGTCCCTGCTGATTATAACCAGAAGATGGATGCTGACTGTAACTATAACCACTGTTATCAGCTGGAGGTGCAGTACCACCAGGGGTTGTTTGTTGCTGTGATGAAGCTGGCTGATTATAATAATCATAACCCTGACCACCAGTCTGTTGATTGGCAGACACATTTGACTGGTCCCAGTTAGAGTGATATCCAGCAGATGATGGTTGAGGGGGATACCCAGCATAAGGTGCCTGAGACATGTTATACTGTTGTGATTGGCCAGGGTAAGCTCCAGGCTGCCCATAGCCATAACCAGGTTGCTGCATTGGAGGAGCTCCAGGTGGACCCCAGCTTGTCTGTGGTCTGGTTTGATACCCTTGCTGAGGATAACCACCAGACATTGACTGATTCCTTGCACGATTCTGCAAAAAATTGTTGTTCCAAATAACCCATGCGAACTTTTTACAAGTGCCAGCATATTGACATCGCAGAACACAAATTATATGGATATAGTAAGCATTTAAACAATTGAAAGCAAGCACATATAGAGATAAAGCATAAAACAACAAATAAGCATCTCCGAGGTAGGGATTATTGGATTTCATACTTTATCAGGAAGGGGTCTGAATGCCTACATACCGTACTTGGTTGGTGGAATTATTGAGCTACTCCAGCGGAAGCCCATCCTCTCCCTACTTGAAGTGAATGGGTACAGAAAGAACAAAAAGGAAAAATACTATACAAGCTTTACCAAAATAGTAAAGATAGATATAGAATGCCTCACTGCCACGGGCTGGCAAAGAGTTTCATATGAAGCACACAATGATATGACGTAATATCCATCTGATGTATTGCAGCCAACAGAAGCATCAATACAAGAATACTCTCAAAAATCAATATCCTATATTGGCCATGGGTATTGATTAATAACATATCCATTGCTTTACTGTTTAACAGACCTAAATTTAGTTTCTGAATTATACAGACACCAGAATTTGTCATAAAAGTAATAACCAGGTGCAAACATAATGTATGCAGGAGTTTAGAATAAGCAACTTCAATTTAACGGATAAACATCTATGAACTTTTTAGCTATTGTAAGTAATATCATAAAGGTGCAGAAAACAAAGCAGAATGCCACACTATCCTCCAGATAAAGACGAGAACAAAACCAAATGCAGATGCCAGAGTACCAGATAACAATACAATTTATAAATGTGATCCTAAAACTGTGCTGGACAACACATTAAATTTGCTAAGGTGCTTTGAAGAGGTTAGGATGCATGTGGAAAAAGGACTTGGGATAAGCAAGACAAGAAAAATTGCCAAAGAAAACAAGGCTGAAACAATTATCAAGTGTAAAAACCCATTAAGAATAGAGAAAATAGTTTAACAACTGATTACGATATCGAAATACTAAAAGATATTCAAAGAAATTAAAAATCTTCAAATTAAGGAGAAATTACAAAGCTTCAAAACAAGGAGGAAGTATACATAAAAGCTTCGAAGATAATCAAGATCAAATTAAGGCCACCAAATAAGTTTAGGATAAGGTGATGTGATGTACAAGTTTTATCTCCATAAAATAAGCCACCCAGTTGCAAAACTAAAGGTAGCATTTTTAATAAAAGATACCCAACAACTCACAGTCCAAAAATTAACCCAATGTAATCTAATGAGATTGTATTCCTCACAAGTATATTTGCTGCTTCTCTGCAGGAGATCATTACTAAACATCAAAAAAAGGGGATTCAGAACCATACCAGGATGTTGCCGAGGGAACACCAACACAAGGTTTTCCATGTTGGTGTCACCAAAAAGTCCAACAACACTAACCCTACAATAGTTCTCAATAACAATATCAGTAACATGACACCATCAATAAGCACATATGGTGGTAGAACATACTATAATCCAAATGGGAATACAACTGAAAACTATGGCGATATTGGGTTCAAATAGTAAACAGTTATTACATGGCCTTACCGACTAAACAAATAGTGGTTATCACTTGCTCAACAATCCGAGGATCCATGTATCACTTGCTCAACAAACTAAGTCAGTAGGGCACTAACCCATGTATGAGAAAATATAATCACCATAATCCGTCTCATCATTAACCCATATACATCCAACATCCACCTCAAAATATAAGTCAGAAGACTAATAATAGGCATAAGAAATTGAAGCAGTTGGCAAGGCAAAAGAAAAAACTAATGAAGGTTTGTGCACTCAGTATACACTGACAGCTATATCTCAGACATTCGAACATTATATCAAGTAATGCACATTACCATGCTATCCAGCTCCTAAAGACTAAACCAGTTAAAAAGCCTGGAATCTTTATAAAGTAGTTAGAATTGCAGTCTCTCTTTCTCCTCTTCCAGAAAAGCAAAGGGGATAAAAATTCTCAACCAACTAAGCTGTAAATGCCATGAGGATCAGCGACCAAAAAATATCTGTAACTTTCTGAATCTAAATAGTCCAATGAGGGAATAATATAAATTGATATATCTAGCCGATTTTATATAACCAAATAGTTGCTGCAAGGAAACTAATGTTCAAAAATATACCCCAATAATATTAATTAATCACAATAATGGCATTGATATAAACAAAATATTAAAATCAACTTGTAATCCAGCTCCATGCAAAGGAAGGAGGAGAATTGCGAATATTAGACAGTGTAAAGGTAACACCAAATCTAAAAGGCAAACCAGAACTATAAAAACACTTGAATGCAAACCCAGCTAATAAATTGAGATGGACAGAATCTTTAATTGGAACATCAAAGGAAGAGAAGAAAGCATAGAACAGCCAAGTCAAGGAGAAATAACAAGAACAAGACAACTCTATGAACCATAACAGTGTCAAACACATCTGTAAAGTTAGATGTAAATCAACAAAAAGTAATATTTATATATTCCAATTATTACCAAAATGGACAACTAGAACAACTTTGATGCTGCAAAAGATACCACAAACAAATTTGAATATCAAGTCTAATTTTTTAAAGAAAAAAGCCAGGAACGTTTTGCCAGAAGCACAGATATCTGAAACAAAAGTGTTTAAATCACAACTAAGCAGCAATATTTGAAGAGTAACATAGACAAAGATATACACGATCTAATAGATTAACCAAGCTATCAAAATATAATAAAAATGAATGAAAAATTCATGCTGATAGGACCGTCTGAATAAAAATATAAGCTATCATGTCTTCCATATTTGATTCTCCTAAATTTAACCATGTTTCAAACAAAGTACCAGTAGTTCCTAAGTGCCACCTCTGGAAACTAACATCAACAACCAAATATACCTCACTGATTACTTCATTAACCAACTGTTTTGCAAGTTCAATCTGTTCACTGGTCCCCTCTATATGCACATTCCTTTCTGTTGATGCATCACCAGGAGGGAGATGCAAAGGTATCACCTGCAGAAATTTTAAGATGTAAACTAGTTTCTAGGAACAACTTACCAAGATAAATCATAAGACATATCAATAACAATCAAGGATCAATAAAAAAATAGTGATGTCAAGACAATAACAACACCTACACAATCTCATCATGATAGATAGTGGGAATTTCAAGCAATGCATTGAAAAACAAACCTGAACACGAGCTCCAGTTCTATTCTGCATCTGCTTGATTGTGTCCCCTCCTTTGCCAATTACCAGACCAACCTGAAGGCAATTACACGTCACATGCTATCCAGAACTAGAACTCAAACCTAATATCACAACTAAATATGGCTTTTTGATATACCTTGTTATTAGGAATTTTCATCACAAAATGTTCAGAACCACCTTGACCTGTAAACCTTCTAGAAACTGTACCCGAACCCCCTGCATCAGCCTGAGCCAAACATTCAACGTGAATTAAAGTTTGCAATAATATATCAGTAAACCAGCCAGCTTGCTTCCATTTTGAAACAATAACTGCATAAAAGGGTGTATTAGACACTGAAATCACACCAACCTACTTCAAGAAATTTATATATTATAACCAATCATCTATAATTTCATCTATAATTTCTATTGATGCGTCCGCTAATTCCCTCGAACCTAAAACTGAGAAGAAATAAATCTTATAGATAAAAAGCAGTTAAAGAATGAGCCAAGTACTCCTACCTCCGCAAGAACTTCATTTATCAACTCTTCCGCTTTTGCTATTTGTTCAGGGGTTCCCATGAGCTCTACCATCCTAGTCGCCGAATTAGGGTCTGCATCCATATCTCGAGTAACCTGAATCTTTGCTCCAGAACGAGTCTGAAGATATTTAATAGTCTCTCCACCTTTCCCAATGATAACACCAACCCTACCATTTGGAATATCAATCTTTTTGCTCGAACCTCCCTGGTAGGATCCATATGAAACAGGAATTGCTGAAGGGGCTGCGTTTGACAAAGACTTCACGTCTGCAGTCAACCAAAACACCAGCAATTATCTTGACATATCAAGCAAGAAAGTAAATCATTTATCAAGAAAAGGATAGCAGGTCAAGGTAGGCACAAATGAACTAAATTAAGTCCCATACGGTATGTAATCAGAGTAACATATTGAAATGTATAGAACAGAAAATATGTCCAAAACCCTAAACCCTAGCCCAATTATTCACTTAAACCGATTAATAGCTAGGTGTACATCTCCAAATATTGCAGACATAACGAAGCCATCGAGAGTCCACAAACAACTACATAAACTGAAGAGAAAGAACAAAACGTTAAACGAAACAAACAAGATACGCGTAAACAAAGCAAAAGTAAAGCGCACAGATCCGCTGACACAAATTCACGACAAACATTGAAGATATGTACAGTTATTGAGAGAGAAAAGGAGAGAGCAGGAGGAGATTATTAACCGTTAGGTGGAGAGCTAAAACCCTTCTCGTTTGAATCGAAGCCAGACGCACCATTCTCAACCCTAGGGCGCTTAATATCAGAACCGACAGTATTGAAGAGACGAGCGGCGATCGCCTGAGCTCTTTGCTTAGCAATCTGGATCTCATCATCGTTAGGCGGGGGCACGCTGTTGTATGACGGCGGAGCATGAGAGGAGTCAGGCGAGGAGAAGCCAGTTGGGCGACGCGTTGACGACGTTGTAATCGGGTCATCATATTTGCGCTTGTTGGTGGTGGTGGGTGCGGTGTCTGTGCCCGAAGAGTACTGAGATTCGTCTGCCATGGGTAAAGAATGAAAAGAAACCCTAAGGACTTAGCGGTTGATTGGAGGGTGTGAGAGGAGTAGTGGAGCTTTTATACGAAGCGGGACACGTGATAGGATAATTGTGGAGAGATTTTTTTTTTCTTTTTTTCTATTTTTTTTTTCTTGTTGAAATTTCGCTTACGGGAACAAAGTACCGTATTTTGGTAGACGCTGTACCATTAGTTCTCGGCTCACAGTCCTCGCGTAAGTGGGTGACAGCTCAATTTGATTCCCATATACCAAGATAATAAATTACATTGCTTAGTTTGTTTTGCCAAAAATATTATTTTCACTTTTTAATATTTGGGGTATTTACGAGTTAGTTTAAAATTTTAAATTATAAAACATCTTTAATTATTTTCGATAAAAATGGTTTTTAAATTATAAAAATTCAGCTTCAGAAATGCATATTAATTGTATTATTGATTTTAGCCACAGATATCCTCAGTCCAGCAAATGGCAAATGTAAAGAGAACAAAAACTTTTTATTTAGCCTTCACATACAAAAACAATATGCAGCTTTCTAACAGCTAAACAAGCCAAATATTAAAGAGAGTTCATACATATCCAAGATTTGAAGTTATAAGAAGTTTTACAGGATCCGCAGCCACCGTAACAACTTATATGTATTGACGGTTTTGGTAAGCAACACCATGGACAAAGGTCTAGAATTGGAAAAAAGATTGACAGTCTTTCCCTCCAAACAGCACTGAGTTGGCAAACAGATACATAAATGCATTTATTGGATCATCAAGATGCAGTAAACTCTGTCAGCAGCAAAATAAAATGGACTCATTTGGTCCACCAATGGAGGAAATCCTTGCGCCTGTTGATCTTTTTCTGAAGCTGGAGTATCCCATAGAGTAAAGCCTCAGCCGTGGGAGGGCATCCTGGAACATAAATGTCTACAGGGACAATCCGGTCACAACCACGTACGACGGAGTAGGAGTAATGATAATATCCGCCACCATTCGCACAGCTGCCCATAGAGATGACCCACCTTGGCTCAGGCATTTGGTCATACACCCTGTCAATAATTTTAGGTATCAGAACTGTGGTCAACTGTGGTCCACTCATGATGTCCCAACGTTAATACTAGTGAACCCAAACATGAACAATTTGAATATAAACAGACAGAGACAGAGGAAGAAATATAGATAAAACCCACAGTCTGGTGCAACACACATTATTTGGAAATAGTTCAAAAACTTTAGTCGAGCTTCAGTTATAACTACACTTCAAGACTTGATTGAGTTCAAATTATTTGATTGATACATATATATATATATATATATATTACAGGATCCCTCGCCAGCCACCGTAAAACTTTATAATGTATATGAACCGGTTTTGTGCTAAGTGCAGCACGGATGGAGACCACAGTCACGACGAATTGCAGCAAAAAGATGGTGACAGTCCCTTTATACTCCTCCAAACAGGACCTCGAGACCTTGAGAGTTGCGGCACAAACAGATACACTATAATCTGCATTTATGTTCGGATCCACTCAAGCGATCAGTGCACAGTAAAAACACACCTCGTCCAGCTGAGCGAAAAATAGAACAGTTGGACTCCAGTGCTTGGTACCAACCAAGGAGAACACACTCACTTCGAGCCTCGTTGATAAAGACGAGGGTTTTCTGAAAGCTGGGCGACATCGGCCGCAACTAAGAGGTAAAGGCCTTCGAGCCGCGTGGAGGCGAATAGCCGCGGGAACATACCTATAAATGCTCTACAAGGATAATCCCGCGCTCTACAAACGACAGTAGCTGACGGAAGTAGGCGTATATAATAGATAATATTCGCATCTCGTCCACTGTAACATGAATCGTATATTATCATTCGACACGCATACCAGTGGCACTATGCCGCACATCAGGTGATGATACTGAGGTGCAGCGCACCCAACACGCTTTTGGCTCTCATGGCCCATTTGGTCATCCATGCCCCGCTATGCGCTCAATATTGGTAGCCTTTTGTAGCGGGTATCAGATATTGAGTTCAGTCTGGAGATCATTCGTGTCCTGCTCGCTGACCATGATGTCACTCAATCGATTACCGTTTTTAATACTTCTGAGTTTGATATTTTCTACTACCCATTAACATCAGACATATTTGATTTTATATAACAGACAGCAGATACAAGAGAGGAGTATAGAGAAATTATTGCGATAAAGAAACCCAGCTAGTCGCATGTGCAACCACTAAATTACTGGTGACTCAAATCAGTGATTTATATCAGAAAGCTTTATGTTCGAGTATCTACACAAGTCCATATTACGCAACAGTACTAAGATTCTATAAAGGACTTGATTGAATGTTATCAAATTATTCAATGATTGGCGAGATACATATAGTATAGTAGCCGTATAACCAGTGAACTAGGTATAATAAATATAAGTCAGAGCTCTGGGACACAATCTCTCCTCTCACTTCACTAATAAAGCAGGTCCCATATTCACTGTGCACAAAATTTACGCAGCTTTATAGCCTTAGCGGCAATTAGAAGATTATCATTTAGTCTTCAGATCCGACTCATGCTACATCAATTGCAATAATTCCGAGACACTCAAGTCAAGTATCTTCGAAAGTGGATAGTTTTTAAGTGGGACTCACTGAAGCTCGCACTAAAGTTTTTGAAGGACTATATCCAATGGAATTCCAAAATTCCCTACATATCTTTTAGAGCTATTAATAAGATACAATAAGTTTCACGGCTAATCAATGGCTTAAAATGACCAATTACAGGCGTACGTCTTATCATTCAAGAGACTTCGCAAAGGTTTAAGTACTAGACTTATTACTTACTTAAAAGCAAGCCATAACCTGACTAATATTTTCAGCTTTATTGCTTATCCAAGATGAAGTTATAATTTATCTTTACAAATCCATAGGTATCTAAAGCTAACCATAGATTTGAACTCAATTCAAGTCTTGAAGTTAGTTAAACTGAGCATTCAGACTAAAGTTTTTGACTGATTTCCAGATGAGTTCCAAAAATTCCCCCACATATCAAGCCTTAAATCAGAACAATAGTTTCACGCTGACATGGCAAAATCATTCAAGGCTTAAAGACGTCGGTATCATCTGCGAGACTCCAAGAGGTTAAGTACTGAGGGTATTACTCAGTCTAATACAGCACGCATAAAACTTGACAAATTTCGAGCTAATCTTATCAAGAGACAGTTATTTCATTCGAATCCATTATGTGATCAATCAAATATTTTGAACTCGAATCAATGTCTTGAAGTGTGTTATACTACTGAGAAGCTCGACTAAAGTTTTTTGAACTATTTCCAGTCGATTCAAATTTCCCACACATATCAAGCAAATGAACAAGTAAAGTCTTTTCACGCTACAACTGGCTAAAAGTATGGCCATTAAGGCCTACGTCTTATCATTCAAACTCCCAGTTAAGGTATATAAACTAAGATACTTATTACTTCACACTTAAAGACCAGCCATACACTTGACAAATTTAGCTTGTATTCTATATGTAACAAAGAGAAGTTTTTCTTCATCACTATCATGTTGATCAATAGTCAAATATGAATTGAACTCAAGGTCAAAGTCTGTTGAAAGAGTTAAGAGTTTAGTAATTTAACTGAAGCTCGAGACTACAGTTTTGTGAAACTATTGAATCCAGATGAATTCCAAAATTCCCACATACAAGCCCAAATAGAAACAAATAAGGTTTCCACGCTACAATGGCTAAAAAATTGCCATATTAATGGCTATCGTTCGTTATCTTTCCAAACTCCAGGTTTAAGGTACTACTTATATAGTTATCTAAAAGCAAGCATAACCGTTGACAAATTTTGCAAGAGCTTATGCCTTTATCCAGAGTAAGAGTGTTTATTTCTTCAAGTCCATATGATATTCATGCAAAATTATATTTGAACTCAAGTCAAGTCTTGAAGTGTAGTTAATGAAGCTGGGTACTAAAAGTTTTTGAACTTAAGATTTTGCAGAGAGTGATCGCCAATTCCCACATATCAAGCTAAATCAGAGAATAAAGTTTTCACGCTACAGATTCGCTTAAAAAATGCCAATAGGGCTACGTCTTATCTATTCAGAGAGCTCCAAGTTAAGTATACTTATTATTTACAATATACTAAGCTAGTCTAGTACCTCAACTTCGTAAGCAGAATTAAAACATTTTGCTAATGGACTGATCAAATCAAATCTAGTCATTTGTTTCAAACTTGATTCAATTTCTATTCTGTCCTCTTAATAAAAAGGAAGAAGTTTACGGAACATATGTATCAATCAAATAATTTGAACTCAATCAAGTCTTGAAGTGTAGTTATAACTGAAGCTCGACTAAAGTTTTTGAACTATTTCCAGATGATTCCAAAATTCCCACATATCAAGCTAAATAGAACAATAAGTTTCACGCTACATGGCTAAAAATGCCATTAAGGCTACGTCTTATCATTCAAACTCCAAGGTTAAGTACTACTTATTAGTTACAATATCTCAAGCAGCTAAGCCTCAACTGTAGCAGATTAAAACATTTGCTAATGGACTTCAAATCCAAATTAGTCAATTTGTTCAAACTATGATTCAAATTCTACTGTCTCTTATAAAAAGGAAGAAGTTACGGAACACCCACTTCCTCCTCAAAAAACACTCCCATTTCCTCTTTTAATACCCTTCCTTCCACCTAATTGAGGAAAAATTATAAAACAGCAACATTTGCAAGAAACATTTTAACAACAATCCAGATTGAAATGAGATCAAGACACAAATAGCCCAAGTGTTTGCCTTCAGGAAAAAAAAAAAATCATATGTTACCAAACATTAATCATCAACAGGTATTAAACACTAGAATTCAAACAGAGATCTGAAACAAATGAGCAAAACCTAATAATAATGATTACCTGGAGTAAAATCCAATTAAAAACTGAAAAGACCCAAAAATCATGGAGAGAGAATTCCTAACCCTAAGAAATAAAGAGGGAAATGAGGCTTACTTGCGAAGAGCAGGGGCCATCTTGTTGGTGAGTGTACCAGCGACAATCATACAATCAGACTGGCGAGGACTGGGTCTGAAAATGATACCGAAGCGATCCAGATCGTAGCGAGCAGCACCGGTATGCATCATTTCGACGGCACAGCAAGCAAGACCAAAAGTCATGGGCCAGATGGAGCCGCGGCGCGCCCAGTTCATAAGATCGTCGACCTTCGATATCACGAACTCCGCCGCTTTCGAAAGTCCGGCGGGGGAAGAGGTGGAAGGGGGTGGTGGGCGGGCATAAGGAGTCGGTGGCGTTGCCCCAGCGGAGAGAGGGGGAAGTGTGGTGTGGAAAGAAACAGCGGCTCCGCGGTATTGGGAGAGGAGGGTGGGGAGCCGTGAGGCGGTATTCCTAGTGATCATAGCCATCGTTTCTGCAGGTCGCTTTTCAGGCGACAGTACTCTACGTTGATGTATATGGTTTGTTTTGTGTATAGCGTTGTCAATGCGGTTTTTCCAGAGGAGAAGGCAGCGACGTGTTCAATGTACGAACCGCAGGAAAAATGAGAACGTTAATATCTGCATTAAATCAAAAAAATTTAGTTTAATAATAATTCTTCTAATATATAAAATAAATAATTATGCGATATTATTAAGGTTCTCTTAATAATGTATTAAACAAATTAGTATATATGAAATCAAAATATGAAATCCATTTATAAATAAATTTTTAATAAAATCCATCTTTGAATGAATTTTTTATATTTGAAATGAATCTAAAAATTGAAAATTCATTTAAGAGGATGAAAAATTTTTCATAAAAATCTAGATTATTTAAATTGATGGAATTCATTTGAAAATTCTACATTTTTAGATAAAATTTAGTTAGTTATATTCGAATATATCAAATTCATAAAATTTAATTTTTCATTTTTTTATACCAACGAATAAATTTGAATTTATAGATGAATTCCTTAAAATTCTGTGAAATTTATTTATTTTAAAATTTTCTCATAATCATTTTATTAAAAGCTTGTTTGATAAATGTGTAGAAATTAAATAAATTGTTACAATTAACTCGAGTTTTCATATAAAAATGTGAAGCGTTAAATAAATATAACAAAAATATCATAAAACATATTTAGGTTATTTAGATTATTTAAAAATTAAATCTATTATAAAAAAAACTAAAATTAAAAAAAAAAAGGAACTAAATTGGAGGTAATTTGAATATTTTCCTAAACCAAATAGTAATTCATATCTATATTTAAGGGAATAAAAGAATCATTTATTTCTTACATATGTAAGCTTACGACAATATTATAATGTCACATGGAAACTCAGAGCTCATAGCGAAGAGCTACATTTCGATGTCGGAAGTCGTAACTCACAAAGATTTTATTTTATACCATTATTACGTATAACAGCTTTTGCAAAGAGGAACATTTATACCAATTCTTTTATCCCAATATTGGAATTTCAGTTCCTTACAGTTGGTGGAGTGATATGTAATGTGCCTAGGATCAGACCAACTCTTAATCTCATAAAATAAGAATTATAACCGAAAAAAGAAACATTACTTGGCAAAAACTTTAGAAAGATCAGCAACTCTGAAAAAGGAGACAGAGAATGGTTAGACTATGAAATAACAATAATAATGATAAAATTTTCACAACCCTCGAGTCCTACGTTCTCATGGTACAAGGTTAAACCAAAAACATCAATGAGAATTGATCATTCCCCCCCGTCATTAACTCCCTTGCCAAGTTGGAATTGCAGCATTGCGGGCACTACATAAAAGCATTTGTTTAAGGTTGCTTTTTTCTTTGACCTAGACCCAAAAAATTATAGCGACAGAACTGTATATTTTCTTGTGAAAGAATATAATTAGTGAGGCATGCCTGCCTGGGAGCTAAAGTCATAATACTTCCTTGATAATTCAACAACAGCAACATTGGCCTCCGATAATGGGTGTGTTTTCCACATCTGTGTTAGCAAAGAAGGCAGCTGAGCCTTTGCCGGAGGTAGCAACTATAGGTTTTGCTAAAAGCCAAAATCCGTGATCTTCCCGGGCCATCTTTATGCATAATACATGTAAAGGCTATTTGAAGCAGCACAGGCAAGTGAATTTTCTGTTGGATGCCATGCCAGATGTAACAACTTTGTTGTGAAGTCAAGAGCATTTCCGTTTGCCTCCATTCCAGAGTTATCTGCTCCTTTTGAAGTCGAGAAATAAGATAATACAGAGTCACAAAGTCAATTTGGCGTTAAATCAGGCACAAAAGTGAACAAAATTCAAAATGAAAAAATTCCTAAAGAGAGTGGTTCGCTGATTGATTTAGATGCTTGGCATAATTAAACTACTTGGCAAAACTAAGAAAGATAAAACTGAAGGCATAGAAAAAAACTAACTGATCTGCTAAATTTATCTTCCTGAAAAGTTTTTATTAACATAACGGTCCAGCAATGTGTATTTAGATCCATTGGCAGGGTGACACCATTAGCACCAATGTTTACTTTAAGAAAGCACATACCTCGTCTAAACCCACGAGAAAGAGAGCCCAGAGATCTAGAAGGCCTTGATGGGGTTTGAACTTGTCTCCTGGAAATGCAGGGCATCATTTAACCACATGAAACAACTACAGAATAGTCAAGACAAGTTCATATGATACTCAACTTGGTAATAACCAATTTCCTCTCAATTCATATGACAAGAAAGTAAATATTGAAGGATATTTGATACAAAAATTTCTGTATATCAAGATAAGGGCAAATTATTACTATATCATGCTCATCATTAAGTCATCTATTGAATTAATAGATGATCAGACATACCTCATTGGGTTTTTGGTGGCTTCCAATGTTGTTGCTTCTTTGCTTCCCTCAGAACAGCCAAAAACACGAAACAGATTGCTAGATCACAGGAACAATGTGTCATGAGAAGTAACATACTAGGCATCTAAGGACTATAAAAACAGTAAAGATCATATATATGGAAAACACACCTGTAAGAACCAGTTGCTATTCTTAGTCCATCTCCACTTAGACAACATTCGAATTTGTCAAAGATGGAATCATTTTCATATAAATCGCACAGCTGGCCAATATACAAGAAAGTAATCACATCACACAATGCTTATCCTACAAATTTTCTGTTAAATGTCATCTGAAATCAAGAAACAGTCCTCAGAAGAATGTGTCACCTTGGGCCTCAGATATTCATGAACCTGGAAAGATGCAACTGGCCCAGAATCCATATTTATGTCCCACAGCTGAGAATCAGGAAGTCAAAACAACATGAGAGAACAGTAACATGTTGGAAGAGAATAAACTAAAAGCACAAGAGAATAATTGAACTAGAATGTCATGACCTGCCATAGTTTGTCTGGTACAATTCAAATACAGCATCATATCATTTTTAATTCTCCATCAACTTCACTTACTCATTATCCCATGAGTTTAGTGTGAATATTAACAATAGAAGTGATTAAATTTTCTAGAAATTAAGTGCAGCTTACATTAACAATTGACACAAGGCAATCTCAGAGAGCAACTTGAAACAGAGTACTTAAAATGGAAAAATTACTAATAACAGTGTGTAAAAACTAGGACCTTGAGATTCATGTAATCACGGCTAAGTATATATCTTCCATCCTTAGCAAACTTAATATCTGAGATTGAGGCAATTATCTCTGTGAAAAAGGACCTGGAACCAGGCGCCTCCTGTTCCTCAAATCTGCGCCGTTATGAAATTCTTAAGTTAGAAGCAAATAACAAGAAGAATAATGACAGAAGTCATATATCATGCAGCATTCGAAGTTAAAGGAGTTGCTTGATTTCAAGAAAGTAAAGACAAAAATTGACAGAAAACTGATAAATCACTCACAATTTTGTATGAGCATCACAGAGGGCAGATTGCCGCATATCAATCAAACGGATTGAGCCCTTTGAACTGCTATAGGCCAACATATTACAATGTGTAGGGTGAAATTCTGCTGAAGTTATCACCTCTGCATGCACAACACAATAAACAGAATATAGGTAATAAACATAAACATGGCTTCCCCAAATCAACTTGCCTTCAATAAGGGGAACATAAAAACAAGAATAAAGTTCAAATTAAGTCTATTAGAAAGTAAAGCGACAGCAGAAGATAGATAATAAACATAATGTAAACATAAACACGGCTTCCCACCATATGAATTCACCTTCAATAAGGGAACATAAGGAAAAACAAAAACAGAATGCATGCAGATGGAGGATAAAACAAGGCTGATATCTAACCAGAATCTTATCTACTCCCTTATACCTCAGGTTATCAACATTGATAAGAACAATAAAAAAATGTCGAATTGCCACACAGAAAGCTGAGACCCACCAGTCAGATCTTCCATGTTTCCAGGCTTCACATCAACAATATTAAAACTTTGATTGCTGATTTCCAAATTCCAAAGGTTTATTCGTAGATCATCAGCCGATATAAAAGTTTCACCATCACTACAACACAAAAAAGATTGGTGAATGCCATAGACATCAGAGGAAAAAGAGGCATATTTCAGCAATGTAACAAAAATTTCCAAATGTACATGTTAAACCCACAAAAAAATTTATTATATTTAGAAAAAATACCATAATTATGGGAATCATTTTCCTCCAAAAGGTAAAAAATAAATAAAACATCAATTGTTCCTCCACTTTACATGTCATTCCAAGACCATGGACCAAATTAAATAGGAATTCATAGAACAATCAAAATAAACATTAAAGACAAAGCAAAGGAATGCAGGCAGTTTAATTAAAACATGGAAGTTGAAGACAAGGAATCTAACAAGAAAGAAAAGTGATATAGATTTGATAGAATGTACCTGTTATTAGAAATAGAATTAATGTGGTAATCATGGGCATGAGCATATATCCTTCGGCATTTAGCCAGAAGGCTTGTTTCATGACTGGTCAACTAGATATACAGATGCAATGAGTGTTAGAGCAACAAACAAATAGAAAATAAGTTCCATAGTCAAAATCATGATTGCTATGAACAGATAAGCATCCTAGACTGAATACAACTACCACAGGCAAATGTAGACTTGGGACACTCCCAGTTGACAAGGAAAAGTCATTGCTTGGATAACCTAACGGCCTATCCAAAGATCCTCCATTTGCAGTGTACAGTTTGGAGCTTGTCTGCATGCTTGAGCCCGTAATAGAGCCATTTCCTGTAGCTTTTGCAGGGTCAACATTCATTTCAGATACTTTCTTGACCTTCTTCTCTTGGACCTATCCAACATTAAATACACCAAGTGGATTAGGAATTTTCCACCATAAAAGAAGCATCAACTTCTCTTTTCCAGATTCCATAAATCCACTAAGCTACCTTGCTATAAAGGACAAGAAACAGAAATAACTACCCAACATAATGCACGCCGACTGATCCAAAAAGCTACAGTAAAAGCAGTTCAATTAGATAGAAATAAACAATACACCAAGCTAGATGGTGAAAAGCTAAAGAGAGGTTGATCAATCCTATTGATTGAGTACGGATAGGACTGATTGAGTACGATGTGTTCCTCCACGTGGCGAGCTATTGGACCAAATGAAAACAAAATAAGTCTTCCGAACACACTGGCAAACTATCCAGTCAAAAGAATATTTTATCACTTTGGAACCCAACCCCTTTCTTTCTTCAGTTACTAAACAAGATTTGAATCTAAGACCTAAACCTACCTTTTATTGAGCTGCTAAATGACTTTCTTCTATATCCTTTGTCGTTGAAATGTTGTATTGTAGAGAGCATTATATTTTCCAGCTTCTTTTAGATTCTTTTTAGTGAGAATCACCCTAGTCTCTGTTTGTAGGATAAATTTTGTTCTTCCAATGAAAATAAAGTCTTGGAAAAGAAAGGAAGATTCTACACCAAGAATAATCTAGCTAAATTGCAAAATCAATCCAAGAGCTTTCACAAAAGGAACCTTGATATATTCTAAAGTCTTTAAAGGTTCAAACTGACTTTCTTTACCTTCCAAAACTTGATGGTTTTGTCATTAGTCGACAGAAGAAACAAGGCACCATTAGCTGACTGGCACCATCTGATCTTGTTGATTTTTTCCTCAATTTCCAAGCTCCTTAGATAATCAAACTAAATAAAACAGATAACATAAGGGCCCATCAAATCCTGATTTCAAAAGAACCGAAACAAATAGATTTGGAATACAATTGATCACATTAAAAATTAATGGAAAAGAAATACCTCAGGTTCATGACTTTGAAACTCTGTTTTGTACCGGAATTCAGGATGCCTATTGATTGAAAAATCCATCCTCTCTAGATCTCTCTGATGTCCACCATGCTACACATTATGATTTTACTTCAGGGCTATATTATAACAGCCAAACAAGTCTACAAATGTCAAAGAAAATTGCTTAAAGAAAACATCAAGTAGAAAAAACTTAGCATACATCCTTCGAGTCAGTTCTTTCAAATAAAACTACCCGGCCACCACGATCTCCAGTAGCAAGATGGTTGCCAGTTCTATCAAATTCAATAGCAGATATGATATCAACTGCAATAAAGTCCATGATAAAATAAAGTAAGAAGATAGGGACACATCATATTCAACTACTGTAATTCTCAACACTAAGATGATTCCAAGCAACATTGTCCAGTAAATGTGCCTTATGGCATAAAATATCCTTCAAAACATCTAACAATTAACTCCTCTCTGGTCATAATTCAATATTTCCATTGCTTAACCAGGATTAACATCATATACCAATTAACTCTTCCATGCTGCAATACTCCAGAATTAATATCAGCCAAAGATCATTCTCGTATGACCTATCAACATGTGCATGACACTCTTAAAACTCCACATGCATGACATTGCATCAACTCACAGTTCAAATCCAATTCAGATTCCATTAACAGCATAAACACAGATTGTATCATTAAGCTGAATCCCATACATGATAGAGTCCATCGTCATTTACTATTACTTCTGTCATTGGATATGCTATGTAACGTAAATTTGACACCAAAACCAATAAGTATACCCACGACTAAAACAGAACAGAAGAATTTTCAAGAATAATTCACCAATCCAACAACAATGAACCAAAAACAAGTTATCAAAAACCCTAATCAGAGATCGTACCTTCCTGTACTTCTTCACCAGCAGTACGTTCCCCAAACACCTGCGCAAATTTCCACTCCAACGGCTGCAGCTTCTCCACAGAAGCCTCTGTACTGCCACCACCGTTCATTCTGCTCTATATCTCTAACAAAATAGAAACCCCCACCAATACAACGATCCCCGAAAGTCAGATTCGGAATAACACAAATAAAAAAACCGTAAAAATCTCCATTTGGGATGAATAGCTCCTGATTAATCAACCATTAGAACCAGAAATATAGAGATTGAACGTTAACGAAATTCCACCCATAGCAAACGCGCATATACACTCTCTATACTCCTTTAGGAATCTCTCATCGATGCGATTTTCACACACGGACACAGTCTCTCGATTCTCTCTGTTAATTTCTTTTTCTTTCTGTGTTCCTCTTCTTCTTTTACTGCTCTGATGAAAATGAGAAAAGAGGAAACAAGATTGAAAGATAACGACGGACTGAAAGATGCGACGTAGCTTTTATGCTCTGATTATTGGCTTTATTACTAATTTTCTCAATTGTGTACTCTTCTAGATTTTCTTTTTGCTGCAATTTTTATTATTATTCTTAAAAATGTTGAAAGTGACGTGCATGATATTATATTTTTTTTATTATTATTTTTTAATTTGATTAATTATAGTTTCTACCTCATCAACTATTATTGATGGGATTGAAATTGAAATGATGCTTTGTTGGCGTAGATTACAATGATCCTACTTTAATCCAAGGTAGGAGTAGTTAAAAAGGGTGAAGCCATTTACTTTGTGTCTTTGACATGGGTTTTGGCAGCATACATCATTTCACTATTTTTCTGCCTTTACAATTAAATTATTACTATATATATATATACTGCTCTGATAAGAGAAAAAGGAGGAACAAGTACGTAGCCAATCGCGCACGAGAAGATGCGACGTAAGCGATTTCTATGGTTGGGCTGGATTTATATGGGCCTTATTACTAATGGTTTCTCATTGGTTGTAGCTCTTCTTAGATATTTCTGTTTTGCTGCAATTGTTTGTGATTATTATCTCTTCAAAAATGTTGAGAAGTCGGACGTGCAAGCTGAGTTTTTTTTTATTATTATTGTTTTTGATTTGATTAATTAGTAGTTTCTACATCATACAACTATTGTTATGGGCTTGGAGGAATTGAAAATGCTGCTGTATGTTGGCCAGTAGATTAACAATGGATCCTAGCTTTAATCAAAGGAGGATACCGTTTAAGAAAGGTGAAGACCATTTACTTTGGTGGTCTTTGACATGGGTTTGGTGTCAGCATTATCACTTCTACTCTATTTTTCTCGTCTCTAATTAAATATCTATATTTATTATGTTGTCTTTTAGTTGTTATTATTATATTTATTATTATGCTATTGTTGAGATAGTTACATTAAGTGTCACCACGAGCTATTGGGAAAGCAGTTAGCACATATGTGAGTGTAATGTGAGTATGTGTAGACGAATATGTGAGTGGAGTCAGGGGCACGGTGAAAAGTTGTTTTTATTGGTTTTCGCGTTGGGGAAGTTGTGTAATTTAGAACTGTTTCAATATACTTGGTGAGAAAACGCTTTTATCTCTTTGTGACTTAAAATTAGCAGTTTCAGGTCGAATCAATGTTGTAATAAGCGCATACTTAAAATTCAAAAAAAATAAATCAGAGAATTTACAAACATTTAGCTGGTTCACAGATCGATTATTGAATAATCAATATTATTTCTTGGACTCGTCGTGTAATTTCGCTATGTAAGATAAATGTATGCTGATTTCAGTAAATTATTTATGTATATGCGCTGCGAAGCTTAATTAGTGAAATAGTAATTTTATTAAAGTTGTAATTCAGTATTCATACATGGCTGAACCGGACTAGAAAACAAGTAACATTTTTAATCTGGCTTAGCAAATTACCTATACAAGTGGATAGTCGTAATGGGTGTAAAACGTGGCTTGTGCCTATATGATTTAAAAAAAAAAAAAAGAAAGAAAACACATTTTCTTTAACCGTGTCAATTACCATAAGTAAATCCAGAAACACATATGTGTAAGATGAAAAATTTAATTAGTAGTTGAGCCGTAATTTAGCAAACTATGATTTGATTTGACTTTTAAAAAAAAAAAAAAAAAAAAAACATTTTTTAACCGTGTCAATTACCATAATCAAAACACATAGTGTAAATAAACATTAATTATAGTTGACGTAATTTAGCAAACTATATATGATTTGATTGACTTTTTTTACTAGAAGTGAGAGGTCTTGAATTCAGTTTTATGAATCAATAAGAAAATTACCCCTACCGCGTAGCTCATCGTAACGCATAGTTAAAAACTAATTGTTTATTTTATACTTCTATCAACTTTTAATAAGTTTTTACATAAAATTTAATAGGAAACTTATTGTACTTATAAATTATTAATTCTAATAATATTATAGACCTTCCAATATTAGGAACATTTTTAAAAGTTTTAATTTTTATTTAAAAATATTAATTCGATGTGTGTTTAGTACTAAATTTTAATTGAATACTCAATAAATAATTTTGTAAGTTTAGCACTCATATTTGAAATAAATGAATTTCACAAAATTTTATGTAATTTATTTACAAATCTAAAATTTTATCTTTGAAATAAAAAAATATGAGATTTAAATTTTGCAAATTCAAGTACGTGGATTATATCACAATTAAGACATTTTTTTATTAAAATATGTGGAATTTATAAATCAATTTCATAAAGTTAGACCAACTCAAAATTTGTTTGACAAAAATATCTACATTTCTAAACTTTATAATTATTATATCAAATGTTTTTTTTTTTTTTACATAAAAGTAGCTTGATATTCAAATTTGAACTTATTTGAAAATGAAATATTAATCTGTAAATAAATTATACTTAGAATTTATTTATAAATAAATTTGAATTCATTCATACTAAATGGTACGAAAGCATGTACTTGGTATAATTAAAAATTGAATTATACAATGGAATAGAGTAAATGTTGAGAGTTATACAAGATTTTTGTAAATAGTACTGTAAGTTTTTTTTTTTTTTTTTTTACAAAAATAGTACTGTAAAGTTGAATTTATGCATTTAAGCCATTGGCATAAACACACTTATTCAGTATGAATCAATTAATTAACCCGCGATCAACATTTGAAAAGAGGGCGGTAAAAATTAAAGTAAAAACACCAGTTTAGTCTCTGGCTGAAATTCAAAATATGCATCGTTACCAAAATGCCCTGAACTTCCCTCTCCTCTGCTGTCCTCTCCCAATTCTTCCACACCTAGGGTTTTAGTTACACAAACCCTTTTCAAACCAAACATTCATCTCAACCAGTAATCAATCACTTTTAAGTCACAAAATCATTCAATTTCAAATCCCATTTCGCGTTGATTTTGGCTATCAAAATGGACTCAATCACACAGAATGACAAGTCAGACGTTTTGCAATCTATGCTAAAAGAATCAACTGACCGATTTTTAACCGAATACCGAAAAGGCGCAACCGATTTTTCAAATTTCGCTACCATATGCTCCCGCTTTCTACAAAATTTACCCGATCCACCTCTAGAAATCATCTGGTTTTACTCGGCTCTAGCTTCCCACTCCGCGAAATTGACCGCTCAAAAATCTTCAAACCACGTCTTTGTAGCTAAGGACTCGTTTCAGCTACTAGTTTCCTGCTCTTGTTCGTGCAATGCAGTTAAGAAGATTGCAGTACTTGCTCCTGTTATCTATGAGCTGCATAGTTTAGTTTCTGAGGGAAAAAGGTGGACAAATGAGATTGATAGTTTCTTAGAAGTGATTGTTAGTTATATTAGTATTTGTTCTGGTGCCAATTTTGATGAGAATGAAGAATTTGGGGCTCTGAGTTCTTGTCTTGTTGATTTGGTACGTGTTTGGCTGGTGGAAAATGTTGGGGAGAGTTGTAAATTTGGCGAGGAGTTAAGAGTGTTTTTTCCACTTGTTAGTGATGGAATTATAAAAAGGATCGTTAGTGAAGGATGTGGAATTGGGTATTTAGCTGGGATTGTAATGACTGAAGCTTTCTTGCTGAGGTCGTGCTTGAAATTTAGGTTGGGAATTTCATGGACAGAATTAGAGAAAGAATTGCGTGGTTGGGCAGTTGAAATGATAACTGCATTTCGAAATTATTACTTTGTTGGTGAGAATTTATTTATGTTATTTAAATTTTAGGTTGATTTAAGTAATCAAGATTCAATTTTTATCTTTTTCATGACAGATGCCCTTCTCAAGATGTTGCTGGAACCAACCTTGTCTGTCAGCACTATACTGGTTAGTATTTTGCCTTTTAGTTAACAGTACTTTCATTTTTTGTTTCTTTCTTTTTGACGTTAGTGTTTGACTACAGAATAGAGTGTAGAGACTTACTTGCTAGGTTGGCTAGGAATCTGGTGCCATTACCATGTTTAAAGCTCAATCTTATATAAGGAAACGGCCTTCTGTTACAACTCTTCGTCCTCTCAGTATTGGTTTGAGTTAACTGTATACATGGCAATGAAAATGAAGGAATATGAATTAGGAATACATGTGGAGCTTTTGTCCTTCCATCGGGTGATATAATCGGCTATCAGACGTTTGATATAATTTCACATGCGCTATAATCCTTAGCATCCTTCTGTATAGTATGTTGATTTTGTAATTAGAATGCAATCTGCAGGCATAAGATTGTGAGCTGTATGTATTGATTTGAGGCTCAGATCACTCATGCCTGTAGTCATTTTAATCAACTTTAAGCCTCAAAAAAATTATGCATATATAACCTTAATTCATGCTTCTTAACTTCCAAACTTGCTGATATTATTGTATATGAAAATTATATTGTCCAACTAACTCAGTCCTGCATTTTATCTGTTTCCATGCTAAGTTGTTATAAAGTACGTCAATTAGGTGATGCCTGAAACATGGTGTAGCATTGTTTAGCTTTTGCTACTTCCTGTAATATGATGTTTATAGTTCCACGGTTTCTATCTGATCAGTCTTCCTGAACAACTTAAAGGGTCAATTAATTCGTTTTCTTATCTCAGAATTCTGAAGATGAAGTTTTTTTGCGAAACATACTTTATGACACTGCAATGACAGTGGACTATTCCTTCCTTGGCCCTCAAAAAGGGATCCATCTACCTGATTTATGTTTGAAAAATCTTGCTATAACATGGTTGTTTGTTGCTGACAATGCCATACAATTCCTCAGGTGATGTATTTACCTTTTGAATGTCTAATAGGAGTTGTTTATAAGACCATCTCATCTGATTCATCTTATTGTTTGATTGGCCATAGGGATAATGGTAACCAGAGCAAAGTTCTTTCTTGCTTAATAGCATTTTCTGCATCTTGTCTACCATCTCAATTGATCAAGTGGGTAACATGCCAGCCAGGCATAGAGAGTGAAACAAGTAAACCAAAGGTTTCAACTCCTCTAGCTCTTATCAGTGAGTTCCTCTGTTATCTCTATCCTCGAGTTTGTTCACCTCATTTCTCAGAAGTTTAGCACCTCTTGCACTTTCTTGTCTGGTTATGATTCTCAGAAAGGAAATTATGAATGGAGAAGATCTGTGGTACCATTTTTAAAGTGGAGGATTAAATTACTTGACCAGCTGTCCTTCTGGGTACACTGTGGCACCGCCTTCTATACTGAATCGTGTCTCAGTGTCTTTGCTAATTTGGACAACTTTGGGTAGGAGCTATTTAGAGAGGAACCACCCATTTTGGAACTTCTCCGTTTTCAGAAATTTTATGCCATTTGCAATTAGTATTTATCTGATTTTGCTCTATTTTCCAGATTGGTTATTGACTCTCGAGGATCAAGGGGTAAGAGTATTTGATAGTGACACCTCAAAGATGTATGCAAAAACTGCTATTGGTAAATCAAAGATAGAGCATGGCCTCTCAATCAGGCCAGAGGGCAAGAATTTGATTGAAAGTCACTTCTCTCATTGCAGTAATGAGGTTAAGACGGATGATAAAGTTGATGGTGATCTAGAGATGTTAGATTCTGAGGGTGCCATGTTATTGGCTGCTCCCAGATTGCTGAAAGCAGTAGAAACTTACGGGACTAGGAAACGCAAAGACGGGAGAAAGGATGAAGAAGATAAACAAGTTAAGTTTGTGAAATGTAATATTAATGACAATTTGGTAGCAGAGAAAGTTTCACCATTAGAATATGATGATGCCTTGAACAGCGGGAGTGAGGTAGACAATCCAGTTTCTGATGAAGCAACAGAATATATGGAACAATAACATTAAATTATTGATTGAAGCGCAAGATGTGAAAACACTGCTGGGGAAAACCATTATTGGTAAGAGCATTTTGGGGGACACTTGTATTTTAGTGGAGAATGTGACAAGAACTATTGTAATTGTAATGGGATGTTCTGTGCTTCTCTAATAGAGACTTCAACACTAGAAGACAATTCCATTCCAGCAATTAATTTCTTTTTTGTTGGATTTATCCTCTTTTGAGTTATGTCAGCTACTCAGCGATTGAGCTTTAGCATATTGTAAGTGCGGCTTTTTACCGTATGATTGGGCTACAAAACCGAAAATTGGGCTGTTCGGTACATGAAATAGCCGTTGAGTATCCTGCTGACATATTGCCTTCCACTCGCTCCATTAGAGCCTCTAACTCTTTTCTTCTTGTTTTTTAATTTGGATTTTTTTATCATGAAATTGAGAAATTAATGTGTTGGCTCATCTTGCATAGTAGCTTTCAATGGTTTGGGAAAATTTTCAATGATATTTTAAAAAGAAAGTCTTTATGTTCACACTGAATATCATTAGGAAGGGGAGGGTCAAAATAACTATAATTTCCAATATTTTATATTTTAGTAAATTAAAAAAAAAAAAAAAAAAGTTCACAACTGGGGAATAAATTGGTAGTGTGTTATCATTCGCACGTAGCTACAACAGAAATATGAAGTAGAAGCTTATAAATTCACCAATAAGTTTATAATTTTAGTAAATAAAAAAAAAAAAATAAAAGGAGAAGCACTAGCTATAACAAGTTGAAGAGTAATAACCACTATAAGGGGTCACTGAGAAAACGGCTAAGAACAACAAGCCGTACGAAGCAAATTCTTCTAAAAAAAAAAAAAAAAAAGGGAGAACACTAGCTATAACAAGGGTGAGAGTAAGCTACACCACATAAGGGGTCATGAGAGAGCTAAGACAACAAGCCGTACGAAGCATCTTCCGGAAGATGAAAATCTAACGGCATAGAAAAAGTAAGACTCGCAAGTTAGTTTATATAAAAGTTAACCTCGCGGAAAAAAAAATCAGAATAATCGCTCTTTGTTCAGCAATTTTTTAAAATAACTTACAGTTAAAATGTTAAATGTTATTTATTTTTTAAATATTTTAATTAGCTTTTAAATGTTAAATGCTATTTATTTTTGAGTGTTCCGTAACATAGCTTGTAGAGATTAATATAAAATTTTATAAAAAATTAATGCGTAACATTTAACTTTTATTATTTTATGAAAAACTACTCACACAATTATAATAGCTAAAATAGTTACGAAATACCAAAACAATTAATTTTGCCTAACAAATCTTAATATTCATCTATATTTTTTTTAGAAAAAGTAAATTTTAAATAATTGAAATGAAAAATGGGTGATCGGATCAAGTAATTAATAGATGGATGAACCTTACCAATCAAATTTGTGTTTATTTATAAGAGAAAGGAGCCAATCGATCCATCCTTGTCTAATCTAATGTGAGCACTTCTCTCCATATATGTGAACACAATTACTTCATCACGTGTTATTCATGGTGTTATAGCTCCAGTCCAGCATGGTGTGGGTAGGTCCATCAAGTTTTAATTTCCAAGCTAAAGAACAAATAATTAATAAATTAATAAAAAATCAGTAAAACAAAACATAATCCCAACATAATTAAAGTACTCTCATCCATACAAATACAACATCGCTAAGCTAAAGCAACTTCATACATTAAACTTTGCTTAACAAAGGGAGAAGAAGAACGAATTGGATGCAAACTTGGCATTTGGAAAAAATGCCGCGTGGCATGAGTCACTTGTGAGGGTAATAACTTTGACGTGAGTGAGACGAGAGCCCTTAAAAAATACTATATATTTAATATTAAAAAGGTTATTTAAAATTAAAAAAAGGCATGAAACCTCACCAACCTTTTGCTTTTTTGGCTTTTTTTTTTGCTTATTTGGACAAGCCATATAGCCACATAAGCTTTGCCTTTGAGAGGCTTTTGCAGAAGTTTCTACTCTGTTCTTTTGCTTTACTTCGTACCCAATAATGCATGCAGGCAGATATTATACGTTAGTCCTACTAGAATTTGTATGTTCGTGGAGTGAAAATTATGTCACCGACACTCGTCATTTGGTGTTTATTTCAGATGGGAAAAGCTAGTGGACGTTCATGATTAGGACTTAGGAAGAAGAAACAAGAAATATAAATGTGATTTTTTAAAAATGATTTTCAGGGGAATAAAAAAGAAGATAAAAAATGTGTATGAACAAATTACAAATTACCCTATTAACCGTTAGCCGAATTGGATGGTTAAGACATAAAAATTTCTTATTTTTATTGAATTTAAAATGCCGCTATTTGAGATTTATTGCAATAAATAAATGGCAAATTATTATGTCATGATTATGACAAACATGATGAAGGCTTGAGTGTTAACATAAAATAATCCCAACCCAAATGGCACGAGTTGATATTGAAAAAATTAAGATTTATAATTAATTAGTGATAATTCCTTTTTTTTGATAAGCAGGTCATTATATGTGTTGTTGGTGAGTTAACAATGAAGAGAATTGGGACTTTAGAATAGTGTGGTACATCCTTAGTTCCTAGTCAAAAGATTCCAAACTTAGGACAATAAAAGAGTGTACTGCATATGAACCATGACTAGTTACAATCACTGGGACCTACTTAATTTTTATATTGTTAATTCATATAATTTATTTTATATAAATAGTGCAATTTTATTTTTATATTGTTAATTCTTATAATATAGTTTTTGAGCTCTAAATTAACCTTTCAATAACAACAACAGGTGATTAAATTTGATCCTTCGTATTAAATATAGTGTTATTGTTTACTCCTTATATTTACCATTAAATTACTATTTAGTCTTCCATTTAATGGTAAAAATGACATTTTACAAATGAAGGACGAAATAATCCAATTGAGATAAATTTCAATGATTAATAACTATTTTTGTCAAAAGAAATACTTCGAGAAAACGTTTTTACAAGGACTTTAAAACAGAAGCAAGAGGGACTTGTGGGTTACTGTCTGGTGAATGGTAATGACACATACCAACTCAAATAGAAAATGACATTTTTGCAAAAAAAGAATTGCATGCAATGGGACCCACTTTTGATCCAACCACATATGATGTTTCAACCACACAATCCTGTGGTTGAAAGAGCGACTTTCCATCTCGAAAGTGAAAAAGCTTTGTATTTTCCTCTTCATTTTATATTATTCTCAACCTCCATACATGTACAATAGACTTGGCTTTTGGCATAATAATAAGAAGAGAAAGAGTAGAGGATGTTGTAGAAACAAATAGGATATATCATAATCTGTGCTCAGACAATGCTGCAGTTGAAACAGACTTAAATAATTATAATTTTAAATTTAAATTATATTAAATTCATTAAGAATAATCTAATTCATCCTAATTTTATCTTAACCGTCGGAGGCCGAAAATCATTAATAGAATATATATATATATATATATGAAATCAGTTTAATAGAAATATATTATATATATAATTAATAATAATACTAATAAGTAAATAAAAGCCTCTATAATAATAATACTAATAAGGTAAATAAAAGCTCTTGCTCTATATGGTGACAAAAAGACTTATTCCACATTCTACTTTTTCTTTTGCTAAGGTTGAGCCCATTAATAAAAGTTGTACATGCAAAAGTTAAAGTCAAGAATTTAAGAAATGCTTGTTAAAGATGAACACTTAGGTAAAAGGTCAAACAAATGCAAAAATTAGTTTTAGAATTTAAGAAATCTAACAAATATTAGTACTTCACAAACTGTGTTTTCTTTTCACCTAATACTTCTAGATATCTTAGATTCTCATTTAGAAATAATTAGCTTTTTATGTTATTTTGTTACCAGAAACAATATTCTTCTTGGTCAATAATCCATTCCTTATACACATATCTCAACCAATTGTGATTATAAACAAAACTTTTGATATTTTTCTGATAATATTAACATGACTTGTTAAATTAAATTTATTAAAAGAAGATTGGATCAGCAGAAATAAACTTTATTTTTATACTAATTTATTTATAAAGTTAAAAATTCAAAGCATGAAGTCGCCACTATTGAGAGAGTTTTACTTGAATACTACCCATGTGACATAAATTATAGAATAAAAAATAAATTATTGGGAAATTAAAAAGAATTTGAGATAATACACTTCTAATTCAGGTAAAAGGGGGGAGAAAAAAAAATTATAGAATGTTTATTTTATATTATTTTTTATTTTTTATTCTTTGAGGTTAGCTCAACAAAGTTGATTTTAATTTTTATAATTTATAATTGTTTGATGACAACAATTGCCTCATATAAAATATTCCTAGTTTAGTCAGAAGTCAATGCCACCCAATAACCAAAACCAAACTTAAAAACTGAAAAAAACCAAAATAAATAAATAAGCAAAAGGGACGTATTTAAATGAGTACTATCCATAATCCGTGTCGATATCCAAAGGGGAAAAGATGGAGGGCAAAATGGTAAATGTGCAAAAACTGTCGGTCTAGATAACTCTGGTTAAATTAACCGGAGTCTCAGGTTACCCCCTTTGAGTACGGACCACTCGTAAGTTCCTCTCTCCATGGGCATAATCGAGCGTCGGTGACTCGCTACGAGTTGATTTTTTTTTTTTTTTTGGTTTTTTTTAAGATAGAGAGAGAATATTTCTTAGAGAGAGAAAATCTTTCACAGAAAGCGAGAGATTTTGATATTTAAGCTATGGAAGCCAAGCCCAAAGCATTCTCCTCTTAAGAGAAAGAGACAGAGAGACGCAGAGAGAGACAAAAGAAAGAGAGGGAAAATGGCAGATTCAAGCGACTCAGTCTCCATTGACATGGAGACTTTCCCTCTTGGTGGAAAGGTAACCCACATTCAAATATATTTATCTCTAATAGGTGTGTATGATACGGGAGATTGTTTGGTTGATGAGAAAATGCGGGAAAATAAAAGAGATGAGAAGGTTTCGAATATCAATATTTTTTTTTGTCATTTCTCTATTTTCACTAAAGGTTAAATTGATTGTTGATGGTTTTCTTTCTGCTTTTGTTTCTTCTTTCTTTTTTAAGATGCTGTTTAGTTCTATTTTTGGCAGGTAATTAAAATGGAATTGTGAAATATTTTTTCTTTGATTATTGTTGGTAACATCAATGTATTCTTTTTAATTGGTTGTTTTCATTGAATGAATTATTTGTAATGTTTGATTTCTGTACAAAACCTTTTTGGATGATGTATGTATACATAATATATATCTTTTTCAATTCCTATATGAAATGCAAACTATAGGCTTTGGAAGTTGGTAGTTCTGTTATTTGTCAATTTATTTAAATTTATACAATGAAAATTGCTTTTTCATTTGGTTATCTGGTGCATTATAATAATGTTTGTTTGTTTTCATTTAGCTAATATAGTCTTTTATATGGGCTAATGCTGTTTGGCTTAGATGCCAAAATAATGTTAACTCGATTTGGGAAATAATACAATTTTGAGTTAAGATCCACATTTCCTAATTGTGAAATTCTTATATGACTAAATAACGCAAAACTTGGTTAGGTTTCTGAGAAAAGAACTTCTGCACATGCAAAATCAATATGCTTGCCGAATATACTTAGTCTGGGTAGGGCTTAAGTATTCCTTTTCTCAACATGAGTAATGACAACCAAAAAGAGGTGTAGCTGTATGATGGGAAGTTTACCTTTTAAAAAATGTCATTTTGTTGAAGCTAACAAAAGGGGTACGTAAGCATTGCGTTTCAAATCTTACCTTATAACATTTCCATCTTCCCTAATTATCCAGAAAAACATCCATAAATATGCGGGTATGCTTATTCTGTTAGTTTATTTATTTATTGAGTTTTTGGGAGACTTAATGCTTTCAGAAATGTGCTTGCAGGAGTTCCTTATTAAAACTTGCTATGGTTGTGTATCTGTTTCTGTATATGGAGACCAGGACAAGCCAGCCCTTATCACATATCCTGATTTAGCTCTAAATTGTAAGTATGTGGAAACTAAACAGATCAATTGGTCTGGCAAGGTGGGAAAATACCCATGTTACCATCATCACATCATCAGCTTCTAGACGGCTATATATTTATTTGCAAAGATAAAATTTTCAAGTTTCTATATTGAGAAGACATAGTAAATCTGTGATTACTTGTTCCATTAGCTGCCTAGTCAGGAGTCCTTTTTTTTGTTTTTTTCTGCAGGCGTACCAGCTAACCTTTCTTTGTTTTGAGCAGATATGTCTTGTTTTCAAGGATTATTCTTCTGTCAAGAAGCATGTTCCTTGCTTCTCCACAACTTCTGCATCTACCATATCAGTCCTCCTGGGCACGAGGTTTGTAGTTTCACTGTTTTATTGTGAATTTTTTTTTCATTAAAAAAAAAAAATCTGCCTTGCTTTAGTAACTGTCATTATTGAATATTTTGATTTTACTTTATTTCTTACATGGCACTTTCTTCAAGAACTATTGCAGTTAGGAGCTCCTACAAGTAGCCCTGATGACCCTCTGCTCTCTGTTGATGACCTGGCAGACCAAATTGTTGAAATTCTCAACTATTTTGGGTAATTATGTTATTCTGCAAACTTAAAATTTCTCTCTCAAATGTTGGCTGCTTTACAGCATTATTTTCTGCTTCAGTCAAACTGTGTGGTGATATTTCTCATTTCTGTTGGCCAGTGATGCCTCTGGCTAGTTTTCTGAAGTGTATGTGACTAGAAACATTAACTCTGCATTTAGAGGCCTCAAGTTGTCTCCTCCTTTGGTCTATAATCACCTTTTTATCTGGTTATTTGGATAACAATGATGGAAATAAATTGACACGTACTTTTCATCTTCCCCACTTCTCAGACTTGGTGCAGTGATGTGTATGGGTGTTACAGCTGGAGCTTACATTCTTACTCTATTCGCTGTATGATTCATTCCTTGCAATAAACATGATTAGTTTGCTAATGTTTTTAAATTGTTTTGACTCTTGGGATTTACTAGTTTGGGTTTTTTTGTTTTGCTTTGCAACAGATGAAATATAGGCAACGTGTTCTTGGATTGATACTTATTTCTCCAGTCTGCCAAGCTCCTTCATGGACAGAGTGGTTGTGTAACAAGGTTTCTTTCCCAAACTTCTGTTCATTTCTGAATATAATGATTAGCTGCGGGTTAGGTATTGTTCTTAGACTTAATAGTGAATCATTTGCAGGTGATCTCTAAGTTACTGTACTACTATGGCATGTGTGGAGTGGTGAAGGAGTTCTTGCTCAAGCGGTATTTCAGCAAGGTATCCTTACGCTTTTAGTTTCTTTTCAAAAATTATGTGCTTGCAGAATGGAGTTAAATGATTGGTGTCTACTTGGTGACAGCAGGAAGCTCGAGGTAGTGTTCAAGTACCAGAATCAGATATAGTGCAGGCCTGCAGAAGAGTTAGTCATTTGTCCTTATTTCTTCATTTATCTATTTTCTTTGTCTTGTTTTGATGAATCATAAATGCTTATAAACCTGAACATACCCAACTAGTAATCAACAGTCTTGAAGCATATATTTCCCTACTTGATCGTGTTCTTGTTTCTTTTGTTAGTTGCTGGATGAACGGCAGAGTTTAAATGTTTGGCGGTTTCTTGAAGCATTGAACAGGTAGGGGCTCTTTCTAAGATAGTCTTTTCTGCTGATTGATTTACGCTTAACACGTATAAGTGATGAAAACATTGGTGCGTTACAGTGCTAGCTCTTGTTTTGAAATGACAGTTATTGTTATGTTTTGTTGTCTTGCAGAAGACCAGACATTAGTGAAGGACTGAGAAAACTGCATTGTCGTTCGCTAATATTCGTCGGGGATAGCTCTCCATTTCACTCTGAGGCCCTCCACATGACGTCAAAACTAGATAGAAGATTTAGTGCCTTAGTTGAGGTATGTAATAAACATTTAATGCTTGCAATTTTTAAAATTTGGTACTACAGGAATATATAGAATGAATGGAAAGAGTTATGTTTAACGGAGGGCTTGGGGACCTACAGGTTCAGGCATGTGGATCCATGGTGACAGAGGAGCAACCACATGCCATGCTAATACCGATGGAGTACTTTCTGATGGGATACAGTATGTACAGGCCGCCTAAGTTAAGTGTCAGCCCAAGGAGCCCTTTGAGTCCGCTGTGTATTTCCCCCGAGCTCCTGTCTCCGGAAAGCATGGGCTTGAAGTTAAAACCAATAAAAACAAGAATAGCTCTGGAATTCTGAAAGGATTTGGATTGCTGGCAAAAATGCTTTTTGTAATCTATTTATTGTATTTTTCTTTGATTGGTTGGAGAAGATAAAACGCGAGAGGTGGGATTGTTAGAAGATTGTAGATAGAGTAAAAAGAGAAAAAAATTACAGGGGGAATATTAGAATATTAGAAAGAAAGCAGAGATGGCCATTCTTTGATTTGTAATCATAAGTGTTAGTTGAGGTTGAGGAGGATTCAGTTAATTGTAAAATCCTTGAAATAATTTTTTTACATTTATAAGCAAATGATAATAATAATAATAATAATAATAGCAATAAAGGGTGAACGTTATACTTGTGCTTTACTCAAGTTGGCTTCCACGTCAATCATTTCTATTTGTATATTCTTTTCTTCACAATGTAATAGAGCTTATTGCTAGTTGAAGCAGCAATCCCTTTGAATTCGCTTTTTTTGATTTTGACTTCGGCTTAATAATGTAAGGCGAGAAGAGCTATGTGCCTTTCATTTCTTGAAGTGCTGACAGAAAACTTGTCGGCACTAAATTGGGGACGCACACAGGAGATTAGAAAGGGCCTATAATTCCCATCTCTTAGCAACTTGCAAGCAATAATCTATTCATGCTTAAAGATGAGAATTTGATCCATTCATAGAGATATCAGTGCTTTGATTCTAACTTGATGGAGAATCTCTAACACTAATAGTGGCAGGAAGAGGTTGCGATTAGGTCACATAGCATTTTATTTTTCTCTATGGAGCACTAAAATATACTCCATCCTTCAGTTAGACGAAGAAATCAAGGGATAGATTTTGAGGAGGTGGAAGTTAATCTGGTATGGGAAATTAGAGATTAACACTCCCTTTCGCATAAATGAAATCCAATTGTGATATTCATTTAAAACTGAATTATAGATAGAATTCATATTTCGAATAAATTTAAGAATTTTGTTTTTATTTCTAAAATACATTTAATATAATAATTTTAAAATGCTAAGAAGTTGGATAATTTTGTTATAAAGTCTTAAATTTTTAAATTTGTGGAATTCATTTGTAAATTACGCATCTTTTTTAGTAAAATTTGGTTTGTTACATTCGAATCTTACAATTGATTTCATAGAATTTAATTCTTTATTTTTTTTCATGTCAACACAAAAATTTGGATTTATAAATGAATTTCACAAAAGTTTATGGAATACATTTATTTGAAAGGTGAGAATAATTAGTTTTTAAGAGAAACCAAATGAATTATCCAGTGTTATGTTACTAGACGAGCAAATGAGAAGATCACCATTATTATATGCTGGTGGAGTCTATATCATGTCACTAGAAGGATGGCTATAAACTGATATGCTCATTTTATTAATGATATCATTTTCCATGAGAAGATCACCATTATTCCACTGAAAGATTGTCAATGAAAGAGTCACTTTCGTTGGAAAGTCATTTCCATTGCAAATTTATGGACTCTACCTCAAATCATTATTGAGCAAGTGAATTATATATAGCCAGACCATTTTACTAATTAGATTAAGAATTTGTTCATAGCAGTCTGAAATTTGAAAATATCATATTGATCTTCATTACAATCTAGCCAATAAGATTTAGAGTTGTACTGCTATTAGCGAGGAATTGGGAGGGGATTTCTGGTACAAACATCAAATGCAGAGATTGAACTTGTCTGGAACTTACAATCAAGTGGAACCAATGGATCATCTGGTCTTACATTATAATCCTCTTGGATGATGATGGTGTTGATTGCATTCAGAAGATTGGTGCTTAGCTCCTCTCCATCACTCCATTCTTGAATATTTGCTTTAATAAGGTTTTTATTCCCATTTCCATAAATGAAATCACAAAGTGGGAAATTCTTCCTTGGCATTACAAAATCTCCTTCTTCAAGCTTTAATGTTGCACAAAAATCTGGAGTTCCATCACCAACATAAATGAAACGTTTCTTTCCTTCACTACGAACAGAAGTTCTGATTCTTTCCATCACCAAACCCTATTGACGGGAAGGCAATATATATAAATATAAATATGTTAAATTTGAAGGAATACTGTTATTAAAGAGAAAGCAATGGACTTGCCTTGCACATATTTGGAGGGCAGATAGAACATCCATGAGAAGATGACTTGGAATCATGGTATTGCAATATTTTAAGTCTTCCTTCTTCATCAACATAGCTTGGATTTGTATGGATCTCAGAAAAACAACCTATTATCCCATGTTTTTCCAAGATTGTCTCAATGAAGAAGGTATTTGCATCGCTTACTATCCTCAAATCACCCCTGAAAATTTTTGCACAATATATACGATTAATAAATGCAATACACAGAACACACATGTCTTAACAGATGAGTTAGTACCCAGAAGCATAGGCAGATTTGATTGCTGAAAGAATCTTGGAATGAAATGGAACCTGTATCAAGCACTCTGCAATATCCTGAATTGTCTTCTTCCGGGAGTGAAGCTCTGTCATCATCTGATCCTGAAATATTATACAACTATATGAGATTTAGTTACATTACTATTGAACTCAATTGTTTAATGATCCGAGTGCTTTTTTATTAGTTAAAAACACAAAACATATATTTTTATTTTATTAATTGAGGTCAGGCTAAAATGTGATCATTTTTTGTAATATGTAAATATAAAAGGAGGAGAGGAGTTAATAAGAAACCATGATAGAGTTCAAGGGCAAGGTAGGGAGAAGTTGAAGGAAGGTGTCATTAACGCCAAGCTGTTCGACTACCCAGTAATCACTATCACAATCAATAAGTGTCTCGTCAAAGTCGAAAACCACCAGCGCTTTAGCCATTGCGCCACCGCCACCGCCACAGCCACCGCCACCGTCTTTAATTTCCTATAGAGATGTAGAGAGTGAGTTGCTGGGAGGGAGGGGAAGAGGGATTTTATATGAGCAGAAAGCCAATTTGATCACAGCACAGCAGGCACTAAAAAGCAGTATTGTGCATGCATGTAGTGGACACAATTAATTTTTTGTTTTAACTAATTTAAAACGGAAAGAAAATGTTATTATAAAAAGAAAAAGGAAATTATATTTGGGTATGTGTGATGATTACAATTCTGCCACGTAAATAAGAGAGTCCCCTCTATTCTTATAATAAAGTAACTCGAACTCCTAGTTGGATGTGGAATCCAAACTCTTCTTTTTCCTACTTTGCATACCAGAATTATTTCTCAATTAAAAGGAGAATTAATTATTTTTTTAATATATATACATATATATTTATATATATATATATAATGTTTTGTTTATTTTGATTCTGACAGTATATTGAAAGAATATTCTGAGTTTAATCATTTTGGCTCAATTTTCACTTTAATACACTGAATATTCAATTTATAAAATTATACATATTAAATACCTCAAATATAAAATAAAACCAATTAAACACTTATTAAATAACTAAAATATAGAAAAATTATTATTGCAAAATTGCACTTCTTAAATATCAAATTAATATTTCACATATAAAAGTAAAAAATTTCAGGATAAGCAAAGTCAATTTTAAAATTTTAAGTGTTATAGATTTCAGGTTAAACTTGGGAGGTTGAATCATTTATTTGGCCCCCAAAATTTCAAAAATTAGAGTAATTTCTTATATATTATGTAGCAAATATGCAGTTTAGCACCAATTATTATTTTAATACATTTCCTTTCTATTATTTATAGCGGGACTGGAGACCCCATCATGCTCCTGACCTAAAGGCAACCAACAAACCTCACCAGATAATTTTCTTTATCCTTTTCTTCATTAAGACAATCACGAAATGCCATAACACACGGACTAAAGACAATCCCAATGTCTCTTATCTTCTAATTTTGATGATCCCATGTAATTAAAAATACAATTTTGATTTATAATGCACTCAATAAGTTTAATGAATTAAATTCGAATAATACACATTTGACGGGCTAAGCTCAAGCTCAATACTTCAGAGCTACAAAAATTTTCACTGTTAAAGAGAAATAATTAAAGAAAATGGCTATGGGCATACAAAATAATTGCATTCTGATGATTCGTTCAATGAGAGATCTAAGATCACCCTAAACTCTAACTTTATAGAGCGTTTATGTACAGTCACATCCATTAATGGATGATTTTTCTTTTCCTGCCCTCTACTAAACAATAATAACTAATTAATGCTTTGTCCCATTACCTACCTTTCAATTTTCAGTTCACGTTAAATCTTAGATTGCTGATGCTGATGTGGTTTCTCTGATTGCTGTTGCTTCCCTCATCTCCTTGTCTGCCTTTCCTCCTGTTCATCTCAGCATACATTTCCTCGATCATTGGTTTCCATAACCGAACTCGGGCATTAATAAACCAATTGGAAACCTGCTCATATTCCAAAATTTTGGATAATAAACTATCAGATTACAGAACAAATTATGACTAAAAATTGTGAGTTGTATCCAGGCTTGTTTGAGTGTGAATTCAAATCCTAGAGTCCGTTTGTTTTTGTAAAATAATATGCTAAAAAATATTTTCATGGAAAATATTTTCCTTCAAATAACTTATTTTCCATTATTTAGTTGTAATATTGAAAGTTAGTTTGTTTTTGTAAAATAATATGCTAAAAAATATTTTCATGGAAAATATTTTCCTTCGAATAACTTATTTTCCATTATTTAGTTGTAATATTAAAAGTTAGTTATAAATATTAAGTCTTCATCTCATAAGACCATAAAAATATTAATAATAAAAATTTTATAATTTAAATATTTTATTGTTAAATATGAAAACAAAGCAAATATATATATATAATAAAAGCAAGCTGGTGACCAACGGTGACCAGTGGTGAATGGTAGATTGGTGATAGTGACTATGATAATTAATAAATTAAAAATTATGATTTTATAGGGTACGCCAATATCCGGAAAAAATTTTACTCGGAAAGTTATTTTCCTTAAAAATGACCTAATTCTCCATTATTTATTTTCCTGAAAGCCCAAACAATGTAAAATTATGAAAAATATTATTCTGCAAGTTATTTTACAGAAACAAATATAGGCTAAGACAAACAAAACAATCCACATATATATAACCTGAGATTTTATATATACCTGGCTTCTTGTTAGTCCACTCTTTACCGCGAGCAAATGCTTCTCTGCATCTTTCGGGTACCTGAAATACATTGAATGTATTAGAGCGAATGGTTAGTGCGTAGTATCGGTAAACCTCTCAAAGTAGTCCAGAAAATATGATTTTTGTGAAATGTTATGTGAAGTAATTGAGCTCACGGGTGAAGGAAGTTCTGAAACATCCATGCACGTAGTACTGAGACAGATCGTTCAGGCAATCCCCTCTGGGGTCTCCATAGTTGATGCTCTCTTTTCTTCAGTTGCTGAAGAGACCATTGCTTTTGGAGATAAGAAGTTTCAAGAGATACTTCTGTCCCTCTCGCACCTGTAAAATCAAAATGTGCTCCCATTGCTAGGATTTGATTGCTAATCCTCTCTCTAAGATTTTTGTACATAAAGGAGATTGTTTGGAGAGCAAAACGAGTATGCATTTGAGGGTCCAACTCGGTTGCAGCATGGAATGCAGACACAACTGTGTGTATCTCATCCAAGCATCGGTTATACCGGTCGTCAACCTGAACGTAGAATAGTAATGAAAGTGATGTCTGGTTAGTGTACGCAAATATTAGTGCAACAAATGCAACCAAATTATAAGCAGAATGGTAGCAAAACAAAATGAGGAAGTTGAACAGTTATGCAATTGTCTCCATTGAATTCAGTTCTGATCTTAAAGATTGTGCATTTTTTCGGTTTCAACTCTCAATATCTAATCTCAATCTACTAAAGCTAGTTTCACATTGCACTATGCATGCATCCTTCATTCATTATAAAAAAATAAAACATGATTCTAAGAGCATCAAATTACCAATTGAAGTAGAGTTAGCAACTGTGTTTTCTTTGCTTCAAGTGCCCGCTTCTGCAATGCCGGATCAACTTGAACTTCAAATCTATCATTCACATTAGGCGATTCGTCAGGACCCATGGGATACATCCCTCCCTCCACAGGGTAACTCGAAGAGAATAGCATATTCGTTCCCACCTTGATTCCGATAGATGAGAAATTCATTTGGTCTAAATTCTCCAGTGAATAGCTTGCAATTTGAGCTAGTATCTCCTGTATTAATTGAAGATATCTGGACCCTGATATTACATGTGAAAATTGACCTGCCCTGTATGAACCACAACTCAAAGAAAGCTCCTTGCAGCTTGAAGAAGTTTGTTCTGACCCTAACCTTGTTTCTTTGAAGCAATGGCGTGTTACACCCGAACAACTTATTTCCGAACACTGATCAGCAATATGACTCCCATTTATACCAGAAGGTTGGGATGTAGCCAGACTTAAAGATAGTTCATTACTAAACTTACTTGAACTGTAAAGATTATCAGTGTTCACATTCACGCTATTTGAAGATATCCAACTATTTGGCTCCATATCTCCTATGGAAGAGTAATTTTGAAACCCGGTTCTTATAGGAGCAGAAAGTCTGTTAACTTCCTCTTTCGCATTCACATTACCAAACACTTCATCGCAGGAGTAATTGACAGAGGAGGCAAATGAAGAATTCAAACCATGTGAGAGATCATTATTGGAAACATAACTTCTTAAAACCTCTGAAGGATACATTGAAGGTTCTGAAATAGCTAAGCTGGTCAAATTTTCTTGAAGACCATTTCTTGATGAGGCTACAATAGTAGCTAGTGCAGGACCGGAAATCGGAAATTGTTCTTGAAACTCCTCTTGATCTCTTGCAAAATCAACATTTCCACTTATGGGCGTTCCTCGCAATGTAGGAAGCACAGTATACCCATCCAAATTTTGGTTTTGGTTGTTGAGGTCAAATGAATCGAAGAAAAGCGAGTTTAGAGTCATTTGTGATCCAATTCCTTCCATGGAAATGGAATTCCTGCTGGACATGTCAATAGGAGCATTAAACAGACGGTTTTCCATGACAACAAGGCATAAAATAGTTTCAAAATCTTCTTATGTTCTTCTGTATCATTTGCAAAATCACAGTAACGTGCCAGCAGAAGCTAGTTCTTTCTAGTTTTTGTGGGTAATCTTTCAAATCTCTGATGATCTAAAAATCAAGTAACATCCACCTAGGGAAAATTTACAATAAAGTGGAAAAAGTTAAAACTGGTTTATTCTTTAAACAGGGAAAGCATGGAAAAAAGCTCATTATAACTTTGAAAATTTTCATTTATTCAGAACATTCACATCAAGCTTACACAAAAAGCACTGCACAAGCTCACTGACACACACAAACCCAGAAACAAAGTAAATGACCATGTTTAGAAGGAGTTGTAGTCAGTCAATTTCTATGAAAGCTGAAAAACAAATGTTCATCAATAACTCAAGTACATTGAACCAAACAGCCCACTATATGCAATTTTTCAGAAATAAACAGCTATATCAGAACTAAGCTGTACACAAGCGATAAGGCTAAAAAAATTGAAACTAGCAACAGATACAAAGAAAAGGGTACTGAAAGAAAGCTAAGTAAAGGCTTAAGTAACTATATAAACAATATCAACTAAAATTTTTACAGCTAATTAAGGAAAGACTAACCTTGCATTCATTTCCTGAAGAGGGATACACCACAAAAAGGAAGCCAAAGTTTCACAAGCAGGCTTGTAGAAAGAAAAATAAAGTGAATAACTTTATTGCAGATTCATAGGAATTTCTGAAAGCAGGCATGAGAAATTTTTCATTTTTTTAAGTATGTAAATACATATACTTAAAAGACAAAATGGTCAGTTTACATATGGTGATTGATACTACATATATATTGGGTTCCTTGGAAAACCAAAGACAAGGCTATTTCAACACCAGCTTATTATTACCATAGAATCATTGGTCTCTCTTTCTCCATGAAAGAGTATATATAATCAAAAGCCGGAAAAACAGTGGCAACTTTTGTTTTTTTCTTTAACAAAAAAGAGAAAGAACAAGGTGGAGAAAAGCCAACAGAGACTCATGCAGTCACTTTTCTTTTCTATAACAATAAAAAAAAAAGCGGATTAATTTAATTTCCTTGCATGATCAGGAAAAAAGGGGGTATTCTTCTCTTCAAGGAACCCAAACCCAAGAAACTGAGATTCAGATTTTCAGAAAGACCTCTCCTTTCCTCTCCTACAAGAAAGTATAATTATAAATTTCAAAAGCTAACAATAAACACAAATGGGTCTTGCAAATAAAAGGACAACCATCTCACAAAATTCACTAAAAGCAAGAAAGAGAGTGTTAAAAAGCCAAAAAAGGTTCTGCAGTGAAGTGGGAGATGCATGAAATGGACCCATTCATTAAAGATTTTAGTAAGTATCAAAGAGAGAGAAAAAAGAAAGGAGCCACACACACACACACACACGAGAGTAATAACAACAAGATAGAGAGAGAGAGAAATAGGAGCAAGTTACTCTTTGGGGCAGTGCCACTCATTTCCGTTGCAGGCTTTAGAGGGCCCATCCCTTCCGTCTCTTTGTCCTCCTCATCACCTCTCATTTTCTGCTTCTCTCTCTGTAATCATCATAATCAAAATATCTCGATTCTCTCTCTCCACCCCCGCTCTCTGTTCAAACTCCTGTTCATGGCAGGTTTTTTCAGCTCCATTTTTCAGAGAAAAAAAAAAGTCCTTTTCTCTTTTAGCCATTTTAAGACTATAAGGTAATGTGACAAGAAAGAAGAGTAAATAGGGTAAAGAAAGTTTTACACTTCTCTTCACAATCTAACAAAGTAAATAAAAACAGAAAAAAGAAAATTAATTTCTTTTCTATTTTCTATACAAATCCATAAGATAAAGAATACTACTCCACTGTTTTAGCAGTGTACTATCATGGAGTTCGGTGATGCAAGCAAAATCTTTGACGAATTTACTAAGCAATTATTAAAACCTATATATCTACTTATTTTGTTTTGGGTTTCTTTTCTATGAGCCAAACCCTATCACAGAGTGTAAAAACATATGGTCCATGATGATCATGATTATTATCTACAGGAAAGACTTGTAATATTGATGTAAGACTGGTATCAGGTGTTCTTTATGATCTGATCTGTTGTTTCTTTCTTGCATCTTTTCTTTGATTCTTTTAGATTCTTGAAAATCCATATGGTTAGGTTTTTTTTAGGATCTGATGTGATTATTCAATGTTTGCGTCTTGATGATGACTGTCTCTTTGTAATGTGATTGTAATAAAAGGTTGGCTGCGACTGAAACCCAACTATAGTAATTGTTCCTGTACTTGTCATTACTCCTTCATGTTCTTGCCCATTCGCTATACCTGAGCCTCACTGATGTAAGGTAAGCCCTGCCTCACCAAAGCACGTTGGTTCCTGAATTTTTAATTTAATTTAGGTTAATTTGAAGCGTAAAATTTGGAATTAATCAATTTTATCTTAATGTGATTAAATTTTTATTCAATTTTTTATTTCTAAAATATTTTATCATTTCAAAAGAGAAACTGATTTTTTTTTTTTTTTTGCTTAAACATATTCAGAAATTAGTTTTGAAATAAATTCGATATCTAATAAAAATTTAAAGGACCAAAGCATTTATCATTTTTTTTTTTACCATGAAACTCATCAAAGATTTTGATTATATGAAATTTATGATTAAGTGGCTTCATCATTAAATTAGTATTTTTGAGTGTCTATTCATAATTTAAAAATTGCTGAGTTTAAATTTTGATTTTTTAAATTTTAATATATTAAATAATTATTAAAAATATTATTAAATAAATATCCGAATAATTATAATATTCATAAAAAAAATTAAACCATCTCATTCTAGATTAATGCTAACTAATACGATAGTTTTAATGATTTGTTAAATTAGGATAAAATTAATAAATTCAATAAAATTGCACACGTGAATATTTATTATTAGGACTCGTAAACGTAAACTGCAAAGCAGTGAAAAGAAAGTATCTACGCGATAATAAACACAAGAAAACAAAGATTTATTTTCTTTTCAAATATTTTAATCCAACTTGGAAAGTAAATAAGGAAGTTGTTCAATTTTTTTTTTTCCCGAACGAAATTTATATTTTAATCAATGCTAATCAATTAGTTTATAAATAAAATATAATGGATTTCTTAAATTTTATTTAAATTAATATTTAAATCTCTGCATTTGAAAAATAATTATAACATCTTTAATTTCTATTTTAGTTTTATAATTAGATTATTTTGTTTAAAGAGTAAACTATTTCCGATTAGTTAGATATATTTTTTAAAAGTAATATTTTGAAAAACTCATTTTATAAGTGAGAGGATTAACAGTAAGATAAAAAAATAAGTGTAATTTACACTTATTCAGTGATATTAGGCCATAGAAGATAGAAGCCTAAATAATTTACCATAAAAAAAAAATAAAAAAAAAAAGTTAGAGTTGCAGTGTATATTATACCGAAGAATTCTTTGTAATTTACCAAAAATTATATTTTATTATATAAAGGACAAAAAAGTTGTGCAACTTTGGCAGATTTACCAATTCCAATCTAATAATTGAACTGGATAAGCTCTTCTTTCTAAAACATCCATTTCTGTTCAGTGCTTCAGAAAATCCTAACGTTTTCCCAAAACTATTTAAGAGTGAATATTTGAAACTTTTAATTACTTTATCCTCTGTTATATTTATAAAATTATTATATCCCCAAATAAATGTTATATTTATGAATTTTGGAAATAATAATTTTTTTTCATTTCTATTTTTTGCAAATGGAGAACATTAATGGTTATAATTCTTATTTATTATAAATAAAAGTGGTATAATCGATTTATTTAATAATTATTATAAATTAAATGATTTTTTTAAAAGACAAGAAAAGTAAAAATGCCAAGGTGATTTATTTTTTAGAAAAATGGAGGGAATTAAAAAATGCATTATTTTTTGCCGATAAAATTGAAACATTTCATTATTTTAAAGATTTTTTTTTTTTCTTGGGTACGGGGGTCCACCCCTGGACCTCTCCGTCTCTGAGCCCAATACAAGAAAATGGAAATGGGAAAAGGAAATTTAACCTGAAATTACGCAGTAACTTATGCTGTTAAGTAACTATTTCACCTGTTTTTTCAACTAAATCCATAAGAAACAGAAACTGTAAATTATAGAAAATGGAATTATATAGGGTGAATTGGCCAATTATGCTATTCTGTTACACTTAATTTTCAATGGCTCTAATAGATAATGATTTGACGGTTGATCGTTCCATCATAGTTAAGTACATGTACATCATCTTGTAGTATAAAAAAAAAAAAAAAAAAAAAAAAGAAAATCGGAACATGGGAACTAAGGAAATGTTAAACCTGAAAGTTAGCCGCATGTGCTAACATTATGGTGTTTAAGTCAACTATTTCACCATGTTTTTTGCAACATAAATCCATAGGAAACAGAAACTGTAAATTATTAGAAAATCGGAATTATAATAAGGGCTGAACCATTGGCCAATCTATGCTAATCCTGTTACACTTAAAGTTATTCAAAATGGCTCTAATAGATTGATTTGTAGCGGTGATCGTTCCTATCTATAGTTACAGTAATGTACATTCATGCTTGTAGCTATAAAAAAAAATAAACAAAAACAAAAAGGATACATGGGCTATGTATCTATATAGATTATTGGTCTTTCTTCTCCTTTTTCGGCAATTCATTTGTACTTTTTTAACAAATCTCCATTTTGCAGCATATGCTGAGAATCTTAATTACACATGTAAAAAGAAAGGTAAAATTGCATTTAGAAAGTATATACGGGACACCTTAAAAGACGTGGACTATAATTGGGGAAAAAAAAAAAAAAAAAAACAAAAAGGATACATGGGCTTGTACTAATAGATATTGGTTTCTCCTTTTCGGAATTCATTTTTTACTTTTTAAAAACTCCATTTTCAGCATATCTGAGAATCTTAATTACAATGTAAAAAAAGGAAAAAATTGCATTTAGAAAGTATAACGGACACCTTTAAAAGACTGGACTATAATTGGGCCCAATTATGGACCCAATAGACATACAAAGGCTAATAACATTTTATTTAAATATAAAAATGAAATACTAGAAAACTATTCACCAAGATCACCCGTCTTCTCTCACTAATGGGATCAGTGGAAGATACCGTGTTTGAATTATTATTATTATTATTATTGCATTATCAAAATTATTTTTAAACTAGCTTGCATTTTATTAACTCATATACTTTATTTAATCAAGTTTAAAAGTGCACTTCCAAATTCAACATGTAAATTTTCGGATTAAAAAATTCTGATTAATAAGAGAGAGAACTAATTAATCCATCATTGAAATATTTTCCAAAATATAAATTAAAATATGGAATGTTCGGTGATAAATAGATTGCATGAATTTGTCTGCATAAAGAAAATGAAGAGAGGGTTGTAAGTCACACGTCCTTTAAGGTTGCTCACAAGTCTCCGTAAGGCTTTATCTCTTTGTGTTTGCTTTTTGAACAGTTGACCTTCAATCCAATCCCTCACGAAAAAGCTGAGCTTTCACGTATCTTCTTCACCTACAAATTACATTTTTCTTTTTCTTTTGTTTTACATGTATTCATACGTAGACTTCATCAAAACTAAGAAACGTATATAAGGACATGTTTTATATAATATTGTTATGTTGCTATCTATACTGATTTCTTATAGAAAAAAGAAAATGACATGAATATTATAATTTCTGATTTGCTCAAACTTTTATTCAGGAGAAAATTAATTTATTATGACAATTTAATTAATATTAATTCCTATATACGATTTGTAGACAATTCTTATACGATATAATTTATAAAAATAATAAAAAAAGAAATAACTAAAATATACAAAAACAAGTACCAACTGCTAACCTCTAAAAAGACAAAAAAAAAAAAGGCACAACTTGCAAATTAAAGCCATACTGACCACAGAGATATCGCAGCCGCTGCCACCACCACCGCCTCCGCCGCCGCAGCAATAATAAAATTATTCATGTCCATGCAAAGAAGCCATTGCTACAACAGCAAGCTTTTGAAGATTCAACTTAACAACAGTATCGACAAACATCTTTGTATCTTCACCGGTATTTCCGTCAGGTATATCCACTATATAAGATTCCAAAACAATAGTATAAACCGTACCATCTTTATTAAATTCATTAACAGAAGTAACAGAGCGATAATTATTTAGCCTATGCTCGCCGCCAACGACCCTAAAGCTTATAATATGTTTTTCGTCATCCAAAATCTCTAATCTTTCGGTGCTTGTAGAAGCCGGTAGACCAGAAACTACAGTAACCTCTCTTACGCTGCCTACGCCGCCATTGCCTTTCATCATATTGCAGCTTTTGATGAAATGTTTGTATTTGTGAGGGTTTTCAAAGCTGCGAACGAAAGGCCAAACCGCTTGAACGGGTGCGTCAATGCGTTGTGTTATTAAAGAAGTGCATGTGTTGGGTATTGGGTCAAATTTGTGGTATGTTTCTATTAATGGCTTTAGCACTGCATATTCTTCTTGGGTTAGGCCGTGTGGTGACGATGGTGGTGTTTGGTTAGGTTCCATGTTGAAAGAGCTTAGGATTTAGAATTATTGTCTCTTTAATTGGGTGTTTGAAGAAAAAATTTTGACATGCACCGACTTGAAGACGATGATGATGATGAAGAAGAAGAAAAATGGGTTCATTGAAGAAAATAGACAAGGAAAGAGAAGGTGGGTTCGCCATCTATATTTAACATTGGGAGTTACTTTTTTGTTTTTTCCTTTCTTTCTTGGACAGATATGTCCTTTGTCAGCTTTATTTTTACGGCATTGATTAGATTTCTATATATATATATAATATTTTAATTTATATTTTGGAAAATATTTCAATTTTTATGCTTTACTTACTCTTGTCATTTTCACTCTATTAAGAAAAATTAATTATTTATTATTTTAATAACTATGAACTATTTTATTAGCTTTTTATATAATACGTTATATTGAGTAAGTTTTACGGTACATTCTTTTAATTTCTAAATAATAATATGAATGTCAGTCTCTGATCATTATAAAATAATAAAAATATTATTTTAAAGGTTAGAACACTAAATTTTATCTCAAAACCTCTAGTCCAACAAAACGATTATACTTTTTCACTTCTATTTTAGAAATTTGAGAAAATATTTTTTTTTTCAATTAATACCTTACATCTTAATATTTCCACTAAGTAAGCATTAATCATTTAAAATAATTTAATCAATTGTAACTATTATTTTCTAGAGCTGAAGTAGTTGGATGATTTCTTTAGTTATTTTTCATGAAATCAATGCTTTTAAAATTTATTATCAAGTCAATAATTTAATGATAAAGTATCTCTGTCGTAGTAATTGTGATCAAAGTAATCAAATGTATAAATCTTTATACACTAACTCTTTTCCATAATACTCATCACATTTGGAATTTCATGTCATTTAAGAAAATTATTCAATTTGTTTAAGTTATAATAAATTATTGAGTAAATTGATCATATTACCTTTAATTTAATAATAATTCTTTAAAAAAACTCTTAAATTGAAACAATAATTATTATCATATATAAAGATTAAATATGAAAAAAAAATATTTATTACTCATTGAAACTATAAATATGACAAGTATTTTGAAAAATAGATAATAATATATATATATATATTCAAAAATATTTTAGATTGGGTATATATTTATACATACTCGATCAGTAGTTAATGGTAAATTTAAATTATTTCGTCTTTTTCGAATAAAGAGATATACATATCTTATTACCCAATTTATTTACAAATTTACCAAACATATACACTTGTAGCAATTTATTTTAATTTACATAACTGATTTTGTCCTTACCATGTTTGTCCTTATATACCTTTAAAGTATGATTTGCTAATATAAGAGAATAAAGGGAGGTGTATTAGCATAACTATATTGGGAAATTATTGGTTTAAACATAATAAATATTTATTTTATATAATACATATATAAGTTTTAAATTAAACTTTGTTGTGCTTATCTTTGGGGAACATGACAAAAAGACAATTTAAGCTACAAGATATGGATCTAGTACCAACGTAATTAAGCTTTATAAAGGATTCTCAATTAGTTTAATCAAAGTATTAATCGGTTTTTTAATAATTAATTAATACTTTAACCATGCAGTAAAATGCTGTCCCTATAGTCATATACCAAAGTCCTAACTTTTGTTTTCTTTTGTTGATTGGCGAGAGAATCAAATCTTGACCAATTAACCTGTGCCTAAAAGTTTGCAAATACCATCAGAATATGAATATTTGTACTGAATTATTTATTGTACAAATCTTTGTATTAGGCACAGGTGTACTCTTATTTTCTAACTATATGTATATACCCACACACCCCAGCATAGGAGACATGAATTGGCCCCACCAAATATAAAAAAATTTTCCATGATGTAAATTCCACATATGTATTTTATTAAATTTCTGAATGATTTGTTTAGAAAGTGCTATTTAATTTAGAATTTTAAACTTTTTTTTTTTTTTTTTTGTTTCGCCAGGAGTGTTCCGACTCATATTTAATAATATAATTTACTTGCTTTTGACCAATTTGATAATGTAGTTCGCAGGGTTTAAAACGTTAATGTTTCACAATAAAATAAATAAAAGAAAAATAAATGTTATATAATGCGTATTTAGATAAGCTATTGAGAACTAACATCTAAAAATTATAATTGAAATGGTAAATTTTAATATTTTTCATCATTAATATTTACGATCATATTTAATAATTATGATTTAGCTTCGGGGCCTTTTGACCCAATTTGATAACTGTAGTTCGTTTTTTTTTTTTTTTTTGTTTCGCCAGGAGTGTTCCGACTCATATTTAATAATATAATTTACTTGCTTTTGACCAATTTGATAATGTAGTTCGCAGGGTTTAAAACGTTAATGTTTCACAATAAAATAAATAAAAGAAAAATAAATGTTATATAATGCGTATTTAGATAAGCTATTGAGAACTAACATCTAAAAATTATAATTGAAATGGTAAATTTTAATATTTTTCATCATTAATATTTAACATTTTAGAATTTTAATATTTTTCATCATTAATATTTAATATTTTAGAAAGTATACTATATTTTGGAGTCAAGGTTTGAAACTTAAAAACAATATTGTTGGATTCAGAACAAATAAAAATAGAAACATTTAATCGTTTAATGCAAAACCCATAATTCGTGGCCGCATGATTTATTGGTGATTATAAAATAATGGAGGGTAGGGGACAGAAAGGGGAAAGGAAAAAGATGAGAGGGAGAGAAAGGTAAAAGAAGGAAAAAAGACAAGAAGGGAATTGTCGCGATGGTTGAAAAGGGAAGGCGGAGAATCGCGGATCATGTGACTGCTCTAACAAACTCCCGCGTGATCTATAACTACACTTTTGCTTCATTTCCCTAATTCAATTTAATTATTATTATTATTTTGACTTTACTCTTCATTATCCTTTTAATTTCAATTCTAATTATTTAATTATCATGACTTTGAAAAATCTAAAATAAAATGGATGAGTCTAAATCAATTAATTTTCCGCAAAATGCTTACAATGGTTGTATTTCATTTGCATTATCAATTCTACTTCTCGAAAATTAAATCATTCAATTTTCTAAGTTCCTTAGGAATTGATAAAAAAATTTCTAGTTAAGTGCAATGAATATATTAATTTATCATATTATGTAAATTAACTCAAATTTATATTATGAATATTATTTTAATTATAGTTTGAGAGTAAGCAAATTGATTTGCATATCAAGCACATCCAAATTATAGTTTTTAGAAAATAATTTCTTTTGAAATATATTTCTTAAGAAGTATACTTTTTGAAAAATAGATAATTTTGAACTAAAACAGGCGTATAAATATAATTTAAGTGAGTGTTATTTAAGCGGAGACAAATATAGAAACGTTTATGTTATGTGATGATGAAAAAGCATTGTCCTGCATGGCTGTATGCAGAATTTTTGCAAAAAGGTTTTGAAAAATAGGGTACTACAGTTGTAACGAGACTATTAATTTCGAAGCAAAGTTATGGAAAGGAAAGGAAACGACTGCATATATATACAAGAAGATGACACATTGTACTGTAGCGGCTCCACATGGGAGATTGACTAATTCGTTAGAGACAAACTTGTCCTATAAACCCTCAACAAACAACCTTGCAACTTGCAACTGGCTTGCAACAATCTGACCGGTAATAGTAAAAATAAATATATAACACCCGCTTCGCAGACTTGCCACTGGCTTGCAACAGATCTGACGGCGGTAATAGTAAAGCATAAATTACTTATATATATATATATATATATAAATTTTAATCCTACGGCAGGCAGAAGTTAACTCGTGCGAAAAAATATTTTAATCTAGGAGGCAGAAGTAACTCGTGAAAACGTAAATTTAAAAATTAATTATTAATTTATAGAACCGAAAGTAAAAGTGTAATATGTTTGGATCTAGTCATGGAAATAGCAAAAGAGAGTGACAATAAAATGTTGAGGTGGTTTGGTTTCAGTCTGGCAAAGCCTAACACAGACAGAATAAGAATAATAAGGAAAAAAAAATCTTTTCTTGTACCTTTAATTTATAATACCTAAAATTTTTTAATTATTCATTTATATGCTGTGCTTACCTTTACTCTCACCAATCAGAATTTTGGGCTTTTTTCCTTTTTCCTTTTTTTTTTTTTTTTTTCTGTCTCATACTAGCAAGTACGTAATGTGATGCATGGAGATCTGTGTTCTGTTTGGCCTAGAAGACATAGGATTGCACTTTTATAAATACTTGATTTATTTATTTATTCTTTTACTAAATAAAGACGATGAGAATTATATTTATATTAATTTATAATCTAATGATTGGACAATGTAGGCTTGGTTTTCGATCTGGTTCTAATTGAGAATCACTTGCGGGTTCATCCAATTCTGGTTCTTGCCCGGTTTATAGAATCAAAATCATCGGTCTGGAAGGAAAGGAAAAAAGAAGAGAGTATCGGCCTATGTAAACCATATTACATGTGTGAATCTTAAGGCATTTTAAATTGGGCTATGTGGCCCACAATATAAAGTTATCCGATCTCTTTTCTTATTATTTTGCATTCTGGGTAGTTGGATTAAGCCCAAATCTGATCTCCTTCTGTGTATGCATGTTTCCAAACTGAGGGCTCAAACTTTGGTGATTTAAGATAAAATGCCTTAATAGATAAAACAAAGCATTGATAGTAATACTTGTATAAGGTACTATCTATATGCATGTACTGGAATACTGTATGTCTATCTCAATTACATGCTACGTAGGTTTCTACTTGTGATCATGCATTCTTCTTCATTAAAGATAATTAATGGATCAACGAATGCATTAAAGATGAACAGATCCTATAATTGAAAAGAACAAGTGCATTTGTACAGAAAGGGGAGGAGAGAGGGAAAAAAAAAAAAAAAATTGAACATCCAAGTGTTCACTAATTGGAATTTGTCTCGTAAAGGACCAGTGCAGTGTTTCAAAGGATTCTCCATCCAACAAAAATTCAAACACTGAAATGTAACATCTAATATTAATATTGGTCAAAATTGATTTCATATATGGTTTGAGTTCTTTGAACATGATGAAAAAGGGAAAAAACAACGGAACAGAAGGTAATTTTACAATTTCATTAAATGTCAGGTAGGAGTAAATTACAAGACTGACTTCAACTATGGTACAAATAGGGGGAAACGTGTTGTAGGGAAGATAAGAATGATTAGCATAAGTCATACGTAAAAGCTTTGTGTCACTCCTTAAGCAGTTAGGTTACCTCTTCAATGTGGTGTTTCCGACGCTTGATTTGGTAATAGTTTGGTTACAACAGAAAAAAAATTCCATCAATCCGCTGTTTACAAAGCTCTGTTTCAACTGCACAACTGGGAGAAACAGGCTAGAGCACAGCATATATATAGATATAGATATATATACAAAGCTCACGAATCATGAGGTGCTTGAACGATTAGAGTAATCCGTTGTTTACCACTGTCCGATCGGAAATTTTCTCCTTTAAATCCCACCTGGAAGTCAAAGAGCATCCAGGATTAGCTTCAGAATAAAAGTTAAAAACATTCAATACCAAAAATGATAATATGACTAAAAAAAAAAGTTCTGAAGTGGGTGGTGCTTTACCTCAACAGAACTATCAGGTGGGAACCACCGTAACAGCACTCCAAGATGTGCCACAGCCGGAATTAGTTTAAAAAGCAGAGGAGTTGTTACCTGCAAGTATTTTCCTGTAAGTATGCATGTGAGAAAAATTCTAAATTCTGCAGAAGTCACCAATTTGTTTAGTTCTCAAGGTAGTTAAATCACTTCTAACATGAAACAAATCGGAGCATCAGATTAATGGATAAAAAAAGTTATTTCCTTCTTTGCAACTCAATTACCAGTGCTCCTCAAAAAGTAAAAGAAACATTAATTTTGACTCTTCAACTCTACAGGACAAACTGCAAACAGTTCTAGAGTTACAGTTATTACTCCTTATCACATTATGTGTAAGATGCATAGCCAACATGCAGCAGATGTGTATAATTCCACTGCTGGTCCACATGTTACCTTCCATTTTGTGTATATTAGAAAATAAAAGAATATCGGTCATTAGTCTCAAAGAAAAAGAATCTCTGTAGTTCAATAGTGTGACGATGAATATAACCATGCAATGTATGTACATCGGTTCCTACAGACACACTTGTCAGACCAATGTCTCAATGATAAATCAAATCCGTGTCTCCTGTCCACGGTTATGAACACAGAAACAATAAACAGTCATATCTACTAGAAATAACATCATATCTACTAATAATCTGAATCGCATCTTTCCCGGAGAAATCGACAATTCTAAGTTCAGAGGATACATAAAGGATGGGAGGTTTGCAATCTTCCAAGGAGGAAAAGAAAACCCTAATGAAAGATGAGATCCAATGAAATCATAGCTTTCTACCACAAACAATCAGTACATAGCACTAGGATGCATGAAACCCCAACAACTCACCAGGCAAAGAAAAGACTTAAATCCATCAAAATAAAATCAATCAGAGATTCAATCAAATTGTTGTCATACCAGACTAAGAGCGGTTGTTCCAAGAAGAAGTAGGTAAAGCTTTCCCTGAAAATGGTCAACCCTCAAAATGTTAATCGAAAGAAAACCTTGAAAAAAAATGCCATCAGCCCGTTATCATTAATAAATAATGTATCCAACAAACATGCCTGATATCCTAAACCTCTCATTTCTCATAGTAAGGGGGTTTCCTTCTTAAGCATTGTCACAACAGAATGCAACAAGGCTGTACTAACCTCAACGAGGTGAAGATTAGAAGCACGGCTGAGAAGAACAAAAGCAAACTCCCCAATTTGTGCAAGAGACATCCCAACCTACAGAATAGGTATTTATTTAAATGAATTACTTATCTGCTGAAAAAGAAGCAACATAACAACTTAGCCATCAAACAAAATCTTACAAGCAGTGCAGTCTTGTTATTGTAACCAAATCCCTTCACAACTGTAGTAATTATGGTTGTCTTTATGATTATGACTAGTATGACAGATGCTACCAATATATCGACATGGTTCCAGAGAAAATGAACATTTATCAGCATCCCAATGCTGGCAAGGAAAAGAGCAGCAAAAAAATTACGAATTGGTTCTATCTGCACAAGAAACAAAGCTTCAGGTTCAGGGTGGCAGAGATATATGATGGAACTATGATGTTTAAAGCCTCAACAAGATATGAAACAAATCAATTGGTGCAAAGATGGACTACAACTGTACTGCACATGAAAAACTTGCACATACAACTGTCACAGTTTTACACTTGATACTGTATAACTATAATGTTGCACATAAATAGATATATTAAGTGTTGATGAAAATGTTAATCAAAAGAATTCAATTGCTAAGGGAAGGGAGAGAAAGGAAGGTCTAGAACATTATTATTTAGATATAGAATACACAAACTTATTCTTTATTGACCAAACTACCGATGGCCTATGTATGGCACCTATTCGCCCAAACAAACTGATTACCTAGCCGTCAACTAAGGAAAAGGAATATCTAATAGAATCATATTATTTCCTCTGAATTAAGATCAATTGGCTAAGAAACTGGCAGCTTCTTTCCTTGCATATATGGGAACCAGGAAACACTTGCTTCTTTGGCTGTCACTTGTCACAAGATAGTGCCCAAGGCACATCACAGTCACATAATTCCTTTCAGCAGACATTTAGTAAGATACCAGTTCTTTTGCTATATTCTACTACTATACAAAAGCATACTTTGTCATGAATCTCATGGTGGTAAAATTTTTACAACTTTTACTGATGGCTCATGCAATCATGCATACACATCAAAATAAACAAATAAATGAAGAAACAAGTTCTTTTATACTGTTATCCACACATTGCCAAGGCTGTTGAATTGCATCCATAAAGATACAATTTCCAATAACAGTTTAGCACATAATCTGTAGTCTTACCTGTTCTAGTGTATGTTGTGCAAGGTCAGTTGTTGATATCATCACCCCAGCAGCAAATGAACCCAACTCTAAACTTAGGCCCAGCTTATCACTACACTGAAATGATAACAAAAATTAGATATTAATGCCACTTAATATGCATCATGAAGAATTTGAAATGAATCCAGCTTGAATTATCTCAAGAAGCATTTTACGATCCAAAATGAATCTGAGGTGAATCTAAAGTTGTCACCACTGAGGCTTTTTTTGTTAAGCAATAAAAATGATACAAGAAAGTAAGATAGCCAAAAAAGTACAGAATATTTGTGTAGATATGTAAATGTAATGGTTCCATAGGGATCAAGAATAAGTAAATGGAACAAACCCAGGCTATTAGCAAGCAGAATGCTACTGATGCCAATTGATAGAGCTCATTTGTCTGCAAAAATTAAATTATATGATCATAGAAATATGAATGCCCATTTTGCAAAATTCTAAACCAGAAAAACTTTTAGTTCTTATTTAAGCTAAAAAGCAGTACCTGTGACGAGAGGCTCATCATCAGTTTAAGAAACCAAGGAACACAAGTATGGGATAATATTGATAAAACAGCCAAAAATGCCACCAACACTACCAACCTGGTTAAGAAAAGAGCAAGCACATTATAATGGATAAGTCATAAATGACTTCAATGCTTATATGTGTGATGCACAAACGAGAAATATTATTTCTTTCTATCAAAATAGACACGTTGCTGGGGTGTCCACAGAGTAGGTAATTTAACCAATCCTGCATTCAAATATTTGATAATTGGCAGTGTCTGCTCATGAGAAGAAAATCATCCTGTGGACATTTAGTCCATTCTGAAGTTCTTTACTTACAATCTAGTCACGGATATCACTCCTTGAAGAACGCCAGAAGTTCCACCAAGAACTGGAAGTAAAGCAAACAGCAAACCAACAGCACAGTCCTGGTTGACCAAAAAATATCTCAAGACTCAACAAGAGGAAAATAAAATGGACAGTGTACATTGAGACCTTTAGTATCAGAAAGCGGCAGTTACATGCTATCAAGTGAATCTGAGATAGCAGGTCATGTGAAGGAACAGAACCAAATACCTGCAGAATAAGGGTGCCAATGGTGACTTGACCATGAAGGGCATTAGTAGAATTCTTTTCCATCAGAAACTTCAGAACCTGGGCAAAAACTTGTGCCTTAATGATCAGGAGCATTACACAACAAAGTCGATATATCTGTGCATAAATGTGCCTATATGTGTGCAAGAGAAAGAGAGGATCCATGCAACACATCAAGAGAATGTTTTACCACTGCTGTTGAAGACATTGACAGGAATGCGCCAACAAATACACCATCTGAAGGTTTACCACCACATAACTGCAAATAGCATCGAATCAAAACGGCAGCATTTATAATGAAAATTTTGCACAACATATCCTGCTCGTGTTTGCATCAAAACCCAGTGGTTTAAAGATCTCCACTCAACTTGAAGCATCTGGTATTGATGCTGCCAAATTACCAATTAAAGCTAACGCTACGACCAACAGGATTTAAACATATTTCCCCCCAGAACATTGTAATAGAACAAAGTTATATATTAGTAACTACAATGCAACCTTTGAGTTTTGATCCCAATACGAAACTAGCTACTCAAACTATACAGCAGTTCAACATAGTCAAAACTTTATGATGGTATCTAAAAGCCAAAAAATATCAAGACATTGGAAAAACGAGATTGTTATATAACTTCCAATTCAGTTCAAACTGTTGTTTTAAGCATATTTCTGTCAATAATAGCAGCCACAATTTGATTGAACATCTCATTTTTTGTTTGCATGAGTCAAGGGCTTTCACATCAAGGGCTACTTGGTTCAGCAATTGCAGTTAGCTATGGGTGGCTGGCAGGTAGCAGTTGAGGACCAAACATTAACAGGTAGAAATATCAGATTCCAGTGTTTCAGTTACAATTTTGAATTGCTACCCTTTGGATTTTGAAACACTGTTCCAAATGCTGAATTCAGCAAACATCCGTAACTAGTGGTTGGGAGCCCAAACGCCAAAAGCTGGTTCCTAACTGCGCATCCAAATGGGCCCTAAATGGGGAAAACTTTCCCAAAACAGTCTAATAGTCGAATACAAATTCCTGATGGAGCTGATAGTCATACCATGGCTGTAATTCCACATAAGAACATAAATAAAACAATTTGGAGTAGACCTCCAAGAACAGCAACTGCTCGAACAACTCGAAGCTGAAAATAAGAAAGACGAACTTTGAGATATGGATCAACCATGACTTGGATCAATAGAAAAGGAACAGGATAAAGTATATGAAAGAACTAACTTTTGTTGTTGAGAACTCAAGGCCCAATGCAAAAAGAAGGAAAATAACACCAAACTGAGCCACAGTCTCAACCTACAAGAAAGAACCATGTGAAAAAAAGAGTTAACACGTAAGGTTATCTAATGGAAAAATAATAATCTCAATCGGAGATAGAAGACATAGCAAGACCATATAAATAAGTATTGCTGAGAAGATAATCATCTTGAGTTATCAAAACATCGAAAAAGGAAATAACAGGATCTTTTTAAGCTACTATCACAACAAAGGGTGAAACTCTTTACTAAAACTGTACATAATGCTCTCAATTATTTTATAACAACTCTACCATAGAAGTATGCTCTGGTGCTCAATGTCATGCAGTTGATGCAAATTGTGTACTGCAAGTAAAAATGTGGAGCCTAAAGAACCAAAATGGCAATCAATTGAAATTATCATTAATGATGGTTCAGAAATAAACTGCACCAACTCCTGACATGAAGTCTTTCATTAAATTAAGAACTTGGGAAATACTAGGCAAATAAAGCATCATTCAGGAAGTCATGGATGCTGTTCAATGGAAAAGCCACATACTTGCACCATTTCACTGACAAAGCTGAACCCTCCAGGCCCAATAACAGACCCTGCTAGCAAATATCCAGTGATGACCTGTAAAATGTTTACATTAGAAACCGTTCAAGAAAAAAGGTATGCACAGGTAACTTAGCGAATGGCATGCCCAGACATTGAATTATATCCTAGCATTGCAGTGTGTCATGAACTAAGCTTAGATCAAATATGATCAGACCGGTTGTCCAGCACAAGCGAATGCAATGCCACCACAAGTTGCGGACACAATGACGACAACCAAATCTGATATCAATCTACAAAGCAATAAGTAGATGAGTTCACATCAGCTAAACAACTAAGTACAGAAAAGTCAAATAATTACAACAAATTAGTAAGTTTACCTCAAGTCTAGCTGCAGCACTGGATATTTTGATTTGAAGTTAGATATGATGAAGACATTGTCCTAAAAATTTAACAAATAAAAAAAATCAGTTTCAACCATGGTAATCAAATCAACAAAGAAAAGCATCCAATGAATATCATACCTTTCTATCTATTAGCATCGGGGTATCTTCAGCTCCATTATCATTATCCAAATTAAAAACATCATGGAATTTAAACGACCTGCAATTGGACTCAGAAAGGAAATATGTCAAATGATTTAGGAAATTATTTGTATCTACTATCTAATAAAGGCACAAGCCAGCATAATCTTGAAGAAAATAAAGAAGAAATTTACTATTCTAAAGATATAAGCTTATACTTTTCCTCTTTTGTGTCATTTTTCTTCGGTTTAACTCTGGCAACAGTTTCCAAAACTGCCTGAGAAACACAAAAGATAAGAAGATACCTTCAGCAAACTTCAAGCCAGAATATGATTGACATGAACCCGAAAAGAGGAAAACAGAAGTTCTGTAATAAGGTGCATTTTTCTACTTGTGGAACTAGACCAAATTGGTGTTGAGCAAGGAATTTATCGAGACAATGAAATGAGAAACACTGCATCATAGCCAGCACATCCCACTATAAAATTAATATGACTTAAGACAGAAATCAAACTGATAATATTTCAATGGATTTGAAGAAAAAAACAGAAAAATGGATTAATTTCTCAAGTAATATGAGAATTTCAAGTTACAGCATTATAAACAGTCAAACATGAATATAAGCTGCAAGCTATCTTGATTGCTAATTACACTCCAGATATGATCATAACTTCATACAGTAATCATTCATATATGTTGCTTAGAACTTGAAAAGAAATGCACACCAACCTGCTGCTCAGATACACTATTGTTAAAGCTTCCAGAATCAGCTACTGTCAAATAAGAAAGGAGCGACAATGATTAGTTAGATTCTGGAAACACGTAAACTAACTAACGATTGGAGCATCATCATGCACCCTTAAACATTGGATTGCTCCACTATCATCTACTTTGGATTTAGTAGGTGTAACTGATAGGACAATCAATTAATCAAATAACACTACATATGCTGTTGGATGGATTAGAGGATGCAAATTAAATCGGTGTCTAAAATAAAATGGTAATTCCATGGTATTTCAAAGATCAAACTCAGCACTTCATTTCACCTAATGCCGTAGGAGATCCATATAAGATTTTAAACCCCAGTCCCAAATAAATTATACTAATAATTGAAATACAAGATCCAAAGTTCTGTAATATGCAAATTTTCAGTATAAGATTCATAAATCAGAAATCACAAACGATGGACAACCAGCAAATCTAAGTAACACATCAGTAGTTGAAATGCTTAACGGAAAACTAATCTCATCTAATTAACCTCCAGTTCATATCCAGTTCAGCTAAATTTTCTCCGCTGTTTTTGGCCAGCGAGATTAAAAAAAAAAAAAAAAAAAAAAAACGTGTTTTTGTATGATTTTTAGGTAAAATACTCACAGGATAAGTGAACTAATAATTTTTATTTTCCCTAACACGATTCAATATTTTGTCGGATAAATCCTCCTCTCATATGCTGTTATAATTGTTAAGAATAAATGGGATATAGGGAATATTATATTTTATTTATTTAAACCTAGAGAACGTTGAACCAACTGATGGGTCCACGTTAGATACTCTAAACGACTCATATCATAGGGATCCATTAGATAAACCATATTAAGTGTCTGTAATAAAATAAAAAGGTGATAAAAAGTTCAAATGAAACGGAAGAGGAAACAGCGAAATCCGGGCCATTCCGCTTGTGATATGGATGAATTAAACAGATTACAAAAAGTAAAATAAAAACACGAGTGAAGGTTAATATCTAAAAAAAGATGGAAAAAAAAAGGATAAAATTAGTCAAATATTGGGACTTTGATTACTTGTATCCTCCAAACAATAGGGTACTAATTCCCGGCAGCAGTCTCTTTAAATCTAAAAACGAAATTAGAAAAAAAATGATGCATCATATGGCTCATTCTCCTAAGACGATTGCCACTTTCACTTCATATGATTAGTTGGTACCTAGGGTTCTCACTCACGCCACTTATTCGCTGGTATTTGCTTATCATAGATACATGCAGTTCTTTGATGTCTTAGTTGTGGCCAAAAATTCCAGTTTCCGCGAAATACTATCTGCACTCTTACCTTTAAAAATCAGGGAAGTCTTTATCTGTTAATATGCTATGCCTAACCAACCTTATCGCATCGAAGCGCTACGTAAAGGAGTGCGGAGCGGTGTTTGATTTTAGACATCTGTCTTTTCATACTCTTATTTAACATGTACACTTCCTTACTCCTAGTGCTAAACGTCTTCTTGAAATTGGAATAAGATATCTCTGTATTGCTTCGCCGAGTACTTTCATATTCTCTTCTTCGTCTTTTCTTTATCAACATCAATTCTACTCATAGCTCACCAGTCGCGTCTGAACTGCCTCTGGGAAGCGTTGAAAACAGAGTCCTATGCATACATGGATTTCGGCCTTTGTCACAGGTCTGCATTTGCAACCAAATTCGACAAGCCGGTATGTACGCAATGACCTTCCCTGCATATAAACCCAGTAGAAAGGTACAAAGTTGTTTCCGCGTAAAGCTCATCTCGAAATTGAAGTGCATCTATCAGATCCGCAAAGATTATATCCCGCCAATCGAGTTGTAGAACAAGATAATATGATTCCGAGTTTAATGATTTTTTTGCTTCGAGTGTTCATCACGATATAAAATTTCTTGCTTTTAGGATGCTAGACCAACTATCAGTTAAGCGAATTGCAATAGTTAAGTTGCTTTTGTCTCTTGTAGTTGTAAGATACTGTTTCTCTACTATTAGGTGTCAAAAATTTAAGAACTTTCTGTTTTTGGTTTATTTTTTTGTTTTTTGAATAATGCATCGCTGGCCATAAAGAGCAATACAGCGAAAAGACTATTCTAGTTCACTGAACATTCAGTGGTATGATGACTAGACTGTTCGAATGGAAGATTCCAACATTACTAGATGTGGACGAGCTCTAATGGTTCTATTCTGACAATTTAGGCATGAACTCTCTTCCAGGCACCAATAACCAGGATCTAGCTCGATAGCAGATTAGTTTTACCTCTAAGTGTTTTATTGAGCCTCTGGTTGTTACCCATATCAGTTTATGTGTTGTATTTGCTGATTAGAATTTAATTCGAGTTACTACTAGTAATACTAATGAAAGAGTATTTGCAATTATTTGACAACAGGAGACTTCTTTGTATAGTCGTGTGTATATTACTAATATTAGTGAGTCAATGATCTCCATAGTTTTATGGGCCACATATTTGAGAGTAGTATTTTAACAGTCCTTAAGTATCGAGAGATCTTCCTGACAGGCGTGGTGGTGTGGTACAAATGAATAGCTAAAGCTTAGATCAGAGTGATGAGTTTTGATCTTTGAAATACACATTGGAATACCACTTATGATATCCTTTTAGAGCGACCGATGTATTAGTTTCGCATCCTCTCAACAGTCCACATCAACAAGACGCAGTATGGTAAGTTGCTCTCTTACAAATTAATTGTCGACTAGTCCTACTCCAAGGTCTAAACGTTCCGTACAATCCGGAAAAGCATCAAGATGAATTAGAGTCGGAGTCAGTACAACCAATGATTTTTAAGCGTCATGATGATTGCCATTCAAATCTGTTTAGTTACGTTTAACACGTAGTATTCGCACAAGGATCAAGAGAATAGCATTGTCAATTGTCTCGACCTACCTTTTTCATAGTCTTGAAAGTAAGCTGAATTCTCGGAAACTAAGCTTAGAACGTAACAGTAGAAAATGATGATCTGACAGGCCAAAGTGGCACGCCAAACAACAATCATATAGATAGTATAGAACCAAAAATACAGTCATTACTGGAAGTTGAGTATTTAGACCATCGAAGATAGCTGCGTTCTTTACTACTTTCATGAGTTGTGTACCTAGTGTCTATAAGTGCTGCAACTTGAGCATTTCTAGTTCACTATTGAAGAATAATTATATTCTATGTTATATTTCTTTTTGATATTGCTTCAAATCCATTTTAAAGAAATATTATACTCTAGTTTTGGTTTCAGATAAGTATCAAATTGTCTATGATTTAATTTAATTACTGAGAAAATGTGTTCTGGCTCATAACAATGAATTCAAAAAAATGTCATTTTCTCACTTTCTATTGATAACCTCGATAAAAATTCTCTTGCTCATAAACACAATTCTTAGGAGTCATTGTTCAAAAACAAGTAGACCAAAAAGATAATGAAAGCCTATCTTATATTCAAGTAACTTGTTGTTTTCCTTTTCAGGGTATCATGTTCAATTTCCTTACCTATTTACTTTGTTGGTTTGATAAGTTTGTCCTGAAGTAGTTATTAGCATCCGGTCTGGTATCCTCTTTGTCTATCTTTCCAGGATGCAGTTTTTTTGAAATAACTGTTTGTCATCACGACCTAAAAACTCGAAAAAATAAACAAATTGCTATGACGAACAAAAGAGTAAATTGAGAATAAGGCTTAATCTTGAATAGTAAAAACATATTTCTTCTTGTCTATAATTGTGCATTCAGATTTTATGCTAGAGGATAGTGCCCTTTTATTAGATAGTAAGATTGACAATGCAAATTTTTCACTTGAATTTATCATTTGACATATGATTTCCTTTCTGAAGTCAAGTTTATTGGTCTATGATCCGTTTAATAATCCTTGCATTGTTTTATTGAATTCTGTATCATGAAAAGATGTGAAGAGCAAGATACCCCGATGCTAATTAGAATTAGAAGATGATTATTCTTTGGGGATGTTTGGTTGGTTGGATATTTTACCAAATGTCATAGACATGTATAGGCGTCGAGTGCAGTAAACCCTTGGGAAGAAAATAAAAGCAAGAAATTACTAATTCTAAAGACGTATCAGAGCGTGTATACATTCTTCCTCTTTGTGCATTTTTTCTGTACGGTTTAACTCTGGCAACAGTTTTCCCGCAAACTGCGCTGAGAGAACACAAAAAGATAAGATAGCATACCTCGAGCACAATACTTCAGAGCCGAATATGATTGACATAATAACCCAAAAGAGGAAAACAAATCAGCGCAGGCCTTAAATGTTCATGGAGTGCTGTCTGGATAAAGTGCTCATGAGTGAATATAACGGCCCTGCATTCTTTTACTCACCTTGGTGAACGTTCTAGACCAATTGAAACGTCTCAGCGTGACGGTATGTGTGCTGGATGATTTCATGAGTCAAAACGGGGACACATCTCTATCGGTGTCTGTGCACCCGCACGCAACGTTGAAAATTGTGAGCATATCACACAGTGTTCAGTCATTAGATTCTCAGAAACACGCATGTCATACTCATTGTGTACCCACTAATAAATGCTTAATATACTGTAGAGACGATAATCATAAAACTGATAATTATTTTCAATGTATTTGCCATAAGAAAAAAAAGAAATGGTAGAACCATATTAATTTTCTCAAGGTACGAATATAGAGAAATTTTTTCAATATGTAAAACAGCATTGAACTTAAACAGTCAAAAACATAATATAAGCTGCAGCTATCTTGATTGCTAATTACAACTCAGATATGATCAATAACTTCATTACAGTAATCCATTCATTATATGTTGCTTTAAACTTTTATGAAAGGAAAATGCACACCATATTGCCTGTCTGCTCAATACACTATGTAACTTCCAAATCAGCTTTATCCTGCAAATAGAAAAAGGAGCGACAATGGCATTAGTAATCTGGGAAACACGTAAACTAACTAACGATTGGAAGCATTCTCATTCATGATGCACACCTTAAAACATCTGGAATAGATCAAGCCACTATCATCTACTTTGGATAAGGTAGTCGTGTTAAACTGACCGCAGGCATAGGACATATCATGAGAGTTAATCAGTAAAAATCATACCCAACTACATATGCATGTGGATGGATTAGAGGATGCAAATTAAATCGTGACTAAAATAAAATGTAATTCCGGGGTATTCAAAAGATCAAATCAGCACTCATTTCATGCTTAATGCACGGCGTCAGTAAGAGGATCCAATATGAAGATTTTAAACCCCTCCAAAGTCCCAAACATTAAGATAATATTTACCCAATCAATTGAATAATACTTAAGATCGCCAAAGTTCTGTAATATGCACAGAAATGTTTGCAGTCTATAAGATTCATAAATCAGAAATCGACAAACGAGTGGACACACGCAGCAAATCTAAGTAACAATCAGTAGTTGAATGGCAACGTAAAAACTAATCTCACTAATTAACCTCCAGTTCATATCTCGTCAGCTAAATTTTCTCCGCTGTTTTGGCCAGCAAGAGAAAATTAAAAAAAAAAAAAAAAAAAAAAGAAAATCTTGACCTTAAAAAGTAAGGACCTAGTCCAAATTAAAAAGCAAAAAAAAAAAAAAAAAAAAGAAAATCTTGACCTAAAGTAAGACCTAGTCCAAATTAAAAGCAACTTAACTATTGCAATTTCTTACTATTCACTCTAAAGCATAAAGAAATATCTTAAAATGGAAGCAAAAAATCTAACCGTCATTCTGTTCATTCTCGGGGAACTCCATCCGAAGAGCATCATCGATGATTTTAGCGAAACTGCCTTCTCTGGGTTTAGAGAGGGAAGCATTGTATACGGCTGTGTCGTTGGTAAGCTGAAGCCGATCTGACTCTGACTCTGTGAGTTCGTCAGCGAGTGAGAAGGAAGAAAAGAAGACGAAGAAGAGAATAATGAGCTCGCGGAGCAATACAGTTCTTATCATCAACATTTCAGGAGAGGAGAATTAAGAGAGAAGCAAATCAAACTCGCTCCACTTCGACGCTCACGAGTAGTAGCAGTAGAATAGTACTGATATTAGGAAGAGAGAGAGAGCGACGATGCACAGAGAAACGATGAAAAGAAACGAAGTGGGTGAGTGAGACCAGGCCAACCAACTAGAGTGAAGCAAGCTAGGAGAATACAATGCAATTTTTTATTGTTTTTAGATTTAAGAGACTAGCTGGGATTAGTACCTATTTTGGAGGTAAATATCAAAGTCAAATATGCATTTACCTTTTTTCTTTTTTCTTTTTTTTTTTTTTAATCTGTTAAATCATCCATATCACAAGCGGAATGGCCCGACTAATTCGAATCCACTTCTATCTAGAGTTTAAATTTGAACTTTTTAACTTTTAATTAAGGAATTATATAAAGGACTAATATCTAGAGTTTAAACCATCAACTTCTAGTTAAAAAAAAAATAATCCTATCATCCCATTTATTTAACAAAAACAGAAATAGATAGATTTATCGACTAAATAAATGAATCGTGTAAGGGAAAATAACAAATTATTATTTCACCCAAAATCGTATTTACTAAAATCTAAACGGAATATGAAAAAAAATTCTATGAGAATCAAATTATAAATACTCTATATCTTACTAGCCATACTATCTAAGGCTAAAGGCTGAATCTGAACTAATTTGTTTCGGTGCGCTCTAAAATTCTTAGAAATTCTACAATAAGCCTGTAGCTTCTGTAGACAAAGACGATAGATCTTGCTCTCATTCCCAGACGACAACAAAGGACATGGAAACGATTTTCTTGCATTTGTTGCTTATTCATTAACGCAACAATAAATATGTAACCAAGTTAGATTTGTCATTTTTGGAATCTTATTAGGCGGTCACAAAACCATAAAGCGGAGTTGTTCTCCGATGCACAAACACAAACAAACGGCATGTATTTCAGACAGGAGGAAAGGAAATATTGTTTCGTAAACAATATGAATGCCATTAAGCCAGCATGTCTGTAATACAAGAAAATTGGTAAAGAATGCCAATTAATTATAACCAGTGGAAGGCCTTTATGATCCCAGAAAAAAAATGATGAGAACCAGTGATGAAAGATAGTTTAGACCCATCTAATAAGTTTAGATGTGTCAATGAAAGCTGGAATATTATTGGCTAAGATTGCCAACTATAGTAGGGACCATTGAGCTTCGCCGACATTGATTGCAAGTTGCGACCTCTTACCAACTACCTCCTGTACATCATTAAAATTCGATTGATTGGTGAAGATTCAAATCCTAGAGTCAGATACAATCACCAATCCATTTACCTTCTAAGTTTTAACATCTCTATTATGGCTTCATAATTTACTCACAACTTCAATTTATTTAACATCCACAGCATTCCTCTCAATTTATGCATTGTAAATTTACCTTTCTATATTGTTCTCTACAAATACATCTTTCTTCGCTAGCCTCTTTTGTCGTGTGCATGTGTATATATATATAGAAAAGGGAAATTAATGTTGCAGTTTAATCTTTCACCGGGATGGCTTTAAATTGATCAAGCATTTTTTCGAAAGGTTTATTATTGAATCGGCAATGACTCGCGCGCTAGTCTTCATATAACCACCTGAAACAGAAAAAAATAAATAAATAAATAATAAACTCATTGCATATCTGCAAAAAATGAACCAGGAGCTCTATATAATATAAACTCATTGCATATCTGCAAAAAATGGAACACCAGGAGCTCTATATATATATATATTATATATATATATCATAATATATATTGATCCTGGATCTATTGCGGTACTGGTCAACATCAAAACTGTGATTAAATCAAATCACGGACTTGCCACGTGTAACCTAGAAAACAAAATGTTCAAAGGATGCTCAATAACAAAAATTATAATGTGCTCGAATATATTTCTGCATTTTCTTCTGATTTTTATAAAAACAGCTTTCAAAGGACCGGTCAACAGTAAAAGGTAAGAGTCGTAAAAGGTGATTACTTTAGGAAAGGCTGCCAAAGAGAAACTAATATGATCTCAGCTAATATATTGATCCTGATTATTGCGTATGGATCAACATCAACTGTGATTAAATCAAATCACTACTGCCACGTGTAACCTAGAAAACAAATTCAAAGATGCCCAACAAAAATCTATAATGTGCTCGAATATATTTCTGCATTTTCTCTGATTTTTATAAACAGCTTTCAAAGGAGGCAACAGTAAAAGAAGATGTGGTGATTACTTTAGAAAGCTGCCAAAGGAAACTAATAGATCACTAGATGAAATATCAATTGTCGTCCTCTTGAATTAAGAAAAGCATGTAAAAAAGCTCCGACTCATTGTCATTTCAATAATGACATGAGGAGAAACTACTCAAATCTGGACTAATCCAGGAGCTATTCGTTGCACAGTTTGAGAATTTATCTACCCACGGGTGAAAGACAGTTTTTGGGACATTATTCTTAACATAGCTTGAGCAATTTGCAATTTTACTACACATTGACTTGGTTAGAAAGATGACAGCACCTGATGTCAGCATGACAAGAGGCGCATTCCTCTCACGAGCAAATCTGAAAACCTTCTCATCTCTGGCAGTTACTCCATCAGGACTGATCTGCACCAGGCAAGAGTAACCACAGCATAAATTTCTATATTGTTGCTAAACATCCTTTACTGAGACCATATTAAATATGAATTTCAAAACACACCAAATTTAGTTATTACTTGCCTTTTGTTATATTTACCTTTTCCTGATACAATAAAATTTATTGATAAAAGAGACGAACACAATATTATTTCATTTATTTAATCAAGGTCATCACAAATTTATGTACCTGAATTTCACAAGACTGTTTCTAGCCCTCTCTGACAAGTCAATAAATTCAAACTTTCAGTTTTTAAGACCCATAAATTTTAGCATTCCTTAATCTATTTCAACTAGCATTCCTTCATCAATTTATCTTGAGACCTCTTACTGAATATTCATCCAACACATTCAAGCACAATATGAAGGCTTTTTCACAGCTCAAAAGAAGGGGCAAAAAGGACAGCCTAAACACCTATCATTTTCTCTGAAATGCATCCTAAATTAAATTAAATTCACTCAATTAAATAGTTTCAAAAAAGCCCAGCAACTGTGAGTTTATGATAGTCTAAAGAGTCTTTCTAAGCTCATGATTCATCAAAAATGATAGTAGATGAACAGTTAGATCAAACTAATAATTCGCTAGAAACCAAAACAAAGGTCACAATACCTTCAACCTGCCTAGTGGATCCCCATCCAGGATGTCAGTGCCAGCATTGTAGACTACCAACTCAGGATCAAACCTTTGAGCAGCAACCTAATATTCATAAATAAATAAATAAAAGAATCTGGAGAAAATGTGAAAATAAACTCCAAGGACATTGAGTCAAAATTTGAAATCATAAGGGTAAACAAGTAAAATACATAACCAAACAATTGAGTATTGACACCATCTGCTATGCACCAAACCTAACTAGGCTGAAAAGGAACACACTGTTGTAACTTAGAGTTAAAAACATAATAATAGAAAAATATTCCAGGTAGCACAGGCTTAAGGATGACATACACAAATTGACTGATATAAACCAACGGGCCCTTTAAATTCTAAGTAAGGCAGACAATCTATCAAAGAAGATAAGAGCAGCACGTATAACACATATGTTTCTCCTGACTAACAAGATTCCATTGTGAAAACACATTTGAAAGCTTATTTCCATTGAGATTAAACCATCCAGCATAAACTGAGAAGCAAAGCATATTGAAGTAAAAAGCAGGTATGACTGTAGACCTGAAGTGCTTCATCTAATTTTGTCAAGTACTCGTTTGTTGTGGTCCCACTCTGTTCAATTATAGAAAGAATGAACAAATTATATTGAAGGGAAAAAAATTATAATTCATTTCACTGAGAAATAACGAAAGCTTACCACTACTTCAACCTTCTGATCAATATATCTCCTAGCTTCATAATCCTGTCAGAGAAATATTCACAAACCAGAAGTCAACAGTAACAACTGTACAAGAGTAAAAAGAATTTGTTACCTGACAGATGGAAGCCACAAAATAAGAGAGATTGATAGACTTCTGTAAGAAAGAACCAGTACCCCAAGTTTGAGTCTATGCAACTTACTAATGGATATATTCCAGGGTTGTACATATCCAGAATATAAACTCGACCTTCCAGCAAAAATGTCAAAGCCATCAGTCAAATGCAAAAAGAATGAGAAAACCAAGCACTGTAAGCAAAAATAAGCAACCATACTGTCATTTGAAAAATCCATTTCGTGGCCATTTCCTTGATGAGCATCAAGGTCAATTATCATCACCCTATAAGTTGTTGCAAATAATCAGTGCAAAAGTCCATTCATGAAAGATAACTGTGAACTAAGGCTCACATGCCAATGCGAAATGCATCTGCTTCATCACAGCTACATTCCATTACCTTGATATATTCAACAGGACAAAGGCATAATGTATGCAAAGCGAAATGTCCGCATAAGCACAAAACCCGCCTCCTTTTCCACTAGAACAATGATGGAAACCTCCTCCAACATTGATGGCCCATCCTTGTTCTTTTGCAAGCTTAGCTGCCAAGATGGTTCCCCCTACCTGTAGTATAACAGAATCAGAATACCCCAATTATCTGAAAACTGTAATAAAATATTAAGACAAAATGTTTGCACCTGTTTGCGAAATGGGAAAAGGACTTTATTCTGCACTACAAAATTAGGAAATATTGCAACCGGAGGAACCTGTATTTTAAGGTGATCTGAATCGGTGAACGATCTTAAAAAGAAAGCACATAAATTCAACTCAAAACTAAGCCATAATCTCAAAATTAGTAGGGCCTGGTGATATATGGTCCTTGATAAAACTATTAAACCATATCAGAAAGATAGACATCTAAGTCCTCGCATGATAATAAGCCAAATTTTCTTTCACCGGATTTAATTGAATGGATTTCAAGTTAAGAAATCTACAGATACAGACAATTGATAAGAGATACCATTATTAAAAATGCTCAGAATGTGGCAAGACATATTGGAAAGCAAGTTGAAGAAAGTAATCAAATATAAGAAATCAGACAAAAGGGAGTATTACACATCACCTCAATTATCATGGCAACATTGGGACTGCTCTTTAAACTACTCAAGTAGGACTCCGAATGAACCTGTTAAACATAATCAATTAGATCAATGTGAAAATACTGCTGTGCACTCTTATCGTTCAACTAGCAACAATAATCCAACCATAGATTAGTAATGCTTCTCTATCTGTGTCACTTATCTCAAGCACTTCTAAGTCTTCTTTAGATATCACTAATTATATGACAAAGTATAAAAGTATCGAACACGCCAAGTTACATAAATTGAGTAGACTCTTATGCTTAGTCTCACGGATAATCAGTTCCCTGAAAACAATCATAGATGCATTTACATGCAAAATACATCCAAAATTTAGAAAGAGAAGCTGAAAGCACTGTTATAGATGTATAAAATACCACAAGGAGATCATCTTGTGAAGCTTCCAGAGGTTCAACAATACTATTTTTGTCCAGCGCACCATCTGCAACGAGAAATCGGCACACACGACCCCATTTGGATGAATCAAACGGGTGCCTACATCAATTACGCGTGCCGTAAAAATAAAACACCAGAACTATGAACGCAAGCTCCCTCCACAATTTAAAAAGACAACAATTCACGCAATTTAATGAGTGCAAATAGCAAATATTGATTTATTGATAATGAATTAATGATCACTATTTATAACTCCAAACAATAAATAGACGAATAAACAAGCTCTTACAGCTTCTCTATGCCAAGAAACGCAATATTGTAAGCCGGTGAGTATATTAGCGGAACCTGTTTCATCTAAAAGCTCAGTACTAAATCAAATTCAATCGCTTATAGCAACGAGTATTAGGAAAAAATAACGGACGAGTATAGGGTGCTATAAGAGTACAAATAGGTAACCTTAGATAGAGGGACGTCGAAGTAGAGCTTGCTTGAGTGAATACGGTTTAGACGGAGAGTTGCAGCATCGGTGGTAGGTGGTTGAGAAGAGGAAGAAGACGACATTTTTAGTGAGCGAATGAAACGATATAGAGAATGCGAGAGTTTAATGGAAGCAATTGTCCATGCCAAGTACAGCGCCGGTTTACCGAGATTCCGAGTTGATTTGGCGGTGACTGTAATGACTCGGAACGTCATCTTTTAAAACTCGGAGCGAGTTTGACAAATAAGCACTGAGCAGAAGAAACGAGAAAATAATAAATAAATGAAATTGTTCTGAAAAATAAATAAAGCAATGAAATGAATTTATTGAAGCCATAAACCGTTAAAAACTGTCCAAAACGCTCAGCAAATCCAAACCTATGGGTTGGGTTTGCAAAATTTATAGTTGGATCGGAATTGTAAAAAAAGTCCATTAAAAAAAATCAAAATTATCCGTTTGATTTTTGGTTTTATAATTAAATCCACCTTCTATATCTATATATAATTGCACTTTAAAATGATCATCAATAATTCAATGTAATTTTTAATGAAACTTTTCTTTGGATTGATTGATAAATGTTGATAGCAATTGAAACCTAATTTCATATTAATTAAGTAAATTATTTAATTATTTTAATAAATTAAAAATATATCTTTAGACCTACATTTGAATTCTAAACTGATAGAGTACAAAATTTTAAAATAATTAACGAATTAAATAAATATATTTTTTATTTATACTCTATATATAAATGTGAAAATGGAAAAGTAGTGAGATTTCTAAGATATGCTTAATGAAATTTGATATATTCTAAAATATTTTTACTGATTAAAATTTTTTATTTTAAAAATTATAAGAGAAACAAGGAAAATAATTTAAATTTAAACATAAATAATATTTTATTAGAATTTAATATATTTTAAATGGCAATTGAAATTTTTTAATTTTAAAAAATATATACAATATTTACTGCAATATTCATATCCATATCTATATATAATCTTGAAGAAAAAAAAATTTAAAAAACTGAATTGGCATATTCTCCTTTAGCATTCCCTTTTCCTTTTTTTAGATTTTTTTTGACAATTTTTGATAATTTTTTAGCATTTATTTTATATGTATATTTATGAATATAAAAATTTGAAATAACTACAACTTTAAAACTTTTTGATTGTTGAATTTAAAACTTTAAAACTTTTAAATTTTTTCATCTGTATCTATATTATATATATATAATCTAAAAAGTTTGAATAATTAAAATTTTAAAATTTTTTGAAATGTTGAATTTAAAATTTTAAAACTTTTAGATTTTTTTTTCTTATCTATATCTATATACATATATCTATATATACCTCTTAATTTTAATGATCTTCTTCGTAATGGTTTATTCTTATTCTTTTTGTTGTTGTTTGTTGGATTATTTTACTTTTAATTTTTTTAATGATCTTACTACTTTTGTATTTATCGTTTACATAATCCTTTACTATAATCCTTTACTATTCAAGTAGGTGAACATTTAAAATGATACTATATACTATATATACTAAATCCGAAAAATACATTTAAATGTTCACCTACTTTTTTTAATGGTTTATACTATATACTATATATCGTTTTTTTGTATTTATCTAATCCTTTACTATTCAAGTAGATGAACATTTACACATGGTTTAATTAAAGGAAAAAGTCATTAAATCCGAAAAATACATTTAAAATGAGAATTTATAAGATAACATCTAATAAATTAATATAAGATAACATCTAATAAATTAAAAATAGATTTAGCATTTTATATTTAAAATGATATTTAGCATTTAAATTTAAATTTTATATCTAATAATTATGTTTTAAAATTAATATTCATTTATAATAATTATCTATATCTATATTTCAATTTTAATTTTGAATTCTTTTTTTTTTCTTATAAAATCACCGAAGATACCTAAATAAAATTTACATTATCGGCTTACATAATATTCACAAAATTTTATGAATTAATTTGAAATATTATATTTGCATTAGTAGCAAATTATAATTGAATAAAATATATTGAGTTTCTAAAAATTAAATAGTAATTGACACTTATCTTTTTACTTTTGCATAATAATTGTGATGTATAAATAAAAATTTAAAAATTTAAACAAGTTTAAATTTATTTTATCTTATTTTTATTATTCATTTAGTATAGAGTTATAAATAAAAGTATTTTCAAAATAAATGACAGTATACAATAAATAGAACAATCCACGCAAGGTGCGGAACTTCGCCCAGTTTAATTATAATTTAAAATACATATATTAATAAAATATGGATAAAGTCAAAAATTAAAAGATGGATAAAGAAAACCAATAGAATGTAATATTTGATTTATAATTTATAAAATATTTGAATGGCCAATAAAAAAATTTAAATTTAATTTAGGAATATATATATAAATATATATATATATATATAGTATATATATTATATAAATATATATATATATATATTTGATATAATTTATGAAATGACTTCAATGGACAATGATAATGGTTTATTAGTATGTCCTTATATTATGCTTAAATTCATCATTTTAATTCTCACTTTTAAAAAAAAAATTATTACTAAAATGTTTAATTCGGTCAATTAATTTATCATTCGTTGAGTATTTTGTATCTATTAAAATGTCCCTTAAAAAAAAATCTATATATTTGATATAATTTATGAAATGACTTCATGACAATGATAATGGTTTATTAGTATGTCCTTATATTATGCTTAAATTCATCATTTTATTCTCACTTTTAAAAAAAAATTATTACTAATAATGTTTAATTCGGTCAATTATTATATCATTCGTTGAGTATTTTGTATCTATTAAATGTCCCCTTAAAAAAAAATCTATTAAATTTGTTACGAAAAATACGAGAATGTTGTCCGTAAACCTCATGGAAAAAAAATAAAAATGTCCTGTCTACCAACTCTCTTCCTCTCTAATAATTATGATATCCCAACCCCACCACAATGATCATCACCAATCCATCAAGTAGCCACCAACTTTAAAACAACAAATGAAAAACCCAATTTAGAAATAGAAACTAAATATGAAAATCTATAAATTCAATCAAACAAATTAAATATTGAAATTTTAGAAATTAAATATGAAAACCTTGAAATTCGATACAAAAATTTAAAACTTAACTATAGGAATTTAAAACTAAATATGAAGATTGAATATGATTATGAGAATATGATAATCAATAAAAAAAAATAGACATTAAATATGCAAAAGTTAACAAGAAAAAAAAAAACAAAAACAATAGCGATGTTTTCAGCATAATTTAATTATCATATCAAGAATTAAGCTTTAAAAATCCAATCACAGTTAAAACCATAATTTAACTAAATATGTATGAAATATTCCATAAAATGATTTAAAATTAATAAGTGTTATTAAATTATATATGAAAATTAATATTAGTAAAGTTTATTAAAATAGAAAAAATTTATAAAAATTAAATCTCACTATAATAAATATTTCTGGGAATAATAAAAATAAATATCAATTGTAGTTTTTGAAATAAAAGATATAGTAAAAAATTTAAAATAGAAATAAATATTTTTATGATAAAAAATAATATTAGAGTGAATTTCAATGGATTTAATACATGTTGAATTTAATCTAATTAGGATATAGAATAAAATTTTATTTTTATAAACAAAAGTGAAATAATCAATTCAAAAAACAAAATTATGAAGTGAAAGTTTTAAATTAAATTGATTGATAAATTAAAACTATAGCAATATTTTTTATTAACAAATATTAAATAAAGAATAACATGATGTAATTTTTTATTTCCAAAACATTGGACACGCGAATGGTTTTTGTTGCTACGTCATTGGCTCATAGGTTCATGTTATGTTTGATTCCTTATTTCCACAAATATAGCTAGTGGTTCGATAGTCGTCGGTTCCGTCCTTTTTTCACCAATAAATTTTCACATTTTAATATACAGACTGACCACAAACGCAACAACTTCGCTCCATGCCTTGATTAATCATTTTTTCCTTTCATGCGATTTTCCTTGGTGTTGGTAGTAGCTTCAGTCGACGGCCTTGAGGTAGCTTTCATGAATGGTAACCGCAGGCCGAGACCGCTATGGATTTCTTCAACAATTCTTCTGTATGTTTAATTCTGTAATATCCTCTTTTTTTTTTTCTCTATATTCCGTCGAAATTATTGAACATTTCTTTTTTTTTTTTTATTGCGCAGAGATCGAGTTCTTTAACATTGGGAGAGAAGATTTGCGCTGCGCTTTTTCCATTGGCGGCCTTAATCGAGGTTTTGATATATGCTGTGACCAATTGCTTCGACTGCCAGCCGCGGATTCAGAAAATTAGCTATCGTCTCACCGATCTAGCTCGCCTTTCCCTTGAATCTCCATGTCAATATATTCTCTCCCTCTTTTATCCTGTTTTTCTCTCTCTTCTGGCGTGTTTATTGAAATGACGAATTTTGTGCTGGTGTTAATGGCTATCCGCTACTGTCTATGCAGTTTCTATTAACGAATTGGAAGCCTTGTACGAGCTTTATAAGAAGCTGAGTACTTCCATAATCGACGATGGATTAATTCATAAGGTATTTTTCTTTTATTAGTATGTGGTTTCTGATGTGGGCAGGCGAAATTGGTTTTTCATTATTGAGGTAAAAGGATCGAAATCAGGAAAAGTTGATTCTCTATATTATCTTAAAAGAAAAAGGAATGGAAAAAAAAAAAAAAAAAAAGCATAAGGGAAAGAAAGTATTTGCTCAACTCCTCAGTTGTGGATGGAATGAAATTGCTGATTGATTATGTATGCGTACTTTAATTTTTTTTTGCTATGCGATTATTGGTTTATCGAATTGTTATGCACTTTTGCCTTGCAGGAAGAACTTCAATTAGCGTTGTTTCAAACTCCTTACGGCGAGAATCTCTTCCTGGACCGGGTAATGAAGTGCCATTAACCTTTCTATCATGTGCAATTTCAAAGATTCTTTGATTAATTTCTTGATGGGATCGCAATATGGTGGAAATGAGCCCATAATTAATGGAAATTGTTCATCTCGTACCATTTTATGTTTACTTAATTTAGACTAGTTTTAGCCAAAAATATGGTCAATTTCAAACTAGATCAGTTTTTTCTATTATTGTTTAGTCATTTCTGTTTTTAACTAGTTTTATCTCTCCTTTTTAAAGGTTTTTGATCTCTTTGATGAAAAGAAAAATGGTGTTATCGAGTTTGATGAGTTCATCCATGCACTCAGCGTGTTCCATCCCTATGCCCCTTTCGAACAAAAAATAGATTGTATGACTTTACTGACAATCTTTTATTTCACTGAGCTAAAGTTGCTCTCTTTCATATTTCATATATCTGCGCTGTCTGTGCCCTTATTCTCTGCAGTTGCATTTAGGCTGTATGATTTGAGACAAACTGGATTTATTGAACGAGAAGAGGTGAGCATATATTTTACTGATTTTTCTTAATAAGTAATGGTTACCAGAAACTATTGAGCAAGCAAGTTTTTGTTTTGAATTCTTACCGACGGTTCATATGAAGGATTTGATTAGTAAGGCTTCTAATCATTTCAGGTTAGGCAAATGGTAATTGCTATTTTGTTGGAATCTGATGTTATTTTGCCGGAAACACTTCTGGATGACATCATTGACAAGGTTAGCAGTAGTTTAAATTTTTATGGTCTTTGCTTCTTTACTTGTTTGGAACATCAAAGCTCAATAGTACTTTCAACCTTCCTTCAGACATTTTCTGAAGTTGATGCTGACAAGGATGGTAGAATCAGTAAGGAAGAATGGAAATCTTTTGTGGTAAAACATCCATCTATATTGAGGAATATGACTCTTCCTTATTTGAAGTAAGTAGCTCCGGAGTCTGATGCTTTCTTATTTGAAGTAATTTCCTCAAATTTATATCTGCGCCATCCTAGTCCTTTTCGTCTTGAACCATAAAATATTATCACTAATGTAATTATTCTTCAGGGATGTGAGCACTGCATTTCCAAGTTTTATTTTTAGCACCGAATTGGAAGATTGAATCTCAAGCTTTTTTTTCTAGCATTTCCTAAACAAGGTGTTTGGAGGCTTCCATTGCATGTGGAATTGCTTTGTGCAGTCAAATTGTGGAATTTTGCTTCCAATATACATTCATGGCAGGGAATTCACATGTCGGATTTGGAGATGGGTTTGACATTTGTCTTTAGCAGAAAGCTAGAGCCGAGTGGTGGCACCACAAGATCATATCTGTGCTGTACAAAATTTAAGTGAGGTGTAAGGATTGTTGATTCAAATTTTTGCATCTGTTAGTCTTTTAAGTTATATATGCCCCTCTCATTTGTCTGTTGATACTTAATATCCATTTTAAATGCATAATTTGGCCTTACAATATCTAACTCTTCAAATTATTAGTTGAACCATCTATTTGGTTACTTAAAAGTTGTATTTATTTTCAAAACATGTAGAGTTAAAAAGCAGCATGATCAATTTTCCTTTTGAATTTTACTTAGATATTCAATTTTCAATATAACTTTGTACTTCAAAATTATCTACAGGTATACTTACCAAACATAGTCAATTAATTTGATATTCAAATGAAATCATCATTTGTGCTCGAGCTTAATTGACGGCTAATGATTCGACTCGGCTCTTCATTGCTGACGAAAGTTTCTTTGTCATGGCAAAAATCACACCCTTGTAATATGAAAAACAAAAACAAAATAAACTGTCTAAGCAATGCCGTGGCTTATTTTTGTATATTTCTTCAACAATAATTAAATAATTAATTATAATTCCACTGAAGAAACAGTTGGTTGATGACTGCTGACATTTTATTCAATTGTTCAATCAATTACTATTAGTACTATTAATTCTCAAAAGTTTCTACGTGTAAATGATGCCGTAAGTGGTAAGGCTAATCCGATAAAATAATGTTGAGGTTGAGACCTAGAGACCTAAATGATGATGTGACATGTTGGGCCACCGTTACCACAACAATTAGCGGAGGACCCCAACATTCCCTGGTGGTTCAATGACATTCTTGTTAATAGATTATTTAACCGGTCAGCATATTCAATCCACAAAAATAAAATAAATGGCCCTTTATAATTATAAAATGACCATATACTATATTCTCATAGCACAAAAAGTTAAAATTATTTCTGTATATTAATTTATTTATCTGAATGGTAGGTAATTTGTATCTGAGATTTTATTGTATGCCATGTGATTTTTATTCTTAAATATTCAGAATGTTAAATATGCAAATATATTTATTTAAATGATTCAAATCTATTATTATTTAAAAAAATTATTATTTTATTTTTAAAATTTTACCAAATTAATTAAATAGTCTAATAGTTTCATCAAATATTTAATCCATGTTCGAGATTTGAAGAACCTGAGAAGGGGAAGGTGATGACTGAGATTTAATAATATGACCATATGAGAAAAAGCAACAGATGTAAGTACTAAGCTACTCCTTTTGTGGCTATCAAGGGCACTGCTGTCATACACGCTTCATCTTATCAATGTTGATTTGCCAATAAAGAAGCCAATTTTTTTTCTCAATCTTCATCAAATTTAGCAAAACTCGTCTCAAAATGCTCATAACAACTTTAGGAACTCAAATCCAACTCCAATTCCTATTGAAAGTGAGCTATTTTGCTGGAAAACAGTTTTGAAATTCACAGTCAACCACCATACACGGTTGAAGAAGAGAGGAGAGATATATAGAGGTTGAAGAAGAGTGAAACTCACCGTTTCACTTAACCCATCCCATGGGTTAGGCGAACCACAGTAATCAATGTGGGTCCCGTGGATATTTTATTTTATTCCTTAATTTTAACCAATTTAAGATTGTGGTAGAATTTTGACAAAAGTTTACAATTGAAGGATCTGACGGGTTAAGTAGGATTTAGGACGTAATTGATAAAAGATGCAGAGTTGAGGGTATATTTGATGGTTTATCTGATAATTTTGCCCTTAATTGCAAGAAGGTTTTCTAAGAATGATTCACAATATGGTTTATAATGTATGAATTAAATAAAAAAAGGGGAAACATAATTTAATTTGCAAAGCTGCCGATTTCATGTATTGTGCAATTCTTTTGCTAATAACATTCACATATCCACAGCATCACAACCGCGTTATCCTTACCATCATTACTCATTTCGTCGAACACCTGGCATGCACTATATCGGCAGAACTATTATCATTCACTAGTTACATTTTGGCCCCGAAACAATTGATGAATTACATTCATTAGTTATATTTTGTTTAAATCCCAACAATCAACGTATCATCTCTTGCTTTTTGCGAACATTTGTAGCACAAAAATCCAATTCGCCAAATGAAGTTGCTATTGGATCTGATGATCCATTCTCAAAAGCCGTTATCAATAATCCAATAAATGAATTGAGAAGAAAAAAAAGGTAAATTGGAAAGACATTTTTGGAAAGACATCGTAGAAACAATTAGAAAGAACTAGTGAATTGAGTGCGACTGAATTTCATTTGCAAATAAAAAAAAAAAGGAAATAGAAATCCTAGAAAGAGAAGAAGAGAAAAAGCCCAACAGATGAATATAAAATTGGGAGATTTTTTAAGTGTTTTCTTGTGTTATAAAAAAACTCACGCAAATGGACGAAATGACTATTTAGAATAACGGAATTGAACATCAGTTATGCATTCAACCAAATAGCTTGACTATTTAAATAATTTGATCATACTTATAGACAAAATAATATCTTTTTTCTATTATTTATTTGACCATCGATTTTATTTTTAATGGATCAGTTAGAATTCAATGTAAAAAAAATAACACGATTTTGCTTAATAAACTCTTGATTTATATTCAATATTTAAAATTCAACTCAAATATATCCATCCTGGTAGGTTTTGATTATACAATTGTTAAATATAGCTACTAATTATTACTTTTTCATAACATTATTTTTTTAAATTAAGAAAACAATTAAACAATCGTAATTTAAAAACAAAAAGTAACTTATTTGTAGGGACACTTTCATGTTTTGTTTCTCTCAAATTATAACACATTTACCATTTCAATAAGTTAGTTCGTATGTTAAATATCTATCAGACTCATATTTAATATTACTTATTAAAAATAACTTTTTTATTATTATCATTTTTGTTTTTCAACGTCATTATTTATTGCTAATTACTTTAAAAATTGAAAATATAATTTACTAATTTTATCTATTTTTCAATGCATAATAACCAATTTTACACAATTAATTAATTTTGATTTATGCAAAAAGTTAAAATAGATTAATAAGTATATCTCATATTAAAATAGGAGTATAATAAGAAAAATATATGTAAATTTATTTTTGTAACTAAAATAATTACTATTATTTTTTCTTTTGAAAGAGACAGTGTGGCCATAATGGATTTCATCCCGAGATACTTATTACATCCGAGAACATAATACCAAATTCTCGTCATATTATAATTTTAATAAATAATTTTTTTTAATTTTCACCCATATGATCAATAGTGATTTAAGGATTTTCACTCAAATAAATTAAGGATAACATAACGTGTAAAGAGTATTATCCCTATTTCATAATACTTGTCAAATTTGAGAAAATAATTTATTCTAAAATATTTGTCACATTTGTGGTTTTAAAGAGTAATAAATATTTTTTCCACATTTACTCTTTGTATATAATCTATAATTGTTACTTCAATTTAATATTTTTTAAAAAAATCAAAATTAATTTAGTCGATAATTTATTAAAACTTAAACACATTTGATAATTTTTTAAAAAAAATATAAAAATATAAATATGATATATATTATATAACTATTAATTAACAATAATTGACGGGTTACAGGAAAAATCTTAAAATTAGTTCATTTCTCCCCTCAAATTATCAATTTGCCGTCCAATGAAGAAATATTCCGGCATAAATCCTCGCACTTTCTCCGCCTCGATTTGAGTGACTTTGTAAAACCCAGAATCATCAATGGCGGACAAACCAAGCAGATCGCTCGTGCTGTACGGCGATGGATTGGCTCATTTCATCGATCAATCCCACACTCACATCCACTCCCTCGCATCAAAAGCTGCCTGCGGCTTCTTGAGCCTTCCCAATGCCCCTCCCTTAGGTTTCACTTATTCTCATCTTCTTCATTACTTCTCATCTATTCTTTTTTTTTTTTTAATTCAATACTGCAATTCACTATTCAAATTTCCATTCACTATTCTTTTTAATTACCTAGTTGTCGCCTTGTGGGTGCTTGTTTCACCATTTTATATGCTGATAGTGGCTTATTAGTGCTTTCTAGGTCGAGCAGTTTACTAGTGTGGGATTTTGAATTGTAATGTTGTTGAATTCTGTTGTTTTGAATCCTTCTGCCTTTTCCATTGTTGGTTGATTCGTAAACTAAGCGGATGCTTTCTTTTTAAGTTACGACCTATTTGTACATTTATTACTAATCTACCATACATAATTCAATTCTATATTTACTACTTTAGGTGTCTATCCTCTGTTTATTCAGTTGGATTTTGAAGTATTATCATAACTTGATAATGGTTGATGCTTGATCTCTTTTTTAGTTATTTAGGCTCTGGTTGGGGATTTGAAATTGCTACCTCTCAGCCCTTTGAGATGACTCTAATGCCACTGAGCCAAACTCATTGAATCTTTAGAAGTCATGATAATGGTATTGAAACTCACTTGGATTTCGATTACAGAAAGCGAGGATGAGAGGATTGTTCGGGAGTTTGCATATCTGCTGGATGCATGTGAAGCTTATCAAGACAAGGTATGATGTCTAAATAGTTTTCTGGAAATAAGAAAGTTCTATTTGTTGATAACTTTTGCTAATAGTTGTTCTTGATTTTGTTACAGAGTGTTGAGAAAAGCACCTCGATGCCAACCATATCTCAGAGGTATTGGCATCAGTTTTTTTTTTTTTTGTTCTTTTGTACTAACTATGGTAGGAAGCGAACCTCAATCTACATTTTAATGGCATCAATTGCATGCTTCATAATCTCACTTCAGGTTTATGGGAATGAAGGCTGCAATTGTTACAGATAATCCTTCTCTAAAATCTTTTGGGAGCAAGGTCGGCTTCACTATTTTGTCATTCAGTGATTTACATGGAAATGATGGTTCATTTTCTGGATCATCAATTGATCTTGTGATCTCTGAATTACTGAAGTTGCTTGGATTTCAAGAGGGGAAGACCATAGACACAAGTCAATTTGATTTAGTACTCGTGCACATAGGGGATGGTGAAACGGTTAGTAGTGATACAGAATACATTAATACTCTGGTTGGTGGTGTGATGCGCGCAGCAGAACCTGGTTCAGAAATTGGTTCCCGCCTGCACTTGTCTCTTGTTATGAGCTATGGAAATATCAGAGAAATGGACTCTACAAATTTATCAGTTCTGGTTTCTAAAGAAGAAAGGAACTCTGATCTTTCCATGCTCTTCCCTCGTCAAAGTTACACAATGAGAGGAGAAAAGCCACGAAATGATGTTAGGTAAGCTAAAAAATGGATTGTTGCATTGCTTTTGTGTTCTTATAGATATAGCTAATTCGTGATCAACAGGCACCACTGTCCCATGTTGGTTGCTCAGTGGCAGTATGCTGTGACACGCATGGATATGGCTGAGACATTCTCTTTTAAAGATTTTAAAGAGGTATAATTTAGATTATCGAAGATTATATAAAGCATTTATTTCAATCAACTATGACCCCCCCCCCGAGAAAAGCCACGAATGATGTTAGGTAAGCTAAAAAAATGGATTGTTGCATTGCCTTTTTGTGTTCTTATAGATATAGCTAATTCGTGAATCAACAGGCACCACTGTCCCAATGTTGGTTGCTCAGTGCAGTAATGCTGTGAGAAACACGCCATGATATGCTGGAGAACATTCTCTTTTAAAGATTTTAAAGAGGTAATAATTTAGATTATCGAAGATTATATAACAGCATTTATTTCAATCCAACTATGACCCCCCCCCCCTTTTTTTTTCTTTCATGTATTGTCTGAATCATATGTTTAATCTTGCTTAATAGCATGTTTCCCTAAACTGCATTTTAACTTGTACAGTTCCCAATGAACTTCATTCATGTTTCTTTGTCCGCAGCATGGTGGAAATCTTGTAATACCAGCTCCGTAGATTTATGCATGAAGTTGCATTAAGCTTTGGAAGGCCCCAAAACCCCCCCCCCCCTTTTTTTTTCTTTCATGTATTCTGATCATATGTTAATCTTGCTTATAGCATGTCCTACTGCATTTACTTGTACAGTTCCAATGACTTCATTCATGTTTTCCTATTGTCGCAGCATGGTGGAAATCTTGTAATACCAGCCGATAGATTTATGCATGAAGTTGCATTCAAGCTTTGGAAGGCCCCAAAGTATGGAGCATAAGTTGGTTTTCATGGAAGCCTAGTCATAGCAAATAAGGGAAAATGTTGGTTGTCCTACTTTTTTATTTAAGCAGGAAAGAAAAACCAGAGCTGGGGATCTTACTTGATTTCTCTATAAAGCTTCTGTAACCTTTTCAATGTTGCTCCGTGTTTTGAGCATTATTACTCCAAATAGGAGCATATGAGTAGCCAAATAATGCTAGTTTTTCATTTTGCAGTTTGTAATTTGTTGCTCATCTTCATAATTAAGAAATCTTCAGCAGTTTCCTTGGAGTCGCATAACATATGTATACACATACCGATAAGAGAAGAGAAGAGCAATGAGTCGATGTCAAATGATTATTCAGTTTCACTTCTAAAATAACCCGATAATCAAGTCAATGTCAGGTGAAGATTAAAACCTAACATCAAAAGTCAGTTTCATTATCCTGTGACTATGTATACTGTTATTAGGTATTATGAAAGTTGAACACTTGCAAAATGAACCCAGACTACGTTGATTCAGCTTCTTCCCAAAAACAGACCTCTGACATAAATTAATTACACAAGTTCTATCACTCTAACAGGTTTTTCATGCAATAAGTAGCGATGAAAAACCACCCAATTAGGAGAAAGGAGAACGAAAACAGCCCAATCAAAAAAGGCCAACCGACAAAAAAGATGCCCAGGCAGAGCACCAGAGTGAAAGGAAGGAATGATCTGATTATTGATTTCCAGTCAATCCAATACCCCTTAAACAGAATTAGAGCTGCCACATTTATCATGTTCCAATCCATTGATCGGCCATAACAGAGTCGATTGAGGCAATTGGCAATGAAAGAATAAGAGTTGCATGTGAAAAGGTTGTAGGTCTTATGTTCGAATAGTCGCACGCTTGACTGCAAAGCCTCATCCCATGTGAGTGCAGTCCCATACTCAGTGTGCATATAGCCATGCTTGCATGTGTGCCCAGCCAGGTTTAGGGGAAAGCAACACTGGTTTAACAACAAGAAAATTGTCAATGCAAGAACAGATGGTATCTTTTTAATAAAGCAATGAATTATTCAAATGCAACCCTCGACTTGCATGAAAATACTGTCTAAATAAGGATGATTACAATAGCAGCACTAGTGCGTTTGTGTGAGTGTCTGCTTGTATGAGAGATTGACAGAGAGATAACACAGCAGGGTGAAATACTATAGGAAGAATTCATGAATTCTATACCTGCTCTCTATCAAGTTGAAGATATCTAGCCACTGAACCAAATGCGAAATCATCAACATTCACGAAACTGGATCCTGCAAAGTCTAAGATGGTTCCATCCTCCCTGCATATGCCAACATGCCCAATGAAAGGTGTCAGCCACGAGACAACTGGGAGAGGAGTCCAAACTAGACAGCATGGAAACTTGGATTTATTTGGATCAATCTCATCCAACGGCCACCATTCATTCTTGAATCCTGATGCAGAAAGCATATGCTCAATGTCAGAAGTCCCTTTTACATCCATTAAAGAAAATCTTCCGCGTTGCATGTGAGTTGCAGCACCTTTATATGGCTAAAAATCAACATGTAAAACTACACCCTCAGACATAATGGATCTGTAAAAATACAATCAAGCAGATTGATTATATTTTGAAATTACTGGTAATAAAACATTAACTACAATAAATACATCACAGAATAGAAGTAAAACTTAGAATTTGGACTCGTTTTCTGATATCGATCAGAGTCCAATACTTTTACCATTTTCAAGAATCCAAGTATTGCTCTTACTATATAATTATAATCTATACATATACATTATTGAGTTGTTTAGAAACACCTTAAGTTTTCAGAATCTTAACTGGTAAAATCTGGTTTTCAGAAAACCATTAACCTTTCCTAGTTTTTATGCATACATTGTATCCAAATGCATAATTCCAACCAGGACTTTTTTGTAAGTAGACCTTGCTTATATGATGCCACCATCTGACTCAGCAATATATAAAAGAGAGAAGAAAAGAAGGGTAAAATACTAAAATCCTAATCTGAAGTGATTTTAAGATTTGTGAAACTGGAGCCATTGCTCCATATTGTCACACGTCAGCAAAGCAAAATCCTGATCTCTAATCATAGCTAAACAAAGATTTTACAATTTTGTGAAACCAAACATAAAGTTCCCCATTCTACAATAATATCAATAAGAGGTCTCCATTTTTCACTCATATTATGACCAATTTCCAGCATTCCTTCCATCTGGTTCCCACATTAACCGATTCATATGAAGCTATCATGCTATGCTGGAGTTTGACTTCCAGAATTATGAGCTTTGTGCTTTCTTAATGCGATTTAGTGTTATATGTTTAGGATTTGAGCTTTGTCTTTCTAATCTCCTTTGTTTAAGGTAGGATTTAATGTTTCAGATTCCTGCCATTAATGAAATGATTTCTTCTGTTCAAAACAGTAATAATAATAATAATTCTTTACACAAGGAATGCGAATCTCGCAAGCATTCAAATTTTGCCAAACCAATACTTATTAGTATTTTTTTTTAAAAAAAAAGAAAAAAAATTGCCATGATTTTGTGAAGGAGTTATGTTTCCTATTTAACCAATTAAGAAAAGACAGAACTGAAATGTACCAAATGATCTGAGATTCTAACGCTGTGTCACTGATGATCTTCAAAAACTTCATGAATACGGAAATCAGTAGCAATTAGAGCTGTGCAGATCTCATCATACCCTATACATAAACCTAATACACCATAGAACTTTCAAATTAACCACTAAATACTCCGTTTTTATATCGCTGGATAATCAGATACCAATCCACAAAATAAAAATTCCATCTTTTCACCATAATTCACCACTTTCTAAGAGACCAAACAGAGCAATAGGACTTCTCAATCCGAAATAACGCACGCATAAAAGAACTCATGTAATGCTTATACCGCAATAACAAATTAATAATAAGCTAAACAGAAAAATAGGCAGTAAATAATTGATAAACAATGGCGGGATACTGACCGGTAAAATAGGCGGCGACACAGGAGAAAATGGGCGTAAAATAAAGTCGGCGAAAAAATTGAAAAAAGAAAGAAAAATCAAAGACTTAATAGCTTGCTAGAAGAATTGAGAACTTTTCTTTCGTTGCTATAGCTGTTGAGAGTATTGCTATTGGTTGAGTTCATGGTGTGTGAAGAAGCAGAGATGGTTAATGTGAGAGAAGAAGACAGACCTCTTTAATGGAGGTTAGGGTGAAAATTAAATAATAAATCTTAAAAAATGGGGAAATTATTAATTGTTTCTCAACGTTCGTGTCCGAAAAGGGAGGAAGAAAGGGGATGACAGAAAATGGAAAGATGCATGAACCGTTCCTCATTTTGGCTTCCTTGGTGGGCCCCTCCAACTCTCCCCATAACTATTAAACTATTACTTTTTCTTTTCGGTATATATATTATTTTATTAGTACTAATTACTCTCATCCCTATTTCTCATTTTTTTTAAAATAAAATGCTGCAAACTATTTATTAATTGATAAATAAAAATTTTATTTTTAAATTCTAAATTTTTAAAATACGCTTTTTATGAAATTTAAATCAAATTCAAATTTGATAAAGTAAATTCTGTATTTTGTTACTGTTATTGTTTAATTCATTAGTGTTATTTCGGTTTTAAAATTTAATATCTATTAAAAAAAAAGAAATTGTTCGGGAGACGAAAAAGTAGGTGAGGCAACAGCAGGCGAAAGCCATAACTGCACGCTGTCTTTGGCTTTTTGATACTTTCTATTTTGGGATGCAATGAATGAGCTGTGGTTTTAGTCTTAACCCTCAATGGCCGTACGTCGACGTGGCATCCCAACATGGGTTACTTTGACTAATTGCAACGACTGGGGTGGGCTGCTCCATCCATGTCCTTCTATGATCATTTTTTGTCCCTGTTAGTGGATTTTAAAATTATTTTTGCTCTAAAGATGAATACTTTTAGCCACCGAATAAATTATTATAGTGTAAAATCATTGTTTAATAAATATTTTAATGTAAAAAAATAAAAATAAAAATAGTATAACACATGCAGCCAAAAAAAAACAAAAGGTTGAAAAGCTTGTGATAGGCGGTAGCTTTTTCAGTTATTTAAGCAATTATGTTTACCAAAATTAGGAGGAAAGGGGATGAATCCACTGTTCAGAGAGAAAAAAATCTGACCTAAGCTTCTATAAATTTAATTCAATTCATTAGTTCCAACAGATTCCTTAGATTTCATTTTATATTTAAATATCAAATAACCATTGAAATTTTTATGAAATTATTTAGATTGATAAAATTATTTTTTATAAAATCTTTATAAATTTATCAATATTTTTTAAAGAAAAAGATTAAAATTCATGAAAATTTTAATTTTATCATCTTTGAGTTAACCCAACAAAACAATAATACTATGTTATTGCACTTGCAGATCGTTCATAATTTTTGTTCACCAGTAGTAAAAATACGTCATAGTTATACAATAGAAGCACATACACAACTATACAGAAATAGAATATGATCCTGAATCTATACTTTTTCAAAACAAATTCTTAACAACTGCTTAATTTTCTGCAACTAGGAAAGACCAGGCTCACCGCAAAATGCATCTGGCTCAAATGATCTGGCTGACTCATCATTGTACGCTCCAGGAATGGCTCTATCCATGGCTGCTTCGGATGTTAGTTGTGAACCCTTTTGGGCTCCATCAACATTGATGAAGAGAAGAACACATACTAATAATGATGTTGCAAGAGTAAGAAGCGTGTACTTTAATCTGCTCAGTACGGGCTTAACCTGTTTGAGAAATACGATAAATCAACCTAAATTCAATAGAGTAGTGGGCATAAATCCATTCGAAAGCTCTTTACTATACAATACTTCATATGAATATGATCACTTGGTGACATTATGAATAGCAGAAGCTCTTCAGATGTCTTTGCACTGCCTCATAGTGATACTAAATAACAGAAATAGAAAGGTGAAAACATATAGTTCTGCTCAACATCTAATTTTTACAGATGCTATCCTCAGTTGCAGAAGCATAGAATTCATAGGTCCTTATTAAGCATAACCCACCAGCATGAACCCAGAAATAAAATTATATAAACTAACCTCTATTAGCGCTCAAGAACACAATTTAGAGTGTGAACAAGATTATAGATTTACAGTATCAAATTAATTTCTTCAGAAAGGACAACAGAAACATTGCCTCACATAAAGGCTAAAGATAACTTCATTCTTAAATTACCCTACAGCAAAACCTTCCTATACAATTAACTATTAGTAATTTGTATATAAACAGTATGCTCTGACGCATATATAATGGACATTGATCTTGAGCATGAAAGTGAATGAAAAAATACCATATGATAATGTACTTACTGAAAATGAACCAAGAAGACGATCTCGTGCTAAAACTTCAGCAGTCTTCACCCATATCTGTTGACCAAATCCAATTTAGACTTCCAAGTCTGTCTGTCTATTTTACAAACAACAATGCAATGCAAATGTGCTGAACAAAAATGTTTCATTTCTAATGTTTAGGACAGTAAAGAAAACTGAGAGAAGTGTGCTGAAGCTGCTTGATACAAAAAGTTTGAACCATGCTTGCATATTGATTTGAACTCCACAACTTATTCAGCTAAGAAAGATACATGAATCTATTAGGACGTTTCTGCAAGTTTCAAGAGATGTCTCAAAACACAAAAAGCATGAGCAATTTAAGCAATGATCGCAATTGATTGATGACTGTTACTGCTAAGAGAATATTTATAAAATGAATAAAAAGAGACAAAGGAGAGCCATATTTTGAAGTACCTGACCATCATACCACCCTGTCTCTTCATCTTCAAAAACAAAAGAGAGATTAAAAACCGGCATTCACTCAAATACAAGAGTAAAAAAGAGCAAAACAAGGAGCAGGGGCGAATTACATTCAACGGTAGCACTGAGCAGTCGATTCCCGACGTAAGCCCAACCCAAATACATCCTCACTACAGCAAGACTAACCACGAGTATTCCACTTGATAGACCTGCAAGAATTGGTTTCAATGGCTCCGTTTCTGGCCTCACCGAACCAAACCAGGCAACGGGCAATCCAATAAGGAAAGCGAAAGAAGCGCCGGTAACGAACAACCGAGAAAAGTACTCAACAATATCGCCAGAAGCCCAAGAAAAGGGGAAAGAGGTGGAGAGATTCTGGAATTCGTTTATGGGCTGCTGGTCAAGTGGAACAGGGCAATCGGTTTCAGACGGAGACGGAGAAGGAGTGTTGCCTCCATTTCTAAATGACGACGACAATGGTATTTTGGGAAATTTATATGTAGGATGTCGGTGTAATCTTGATTTGGCGAATGGAATGATCGGAGCGAGATGAAAGTTGGTAGTGGATGGAGCGAAGAGGACAGGAGGTGGTTTTGGTGATAATTCAACGAGTATAATTGCCATGGTCGGCTCTCTTCTCTCGCTTAATCACTCTGCTATTATCTAAATTGTTTGAGATTTTTGGTAGAATCTCGTCGCTTGATTTGGCGGGTCAGGCGTGATCAATGGTAAGGATGATGAAACCGCTGCAATTGCAAAGAGAAATAAAGAAAAAATATTCTAACACTCCCTTCGCAATTAATTATCAATCTTTCATGGAGAATCCACAAAGAAAAGAATCACTTCACAGTTCACACGAACACAAATAAAATTTATGCCCAAAGTTTGTTCAAGTAATTTAGTCTGCTCACTTTACAGTCGCAATTACAATCTACATTGAAATTCACAGTTAAAAATCATTACAAATTCTGCAAGTAAAACAGAATTATGAAATAAATATAAACACTTCATAAGCTTTTCTTTTTCTTTTTTTTTTTTTTCTTTACCACAATGACCTGTAGAGATCACACGTTTACAATTCCGCAGTGGGGATTGCTTCCCCAGACATTATCTCAATGTAGAGAGAAAATTAAATTGAAATATTTTTTTTTTCTTTTTTCTTTTTTCCTTTTCTTTTTTACTCTGATTTTCTTACATGTAAGATTGACAATAACTATTTATGCTGCTTAAAGCAACTTCCCAACGGCATCCTCCTCCACTGCACTTATGCAGATAGATTAACAATTAGGAGGATCTCCACTCTGGGTTGAACCAACGGGGGTTTGTGCTGAGTCCCCACTTTGAATGAACTAACACTTTCCCGTCCAGTATGCTCTTACTTGGCATCAAATAAGTAAAAATAAAATTAAAATAAACCTTCTGGCTGCTCCAGCTCTTTGAGCTCAGAAACAACTTTAAAGCTACATTTGTAATGTTTCAGTCTGTATGTTGCTTGCATTTGTATGTTACGTTCTTTCAACGCATAAACGTTGAATGTGACGCAGACGGGGTATGAGTTGTGAAAAAGAGGGCCGTAATTGTGGCTCCCTGCAAAAACAATCAAAATCTTATAATTTTACATAAAGTTCAATATAAACCCAAAAAAAAAATATATATATATTAGCCGGGTCTTGAACTCACCTTTGCCAACAATCATGTATTATCTGCGCAACAGCTGGATCAACATGCTCTGGAATCTCAAGACGTTTGTTCTGGAATCCCACAGCTCCTACGACTTGCATCGGATTCAAGCCTTTCCAGGGAATTTGACAAGTGGCTAGCTCCCATAATATTACACCAAAACTGTACACATCACATCTGAAAGGAAGCCGATAATAAATTCTATAAGAAACATTCTTATCGAGAATTCTAAGACAAAATGCCTACACTCCAGCAATTGTATGGGGGTATTAGGTTCAAAATGTGTAAGTATTAGCATCACGCTCACTTACTTTTCATTTGCTGGTTCATTCCTTAGTACTTCAGGTGCCATCCATTCAGGCTACAGTACAAAAGCAAACTTCTTGTTATTTGGTTGAGAAGAACACACAAGAATTCCAAGAAAAAACCCACACGATAATATGCTTGATGATGTCTTACCGTTCCAGCAGTTGACTTTGAGGACAGAAAAGTATGGTGCTTCAGGCGTGACAATCCAAAATCACAGACCTGTTGATGGAATTACACAATATGTCGCGGAAAATATACTAATTAGATTTTTCAGCAAGGATGAAGCACTCAACGTTATTCTATTCGAACAATATGAATAATAAAAAAATATTGTAAGGTAGGTTTTTTTCGTTTCTCAACCTTAACAACCCAGTTTTTGTCAACAAGGAGATTTGGAGACTTCAAATCGCGATGCACAATAGGAGGATGGCTTGTGTGCAAGTAGTTCATTCCCTTGGCCTGCGAAAAGAAATATTTTACTTAGTAGAGAAAATGCAAGAAAAATAGAATAAATTAAGCCTTAAGTTACCAAGAAGAGAGAGATTATCCAACTAATACCACATCAAGAGCCATTCGCATTCGCCTCTTTTCATCGAGTTGAGAATTAGGACGATGCAATAACCTATATAAACTACCCCTGCATGCAATAAGGAGGGACAATATGAGAAGAAGATAGACAATTTATTGATTGACTCAGTAGCAACTACTTTCATTGAAAAAATTCTTGGCAGAAACTAGGCCAATGATGAAATTTTGAAAAATCCCTACAATAACCTTCAATCTAATACTAATGCAGTAAAATAAAGCTAACAAGTGAGACTTACTCTTTTACAGAAAAAGCATGGAATAACTCAGAATCAGATTTGATTGTTGCCAAAGATTAAACAAAATATCAGGTGCAAGTAAACATACAAGCATGTGAGTATAACCACAGTAAGATTCATAATGGTTATCACAAAAACCTAGCAGTGAGAAGCAAAAGAGCATATGCATGATTAAGAAAATTTTGAGGTACTCAAGTGAACATTTTAAAGCTTTCATCATATTGTCGATCAAATTTCACAAGGCACCAATGTGAACAAGAACTCAAATATCAGATAGATGGTAACGTAATGTTTTTCTTAAAGAAGAAAATATGACATAGATCCAGCAGGAATTTGGATGGCAGAAGGAGAGGGAGAGAGAGAGAGAACCTGGGCAGGAACTCTGTCAGTATTGACAAATGTGGGGGGCGAGTAACTGCTCCCATGAACAGAACAACATTAGGATGTCTTAATCTTAACATGATTTCAGCCTGCATAAAGCAATCGGTTGGAGTTGATCCAAATGTTATTATATGAGAAATCGGTATATATAGTGTATGAAGTTAACAACTGGTGCTTACTTCACATTTGAACTGGACCAATGCATCTCCAGATAAATCTTGGTCCAAAAATTTCTTCACAGCAACTTCCTATCATGGAGAACCAATAATAAACCATCAAAATAGACGAAAAGATTTGACACAAAAAACAGTTAAGCTATTAGGAGTCAAATCATTTTGGCAGCAAGTTGAATACTGTCACTATAGCAGCATCCATTAAATATCAAAAGTGACAACTTGAAAACCACTCAATCTATAAGGAGCAGGACTGTGTCACCAAACTTCATACATTCCTATCATTATGGCCAACAAGGAGAGATGACATATTATAGCAAGACATGGTTGAAGAACCAATACAACGTTGAAGAATATAACTTACAGTGCCATTCCAATCTCCATGGTAGACCTCACCATATGAACCTGCATGAGAGGATATCAAATGAGATTGTCATAAAACAAGCATACTAGCAGTCAAAACACGCATCATATTCTAACAGTACATGCATCTATAAAACATTAAATCAAATCACTGCTTAGAAAGAAATGAAGAGGCATGCTCTGAATTGCTCTGCCTACTAGATTACCTTTTCTTCTCAGCCAAGGGTCCATGACCATCCAAAGACATAGCTTAGCAAATTATTAATCTTACTGGGATTAGATTGGAAAATGGAAGCTTACTCAAATCCCTTTTGTAGAAGAGTAAGTTTGGCTTTCTTTAATGAAATTATGATAAAAAATCTTCCCATTCTATGGATTAATCATGTCGCAAGACCTTGGTTATAGAGTAATAAAATACGAATTATTTGTGCAAAACAAATCCTTTGTATATAGAACTTCCATGAATGAAAGAAAAACTTTATAAAGCTACATAAACAATTGGTAGACAAGAACTCTCAAGCCTAAAGTCAAAATAAAAGTTGAAAATCATAGCATAAAGCGCAGCGATGTATTTTTTCACCATAAAGTTGTGGAACTTCATAAGAAGAAGTCTTACCTATGCCGATGCGTTCCCCAATCTGAAGATCTTCCCATGGTATTTCCCATTCTGCAACTTCTCCAAGCACTGGGTGAATTTTCTCACTGTAACCATTGCAAGAAATATGCAGACCACTGTTGAATGTTTCAGTTGACTTCATAGCAGATTCTTTGCCTGTTTCCATGTTCAAGACCCTTCCAAGCTCATCAGGGAAGCACCGCTTATTATCACGAACTAAGGTATCTTCAGGTGGTATTTGGCAAAAGTCCAATGCTGAGGACAAGGAAGATCCATGGACATGATTCCCATGCATCGTCCTTCCAAGCAATCCTGGTGAGTTAGGAGGAACAGTATCAACACTTACAGCACCTAGATGCTGTTTTTCATTGGTTCTACTATCAAAAACTATAAATCCCTCATGAGTAGCATCAGAAGGGAAAGACACTTGAGATTTGAGAAAATTCGTTTCCAATTCCCTTTGTTGTTTAGCTGGCCCCTCAGCAGGCAATCCTTGTTCAGTATTTTCTGCAGTTAAGGATACAGCATATTCTGCATGCCTTGCCAATAACTTGTCAGAATAACAATGAAACTCATCATCTATGTTTACCCCATTTTTTGGATGAATTTTTTCAAAAACCTTTTGTTTACCCTGATCCTGCTGATTTGTATCTGAAAATAAATCTGGAGGAGGTGATGCCCCGCTCTCCAACAGCACAGCATGTAATTTCTGAGCAAATTCAGGATTTTTTGCAGCAGATATAACATATTTTGAGACATTTTTAACTTTAATGTTTTCAGCCGATGATTGCCTTCCATTCCCTGATGAGTCCTCGTGAGATCTATGAGACAATGGGAAAAGCATTCCAAACTCACGTTCAAATGTCTCAATTTGAGCTTTTTCAACCAGGTTTGCATTAACCTCGTTAGTTTTAAAGCCCACAAGTAATGCCTCTTCCGTCCTTAAGTTGCCAACCTGGGGAATCCTATCCACATTAGGTGGCAGTGCCTGAACCCTGGGTCCTTCACCCAGCAACAAAGATGAATCTTTGGCAGCATCTGTAAGATCAGCAAAGCCCGTTATATCAAATCCAGGACATGGGAGATGGCTGCTGGGCACCTCAGCAGGAATTAGTGTTCCAGGAGCACCCATCAGATCAATAATGTATTCACTGCATTACAGCATCAGATCAAGCACATCAATATTCTCATAAAACCTTTTGAAACCAAAAGCAAAACAAAAAAAGGGAAAAATAACAAGATGGCACACCCCCCTTCGAACTTATATGTCCTTATGTTGGACATGAAACACAGGTCCAATTACTCAAGAACAATGAAATATGAAAAATGAATTAACTGCAGCAGATAACGTAAACACAAACAGTAGGTGAATTGGCATTGGTAAGAAAAGTGATTATTTCCACCATCTCAAGAATAGCATCAAGCATTCATAGATTTTATACTTTTGAAATCTTTCAGTGTAAGTGCACTGACAAAATATGGAAACACCAGTAAAGTTATCACACAGAATCCAGCTGCCGTCGAGATATATAAAGAAAGGGCCTCATATAAATTTGGGTCCACATGAACAAGTATAAAAGAAGTAATACACAACAATAAAGAATCTATTTAATTTAGTTTGCGATGCCACTTGGCCAGCAAGATAAAAAATTAACAAAAAAAAAAAAAAAATTAGAAGTAAAACCACATTACCTTCCATCATCAATCTTAATCAAATTTACAGCTCCATCATCAGTGCCAGTATAGTAGCTCCCCTTAACCAGCATGCATGGAAGATTAATTCTATCAGCTAGCACCTAGAGAACAAAATATTGGAATAATCAATTTTATCAGAACTTTCTTTAAAAGGACCCAAAGCAATTATACAAAATAGGCATTGCAAATTGCAAAAACTTATTAAGAACTATGAAAAGTTGAAAGAAACAGGATGCCATATAGAAGCCAAGAGTGCATGTGTTTCATTAATCAGCCAGTTTCACTTACTACCACGATTTAAAAGAGATCGCACAACCTTAAAAAGCAAAGCCCTGTGACGAGAAAGTCCAACATCAATCTGTCCAAGGGGAAGAATGACAGATTTCAAAGCATTCCGTAACTCATAGCTTCTCCGGGTCCACCTTGTTGATATCTCATCAGCACCACCGACTGGACCACCCATTCTATTAACAACAAGATCAGCAAGTTTCTGTATCAAGCCACTTAAAAGCAAGCCATCAGAGACTCGGTTCTCCAAGGACATTATATAAGCTTTTCTCTCAAGCTCCCGCAGTTCAGGATCAACAATGCGATTTACCAATACCACTTCATAATCAACATTATCAAAGACAGATATTGCTTGCAGATCCACTAATAATGGCATCTTTCCTTGAACGACTGAATTTGAGGTAACACCAGATACATCATAAAAGCCATCCAGCACTTTATCGTTATAGTTCACAACATTATAGCTCTGCATCAAACATATATCAAAATTAGAGGGAAATTTGATAGACACAGACGATTATCTAAATCTGGAAGATATAGACTTGGTAAGGAAACTTTATGAAAGACGTCAAAATTATGCTCCACTATACAAAGTTCACTAGGGAGTGGCACAACAATGAACGAACATGTTTGGATCTTAGACTTTACAACACTTGTTCAGCTAGCTTCTTTTTTCTTCTTGTAACTTTATGTGGTTGGATAATGCATTATGACGTATAATCTTTATGTGCATATCTTCAAATGATGTGTGCAACTCCTAAAGCCTAAGCTCCTAAATAACTTTTGAAGAAGTGCAGAATAGTAGAGAAGTATAGCCGTCCTCATATTAGAAGTCTACAACTCAACATTCCAGTCTCTAATTGACACAAGTATCCCCTAGATTGGAGCTTTTAGTTGGAACAAAATACAAAATATATCTCAAAATAAGTTTATCAGCTAAAATACGAGGGACATGAAGAGATTGCATAAACTTCTCTACAAACATATAAGGAATTCACTCTTGTAACATCAAATGCTTGATTACCGCTTTTATTTCATGGATATCAGAGCACAAAACCATTCTTCAAAAAGGCCAATCAAAGACCACCACTGTAAACCACACAGAAACATAAGGAACTTACATAGCACAGACTACTCAATTCCCTCCAGTCAATAGTTTCTTTCCACAAACTCTGCAATGCAAAACCATTCGACTAATTTGTAAACGAACTCCACTCAACTGCTCTAGAATTTTTAATTTCCAGGATAAAAGAAGTCGAGCACACAAATAAAACAGGGAATTAATTAATTTTTCCATTTCTCGCTTAGAAAGCAAAACAGTAGTGGAAATGTTTTTCAAGCATAATTATCGCGAAGGAAATCTTCACAAACAATCGAAGCCATTTAATGGAAACCGCCAAAAAGTATTGACAAACTCATAAAAACATTCAGTTACTTGGATAGGATATTCGCCTCATAAAGACGTATTATACTTGGTAGTAAATGAACGCATCCTTTTTTTCTTCCCGAATTAACTTAAACTAGCCTAAAATCTTATAATTAGAGAAACTGAGAACATAAGTATATCCTAATCTTCAATAGAACGATTAAAAACGTACAATGTAAACAGAACGCCACCGAAAATGATAAAAAAATTGCTCTATAAAAACCAAATTAATTGAAAACACCAAGCGATACAAAAATGGAAAACCAAATGACAAAATTAGAAATCAAACAAATTATAGTCACCAACTCTAGGAAACTGATCCATAAAACGAAATGGAATCTGACATAGTACCGGTATAAGATCCAGAAGTCCGAAACCCACCTCATATACTCCAGTTCATCAAAATCAAAAACCTAAAAAATGGGACAAACTTGCATATAGATATCTAGGCATGTACGTATAAACAGTCAACACATACCCAATACCGACGCGAGAGAGACTCGGCTAGAGCATCGGTGACAGGAACCGGCGCGACGGGGCACCCAAGGCTAATCCGCTTGGCGGCATCGATCTGAGCTGACTCCGGATCGTCAAGTGAATTTGGATCCGAGGCACTAATTGCCAAAGCCAGCTGAACCTGAAACTCCTCTTCTAATAAATTAAAATCCATACCACTATTCCCATCCCCTGCAGCCACCCGATCCCCTCCAGGCGATTCAACGGCTCCAGTTCTAACATTTGAAGACGAAGGAGACGTTGCTGACGATGATAAGGGGTTTGGGCTGGCACTCGGGTTAGCCACGGGTCGGGCGTCGCCTAATCGTTGGTGGTCATTGATGCCACCACCGATATGGAGCTTTCTGAGCAGATGCTTCATCTTCGACATCGATCATTAACGAGAACTCGGAAAATCTCTCTCTGGTTTTCTTTTTCCTTAGTTCCTTTCTATTTAAGTTTTTTAGGTTTGTTTTCGTTTTTTTCCCTGTCTCTGTATCTAATAGCTTAACCTGCGCTTACTAGTACTGAACGAAGATTCGCTTATCCTGCGCACCCTTCTCGTCAAGCTACCACCACTTGAGAGACTTAAATAGTTAAATTAACCGCTCGCCCATTCATTCCCTCCAATATACACACTGTATTGCACAAAGACAAAGTACAATACACCATTTTTATATTGACAAAGTCAAGGACACCAGTGTAATGTTTATCTACGTCCGTTCACATTGTCTTGTACTGCAGTCGATCGATCTGCAGTTCTGCACCGTCCATACCTTGATCTTGTGATCTCTTTCGGACAGTACTCAATAGTCTCAATAATAATGATTAAAGCCTTTTAGGATCTTAGCTTCATTTAATCATTTCATTAATGTTTTTATATTTTTAAATGACATTAAATTGATAAGTTGGTGTCGCTAAATGTATAATCCATAGTCAAAATTTTATTGCAGTTAAAGATATTTTTTTTCCATTGAGGTTAAATAAATGCATTGATAATATGATAATATGGAATGAAAATGAAACTTGATTTTGGTTTAAATTATAAATTTTGGTTTAAATGAAAATTTGTATTGTAAGTTTATATAACAAAAGATAAATTATTTGTCTTTTAAAATTATTTAAGAATAGGTGAAATGCATAAATAATATAGAACCAGTTGAATTTATTCAATAATTATATTTAATTATTATTAATATAATGAAATAATTGGAATACTGCTAAATAAATGTACATAATTATGTTTAAATAATGAAATTATTCTATGCAAAACAATCATATGGAGAAGGAGTGTTAATTTCCTAGTGCGGGTGCAATATTGGAAATGAAGGTGCAGTGGCACTATATAAAATTGAATTTAAGTTAATAGAATGTACAAAACCGTGGTATAATCCAAAATACATAGGGATTATGGACATACACGGTGACGAGAGGCCTGTGAGTTGTTTTTGAATTGACCGGACCCTTTTGGTATTTCTTTTTCATTTTAAATTGTCCTAAGTCCTGTTTGGAAATTTGTGAAAGCTAATCTCTTGTTATTTGGTGACTTGGACCATGCCCATTTTGTATCGTGACTTTGTGATCAATTATATCTGTTTTATAATTTAATAATATATAAAATAATTGAATATCGCCTTTTTATCATCGGATAATACAATAAAACTGAATATTATAATTTTATGCTTGATATTTTTTCAAGAAAAAACGTATTAATTTATATTATTAATATATTAATATGAGGGCATACATTATAATTATAATTTTCGCCTTTTTATCTTTTTATTGATTATAATTTTATATGAGCATCTATCCAAAAATCCGAATGGAAAATTAGAAAATTGAATTTTCCATTTTGGAATGGAAATAAAGAGTGGGTTTGGAATTAAAGTTCCACGAGCCTAGCATGTAGCAAATAGAGCAATTACCCTAAAAGAGGGAAACATTCCCTATTAGCGGCCAAAAGGCGTTTGTTTGTTTTTATCTTTGGAAGTCCAACGATCAGTTCTTTTTGGATCATATCCATCGCGGATAAGATTGTTGTTGAAAGGTAATGAATTCAAGAACAGCCAATCAAAATAATTTACTGTTTCCAAACATTTACCCATTCTTGGAAATAATCCGATTGAATTGATTTTGGTTGTAGCTTCCTAAATATTTGGCACATTTAAAATTTATAAGTATCGAAATTTTTAAGGAATTGAAACAATAAACGTTGGTTATATAAAAAATATATGTGGAAAAAATTTATTAATCAGTTGAAACCACAAATTTCACAAATATTTTAGAATAAATAAACAGAAGGTGACCTGACCATGCAAAGCAAGTGCCTTGATCAAGGCAGAAACAAATTTTTAACAAATGAGCAAGCAAGCTACTAATTATATAAAAGATGGTAATTATCCTTCTCAACATAATAATAAGATACTCAATACTCCCTTCGTCTTTCTATGTTTTGGAAGTTTTTGACTTTTTATAAAAATTGATTGAATCACTTCAATTTTTTTATAAAGAAAATAAGGGTATAATTACAAATTTATCATCTTTGTATCTAAGCTTTCGAAAAACCAAGTGAGAGAGAATATTTTAAAATCGCTTTTGAGATGCGATAGAAGAGGGAGAAAGATGAAAAGCAAATATAATTACAGAAGTTATGTTGCAAGTAAGCAACAATTGTCATTAAGACAGCTGATTATCAGTACATTGACAAATTAATGTTCTTTCCAGCTGAAATGAGACATGAATATGAATAACTTATGTACAGATGAAGAGAGAAGATTTTTGCATTTCGTGTAGATATAGCACCACGGAGCCCATCTGTGAAGATTAAGCAGTAGCTGCAGCCTGTTCTTCCACATACTGCGATGCTGGGAGAAGGGTGCAGATGAGGTTGCGATCACCATACACATTGTCCACACGTCCTGATATAACAGTATCCACAATGGAGTCATCAGTAAAACTGAAGAGGGTATTCATAAAAATGGATAATAAGAAGACAATACAAGAAAGCTCACCTGTAGTAGGCCAGAACTTCGATGTGCGAAGCCAAGAAGCAGGGAAGGCTGCATATTCACGGGTATATGGTTTTGTCCATGTATCTCCCATGAGCAAAGATGGAGGATGTGGAGCTCCCTGCATTCACATTTTAATCAACAATAATTATATACAACAAAAAAATGCATCAAAACTATGCTGGTGAAAAATTCAATGGCATTATACTTCAACTGGAAAAAAAAAAAAAAAAAAAAAAAAAAAAAAAAAAAAAAAAAAAAAAAAAAAAAAAAAAAGAAAAGGGAAGAAGGCCCATTTAACCTTGAGAGACATTAATTGCTCTGATATCTAGCATTTCCTTTCTAATCTCTGCTATTTCCTGCCTAATGAGATAAGGGGCATCACAGAATCTGTCCTAACCTCTGCTGAAAAAAAAAAAAAAAAAAAAAAAAAAAAAAAAAAAAAAAAAAAAAAAAAAAAAGAAAAAGGGGAGAAGGCCATTTAACCTTGAGGACATTATTGTTGATATCAGCATTTCCTTTCTCAATCTCTGCTATTTCCTGCCTAATGGAGATAAGGGCATCACAGAATCTGTCTAACTCTGCCTGAAAAAAAGAAAAGAAGAATTGGATTGAAACTCCATGAGAGGGGAGAAGCAATTGGAGAATGCGAAGAGATGGAGATTGTCAGTAGCTTTTACCTTGCTTTCACTTTCAGTGGGTTCAATCATAAGTGTGCCTGGAACTGGCCATGACATTGTTGGTGCATGAAATCCATAGTCCATGAGACGTTTGGCAACGTCCTCAGGCTCAATTCCAGCAGTATTCTGCAAGGAGTATTGCAATTAATTGTGATGGATTTTTTCTAAGAAAGGGGGATGATTAAAGCAGATACATAATTACCTTAAAGCCTCTCAAGTCCACAATGAATTCATGGGCAACTGTTCCATTGACACCACGGAAAAGAATGGGATAGTAATTCTGAGAAGCAAAACAATGATAAAAAAAATTAAATGAAGGCCAAAAATTGTCTACAAGTTTACTTCTAACAATGAACTCACAAGTCAGAATGCAATATTCTACTGAAAGAGTAAAGTCAACTGGTACGTCAAACACATTATAAAATTTAGCAGTATAAGTTTAACAATGGTTATAGTTGTTTCACTAACAAAGACAAAGGATTCATGATCATTTCTTGAAGTTCACAACAGGCATCACCTGTTCACAAAACTGATTGATTTAATACTATAAGGGAAAAGACAGTTAAGGGAAAATGAGAAACCTCCAAACGCTTTGCCATGTAATTTGCATTCAGTATGGCAATCTTGGAAGCTTCTGTTAGTCCTTGAGATCCCATCATTGCTATGTAAGTGTAAGATATCGGCAAGATAAGTGCAGATCCCCATGGTGCAGCTGAAATGGTACCCAGTGGTTGAGTCTTTTCAGGGGCTGGTATACCACCAGTGGATACCTTCAATGGGAATAAAAAAGAAATTTAGAACAAAATGACAAAGACAGAAGAAATCTTAGTAGTAAACAACATAAACAAGGAAACTTAGATGATTGCCTGAAGCCAATTCAACAATAAAAATTAATAAAAAGAAGTGACAATTTGCTTCAGCTTTTGATTGAATTTATTGGCATTATTAGATAGATTGTGAAGCAGTTTAATACCGAGTCGAAACAGTTCCCCAAAAAAACAAATGCATGAAAAGCTATTCACTGCAATAAGAATATGTACCACAGGATGTGAAGGCAGAAATGGTGCCAAGTGCTTCTTCACTCCAATAGGACCCATCCCAGGACCACCACCTCCATGGGGAATGCAAAATGTTTTATGGAGATTGAGATGGCAAACATCAGCTCCAATGAAACCTGGACTTGTCAGACCCACCTGCAAGGACCATCGCTTAAAATTAAAATGATATGTTCACCAATATATAATAAACGACAATGTTTATACCATAATAGGAGATGAGTGAAAAAACAGGATTCTTAATAACTTTTGTGCGTAGCAATGTTGAGCAAAAAATGCATGTGAAAAATTGAAGCTATTTCCATTTTTTTGGAAAGAAGAGACAATGAAATAACATCATAACCAATTTGAGAACTTATAGAAGAGAAAGACTACTAAGTACGTAAATTTAAAGTAATAGAATATAGCATGGGAAAACAAACCTGTGCATTCATGTTAGCTCCATCCATGTATACTTGACCTCCATTGTCATGAATTATCTTACATATCTCATCAATACCTTCTTCATAGACTCCATGAGTGGAAGGATATGTAACCTAAAATTTAAAATAGAATCAGATAACTGGTAACATTCCACCAACATAAAAATAAACCACGAAGGAAACACAATATCCATACCATAAGTGCTGATAGGTTGTCCTTATTGGCTTCAGCAGCCTTCCTTAGCTCTTCAATGTTAATGTTTCCCTTGGCATCAGTTCCAACAGCAACAATTTTCATTCCACACATGGCAGCACTTGCAGGATTTGTCCCATGTGCTGAAACAGGTATGATGCATACATTGCGATGATGATCTCCTCTTGACTAAAACATCCATTAAAGGGGCGAAATTAGCATAATTACTTGGCCAGGAAGGAAAACGGAATAAAAATGCTATAAAATGAAGTGGCATAAGTAAGATGGAATTTCTGGACGTGGACAACAGTAATAAATGTAACAAAATCAAAAGTGGCAAGAGACTGCGGCAACCAATATTCTCTTCTGTTCAATTATTCATTTGAGGAATATAGAATGTAATATCAGATATCATGCAAAATCCATTGAATGAATCATTTTTAGGAATACTATCAATGAAAAGAGCTCGAAGAAAATAGCAAGTGTTCACTCCAGGATTATTATAAATATAGTCACGTATAATTTTTTTCCTTTTTCTTCTGACAAAATTCTATATAAAGAGAAGGAAGTCTCATAGAACATAATCAAAAAGCATGAAAAGCTTGATCTGAGCTCTCAGCGTAAGCAAGCTTCAAGGTACTAAGAGCCTAAAGCTAGAAGGAATGAACAAACTGTTTACAAGTTGATCCAAGGTACCTTATGATATGCACGAATAACCATCAGCCCAGCATATTCTCCAGCAGCACCGGCGTTAGGTTGCAATGAGAATGAGTCAAACCCAGTGATTGTACACAATAATTTGCCCAAGTCATCGAACATTTCCTTAAAGAGTATAAGAATTTGAAAAAGGTCAATTTAATAGTTCAGGCACTACAGTTGGCCATGTGAAACATAGCAAAAACACCTCAATTTTCACTTTAAATAACATGAGGAACTCCCTACCTGATAACCCTGAGCCTGTTCTTGAGGAGCAAAGGGGTGAATGTCAGTGAAGTTAGGCCATGTCACCGGCATCATTTCAACAGTTGCATTCAATTTCATTGTGCAAGATCCCAGTGGAATCATACTATGGCACAAAGAGAGATCCTTCGACTGCAACCTATGAATATACCTGAGCAACTCATGCTCTGTATGATACCTAATAAAAAAAGACGAAAGAAAGAGAAAAATATCAGAGTGGCTTCCAAAAAATAACCTTGATGTTCGAATTTGCAGGACAAAGGTGCTACATGTTAAAGATTTGGTGTGTCAGGAATGGGCTTTCCCTTGTTAGCCCAGAAGGGATTGCATTTTGAACCTCTGGTGACAGAGATGCAGCAGTAAAAGGGACCTGAAATTTGGAAAAATGGAGATCTTAACTTGATGGTTAAAATAGTGATGTACTGGAACCATTAACAACAATAATTAAGCCTTAATCCCAAACTAGTTGGAGTGGACTTTTGTCATTATATCTGCTCGAATCCATAATAGCAAGAAAAGATAGAGCATAAAATATATATATATAAATGAACAGATAGAAATATTTAGTAATACTTACAGGCTTGCCAGCAGCAAAAATTTTGAAAAGTTGGTCAACATCCTCTAGAGTTGTTGTTTCATCAAAGGAAACAGTGATCTGAAAAGCAAACAATATTATACTAACCCCATGATATTGAATTGTAGGCAGATATACAGCAGATAGGATTAAACTTACAGTGTTTGCATCTATGATTCGCAAGTTTATATCACTCTTGTGTGCAGCATCAGCAATTGCATGTGCATTAGCAGACTTAACTTTCACGGTGTCAAAGAAGGGAAGGCCCTGGACTTCCACTGTCCCAAGTTTCTTTAATCCAAGTGCAAAGACTCCGGCAAGACCATGGACCCTTTGTGCAATGGCTTTAAGGCCTTCAGGCCCATGGTAGACAGCATACATAGCAGCCATGTTTGCAAGTAATGCCTAAATAGAAGATAATATTACTCTCAACATATGTGTTTGAAAAACATGGCATTTAAAAGTGGTGTTTCACTAATTTTTACAGGAGTCTACAGTCAAGCAAAGGAAATGCTAATAATATGAACAATTTTTATCTTACTTGAGCAGTGCAAATGTTGCTGGTAGCCTTGTCCCTGCGAATATGCTGCTCCCTAGTTTGCATTGCCATACGCAGAGCAGGCTTCCCAGAAGAATCAACACTAACACCAATAATTCTTCCAGGCATCAACCTCTTGTACTCTTGTGAGGTAGCCAAGAAAGCTGCATGTGGACCTCCATAACCCATCGGAACGCCAAACCTCTGAGCTGATCCAACAACAATATCTGCCCCCAATTCACCAGGAGGCTTCAACACTGTCAACGCCAACAAATCCGTCGCCATAACAACCTTAACCCCATTAGCATGAGCATTCTTAATAAACTCCTCATAGTCCAAAATCTCACCCTCAGTTCCCGGATACTGAACCAAAACCCCACAAACATCGCCGCATTTGTAATTAATCTCCTTAAGATCCATAGTAACTACCTTGATATCAAATCCGTCTGCCCTAGTCTTACAAATATCAATAGTTTGAGGGTGACAATTATTAGCAATAATAAAAGTCTTTTTCTTTCCTTTTAGAATATTATTACACATAGCCATTGCCTCAGCAGCAGCTGTTCCTTCATCAAGCAATGAAGCATTTGACATAGGCAATCCAGTAAGATCAGTAATCATAGTCTGGTAATTAAGCAAAGATTCCAATCTCCCTTGAGAAATCTCAGCTTGATAAGGCGTATACTGTGTATACCAAGCTGGATTTTCCATTATATTTCTCAAAATTACAGGCGGAACGTGTGTATTATAATACCCCATCCCTATATAGGACTTGAAAACCTTATTCTTTGATGCTAATTTTTTCATATGTTCAACCATTTGGCTCTCAGTTAATCCTTCATCAAACTTAGGGAACTTCATTGAATCAATTTTAATAGATTTGGGCACAGTAGCATCAATTAAAGAATCAAGATTATCAAACCCACATACCTCAGCCATTTTTGTTTGCTCCTCTGGAGTGGCTGAGTTATGGCGGCGAGGAAAGGTGTCACTAGGTTTCAAAGACTCAACAGAAATAGATCGAACTTGCGACCCAACACCATAATAACCAGCTGCAGAAGCAGCAACATTTTTCCCTCCTTGGAAAAACCCTGATCTAGGATTCCTAGAAGCAAAAGATGACAATGATGAAACGTACCTAGAAGGACTGTACAATACAGGAGAAGAAGAGTTTAAGAGAGCTGATGACTCATTGCGGCCCTGGTGGCTACATTGCCTCGATTCATTAACTAGCCGTTTCAGGATTGCCCTGTTAGCAAGCCGCCTTGCACGTTCCATGAATAAAATGTACAGAGGAAAAAGGAGTGAACTTTTTTTTTTTTTCTTAAACCAGTAGGAGAGAATAGGCAAATGGGGTTGGTGAGGAAAAGAGAAATTTAAAAGAATGGGATTATTTCTGCTCCATGGAATAAGCGGAGAGTTGGGTTGGTGATAATATAGTGAATTTTTGTCTGTGTATAAATATTTATATATGTTAGTCGTATATAAATATTAGAAATCTATGGCTCCAAGATCTGGTGGTGTTGGTCGTGGTGGGTGGTGGCTGACTGGGCACCTATGAAGAAAAGGACAGTTATTTTTCTTTTACAATCTGCAAAAACGTTACCAATATCTAAAACAAAACAAAAAGCAAAAATGAATGGAAGAAATTGAAGGAAAACAAGATTGAGTATCAATGGATGAAATTGCTTCCCATTTTCATTCAAAAATTTTGATTTTTCTTGAAAAGTGTGATCAGAGATGATTCATGGTTGGCAGAATCTCTTTCACACCCTGCCTATCTTTATGTATGATGTGATTACAAAAACAATTTAGGGTTAGGGTTTTTTCACCAATCAAAAAGCACTTAAAAAAATCTTCCCATGCTGTGATGAAATCCTTACAGAGTCAGTGAGTTTTAAGCGTATCATCCTTCACCTCGTTTAATTTTTCTTTTTTATTTTTTTTTCCTCCACAACGAAAAGGCACGAGATCTATAGCCATTACTCTCCTTTGCTAGTTTCATTGTTTGTTTTTTAAATAAAAAATAAAAAGTACAGCGTGACTGCAATTTTTCAATCAATAAAACAACGTCTTCCGGGGCTGTTTACTAAAAAATTGGAGTAATTTTCTAAATTAGAAAATATGTTTTTTTTTTCAAATTTTTTAACTTTGAAAGCGAGAAAATAATTTTTTAATTTTTTAAAATTTAATTAATATGTAAAAAATAACAATTAAGTCGTTTTTCTCAGCTTTTTCTATTCCAATTGATTTCCATTTAAAAAAATTCATAATTAAAACTATAATAATTTTTTTATTGAAAAATAAAAAATATTTAAATAATTTAACAAATGTTTTATTTTTTTAATTTATATTATGCTTTCTTATGTAATTATTTTAATCTTACATAAAAATATATTTACAATTATACCATTTACTTTTAAAAAATTTTACAAAATAATTAATGTGATTTATTTTAAATAAATAAATAATAAATATTTTAAAATTAAAATTTCTAAATTATTTTATAATATTTTATTTTTTAAAATTTATGTTTTATTTTTTTAAAATTTAATATTCTATGCTTTCTTATGTAATTATTTTTAATCTTCATAAAAAATATTTACAATTAATTACCATTTACTGGTTAAAAATTTTAACAAATAATTAATGTGATTTATTTTAAATAAATAAATAATAAATATTTTTAAATTAATTTCTAATTATCCTTTATAATATTTTATTTTTTAAAATTTGAAAATTATGAATGATTATTTTTAAATTTTTAAATTGGAAAATATATTTTTTATATTAACAATTGAGAGCGCGTTTTTCATTTCTTGTTTCTATTTTTATTTTTATTTTCATAAAAATACATAATTTTTTTATAAAAAAAAATTATGAATGATATTTTTAAAATTTTTAAATTGAAATATATTTTTTTATTATTAACAATTGAGAGCGCGTTTTTCATTTCTTTTTATTTTTTATTTTTATTTTCAAAAAATAATATTTTTTTATAAAAAAAGAAAAATAGAAAATTTAAAATTACTTTCTACAACTAAACATATTATTCTCTATCTCCATTTTGATTTTGCTTTGCACATAATTAAGTTCGCATTAATATAAAAAAATAGAAAATCTTTTATTAAAATTCTTTTCTACGTGGTTCTAGGTTTAATTTTTTTTTTTTTCCATTTATCACTTTCCAATATTAATATATTGTACTTATAAATGGGAACACCTCAAGGTTTATAATTTATTAATTATTATTATTATTATTAGTATTAGTATGTTAAGTAATATAATTATTTTGATTTAAATTTTTTATTTGTTTATTTTGTTGGTTTGGAATGGGACCGATGAGTTGGGTGAAGGGCATAAAGGAGAAACTATCGGATCATTATTGGACAAATGCCTGGCTGCAGTTTATGACACTAATTAAAACATGTCAATGATATATATAAAGGTTTGGCTGATTTTCTGAAAATGAAGACCGTAGGATCGAAGGAATGATATGGGAGATGCTAAACCAACAGTTGAGATGAAATTGGAGTAGAAAAAAATGGAATCTTAGAGCAAGATCCAAATCGGCGGCTTGGTCAGTGGGAATCTACGGTGAAAGGCAATGTTGGTTGGTTGGTTGGTTGGTAAAGTGAATATAGTTAAATAAATAGTTAAAGTGAATAGGTTGGTTGGTCAGCTTATTTAGACATAAAAGGTTTCATGATGATGCCCAAACAAATAAATAAATAAATAAAATAATTAAATGCTATACCCTGATTCAATCTCAGAGACTTTAATACGAATGTTGGAAATATAGTAAGAAAAAAAAATAATAATAAGAAAAAATATAGTAATTCCTTCCCCGGTTGTGTTTCCTCTAATGGGCTTTATGTTCAAAGAATATATGGGCCGCCAATGTATGTGTTGTGACGGCCTAAATTTGCAAGCCTCACCTTTGTCTCCGATTGGCTATTGCATATTTGCATTATAGATTGGCAAATTTTTGGCCCTAATGTCATGAAAATTACTCGTGTGGATTGCTTCCTCCTGTGTGAGAATATTCATTGAAAATGTAAAAAATCTTAATATTTGATTTGTTCTGGCTTTAATATAGTTTTTATATAAGTTATAATCATAATTGACCATGATAAAAATATTAATTGAGATATTTCTTTTAGCGTTTTCATTATATTATAATGTTATTAATTAATTATAACCTTGGACCAATCATTATCTCTTGATTTATATTTTGTTAATTAAGGTATGGATTTGTTTCCCAACACCTGGAACATCCACATATACATGTACACATCTGCTTAACAATTTTTTTTTTTAAAAAAAATTTTCTTTTACGCACAAACTGTAAAACAAAATATCTAATACATTGAGATAGATCAAATTTGCTATATATCAGATATTTAACTAAAGGATATGTAAATAACATATATACGTAACAAATGAAACAGAAAATTTTAGACAATCAATTTTCACAAAGTAATATTATTTAATTTCCATCATTTCGAGAAAAAAAAATCCTAAAAACCCATATTTTGGTTTGCAAAATTGCAGAAATTTAAATAAAGATCTCTCTCAGGTACAGGAACTTCTCCCAGCTAATAAGTAAATTAATAATATGCAAAAATATAAATTAAAAATTTCAGCTGTGAATAAAACCACAAGATAGTTCCATGAGCAAAATTGCTGCTTCCTGTACATCCTGTGGAAAAATACGTTGAAGAGCCGAATTGTTGCTCAAGCTTAAAGCAAGATTCTTCAGGCAAAGCTTCCTTTGGGTCTGATGAGGAGGATCGGGCGGTTTGCTCAATTTCTTGCCTTGTGTAACATGTCCTGCGGTGCGCAACTTCTTGTCCTTGTTGTACTGCAACTTATAATTAGTCTTTGTAGACGATGATGATGATGATGATAATGTTTCCGTTGCTGCAACTGTACCATTTGCCATGGCGGCCGCCGCCATTGCCCGTCGTGCCTTCCTTTGCCGAATCCCACACGCATTGCAAAGGGACTGCACAAGAAATATCTTTCCTTGTTTGATATAAAACAAAAAATGTATATATATACTCGTTGTATTCTTATAGTGAAAAAGAAAATCACCTTTGGTCCTCGAGGGCCACTCCTCCAAAGAGGAGTAGTGGTAGTGTTGCAATCTGAACAGACTCTAATGGTGGTCGTGTTGGTGTTGTGGCTTTTAGCATGGCATTGCTGATCTTGAAACTTGAGAGTAAATTTGACTGGTTTATCAGTTTCTGATGAGCAATTAGAGTTTATCATTGTTTGCATCAAGCTTACCTTTGAGGGAAGCCATTTAGTTATTGATGATGATCCCTCACCACCACCACCACCATTTCCATCATAATAATCTCCAATAATATTATCCTCTCTTTTACATGAGATCAATTTGTTGGCCTTCCTGGTATTTTCATTCAACGAAGGTGAAGATAGGGTATTATATTTATGGTGATCATTACTACTCCGTCTTCCTCGTGATATGCACTTGTCATTAACCTATACATGTATGATTAAAGATCAGTTAAAATCAAAATAAAAGAATATTCTATTAGATTATTCATTTATAAGTGCAGGTACGCTCACAAGTCACACCTATATCTTAATAAGAACTACGAGAATCCCATTAAAACTGAAACAAGATTATATAAACAACACAGGTTAATAGTATATTATCACAGACGTTTTCTTATATACAAAGTGAAAAGTAATTAAACTCGGTGAGAGCCTAATCAATTAAAAGAATAATTCAGTTTTGAAAGTGAATTAAAGTGCTTGATCTTGCCTCTTGATCTCGAGTTGGTGCGTTAAAGAAAGTAGGAGTAGTTGATGCTTGATGGGGTGACAAGAAAAGTTGCAGATCATGTTGTGGTTGATCTTCTTTTAGCTCCACAAGTGGAAAGGAATTAGAGGAAGATGAGTTCAGAAAGACTGGGGTCATGGAGACAGCGCAGTGAGATAGATATAGAGAGACAGAGAAATGGGGGGGAATGAAAAAACTAAAAAGGAGTAATTAATAGGGCAAAAGAGTGTTAGAAGAAGAAGGGAGATTGGGGGATCAAATTAAGGAGAAGGAGAAGAGGAGAAGAAGAGGCCTGAAAGGAATTCACGTGACTTCATGTCACCCAAACAAAACAAGCTAAAAGAAGACAAATTAAAAGGAGGTGTAGAATGCTACTACTCGACCCTATTATGACAAACCTATCTGCACTATTTTGCTTGCTAGCTCCAATCCTCTACATACACTGATCTATACTATATTATATACCCACTTCATCATCAATATACAATTCCATATACAAATTGTAATATCAACAGTTACTGTTATATATGTGTACATGTAAGTTGCCCATCGAGCATTTAAGGTTCTTTGTCCTCTGGCTCATATCCCATTAATGCATTTCAACTTTTATTTTCAAATAAAGTTTGTTATTTAGTTCTTCTATTTCATATCTGCTAGGAAGATCATGTCATGGAGTCAAAATTTTCAGAAAGTTTTTTATCAAAGTGCAGTGTAAAATAGAAGAAAGAGGGCGATTATGTTAAAAACTCTATTTAAGATGTCATTTCCATGACTCAAACATGAGTTTATTCATTACGGTGAGATCTAATACGTTTCAACCATCAAACCAAGCTATCTTGGGTTATTAACTATTATTTCTAATAGTAAGTGTCCAATTACATTATAATACTGTTAACTTTAATATTTAATACATTGCCGTAAGATGTTGGATTTTTTAGGGCAGGACCACAGAAGTGATCAAGTAAAACAAAAAATCGAAATGTGTAGAGCTGACCATATGAAGATATTTCTACTATTTTGGGACCTCAAAGCAAAATTTTTGTGTGAAGTTTGTTTTATATGTGTATATATACATAAATGTATCATAGACATGTATGTGAACTATATATAGTAATAAGCTGAACCAATTTAATGAAATTTGGAAGCATGAAGAAGTATTTAGAGGTTTGTGCTGACATGAAGGGATGGGTAATAGATTTGCATGGAATGGAACCATATGATCTTCTCTTCTTAGCCTTGCCAAAGGCATCAAATACTGATTCAGGCTTAGATAGTGACCCCCTCTTTCAGTCCCCACACCATTCTTCTTCATCTCATCATCTTACCAATTTTTTTTTTTTTTTTTACCTTATGTTGAAAAATAATAGCGCAATATATAATAGCCCACCAATCGGGTGTAATTTAGTTGGCTATCTCATGTTCTACAATTAAAAATGTGGAGAGTAAGAGATTTCATATTTTAATTCCTTCAACAAAAAGAGTCTTTACTAATTTGGCAAAAAGAAGCAACACGGTTTTGTTATATAACTCACGATCTCCCAACCAATCAGAAAAAAGTAACTAGTCCAGCTTTTTTTTTTCTTTTCCTCTTTTTCTTTTTCCTGTGATCTGTCATTTTGGCTTCTATTTATTGATTTCTCAGAAAAAGCTGAAATATCAAGATCATGGAACAAAATGTCTCCCAAGAGTCGCATATAATCAAATTTTATATATGTAACACCTTTTGGAATTGATATCTTTAGGGTTTACTTATTCAATATTTGGAAAGTGAGAAGCAACAGGAAGAAACAATGATCAGATAATATTTGAAATAAAGATAAACAGTAATAATGCCAATCTTTTAGCCTACCCTGACAAGATTAAAAGTTGTTCTTGTCTGGTTCTTGGCACTTTCTAGTTACATAATCGAGTTCCTTGGATTCTTTATGTATTGATGATCTGAAAGTTTGCGTTTTTGAGTTCGTTTCTTACATTTCCTGGATACAGCACAGGAGATGTCCTAGAGAAAAGCGGATAAAACACATTTGATATTTAATGCGTTAAAAACATCTTAATTGATATCTGCGGGTTATGACTTAGTTAGTTAGATTAAGCATATGAAAAAAGCTTTCGGTTCTATTCTCACTAAACTCACCCGCATATTATATAAGTAATATTTTGAATATAAGAATTAAGTGGTTAAACTTCAAATATGTGATAGTTAAAAACCAGAAAAAGAAAAAAGAAAAAATGATGATATAGATAATCGTTATCCATATGAAAATTACCTTGAAGCATTAGTGAACCACATGGCTCCTTAGCTCTGCACCACCCAATTGGAAAATGTTTTATGTAATATGTAATTCTCTCTCACATATCCATCCATCCATCATTTTATGTTGATTTGTTTGGATTGATCTATAAATTTGTAAGATCAAGACACAAGCTACGTATGAGCCATGCGAATCACTCCTCTATATGCTTGATTATGAGCAACCTATTTTATGATAAAGACACTTACACAAAACAACATCAAACTAATATTTTTGTGTTTTTCTAAAAATTTGACTGATTCCTTAACTAATCAAATCATGGGTCCTATGAAAATCTTATCATCAATTGCAAAAAAATTAGCCTTCTACATTCCAAACAAATGCTTTATAACATTTTTTATTTTTAAATAAATTTAATTTATCGTATTATATTTTATTTTATTACGATAATAACAAACATCACTTTAAGTATATTTTCACAATCGTTTATATATTGTTAAAATAACAAAAAAATAATAATAATAAATATTAACCACAATATTCAAAATATACATGAAATTCTTGTAATCAAAAGTTTTTAACTAAAATTATTACATTAAATTAACATTTAACAGTATTATATATTAAGATGATGTTAACATTTGACAACATTCCTATTATGGGCTGGGCAACACTGCTCTGTTGGGCCATTAGATGAAGGATAAGCTAAATTCAAATGTCTAATACGTCCAAGTCCATCTCTCTTTGGGCTTTAGAGATGGCAGTCCTTAGATCCTGTTTCAGATTCTATGCAAGATATAATCATTAACCCATAAAATATAATAGGGAAATTTATTATTTAGTCCCTCAGGTTTTACAAAATTAACCAATTAATCCAAGATTTTGTCAAAATATCTAGCTAGTCCCTCAGGTTTAACTCCGTCTAATTAAAAGATCATTCCGTCCGAAAAGTTGGTTTTTTTCCGTTAATTATAGACTAAAAGACTAAAACACCCCTCCCTAGCTGACGTGGACCATAAGGGAAAATTACCTCAGGTTTTACAAATTAACCAATTAATCCAAGAATTTTGTCAAAATCATCTAGCTAGTACCCTCAGGTTTAAACCTCCGTCTAATTAAAAAGATCATTTCCGTCCGAAAAGTTGTTTTTTTCCCGTTAATTATAGACTAAAAGACTATAAACACCCACTCCCTAGCTGACGTGGACATAAGGGAAAATTATTATCTAGTCCCTCAGGTTTTTACAATAATTATCTAACTATCTCAAGTTTTGTGCCAAATATCTAACTAAGTCCCTCAGTTAAAACTCGTCTAATTGGAAAGGTCCTTCTTCCGTCCGAAAGTTAGTTTTTTTTTCCGTTAATTTGAAGACTAAAAGACTAAAACACCCTAATCCCTAGCTGACGTGTGACCAGTATCGGACAGCGATAAGGGAGGGAATTGTATAAACTAAAAGACCTAAATATGAAATCCCTATAATTTTATGCACATGTAGAATTGTATAGACTAAGCTTAATTACACGAGTAGGAAAATTAGCTTCGCTAAATTTAAAAATGAAAATTGAAGAGCTTCATATAAAGTCGATGGAGATATAATAATTTTTCTCTCTTAAATGTACGGTTTAGTTTTAGATTATGAATATTTGCAAATTGAAAACCATTAAATATAATTATGTCTCTAAAATATTACTATCTTCATTCTATAATATTCCCCACATTTAGAATTTCATGTCTTTTAAAAAAATTATTAAATTTGTATAAATTATAATAAATTATTGAATAAATTTTGACAATATAATTATAATAAATTATTGAATAAATTTTGACAATATTACTCTTAATTTAATATTAATCTCTAAGAAAATCATTAAATTGAAATAATAATTATTAATCATACACAAAGGGTAAATATGAAAAAAATATTTATTACTCCTTAAAACCGTAAATATAACAAGTATTTTAGACTAAATTAGACAAATATTTTAGAACAAACTATTTTCTCAAATCTGACAAGTATTATAAAACAAAGACAGTATTAAAAAAAGGATAAAAAAATTAATTTGATGTTCTAATTAAATATTATTAAATTTGAGTGAATCATGAAAGTAAATACATCTTCAAAAAAGTAATTACTTCATTTTTCTTTTTACCCCAAATTATCATCATAGTTTCTTTTTTAGAAAAAAAAGTAATAAACATATTTTCTATTTTATTCATATTTAATATGCAAATTTTATCAAGAAACATTTCTATTATCATTGATAAAATCTAAAAAAAAAAACAAAGTATTCCATCTTTTTAGTATTTCAGGCTTACTACGGGCCTCGGGGGTCTTAAGCTTACCTGGGCCCTAGTGCCGGTCCGGCCCACGGAAACGGGTCGTGACAGTAAGAGAGGAGATGTTATATGATTTTGAAAAATTATAAAAATAATTATTAAATTTAATATAAATAAGGGTAAAATTGAAAAAAAAATTAATTACTCATTAATATTCTAAAAAAAAAGATATTTGCAGAGAAAACACAGGCTCTAAAACAATAGTTATTTATAGATAAAAAAGTAATTATTATTGTCACCTATATTATTATAATTTCACAACTTTGAATATGAATATTAATATTTAATGTAAGGTTATCTGTGTGAATTTATCAAAAAAAAAAGGGAAGTTGAAAGCCGTATTTTTTTATTTTGCTTTTTTTTTTTTTTTTTTGTACTGAATCGACCTTAGAAATAAAATGAAAGTAATTAATACTCTTGGATGATTAATGATACAGAGCATCTCCAATACTAACGTTAATTGCTCTTATTTAATTGCCATATAGAAAAAATGAAATTTTTTTAAAAAAAAATGTTATCCGATGCTAATATTTATTTAATATGGCAATCTGCAGTGTCAAATAAATAAATAATAATTGTCCATAACACTTTCTATTTCTAAAAGGTTAGTTAGACATGTGAGCATTTATTTATTAGTTATAGATTGAATTATGGACCCGAAAAAGAAAAGAAAAAAGAGAATGGAAGAAGATCTGAAAGTAATATATTGGAGAGAGATTTTTAAATTTTAACCTCTATAAATAATCATTCAACCATATCATCATTCACACGTTTAATTCATACTACGCGTCAGTCATAATTCCGTTAGTGTTGAAGATGCTGTTAATAGTAATTAGCCAGCCAAATGAATATGATGTGTACTAACTTATTTGGTATTTACTTCCATATATGTCGACAAACATAAATTTGGCCCATGACTCATCAACAATATTAATGGAAATAAAATAAGCATGTCATGATGTCCTTATATTTACAATTCAAAATTTCTCACAACAAGTTTAAAAAAATGAAATAAAATTCTACAATTTTTGAAATATATAATTTTTAGCGTCATATGTTTTGTACTAAATTCTGTTGCACGATCTTAAATTTAAAAAAAAATTAATTATATAAAAATAATAAATGGAAGGTATATAACATTAATAAAATAATTTAAACATGGGTGAGTATTAATATTAATATAATATAATATTTATATGGTGGAAGTGAAACCAACCCCCAAAATATTATCAATTCTTTAATGGAAAATGAGCAAATACTTAAAATTCAACGGAAGGTTAAGCTGGCAATTGTCTATTATAGCTGCAAGACACATAGCTGCCAAATGTATGATGCCTTACTTACCGCAGTATCCTTTTTTAAACCTTTACATATCTCATTCAACTTTTTAATTTCTTAAATTCCAATCTCTTAATTTTGGTTCAGTTTTCCATTTATTATATTTTAATCCATGTCACTAACACATTAATACGGTCATTTTTTAAATTAATAAATATTTTTTAGATTAATTCTCATTAAATTAAGGTCATTTTTTAAATTAATAAATATTTTTTAGATTGGTCATTTTTTAAATTAATAAATATTTTTTAGATTAATTCTCATTAAATTAAGGTCATTTTTTAAATTAATAAATATTTTTTAGATTAATTCTCATTAAATTAAGGTCATTTTTTAAATTAATAAATATTTTTTAGATTAATTCTCATTAAATTAAGGTCATTTTTTAAATTAATAAATATTTTTTAGATTAATTCTCATTAAATTAAGATGAAAGAATAATCTCTTTTGAATCGAGAAGCGATTATCTTTTATGATTTCATTCTTCGATTATATTTTATGATTTCATTCTTCGATTACACTGCCCAAGCTATACAAGATATAATTTTGTTTAATTTAAAAAAATTGTGCACTAGAACATTTTACTATTAATTAATTTCTTCTGGAATTAAGTTTTTGTGTTAATCCAAGAAGAGAATATGGAAACTAGCATTGGAGATAAAGGAGAAAAATTATAAAATATAGTTAACTTCTAGGGCTGAGTCCTAAATACGGCCTAAAAGAAGTCTTTGCAGTTTGCAAACTATAATGACTATCAGTTGTACGGATATTTCCTTAGAGGACCCACAAGATCAAAGATCATTCAACTCAACTCCATCCTTCAAACTCCAGTGGAGCCCACCCCATTACCTTTTCCAGCCATTCATCACCGAATTCAACTCCATCACAGCCGTCCATCATCAATCTTTCCCCAAACTCCTCTCCCTCCCCCTCCTCCTCGTTCTCAACTCCCTCGCCGGCTGCGTTTCTAAACACGCTGACTCCGGCGTACTCCACTCCAGCCATCACCGAAGACGCTGAGTTTGACACTGACACCCCGCAGCTCTCACTCTTACCACTGTTAACAAAGAAAGGAGACGATAACGATATCGAAAATGACGATAACGATGACGGCGGCGTCAAAGATGAAACTGATACAGTAGTCTCCGACGATGGAGAGGCGGCTGTCTCTGTGCATGTTGATGCTGGGCCTGTAATCTCTTTGTACAGCTCTTGCATTACTTCCTCTATCATCTCTTCTTTGATGGGAAACTCCGCCGAGAGCTCGCTTTCCAAGTCAGTTTCAACTAGAAACTCTGGCCAGGCAGCTGAACTGACGTCGTCTACCGCCGATTTTGAAGATCCTTCCATGTCTAGCAGAGAGAGGGAGAGAGAGAATCTGTAGGTGACTGTAGTCCGCAAGGAGACTTTAAAACAGAGTAACGTTTATAAAGGGCAGTAGAAAGTTTTGAAAGGAAAGTGACACGCTGGCATAAAATGTTGCCACGTTGGATGGTAGGTACCGATATTGTGACGTGGCAAGCTTCTGTAGTAACTGATAAATAGCTTACGCCTTACGGATAGTACAGCCAAAACCTTGTCCGTATTAAGCATTTGGAAGGGAAAATTTTTTCAAGTGGTGCTAAAGTGCATGTGTTTAGCAATTGAGGCAGCCAGATCAACGATTAAATTTTTTTTATGAAAATCCTACGGTAGAAAGAATGGTAGATATAAGGCTTAAGTGTGCTAGTATGTTCTTGGATAAAATATCAAGATTGCATCGGGAAACACAATTTATAGTGAATTTACAGGAATATCCCAACTTAATTTTAAGTTAATACTCACTGTTCTCTTTATCCAGAGAAATTTCATTTATGACGTTTATTTTTTAATGTAGAGAATTTTATTTGAAATGAAAACTTAAACAAGGATGTAATTGAAAAAAAATTTAAAATACCCACATTTGACTGCTGTTTGATAGGGTGTCAAAATGGATCATGGTATGGAAACAAGATTTGCGTTAAATTGAGTCTAGACGTGTTCATGCCATAAACAGATTGTTTGTATATGACACGAGTTTAAACGAGTCATGTCACAAGTTGACTCATCTAACCCGTTTATTGAAAAATAAAAATGTCATTATATATATATATATATATATATTAAGCAGGTTATACGGGTTATATGTGCAATGTTATGTTTCTAACATGTATACGATCCATTTAATTAAATTTAATTGAATTCTTTTAACTCATATATCACTTATTTAATTAAATGGGTCACACATATCGTGTTCATGTTACTTATTTAATCTTTGTATTATGTTCGTATTTAAATATTTGACACGATTATTTAACGGATCACATTCATATTAACCTAACCGTGTTACGTATTAGGCAGGTTGGTAGCAAATCTGACACACCAATCCATTTTGACAATCTAAATCTGTGTATTAATTATACACGGTCAGCAAAAGCACAGTGACAGATAAAAAAAAGGTTGGGCATTTAATGCCCTCGTGTTTCCAAAATAAAAATGAACGGTTATTTTTATTCGTTGTATTGTTCTGGATTTTAATAATGTGCTTACGAGGACGAGTGATATTTTGTATAATTACGTATAAGAGAAACACATAATTATATAGTTGCAACCTAATTTTAAAAGAAATTTTACTACCCATGATTATATCTTGTAAATTTGCGCACAAATTAAGTTCCATCTTAGTCCTTTTTAATGTACTCCACTTTAAATTATTTCAATCATATTTGTTCATTTTATATACAAAATTATTAACTACCGAAGAGTTAACGAATATACGTAAATTAAAAAAATATTGAACACAAATCCCTATTGCATACATGAGTATAAATTATTTAAATGTTCTCCATTTACAAATGTATGCTCATTGCTATATCAGTCTATCAACAGTGGAAACTTAAGCAAGCGTCTAAGAGTGATTAATGTAAATGAATGTGTCCTTGGGACTCTCTTCTAAGCTGCTTCCTCAAAATGAATGAAGCAATTAACGTAAATTAGGGATATATTAGACAAAAGATAGAAAAAAAAAGTTCAATTTAACCACCGTCTTAATTCACACGCATTTTTTCTTTTCTCTGGATAAAGAGAACAAAGCAAGTACTTTTTAAGATTTTTGCAAGGATGTAGAAAGAAAGAGACGTAAAGAAAGAGACGTGTGACTTATCTCAGTCAAAACAAAAACAAGATCAATACAATTGGCATTGTACAGACTAATTGCATGCATTGTACTTCCATGTCACAGGCATACAATGAATATGCATTCAATATTCAATACAAGCAAGATTTAACTCATTAATAGAAACACCAGTACAAAATGATACCAAAATACTCAATTAAACAATTATAATTAAACATCATTCAATAGAAAATTTATGGTAAAAAGGGTAATGTAAACCCAAACCCATATCAAACTCTGAATTCCAGGTAGGATACATTATAGATCTTGTATCAATATTTACTGAGTGGTCGGTTGGACATATCTAAAAGCTCGAAAGGTTCGAATACAAATATATGAACTGCTTAGCTATAGTAAATTACTTTTTACATCAATCATAGAAGGGTAGAATGCCAGAGTCATCATTTTCGCAAAGTAGCTTCAAGAATATAGGGTCCTCCCATCAGACCGAGGATCTCCAACAAAATACCCATCTTGCTATGTCAATACAAGGGATAACCCAAGTAGAAACCCAAATGAATAAACTATCTATCTTCAGCTGGCAATGTGGGGCTTTTGGAACACATATCAATATTGTGAAGTTCCTTCATCCGGCTAGCTGGATTGCATAAACCTGAAAATTTTAATGGATTCACTAATTAGCAGTTCCAACAAAATAATGACATGATTTCTCTCACTATTTGGAAAGATAAAATTTATTTCAATTGAAATAATAAATATCAGAAAACATCATCATAATGCTAAATTGAAATAAATTTTCATTTTAAATCCTAATCATTATCCTTTTTAGTTGGTGTAGAATCTAGTCATGGAAAATAATCTAGATGAAATTTTGCAGATTAGTCTAGGATATTATAAGTAGATAAACGGTATTACTGCAGATACCAATTTAAATCAGAACAGATCATAGCATAGAGCTGCATAGTAAAGATCCCCAAGTTCACAACAATGCATGGCTATGTAAAAGAACATTATAATACGGCAACAAATGATACATATGATGCGGCATGATATCCATATCCATACATATATACAATATAAAATGCATACACAGCCAACATTTGTTTGCAGTGCCTCATTGCCGATATGAAAAATAAAATGTTGGTCGCTTGTGAGGTATTGAAGAATAGTCAAATTACCTGAACATTTAGGAATATCCCAAACTGCTATAGATGTTGGAGTACATCGAGGATCACATATTGCACGGTTATCTTCATGATGAACATTCATAGCAAGCATCCATGATCCAATGGTGACATCTTCATTGTTGAACATTCTAAAACTGAAAGCTAAAAGATGAATTTATTTAGCCAAAAAAATCGTAGAAAGTATGTGTTGGAACACAAGAATAAAGCATAGATGACACTAGAGAAAGTCAGTGACACTAAAGCTGATTCATAATAACAGCACTTAATGGTCCATCTATCGTAAAAAAAAATAAAAATAAAAATAAAAAAATAAAAAATAAAAATAAAAATCTATGGAATCTCTTTGCCTGGAAAAACATTCTTCATTTACCAATCTTTTTAAGTGCACGAAGCACCAGAAAATTCAAAAGGAACTTTCTACCATACCAGCAGAACTGGAAGTTAATGCATTAGCATTTTTGAGAAAAGTGCTTGTATTCAGCAATGCAACTGCTTTTACGTACAATTTGAAGTTAAAAATGAAACAGAAGGGATAAGTTGCACCCTGATTGCAGCCACTTCAGGCAAATTTTCCTTCTTGATAACCTTAAGAGCACCATTACCAGATAACGGCCTTTAGCACAATCAATGGACAAATGGCCTTAAGGTTCTAAGGTCAAGCTCCCATAATCATATTGTGTAAAGCTGACTACCGTAATTCTCGAGATATATTGCAGAAAAATAGAAATCATTATACCAGAAACCATTTAAACAGGAGTGCACCATATCTTGATGGTAGAGATCAATACAGGATAATGATATAACAGCTAACTACTGAGCCATGACACTCAAGATCAATTTTGATGATTGACAATCATGGTCACTGCGGGAAATTTCTTTAACTGCAAAATAAAAGAAAATCTACGCCTGAAATCAGAACTCAAAATTTCATGGTGTTCATAGTAATAAATATAAGCGGACTCTCAAATACTCATTTCTTGCATAATTCAACATCAAACTTGTGTGGGGTCCTTGAATTTTGATCAAGCTTATTACAAAGAAAGCCATAAATTACTTAAAAACAACATGATATTGCAAATGGATAAGCACTCCAATCAGCTTAGTTACTTAGTAATTAATCTATCATATTAATAATGTATGCCTACGTGACCATGTCAACTGAACATTATGAATTAAAATAGATAAACTTTAGCACAATAAAAGGAAGTTTTATGTAAATCAAAGACCTGTTATTTCTGGCAGCTGCTAATGAAGCCACAACCTCTGCAGAAAGAACATAGATAGGGCCATAAGCATGCAAAAAGTACTCATTTCCAATCAAATGTCCAGATTTCTCATACCTGAAATTTTAACACTTGTAAATACTATGTTAAACCATTATACTTGCAGCATAACCCGTGAAAGCATATTAAGGACCATAAGGATAAAAACAAATGCTGCAGTAAATATAAGCAGTATTTGCATACCACTTCAATTTAGGGTCTGTGATCACTGGTCCTTTCTTCATGCATCCAATATAAGTCAGCGGATGGGTTCTTTCCTTAGCAAGAAGAGTTGCAAGTCGATCTAACAAAGCAAGAGATAAATTTTAATATCAAAATAATGGACAAATAAATGCTCTCTTTGTCATTTCATATACCTGGACGCAAGTAGATGTCATCGTCAGCTTTTACATAATAGTCTGCTTCAAAAAGCTTATGCGCTGCCTTAAAAAATGCAAGCCTGAAAATAAGAAAGAGTAGAAGTATTCTCAGACAAGCTGTCAAGAGAATACACAATATTAAACCTTTATAATTATAGATATAATGAACTTACGTTTTATATGGAAGCCTTAGATACTCTTCCTCAACATCTATCAGCATGAAATCTCTGTACTTTCCAATCTCTTTCTCAAGTTGTGCCATCTTCTTTGCATCCTTTGATTTCCCTATTACAAACCTAAATGCTAAACCAGTAGCTTGCTCTAACCTACAAAAAGCGGAATAACACAAATTGTTCAGTTAAACATAAAATAGACTGAAAATGATATCTCAGGAAGGTGGTGTGAACAAGAAAATCCCATTAATCAGAATTGAAGAGATCAATTGGTAGACATTCTAATTGAAAGACCACTTAACGAGATGTGATTATCTACTATAAATAGTCACCATATAAGTTTCACAAAATCAGTAAAGGAAGAAAGGAAAAAAAATCAGAGACATATACCTCAAAAGCCCATCTGGGTCAGAAGGAAACCAAGTACTCCTAAGGGCTGCACGGCGGTTAACAGAGTCGAACCCGGTTTGAATTCCAACAAAACCAAGAAGTTTGGGCCGATCATTTAATGCCCCATCACCACCTCCAAGTCTATTCGAACCTGAACCCGAGTAGAATGCCCGGAAAGTGTCTTCGGATCTACCGCAGCGATAAACCGGTAAGGGCTGTGGCCGGAGGATTGCGGAGATAGCGAAAATTGTACCGGCAAGGCCGATGAGAAGGGAAATAAGTGAAAAGACGAGAAAATGCAAGGGATAACGAGCAGAGGAAGAAGGATTTAAAATGGCTTTTTGGGGCTTAAAGGTTTTAGAATTGGAGGTCGGGAGAGAAGAAGCATGGCGGTGAGAGAAAAGCGGCATTTGATTTGTCGGAGAAATGAAGTTGGTCTGTGTTGGACACTGTTTACTGATCTTTGGGCTTTCGCATTGAAGATCAAAAAGGGAGCCACTGTTCCCTCTCTCACTGTATATAAAACCATCATTCTTTCGCGCATTGCTGCGACATGACGTGTTGCTCCGGTTATTCAAATTCTTATTATAAAATTATATAATTTTTTCTCTTTTTGCTTTTCTTTTTTAAAATGTAGTAAAATTTATTGATTTCATAAATTTTGATAATTAATCTCAACTAAATGAATAAATATAATATATATTTTAGTTAAAAAACTAGTGAGATGTGTTTTTATACGAAACCGGTTTTCGAACTCGCGCGATGTATAGAGCAATATTAAATGATAAAATAATTTTTTGTAATTTCTATATAAACACAACACAAAAATTAGATGTACAACACGAAAACAACACGTTTAAGCCTCTTACTATTATAAATAGGTTAACTGAGTGGTGTTGACCTATATACAATTCGTGTAACCCGTTTAATATCATAAATATGTTAAGTGGATGTGTTGATGCATATACGAACCCACTTAACCTGTTTATATTATTTTTAATTAACTTTTAACCTATTTAACTCCAAGTATATTTAAAAATAAAATTTCACACATAAAATGCATAAATTCTTCAAGATTCATAATTAAAATAAAAAATTAATACAATAATAAAATTTAAATATGTTATAGTTGGAGTATTTATATATAACGCTAAAATTATCTCTTTATTCTTAAATAAACGGGTCACTCGATTTAAAGCTACGCACATAACGTCAAAATTTACTCTAAAGAACATATAGGATTTCTACCCACAGTAAAATGCGAGATTGACATTACGCGAAGAAAATTCATAAAGTTAAAAATATTAAAACAATTAATCAACCAACATATCCATTTACTAATTAGACACTTTGTTATACCGGGAAGTTTGGAGTATTTGGTAGGTTATACGGGCTAAAATTATCATATTCTCTATCTTCTTAAAATTGATACTGGGTCGCGCAGTTGCACTTGGTCCTAACATCAGACCCGTGTCAATTTATCCCGAGACTCAAGAAAAATTAATACAATAATAAAATTTAAATATGTTATAGTTGGAGTATTTATATATAACGCTAAAATTATCTCTTTATTCTTAAATAAACGGGTCACTCGCCTAATCCGCGTGTCAATTTACGACTCAATACGTTTATATTCGTATCATAAATAGGTAATTCGTTTATGATATGGACTCGTTTAACCTCAACCTCAATCGATTTATTTGGTATATGAGGCAAATCGTATTCGCGTGTCATGATCTATTTTTACACTCCTTGTATGACCTGCATTAAAAGATGTACACACGCTATTAATGTATTTTTCAACAGTGATAATAACTTTGAGAATTTAACTAATTATAATGAAATAAGAAACTAAGTATTTTTTTTTATTTTATGTTTATGAGTTATTATAAATGATTGTTTATTTATTTGAAATATTAATGTGTTATATTTATTTCGTAGTGTGTCCTGAACTTATGAATCTTCTATTTTTTTAAAAATTATCATATCACGTAAGTTCCCGTGTGATTAAGTGTTTTTTTTTAATTTATTTTTATATCTTTTTTATTAATGAATAATCAGAAAAAATAAGTTATTAATGAATAATCAGAAAAAATAAGAAAGAACTTAATTGTTTTCCAGAAAAAACTTTTGTTACTTTTTTTATATAAAAGAAAAATAAAATTAATTTTTCTCTACAAATTTATTTTTACAGCTTTTTATTTTCCTTCTAATTTGAAAAGAAAATTATTGAAATTCTTTTCTCTTATATTGTTTTCTTATTTCCAAATAAAATAGTATTAATTTTAATTTAGTTTTTTTGTCTCATGTATTATATTATCTGAAAATATAATTACTTTTTTTCTTATAATTTACACAATGTGCAGGATAATATTAAAAGATGACATAGGCACAATGTGCAGGATAATATTAAAAGATGACATAGGATTCTATAATATCATTAAAAAATAGTAAAATTATATAATAAAATGATAAATTGCATCTTATTGAAATATGCTGAAAAATTGCGATGCTAAGACATGCCTTCTTAAATGTCATGCGAAGCTTTTCATAAAATATACAATAGTAAAAGTCGTGCATGGTATGACCTACATAAAAAATGCATACATGAAACACCCTGAATTTTTATTTTCAAAACTTTTAAATTTTTATTAAATCAAAAATCGCAAATTTTGGCCGTGTGGGTTGCAATTGTAACATAGTCCCAATTCGAGCCCAAATTTTCGAATTGGGCCTAAGCCCAAAACAGTTCATTCGGGAATTTTCGATTTGAGGACAGACAGTTAAAATTTTATTGAGAATAACGTGAAAACCACAGGGAATTAATTCTATTATAGATATATACTATAGTGCGAATGTAAAGCTTTATTCTATAATGTTAGAAATCATTACTATCTAATACTTGTATTATTGAAAGTAAGTGGGAGGAAAGTTGCACAAACATAATAAAAATAATTAAAAATATCAAACCCGGACCTGGAAATTTAATCGATTGCAGTCGAAAGACCACACGAAAATAGGCAAAAACTGACGAAAACCGAAACAATATGAGACGCAGATCCCACAGTATCGGACGGCGAACCGGTTCGAATCGACGCGGAATGGCCCAGCCCACTTTCCTTCCTTTCTTTTCTTTTCCTTTCTTTCTCTCCTTCCCTTTTCCCGCCTTCTCTCTCGCGCCGCGACAGGCCTCTCATCTTCCCCCTCCTCTCCGTATCGTTTCCCCACCCGTTCAAGCGAGAACGAGGTGGTGGTCGACTCACCTGGCACTGCTGCGGATCAATCTTCCTGCCTCCTCTCGCACGAAGGAGCTCCAGCGGCGCGGATGAGCTCGTTTGCCTCCGACAGGGCGCACTCTCGATTTTTCGGCGAATCCCGTTGATTTCCGTACGTCAGGTGCTAGAGATGGTCCTCGATCGACTTCGCTCTCTCCACGTGAACAATTTCCCTCATTGGTAACGCGTGATTTTGCTTGAAGTTTTTGAATGAACCACCATGGACTGGGCCAGGCTTGAAGGTGGCTGTGAGGGTCGATCCGGCCAAACGAGCCACTGCATTCATCAAACCGATGGTAGATTTGGACTCCTCGCGAAAATTGGAGTCAGGTGGTGGTGACCTTGCAATTTTCTGGGCGGTTTAGCTTTTCCGGCCACCGTGCATGGCGGCCGGCCGGCGGCGGTCCGGTGACCGGCCGGGGACACTCCGGCGAGGCCCGGGAGACAGAATTCTCTTTTCTTCGCGTTGAGCATGGAATCGTCACCCGATTCTCAATTGGTACGTTCGAAGACTCAATTCTCAAATTTTTTTTTTTTGCATATAAAGCATCAATTGATTATTAAATTTAATTGTGTTATAAATGTCAACATTTAAATTTATGGGACATTTTAGTTAACTTCGAATAGGTATTTAATCGAAGGACTTTGTGTCAACATTACATTTAAATTTATGGGACATTTTAGTTAAATTCGAATAGGTATTTAATCGAAGGACTTTGATATATTAGGTTGGAAGCTTGTGAATTTAATTGGGAAATTCATAAGAGAATTGGAACTTAGGATTTATTTGTTAGAAATTGTGATTATATTAAGTACATAATTTAAAAATCACTATTCAACCTAATTAATATATTTAATGTTGAACTTCTAGGACATAAGTCATTGTGGAATAATTGTCGTAAGTCGAAACGTGAAGGACAAATTGGAAGTAATTAGTCAGATAATTAGATGATCGAAATTAAATAAACAGTAGTTACAAATAGTTATTTACAATAGTTAATTGTTTAAAAGTGAGTTTTAACAACTTAACAATTTAATTAGCTATAAGTTAATAGCGTTGTTAAGCTTTAATATTACAAATAATCTTGTATGAAGTATTGTTGGAGACAGGTTGAATTTCGTTATATTTATTAAACTGTGGTTGAGGATAGGTGGGGTGTTAATGTTGAAAATGTTTTAAGGGAAGGAAATTCAACTGTTTGAATTCGCCGACGGATGGCCAGTGGGTGCATTGAATGATAAAATATATATAAATATTGTGATATTGGAGCAGGTAGATAGTCATTTTAGGGGAGGTGCTGCCGAAATTTCGATAAAACTTAAGACTAGTTTTTAATTAACAAATATAAATTAATAAGTTTATTTAGATTAAATTATATAACTTAATTCATAATAAAATAAAGTGCTCTTAATTAATTTTTATTTATCATCATTATTTATTTAATTATAACAATTACTTTATTTAATTGTTGTTCTTACTTTATTATTATTTATATTTATTATTATTAATTATTATTATTTGGCTCTATCGTTGCCGTTTTATTGTTAATTTATTTATTTATTTGCTTGCATTTTGAGTATGAAGTCATAATCATGCATGCATTATATGTAAACTGATTCATATGTCTGCATGAATTGCAATGTTTGATTAGATGTGTTGTGAAATAATCGCATGGCTTTGATTTTGTGTGGAGTTGGGATGAGTGGGTCACCATGGGTTTTGTGAGACCGTTACCGTTAATTGTGGATCCTGATTACCGTTACGGGTTATATATACCGTTAGATACCGTTTCAATGATCCATTACAAGTTAGCCGGGTAAATGGGAGAATCGGCGGCCCCGTGTGCACCTACCGTTACGCGTTACCGTTAACCAAAGGTTGGCTTCGTCGTCGTTGCGCACCGGACCAGTACTAGATTTGATTCGGCTTGCCCGCAGGGTGGGCCTCCTGTTGTGGAGCGCATTGATGATCTTAGAATTGGAATGGAGACCACGCGGGTTGCTTCCTGTTGGTACTGAAAAGAAAAGAGAGGATAGAAAAACAATGAGAGGGCTGGTCCAAAGGTGAGATTAGAACCGGTCGGCGTCGCCAGTATGGGGATCGGCTCCCTGGTGCACACGTGAGAGGATGAGCCATGTGGGAGGACGGTCTACGATCGGGGGTTACGGTGACTCCACCTCGACACAATTTCCACGTGAATGTGATTATGTGAAATGTTAATAATTGGGTGAGTCGCTGGTGATGATGGCCAATTGTGGACCTGGCTGTGTGACGCATATACAGACTTAGTCGGCAACTGACTAGATTGATTATATTTTATAGATATATTTATACATTTGTGTGAATGCGTGTGTTGTGCAATGATTATTATTCATTAATAAACTCACATCTCTTTTGTTTAAATCTTTCAGGAAGTAGCTCTTTCTAAGTCCCAGCTATAACTGTGCTCTTTCACTGTTAGAAAAGAGTTCTCTAATTTTAGTATTGATCTCTTAAATAGATGAATGTCCGAAGGCTTATCTGTATTCATTTGTTAGTGAACTCCGCAGATATAGGATTTGTATATCTTTAGTCGTATATTTTTAGTCGTATGTTTTTTATAGATGAAATCATTCTGTGAGCCTGTATTATAAATATAATGTATTGTAAGCAGGGTAAATTGTAAATGTTTAAAATTTTATTGAGATAGCAAATTTGTAGTGTTTCAGGCTTACTATGGGCCTCGGGGGCCTTAAGCTTATCTGGGCCCTAATTATATTGAGATAGTAAATTTTTAGTGTTTCAGGCTTACTACGGGCCTCGGGGGCCTTAAGCTTACCTGGGCCCTAGTGCCGGTCCGGCCTATGGATTCGGGTCGTGACAATACACATTATTAATATATTTTTTAATAATGATAGTATTTTTTAAGAATTTAACTAATTATATTGAAATAAGCAATTAAGTTTTTTTATTTTATGTTTATAATTTATTATAAATAATTAATTATTTATTTGAAATATTAATGTATTACTTATTCAGTGCAGCGTGTCCTAAGCATATGGATGTCTTACTTTTTAAAAATTGTCGTATCCGTACGTTTTTATATTTCGTGTCCCGTGTCTATGCAACTTAGCTTTTGGTATATAAGACTACCTCACACGTTAAGGTAATCATTAAAATAAAAAATTAAATATTTTTTATTTTATAGTTTGGGTTTTATGTACTTTAATTTAATTTTAATTTAAATTAATTATATTAAAATAAAAAATTAAGTATTTTTTTATGTTATGTTTTTTATTTATTATAAATAATTATTTTTTATTATCATATATTTGGTACGTTACATCTGGTGTAATGTGTTCGTGCAATCTAATTCCTGGTATATAAGACTACGACACACACTAAGGCAATCATTAAAATAAGAAATTAAGTATTTCTTATTTTATAGCTTGGGTTATTTGTATTTGTAATTAAATTTTAATTTAATTTAATGTATATCTCTTGATGAGATGTAACTAATAGATATTATTATGATAAAGATATTATCTAAAAATATAAAATAATTTATCTTCTTACAATTACTGTCATTACACATTATCTTATTACAGTTGTACTAAATAATTATTATCCTCCTCATACTAATTTTAAAAGCGCTTCCATATAATGCAAACTGATCTGCGTGTGTATATCTATATATATATATATAAAAAGTAATTCCTCCTAAACCCAATTGTCTTATCTTATAGTATATGCTTGTGATTATCAACCCATTATGTCCATTTATAAATCAACTTGATATTTATTAAAGAATTTAATTTATACTAATTAACTTTTAACATCGAACTATCAATATCTCAACACTAGGATTATTCAGCATATTTATCCTTCAGTATTTAATTGCTCATTGGGCCATCAAGGAAAAGAATTTCCACCTGAATGTTCAAATTCAGAAACTCGTGTCAAAATATATCTCCATTTCAACCGATTCAGACCTCCAAATTGGGTCACACAAACCTTAAAATGAACTAAACATATCTACGTACCATAATCCAATCATGAATTTCAAAGCTTTTTTTTCTTTTTCTCCTAAAAAATCAATATTATAACATCCAGTTTCTTCTATTTTTCCCCTTTCTCCTTCCAACGCAGTATCAAAAAAAAAAAAAAAAAATCAAAAAAAAAAAAAATAATCGATTAGCAAATTTCTCTTCAATACTGAACAAAACCTGGAATCCAGCCCACCAAAAAAACTAAGCCCAGATTGCAAGTGCAGCCATAAAAAAAAAAAAAAAAATATCGATTTAGCAAATTTCTCTTCAATACTGAACAAACCCTGAATCCAGCACCAAAAAACTAAGCCCAGATTGCAAGTGCAGCCATCAATCCAGCACCAAGAAACAGCATGAAATAAGACACAACTTGAAGTCTAAAATTGCAGCTCATTCTCTTACTTAGAAAATCAGCAGCTATTAGATCCACCAAAGCCATGTACACAAGAATTCCAGCTGACAAAGAATCCAAGATGCCTTCAGCAATTAATGCTCCTGTGCTATGTGGATTGTAAAACGAAGAAATGCCTATTCCGATTCCAATTCCAGCTGGTGTCGTTAAGGCGAAAAAACAGGCCATTACTGTAGCTGATAATTTCTTGAACTGCGCCTGAGATATACATCCTCCAAGTGCAAAACCTTCAAAGAATTGATGGAACGACAATGCAGCTATTAATGGCCTGATTGTACATGGACTTTGCGATACTCCCAGCGATAACCCAATAATTACCGAATGCGACACTATCCCAAGCTCCAAAATCTGCAAACGCACAATCAGATTAAGACAATTTACATTATGTTTGGTTGGGTGTAAAATAAAATAACAAAGTGAATTTCTTGGAGTTTGCAAAATACATTATTTGGGAAGGAGGTAAAATCAATTTACTCTCCAAAATGCGAGGAAAATAAAACAAGAAATGTGCAAAGAGAGTAAAATAAATTCACTCTTTTATTTTCTCTCCAAACCAAACAAAGAGTGTAAATGACAGCAAGAATATTTTCAGGGAAGTTATTTCTAGAAAGTATGGTTTAAATGTGATTGGTAGGTACGTTACTTAAATTACTTGGAAGGAAAAGTGTACTAATAGAAAGACACAATAGAAATGACAGCAAGAATAGTGGAGGAGGAAGTTCCTTGAGGAAATGGGTACTTCCCAAGAAGTTAGATAATTATAGCAACTAAACAAGTTATATTTTCAAACTTTCTGGGAACTTGGAGTTCCCCAACAAAGTTACACAAACCAAAGCACTCGAACCAGCCAAATATTTCAATGGAACCAAAGTCAAAAATGTAAACTTTGGTAAACCAACCACAAAACAACCATACCACATTAACAATGTTAGTAAAGGTCAACGAAACTCCACCCAACCTTCAGGGTCCCATTTGAATAATTTGTATCCTAAACAAGTCTACAAGAAGGTATTACTAATTCTATTATTGACAGACAGATTATACTAATGCCAGAAGCAAAGACAAGAATAGCGTGAGAAATTCATTCACCTGTGAAACAACGACGTGCCGTATACCACTCTCCTCATCACCCTCACTGAACCCGTGGCCGTGGCTGGGCCCATGGCCGTGGCTGTGCCCATGCCCATGATCCTTCACGTGCCCATCGCATGCGTCCTGCCCATGAGGGTGGCTGTGTCTATGATGTGCTGCATGCGCGTGCATCCCAACAATGTGCATTCCGCCGCCCTCCTCTTCCCCAAATACCTTCCCGTTCGGTCCACCCCGGTCTTTAACATCCACGAAAGGAACAATAACCGAATCCGGACCTGCATCAATCGAAACTACCCGCGCTTGCTCCTCGCTTGTCCGGTTCAGGCCCTGCTTTCTCTCGTAATATTGAGTGGCCACAAAATCCACAAGTAGAGTCAACAACGCTGCCATCATGGCAAAAAATCCGGCAAATGGGAACTTCGACCACGGGTATTTGGGCAGGCAAGGATTTCGAAGGGCCTCCGACCCGCCCGAGAGCATGTGAACGAAACCAGTGGCGAGAATTACACCGGCCGCAAAAGCCTTTGCGGCAACAAAGAGGCTGCCATCTGTACGGAGGAAACGGCGTTGCTTTCCAAGGAGAGGGATAGCAACGCCAGCTGCACCGGCGAGGAGAATCGATGAGATGGCGAGGAGTTTGAGGAGGAGCGCGGCAGAGTCATCTCGGCAAGCTTCGACTTCGGCCGATTCGCAGCTCGTATTAAACATGGATTCAGAAATCCCTTGAAGTAGAGAATCTGTTTTCAGTTAAAAAAAAAAAAAACTCGTATTAGACCTAAATTGAGTTCAAATCAAAAACTTCGAAGCAGAAAAGAAAATTACCAGAGAAAGCTCGAGTCTTTAATCCGAAACGATTAAGAGAAAGCCACTCCCAAAGATCCTATCAAATTGAAAAAAAAAAAACCCAGAAATCAGCAAATTATCAAACCAATTGAAATATTTAATCAATTATTCAGGGAAAATCTGAAACTGAAACAACTAACCTCAAAGAATAACATGGGAATTGAATTAAGAAAAGTTGGGTTTACGCGTATATAAAGAATAAAAGGGTTTTATAATTATAAAGAGAACAAAAATCCAAATCGCATTTATACGAAAAAGGCCGAAGATGTGACTGTAATGAAATGGAGGATTGTCCGAAGACCATCTTATAGTGCGCACATCTCCATGGTAGCAGAGTTTGGATGCAGAGAGAGAACAACGTAAGAACGAAATGAGATTTCTTTGTATTAAGAGAGAGTGTCGACATTGTTTGACAGATGAAAGGCAAATAGAGAGAGGATGGGCTCTACAAGTTACACTTTTCGTATAAAGATGAGCGCGATTATGTCGACATTTTTTTTTTTCCGCAATTTCTTATTTACCTATCTTATTGGATTTTCCGATGGTAATCATATTCAACCGAATAAAAAAATGATTACGTCAAATATTTAGCAAAGACGTGCAATCAATTAGGAATTAAATAAATAAAAAATTCATAATCCTTTCGCTGCACGTGCACGTGATGACACAGGAGTGTCTCTCTGTCTCCGGTTTAGGCATGAAAACCAAAATAAAATCAATCAAAACTGATGCTAAACCGTGGTAAACGGTTTCAGTTTTAAACCATCGCTGAAATTGTGGTTTATGGCTCCGTTCTGATTTTTTTTATTTTTTCATTTTATTATAATATAATTTTTAAAATAAATTTGACAGCTTTTATTAAATTGATTTATTTTTTATAGTATTATTTATTATTATTATTATTATTATTATTTATTCAGACCATAAAATTTTTAAAGAATAAAAAAATTATGTAACTACACTTTAAATTAGAGGAAAATCAAAATCTATGGTTTTGAAAGGAAAACGATCGAAAAGGATGTTGATTATCGCTTTTACAATGAAAATCCACATTTTAAAATCAGAGACCACAAATTTAGTTCTAGAATGATAATTATATCTATATTGTGTACTTACGTTGCCGTTTCAGCTAATTGTAGGATATGATTTTTTTTTTACCATGTGCGATCTTTTCTTACAAAAGACGTTACAGTCAATTTTATAAAAACCGTTGTGAATTTTAATTTAAGTTCACTGTTGTACAATTATTATTCAAGTCCCGCAGTTGTCTTTTGTCAATTCCTATGTTGTTTAATGTCCACTTGTCCCACGTGAATTATAGACGAGCAATTATGTATTCATTACGACCATCATTATTTAGAAAATTACTAAAAATTACTAACTAAATAATCGACTGGATAAAATTTTGATGGCAAAAAAAAAACTTCAAAAAAATAATATTATTATATATAGTGTGTGGTATTGATCTTCTTAAGTTGCACTAAATATCTAGAATAAGAGACATCGAATTTAAATACTTTTATTATATAAATCATCATTAATTTAGTAAATTTTATTTAAAAAAAAATTACCAATTTTTTATACATGATTCATAATATTATTTTATTCACATTACATGTTCTTTTCATGTAAAGTTTAATGATAAAATACTATCGTTTAGTAGGGTAAAGAGGACAGATTATGAAACTTTATTTCCTTTTAACATTTTGATGAAACTCTAATTAAACAACTCACAATTACTACAACCGTTAATAAAATAATTGATAGCCATTAGAATAGTTAACATCTATTAGTCTCTTATAAATTAAAGCTAAAAAGGAATAATGTTATATTATAATTCCATCATTTCTTTAATTGGACGACTTTAATATTAATTTAATTTGTGACGTAAGTATAATAATTTGAACTGAAATTATTAATTAAGAGTAAGTACAATAATTATAATGCCATTAATTTGTTTGAAATGGCTTTGATGGACAAATCGCACATGAAGTACTGGTTAAAACGGGGTGACTGGGTGCGTGCATTATGCCACCATGATGTGGTCATATGGATATGCACTTTGATCCGTTGACCTCGCTCGCGTGCTGTGCCGCCTCTCATCTTCACCACCAACGAGGCGATGATCGCTAACAAGCAAAAGCGACCTCACATTATTATTAATTTATTATTATCATTATCACATTATTATTTTTATTTTTGTTACCTTAAAAAAAAGTATAAATCAAAAAATAATTTATATATTGTGGGAGTCATATAAAATTTTCTATATTTTCAAAGATGAAAGTATAATTTTCATAATAAAACTGCAGCCTGACCAGATATGATTCTCGTTAGAAATTAAAGCAGTTTCTCTCCATTTCTGGTTAATTTCAAGCTAATTTAATAAAATTTTTATTGGTTTTTTACATATTTCAAATACCTTTAAAATTATATTTGGTGAGTTATAATAAAACGCAGGATAATGTAATTAAAACTGTTTTTCATGTAAATATTCCACTATTAAATTACATTACCTTCTACTACGGTTTACCAAATATTTCCAAAGATTATAATTAATAACCAGTTTATTGAAATTTAACCTCAGACTATTTTGGTTATGTTCAACCAAAGTCCGAAGAAATGGATTTGGGCTGACAGGTGTTATTATTATGGAGCAGGGCCTAAAGAGGCAGCTTCTTGTATGAGTACTGTTATGGTAAAGTGTCAAAAAGCAGCCCAAGTGCAAAACACTCTTAGGTCCAGAAACTAAAATTGGATACAGAATATTCCATTCAAGATTACTTGTTAGCTTTGGGGATACCTAGACACTAGAGCCAAACAGCCATAAAAAACATTAAAAAAAAAAAAAAAGAAAATAAACTATTATTCACTATAGAGCATGTTCAAGTTCAGCCCCACAAATTCATCAATTTTAAGATAAAAAAAAAAAAAAAAAAAAAAAAAAAATTCACTATAGAGCATGTTCAAGTTCAAGCCCCACAAATTCATAATTTTTAAGAGTAAAAAAAAAAAAAAAAAAGAAAAAAAAAAGACTATATTTTGAAACATGAAGCCACAGCTTGCGCAAAAGCCTTTCACAAGAAAGGTCACTGATCGCTTGGAAAAACAAAATAAAACTTACTAGGGACAAACAAAAAAATAGGGCTAATTACAACATGAAATTGGAGAAATAAAATGTAATTCATCCATTTTATAAAATCAAAAAGTATACTTATAAAGCATGCATAAATTTTATAAAGCTGCAGAGAAAATATTAAATCAAAAAAATAATTTAATTTTTTTTTATTTTTTTTTTTTGTGAATTACAGGTTTTGAGGATTTTTTTTTTTTTTTTTTTTTGTGAATTACAGGTTTTGAGGGACAAATTATATTTTATTCCTTTAAAATAATGTTAATTATCATATATTTGTTAATCTCATGGACCATAGTAAGTGGGTCCAAAATTATTATGTCTTGTTCAATTCGTCAAAGTGGGACATCTAGAGGTGTGGCCTTCGTTGGAGAATTTATTAGCCGTAAAACGTGGCGCACTGCCCTTACCAAATTTTCCACGGGTGTATGACCAAAATAATATATTTTGTGAAGATATTACTAAAATTGTGTGATTTTGAAACTATTTATCAAAATAATATAAATTTCATTGAGAAATTTTAAGAAAAATTGAGGAACATGAAAATGTATGGACTACAAACATATTTATTTAGTATACTCAAAAAGCAATTAATAAAAAAAATAAAAAAAATTATAATTAAAATCTATTTATTTCTAAAAACGAATTATGTGTATCTGACTCCTAAATCCAATTAAAACATAAACGGAACGGATTCAATTGCAACGTTTTAAACATATATATATATAAAAATACTCATGCGTTGCATATATATATTTTGTATATAAAAAAAATATTAATATATTACAACCGAATCCGTTTATACTTAGTATATTTTCATATTACTTGAATTTTCTTAGAATTTCTCGGTTAAAACTATATTATTTTGATAAATAATTTTAAAATAACATCATTTTGATAAATGATTTCATAAACCACATTATTTTATTCATAAGCCTAATTTCCACAATATTGTATTCTAGTTCTACTTGTAATTTTCTGTTTCTTAAATTATTGAAAAGAAGTTTACAGTAATTTGCGCCATAAAAAAATCCCCTTATCCGTCTCATAATTAAGAAAAAATATATATATATATATAATAGACTTTCGAAGATGGAAAAAATAAGGTTTACTAATTATCTTGGGCTTAATGTAGAAAAATTCACTTATATTTTGACGAAAAATTTTATAATACCTTTAACTTTTATTTTGATCTGTTAAACATTTCAATTTATAAAATTAAATATATTAAATATTTTATTTTACCTATTAAATACTTCATCTTGCAAAATTAGACCGATTAAGTAATTATTGAATAATTCAAAAATATAAAATTATTATTTTAAAAATTATATTAATCTCATATCGAATTAATATTTTGTATATAAAAATTAAAAATCTTTAAAATTGTTATTTTTAATATTCAGAGGTGTAAAAAATCATTACACAGAGTGAAATTGAAGGTGTAACAAAACCTATATTAAATTTTAGGTTACCATAATTTTTTTTTTTTTCAAGTTTGGGAGCTAATTATTTTAGGATTATATTTTATCATAAATATCGGTTATTTTTGTCTTATTGAAAACAAGGTAATGGCTTTGTTGTTCAAAAAACAGAATTAGTTTAAAAATGTCTAATTTTGGAAAATTTTGTCCGCTGGATTAACAAATTTTTTATATAAATAAAGAGGTGTAACTTTATAAGGGAAGACACGATGTCGTATTATGACATTAGCTGTATTCATTTCTCGACCTTGCGTCTGGCGTTTTATTGAGTGCACCTACGACCTCACAATTTACCCACACATCCACTTGTTCTTCTGTTTTGTCCGTTTCTCAAAGAACTGTAGTATTTCGAAACGTATCCCTCGAGATTCTATATTTTTAAAAGAAAACCCCAAACACAATTTTTCTTTTTTTTTTTGAAAAAAAAAAAAAATATCTTTAATGGTATAAAATTTGACCTCAAATATAAACCCTGAATCCACGCCACCGCACCCATCTCCACCATTTTCTTTACCTCACTTTCTACTGTCTCAAACCAAAAGCCATGTTTGAAGAATCCATAACGTCTGTACCCTCTATCTGGGCATCCATGAACAGTTGGTTCACTCCCACTGTCCTCTTTGTCTTCCTTAATCTCGTGATTGGCACCATTTATATTTCTTCAAGCTTAGCCACCAATCACCAGAAACCACCAACTGATCAAAATCAAGAAAATAAACACCATTTACCTAGATCTCCCTCTGTTCTTCACAGACTTAAATCTATCAATTTTTACAGTTACAGATCTCCTGAACCCACTTCTGTTGCTTTTGAAAAACCACCTCAAAATTTTGACACCCATTTCACTCATTTCCAACAATCCCCTGCAGAAGAATACCATCAAAACCAGCCATTTCTTTCTAGATCTCCTTCTATGCTTCAAAGACTCAAATCTATCAACCTTTATAATTACTTTAATCAAGAAACCATTAACTTTTCTTTACCAAAAAATAAAGAAATGTTGCCAAATTCCCATTCTATTGCTCCTCCACAACAAACTTATCAAGAAACAGAGGAGGTGGAAACGGGGGAAGGAGAAGAAGAAACAGAGAAAATTAAAGACCAAGAAGAGACCTTGGACGAGATATATAGTAAGTTACAGAGCAATAAACAAGTGAGTCGGAGTAAATCGGACACGAAGCCTGCCGCTGGTGAAATACCCACAAAGCTTCCAAAGAAAATGAGGAAATCTGCTAGTGTTAAGTCTGCTTTTGCTCATTTTGAAGAAGATGACATTGTTGTGGAGTCTCGTCGGCCGGCGACTGTGAAAGAAGGGAAGAGTAGTAAAATGACAGAGGTGGATGATGCAGAAGTGGATGCTAAAGCTGATGATTTCATTAACAGGTTTAAGCAGCAGTTGAAGTTGCAGAGGCTTGATTCCATTATCCAGTACAAGGAAATGATCGGTAGGGGAAATGCAAATTAATTTAGTTTCTGGGTTTCTTTTTCTTTTTGTTTAATTTGAGAAATTTGTTTGAAATTTACGATTTCTTGAATGTAGATCCACCTGAAAAAAATTAAATGCTCTGTTGCTGTGTATCCACAACTATTTCTTCAAATATGCATTATTAATTTGTTAAAATCTTGTTTCTTTACTATAAATTGTTAAATTTTTCTGCTCATAATAATAATGACTCCAATCGCGACTCATATTAACAACTATTGAAAAGTTATAGACAGAGATTTAATGCATGGAATGATACTTATGGAGAATAACAGTTGAAACTTTAAAACGACATTAATTCTTAATTTAAAAAGAAAAGTGTAGCAGTGTGAGAAACTAATAAGAGGCGTTTTGATGAATTTACTGGTTTGCCCCTAGGTAATGACATCTCCGTAGACGATGGATGCTTGGTTGTGTTTGGTTGGAATGCACGTGGGAGATTTTATTCGGGTACTGTCCATTAACACCTTGTGGATTGTACATTTATTTCCTAAATAATAAAAAAAAACATTTTTGTTTTTTGCGAAATTGTAACTGTGTTATTCAAACTTTCTGAAATAAATTATAATTAGTAATTACTACTTTTAATAATTCTTAATTAATATTCATAAACTTATTGCATGGATAAATAGATTCAAATATGAAATATTATTTACTTTCTATAATCTTTAAAGAAAATATAAGCTGAAAATATTTAAAGGCTTATGTTTATTTTTTAATAAATAAGCTAAAAGAAGTCTAACTTCTTTAACAATTTCATTTAAAAAAAAAAAGTTAACTTCTTAGCAAATAAGCTAAAAATAATTTGAACTCTAATCAAACTATTTTAGAAATTTCAACTTCTTATATTTGGATTTCAGTGTTTTATATTAATTAGGAAAAAGCATATACTATAATTGTGGAAGAAGCAATGCCTAATAACTAGTAGCTGCTGACCCAAGAAAAAGAGTGGTGCCATGTGGTCATTTTTTCAAAAAAATAAAAATAAAAATACTCACTCCACTCCACTTTAATAATAATATTTAATCTTTTTACAATAATTAAAAAATAATGGAAATATATTGATTTTCTAAAAATACATGCCTTCTTAAAATTTAAAAGTCTAAATCTAATTTTATTACAAAATACATAATAAATAATTAGAAAAAATTAGAAAAAAAAAAATACTCTCAAAATTCCAAATGAGTATTTAAAGTAAAATGTTCATTTGTTACTATTAAAGTGAGACGAAGAGAGTAAAAATTTAATATGAATAAAAGTTATCCTTTTTTTTTATATATATATAAATTGCAATGTAATAAATATTTTTTTCATAGTATTAATTGTTTTAATAATTATAAGTTATTTTATTTAAGTAGTAAGAAATAACGATTCATAATCTCACATTTATTTTTTAAACACCGGTATAAAATTTATATAGTAATTGTCAATTATTTTATCATTTCATAATTCACTTTCTTAATTTTTAAACACTAGTACAATATAATAAAAGAGATAGTCAAATAATTAAGTACTACCTTAAAAACTAATGCTGAATATGACAATCATCAAATGTATTTTCAATATAAATAGAGAAAACAAAAAAATTAGTCCATGGTTTATAGTAAAATTAACACACCATAATCTTTATTTCTAAGGCCTCTAAATTATAATTTTATTAAAATTTTAGTCCTTCTGTTCAAAGAAGATAAACCAAAATGTTAAATGAAATCATAAGAGAATGACCAAAATGTTAATAAAATTTATAAGTTATGAACCTTATAATTAATTTGTTCCTAATTTAATTTAGGGATCAATTCATCAGTCAATTGACAAATAAACTAAGTTATTTTGAACGGAAAAACTAACGTGTTACCAAAAATATAAGTTAAAAATCTCATGATTATGTGTTAATTTAACTATAATTTAGGAACCAATTTATTATGTTTCTGTATAAATATTATACTATTAAAATTAAATAGATTTATGTTAAAGAAGTGTTGAATATATATATTTTTTAAATTTAGGAGATAATTTCAGAACATATATTTTAGTCCCCATAATTGCAATATTAGCCACTTTAATTATCATTAATAAAATTTTGATTCTTTAAATATTAAAATAATTTATTTTTCCCCTTTTTAGCGCAATCAAAATTTAAAATTTTACATCATTTCAAAAAAAGGTTTTAAATTAAATTGTTGAAGTTTGAAACTAGTTTATTGTTTAAATTTCTATTTTCTTAAAATTAAGTAAGTAAACTGAGAAATTGTTTCCTTTTAAGTATATTTTTTCACCTTTTTTTGGTAAAATACTAAACTTAATTATTTTTTACCTAATAATTATTGCACCTAAAATTCCATTAATTTGTTTCTTATATTAGTATTATTTTATAGGCATAAGTCGGTTTATTGGATCGGAGCCTAGATGGGGCCCAAACAAACCAGATACCAATGAAGCCCGATTTCAGCCAGGTTTCAGAAACAAAAGAAAAAGGAAACGACACGTCGAATTCAAGATTTCGGCGTGCCAATTGCAAATAACATCGTCAAATCAGACCAGAACAAGCGAAGAAAAGGAGATCTGCATAACGACACCGGAAAGAACAATCTCTGAAAAGGGCGTCAAAGCAGTTATGAGGGAAAGGGAGACTTTTAGTTTTTGGAGACAAATTGAGTGAGAAGAAGAAAAAGAGAGTTTTAGTTAGAAGAAAGGAGCAAAACAGAAAGGGAGAGAAACAGTCACAAGGAGAGAGATGGGATGGATAGTAAATAAACGGGTAGAGATAGGAAGAGGAAAGACAAGTCGCATTTGGGGAGGAGCATTTCTTTGTTGGATTTTATTCATGTTGGCCACACCCAGAATCCCTATTTCCCACCAGCATCACCAATTTGCTGACATGCGCAATTTTCTTGGTATTTTCTCTATTTAATTTGATCTTTATTTCGGCACTTTTATCATCCTTCTTTAGATGATTCAGTTGATTTAACTTTCTGGGTCTAATCATCTGCAATTTAATTATTTCCTAGACGTAAACGGCATGTCGTTTACTGTCCGAACGATTTTGTATGTTTTGATGGGGTAGGATTTTGGTTATTTGACAGGAGTGCCCAACACATGGAATGTATTCAGCAATTTCCCTTTTTTGATTGTGGGTGTTGTGGGTTTCGTACTCTCTCTTCAAGGGTGCTATTTAAATATAAGGTACTAGTGTTATTCAATCTTCTGCTGCTTTATGTCGTTGCTTGAAAGGGTCTTTTTTTTTTTTTTTCCCCTTTTCTTTTTCTTTTTTTTTTTTAAATGTTTATTTTATTTTATTTCGTATTTGTATTTTTGCAGCTTAAGAGGAGAGATTTGGGGTTGGGTGCTATTCTATGGAGGAATAGTAGCTGTTGCTTTTGGTTCTGCTTATTATCATCTCAAGCCTGATGAAAGTAGACTCATGTGGGACACTTTGCCGGTTAGCACTTATGTTCTGATGTACAATTCTTTCGGAATCCTATTTGTTTCTGTGCTGCACTCTATTTGGTTTGTAAAAAAAAAAATGTAGGAATGTGGACAAAGTAGAGCCTATCTTGAATTGGGATCTTTTGGCTCAACATTATCCCAGTTCTTCAGCATTTACCTAATAATTTATAGTCATTACTTCATCTGGATGTGGAAAATCCTTTCTCTTAGCTTAGACTGTCCTTAGTTCTAAAATTTGGGTTGATTTTGGTTCTGATTTTCTATCTAAAAAAGTAGGGTTATGGTTTCTTTTGCATATGACTATTTTCTGATGGTTTATGTGCAATGTTTTTGTTTTCTATTTCGTAATTTATGTTGCTACATGCAGATGATGATAGCATATTCTTCACTTTTTTCCAGTTTCGTTGTGGAGAGAGTGGGGCAACGAGTTGGATTAAGTTGTTTGTTTGGGTTGCTATTTGTTGTTTTACTTAGCACAACTTATGCAAGGTTGGTTTTTTCATACCTACATTTAAATATGTATTCCTTTGTTTTAATTGATTGGTGCCCCTGTGTCTTTGGTATTCTAAAGTTTTCTGCTGAGAATGGGTTGCTAGTTGTTTGCAGAATATTTAATGATCTTCGGTTGTGCATGATGTTCCAGTTGATTCCATGTGTAGCCATACCGGTCATGGCCTTTTTGTACCCACCCAAATATACACATTCAGTATATTGGATTTGGGCAGCAGGTATTTCATGCGTTACAGCTTTGTTTTATTTATTTTATCTTAGTCAATGAAAAATAGAACAGATTTAAGTCTTCATACATGGAAGCCATCAAAAATACCTTCAACCGACATCCTATGACTTATTTGTACAAAACAAGAAAAGGCAAAGATTATGAGAACATTTGTATCAAGACCAGGAGAAGTGTGGCAAAATGATCTTTTGTTGTCTGAATATGCATAAAAGATCTGTTGCATTCTTTTGTGATTCTGAAGCATTGCAAACTAAGTCCTCAAAAACACAAATAGCATCATAAAATGTGTGATACTATACATTTTACAAACATGGGGAAATGCTCTGATGGAAATTTATATTTTTTCTATATGAGAGATATTATGGGTTACTTCATGAGGCAAAATCATTCCCATCTTCTGTATGTTTTGAAGGACACACTTCTTCTTCCACTCGTTTTGAGTCTCTTCTTGATGGCCTCAAAACTGCAGGTGGAATAGGAGAACATGGATTCTAAGTCCCCTTCTTTTGGCTGCTTTGATCTATGTTGATGATCCACAGCCATGCAATTCAAGTGCTGAGGATAATGATGTTAGGCGGATATGTTAGTTAGCAATTCAGCCAAACTAAGATGCAAAATCCTTCTTGTAAGCTGACTGTTACATAACATGTGTAAGCAGTAAAGAGCATCGATTCTTTTAACTTATATTATTGAATGGAAAACCAAACTTGACCAAGAGATTAGACAACTTTTCTATGGAATACCTGACTAATTTTTTTCTCGTTGGAATGCTGTGAGTGGTTTGCCACCAAGCTCCTTTAGGCAGACGTAGTTAGAAGGGTGCTTCAAGTTGACTGAAATCTGATAGATACAATCTTTCATGTAGCATATTTATTATGGCTGTTTAGGAGACACGACAAGCTCCCTGCTGTCTCACTAGAATAAATAGTCTTGAACTGTAATGAGGCATCCTGATCCAGCCATCATTCTTTTTATACTCAGAAAGTATTCTCTTTCTCATGGGTATGGCTGTCCTTATCAATATCTTTTTATCATTATTTTATTCAAAATTTTGATTTCATGATTAAGGTGACTTGTTAACTGTTATGATTAGAATTTGGAACTGATTGGATGAAGTCTTGTTATAAACTGTATGTGTGCTATAAAAAGAAGCTTGAAAATCCCGCTTTAGTGATCAATTTTCAGTTTCTTTTTCCTTACATTGTTGTTTAGCAGTTTCTTACTTATTGTCTACCTAGTTGTGGACTTAGTGATTTATTTTGTAGTTCATGCAACCTTATATCTCTCTAAATCCTAATACCATGTCAGGGGCTTGCCTCTTAGCCAAGTTTGAAGCTGCTCTTGACAGAAAAATATACCATGCAAATCGGTACTTTATCAGTGGGCACTCCTTGGAACACTTGTGCTCGGCAGCAATTCCTGTTCTATTCACTATTATGCTCATGTATAGAAATGTTAGAATGCAGAGGTATGAATCATTGATAGTTAACTGAATAGGATACTGTTAAGTGAACTAGGGACAATGAAAAAATAATCCCAAAGACATCTGCTAAAGAGGTCTTATTTTTTGGAACAGATGAGGTCATGTTTTGAATTCTCAATATGGTCATGGTGCAGTTTTGACCCATTACTCTAATATGTCTGGTTTGCAACTATTTTGAAAGGGATCTTTTGCAATAAACAACTCATTCAATTGTTACTGCATTTTCTGCCATGATGAGCACTTCTTTTTATGTAAATCTTCAGCATCCCCTTCTCTCTCCCCACCCGTTCAATTGTTTACTGCATTTTCTGCCATGGATGAGCACTTCTTTTATGTAAATTTCAGCATCTGCCCTATGTCTCTCTCACCCTCCCACCGACGCGCCCACCAGCCATCCACACACCTCGGCCCTCCCTTTCTATTCCTCTTTCATATGACCCATTATCTGAACTGCCATTATTTGTACGGTAATGTCAGCTGGTATTAGTGTTGTGTTATTTGAAGGATGGGCCCTCCTCTTTTCTATTCCTCCTTTCATATGACCCATTATCTGAACTGCCATTATTTGTACGTATTCAGTTCACTGGGTCATTGTTTGTGTTTTGAAGGATGGTTCCATTTAAATCTGTTGTTATTTGTTATGTTTTCAACTACTCTTTTGTTTTGTCTGTTTGGTTGTAAATACGTTTCTAAAATAGTGATTGACTTCTGTTTCATATTTATGTTTTAGCTAGTCTAATCTATGTTTTCCCTATCCCTTTTTTCTGGTTTCACTACTTGTTTGGGAAAAGTTCAAAACGCCAACTTACCTATATAAGCATATGCTGATAACAGGTTAGGCGACTTAAAAGAGCGTCTGTGAGAAAGTAGAGACACGAAGAAGGCATTTCTAAGCTGCAGCCAGCAGGTACCAAGAAATCAGTGAAGCAGACAGTAGCCACAGCGAATAATTTATGATTGGATAATTTCTTTTCATTTATTCATTCTTTTGAAACGCTACGCTAACCAAGCAGGAATTTTGTTTTGATTACGTATTGGTTGAAGTGAATTTTTTACGTTGTCATTAACATGTCATATAATTAATTAGCATCTAATGAAAGAATTTTGACATGTAACTATTTTATCCTGAAATGTATATATGTGGCACAGCCTTGCTTACCAGGCAAACATGCTCATGCTCTCACATGCAGCTTTCTTTCTTTATAGCCAAAATAGTTTTGGCCGACCGAGTATCTAGCAGACTAACATGCTTGTCCATGTGATGTGATAAAGCTGTTGTGACATGACATGGTTCGATATGATTATGTTCCAATCAAAACAACAAATAAAGATAAAAAAAAAAAATGTCTTGGTCTCTGTTCTTGTTCAAGTTCGGGTTTATGAGTTGTCAAACAAGTTTCATGAATGGTACCAGTGTAGGCAAATTTTAGTGGAAGTGAAAATTCCAGGTCAACAATTGCATTTAGGATCAACTGTGTAAATAATTTCCTTTTTAACTCTACAGTTTTAATTATAACTCGCTAAAATGGTGAATATGCTTATAATTAAAAGGGTTTAAATTCCGTGTAAATGTGATGACAATCGGATTAAACATCTTAATAGTTTTTTTTAATATTATTTCATAATAGTAGCTTAAACAGTAATATCAAACCATCTCAATCCTGCGTTTTATCATATGATCACAATTAAACCTAGGATGATGATCTTGATTATTAGTTATCTAAAATGAATTTGCTTCAGTTTGTCTCTTTTGTTGAAGCTAAAGAATCCTGAATTCTATTAACCGAGAATTGAGGAATGGAGAAGGGGGCCCCTAATAGATATGGGCAGCCCTAACTGGTTATCTGATTTTCAATGAAGAGATCTGCAAAATCTGATTGCTGTGAAATTTGGAGGCAGGAGAAAGACAAAAGAAAGTACAGGATTATTTCTTGCCTGCCAGTTTATACAATCGATTAGAGCAGTACAATTTTTCTGAAGTTGGCAGGCAGATCTCTGGTTAGTGGCAATATACACATATATTTATTGGAACTAGAGCAGTGTTTGGATTTGTGGAAAACATGGAAGGAATGAAATTGAAAAGGAAAATAAATAAATTTTGTGGGTCTTTTTCTTCAATTGATACACTGTTGTAGAATAGTAAAGCTTGGCATTTTATGGTGCCCAGTTATGGAATCAAACTTTGATTGACAAGCAACAGAATTGATAGGTTTCAATGTACATAAACATGTTGTAAACGTAAGACATTAACTTGTGCCCTTAGGTCAAATATCATGAGAAGACATTCAATCTTACCGACCCAATTAAATTCAAACTTCAATTGATGTGAAAAGATTAAATCCAAACTAAAAATAATTAATCAATATAAAACAATTGTCTTATTTCATTTTTATTCTTTAATGTTATTTTTACTATTTCTTATTATTATTTGCATCCTATAGCGTTTGGATTTGACTTTGAAGGAACGATTCAGATTTCATTACCCTCTGAAAACTGTCTCTTTTTTTATATATATATATAAAAAAATTAGTAATTTAACATATACGTGGATGACAGAGAATTACATTTTTAACCTTGGGATAAACTTGACCACGGTCAACATTTAGATGACATGTAAGTGTCGGTGGATTGTCAAGTACAAAAATTGCATGATTATTCACTCAATTTAAGCTACTTATTCAGGTTAGGAGATGAAAGCTTCATAATTAATATATATAATTAACCTCATAATTGCAGATTCTAATACTGACTTTTGTAATTTTTTTTTTAAAAAAAAGGAAAGTCCTACAGGAAGCCTCGAAAACACCAAACTCTATCGAGTAATTATTGACTTTGAATTTAAGCTAAGCGATTAGCTTATGCAACTAATGACTTTGATTAATTAACTAATTAAATTTTAATATATTTTGCGCTTAGTCTGCAGGAATTGCCCAGAGACTTTGAGACAACTACCAAGACAGTCTCGTCGGTGGCTTTTCTCATTGCCCTTTATGGGTAAAGATTTGGTACAGCCAATGCTACCATATTAAGTTGCCTTCCAACAACAGCAACTTGCCTTTTAGTCTTTTACAATAACAACTATTCTATAAGTTTGGAAGAAGTGGTAATTGTATTCGCATACAAGTGTGTGTTAAATACATGTATTCAGACTCATCTAATCCTTGAAACAAGGAACTTTTTATACATCTAAATACAACAGAATAGGCTTGAATAGGTCTACGTTGTTATCTTATCTAATACGCCCCCGCAAGATGGTGTTCCGACAGTAACACCAATCTTGGTTCTGAAATTGCTGAATGCGGCGAATGATAATGGCTTGGTTAACATATCAGCAAGTTGGTCTTTAGCTGAGACATGAGTAACTCGAAGAGTTCCATTTTGCACTTGTTGCCTTACAAAATGGTAATCGATTGCTATGTGCTTCATGCGGGAGTGAAATACCGGGTTTGCTGCAACATACGTAGCTCCCAAATTGTCGCAGTAGATCACCGGAGATTTGGGTCTTGGAACATACAATTCATCTAATAAATTTCGGACCCATACTAAATCAGCTACTGTAGAGGCTACTGATCTATATTCAGCTTCGGTGGAGCTTCTTGCCACAGTTTTCTGCTTCTTGGACGACCAGGCTACTGGGTTTTTCCCTAGAAAAATTATATAGGCACTAGTAGATGTCCTATCATCCTGATTGCCCGCCCAATCCGCATCAGAGAAGGCATGTAAATCAACATTAGTTTGGCTACGAAGATTCAACCCAAAATCAAACGTACCAACCAAATACCGCAAAAGTCTTTTAAGAGCAGTCCAATGTTGTTGAGTTGGCTTTGAGGTGTACTGCGCTAGTTTATTAACAACATATGCCACATCCGGTCTTGTAAGCAATAGGTATTGAAGGCTGCCTATTAACGCTCGATATGCAGTAGCATCCTGTAAATAAGCAGAATCTGTAGAACTGAGAGTCATGGTCGAAGACATTGGGGTAGATGCAGATTTCGCCTCATGCATTTGAGCTTTCTCTAATAAATCACGTATATAATTAATGTTTGTTGAGTTGGCTTTGAGGTGTACTGCGCTAGTTTATTAACAAGCTAGTTTATTAACAACATATGCCACATCCGGTCTTGTAAGCAATAGGTATTGAAGGCTGCCTATTAACGCTCGATATGCAGTAGCATCCTGTAAATAAGCAGAGTCTGTAGAACTGAGAGTCATGGTCGAAGACATTGGGGTAGATGCAGATTTCGCCTCATGCATTTAAGCTTTCTCTAATAAATCACGTATATAATTCTGTTATGAGAGAAACAGTCCTGTAGTTGTTCTCTTGACTTCAACACCCAGAAAATAGTGAAGGTTCCCCAAATCTTTAATGGAAAATGCCTTACCCAATTGAATTATGAATGCT